GAAACCATGGCGCGATATGAATCATGCAAGGAAGCATAATCGTGCAGCTTTTGCGGTCCTTGGATGACAGTAGTACGGTGGCACTTTGCAAGTGTGCCCTTTTCTTTTTGTTCCTCTCGTCCCATCTTATTATAGTGTCATGGGCTATAGAGTCGCTTAGTGTTACTGTAGATCTTGGTCATCAGTTATGTACATGTATTCGATAATCTCATCATCTTTAATACTATAATAAAATGGAGCGATCAGTAGCAGGAGTAGGAACAGTAACAGCAGCTACTGGAACGCTTGGGTGAGGAGTATGAGCCCGTAGGTTTAATAAGATAGAGGGGAAGCGACTAGCAATGGTTCTGGACGTGACCGAGGTTTTTTATAAGATATAGAAGACCAAAGACTGAGACAGCAGGAGACGTAGGCAACGCAATAATGCTTTCCTATTTATATGATAGGAGAGTGATAATATTTACCCTAATATAGAGGACGAAGCGTGTTAAGGGATTTGTCTTTTCTATTTTTTTTCTTTTTGTTTTTTCATAGATCTATTTTCTATTGCCTGAACAAGACGAATCTAACCAAAAAGGGGAATGACAATCTGTTGCTGCAAATCCTGCTGCACTTGCTACTGTGCTTGCTTTAAGCGACCCATTGACTGCTGTGACTTTTGCAGCGTCGGAAGCTATAGCTCGTTCAGCAATTGAAGCACCAGAGGCTGCGAGCATACAAGCACACATATTTGGCTACATTAACAGGGACTTATTCAACACTCATTCTTTCTGTTTTGGCGGTATGGCTCTGTTTAGTGTTGTTAACTTATTGCTGTTGTTATTGAAAAGAAACAAAAAAGACAAATATCTTTTGTCTTTTGTCAAAGTTTGCTCAAAATTTATGCCTTGTGGTTTGGGATGATTTATGGTTTGTGGTTGGGACAAAGAACGGCCTAGAACTATACCTTGATCAAAGAAAGATAAAGACCGATGAATCTCTTTTCGTTATTGGTGCTGATTCATCGGATATCAATGCTCCCTTCATCTGACATTCATGAAATGTATTGCTTTCTTTTTCATTAAAACCATTTGTTCCGAGCCTGACCCAAAAGGCAATTTATTGACATGGCCAAATCAACCCAGCCTTTCAAGTGGAAAATAACGATCAGCCTAGTGATCTTCGGCCTCTTCGTATTTATATCACTCGTCCGAGTTGAATGGACTCCATTTCATATCCTTTCTCATGGAGCAGACCATGATCAAGGTCAAGACAGGATATCTCTTCTCCAACAACAGCAAGATGCTGACAGCTCTCTGCAGTTGCAAGGGAACAGGCAACACAATCCCTTTTACACCATGTTCCCAGCCCGTCCTCCTGCAGATCAAGAGCGCTTTCTTGGTTATTTCCCTCATAGTGGCCTTCACAACCAGCGAATAGCATTGGAGACAGCACTTCGACTGGCTGGATATCTGAATCGGACTTTGCTCTTACCACCGCTCTATATGACTGAAAAGACTTTCAACATTGGATGGATGCCACTTGAAGAATTGGTTGAGAGATGGGAGAGAATGAACCAAGAAGAATCAGAGTTCTGTAAAGATATTGATGCCAAAGATGTCAGGGCAAGGACCAACTTTACAGAGAAGGAAATGAGGGGGGCACTATACCACTCGGCCCCAAGCAATAGGAGCGCAGATATGAATTGTCGGATTTATCATGCTTGGACAACCGTCCCTTGGACTTTTGTCTATACTTTGCCCAAAGTCCTGAAGGGGTTGGCAACGAATATGACATTAACAGCATCCATGGGGTTGGTAGACCCGATCCGTGTGTTTGATCGACCAAACATGACCATCTCATGGCTACAAGGGCAATTGGGAATATCAGATGCAGACGTGGGAAAGGATATTTATTAGGTGAATGATACTACACGGTTCGATGCTAGAGTGTTGGATGACTCCGAATACGACTACAGGCACCACTCAGAGCCGCCAGCCAGTGTAGTGGGTATTCACAATTGGATCGATCTTCGATCCTGAACGAGTGGAAGCACTATCTGAACGACATCAGATGCTGAAACGTTACATGACTGATAATTTTGACATTTGGAATCAAGATATCCTGGACGCAACATATACTGCAGAGGGCCACATTCAAACCTGGATTAAATCCGCTAACAAAACACTGCCAAGGTTTTTAGGGTTACACCTTCGGACATTCGACGGTGGATTTGTAAAAGACGCCTCACAGAATATAGAGCTAATGGCTGCTTGGGTTCGGGAGATCGTCCAGATGGATAAAGCAAACCTGACCAATACACAGCCACCAACATCAGCATCAGTAGCGTCAGTAACAAAGCCAGCTCTTGCACAGGAATCGCCGTCGACACATCGATCACCGTCAGCTCCAGAAGTGAGGCAGCCTGCGTTTCTGGATCTTTGCAGACAACAATCTCAAGAATCACACTTCATCTTTTTAGCCACCGATGTCCCTCATCCACGCGAATCCCCACTCCTTTCTGATTTTTTGAATGAATTTCCGTGTACCATGGTTTTGTCTGATTTTCCTGAGGCAACGGCGAGGCTAGTGAGGATTCAGAATCCATTCGACAACGTCCGCATGTTGCCGTTCTTGATCTTATTGTTGGATGCCAATATGGCCGCAAAAGGAAGACAGTTCCATGGTACTGACAAGAGTACGTTTCAAGGTATATTGAAGAGCATCTCTGGACAAAATACCATCCTGGCGTAGCAAGATATGTCTCATCTACATTTCTACCCACATCTCCAACTAATGAATAAGAAAAATGAAAGCAAGCTCTCTTGGCATCGCTGCCATATCTCCTTCACATACAATTAGAATAGATCATTTAATGCTAATAGCATCAAAAAGTCATGAATTAAAGCATTCTACAGAATAGATATACCTACGAAAACTTCAAGAAGCGTATTGTTTTAATATGTACAATAAATGGTTTGAAGCCTTTGTTTGTTCCGTTTATTCTAACTGTATAATAGTTTAGAGTGAGTCCACCTCATTTTGCGTCAAATAGTAGAAGGGCACAAAATTGATCCGGCCTGATTCCCATGCCTAGAAGCGTTTTTGAAACGATAGTGATATAGAAGAAGGAAAAAAAGCGAAATCAGTTAAAAAGCATTCAGGTTCCATACATTTTGAAAAAAAAAACCAAAAGATATAACATATTGGTGTCTGCAGTGCTGCTTACAATCGAGAGAATAGATCCACCCTTGCTGTGTCTTGTGAATGCCATGGTGACTGCATCTGGTTTTTCTTTACGCTCAGCCTCACCACCTCTATCTTCATCTGTAGACGATTCTTCGCCATCACTCCACCCAGGTCCCTCGATAAATCCTGTTGGCATAAAAATATCCAAATCCCTGAGCATCGAACCTGTGGGCCGCACAATGACAACACCTAGCAAGTCTGTGTTTTCGAACCGAACAATCAGTCGCTCTCCATGAGGATCCAATGTCAGCTCCTCGATAGCTCCGAATTCTGTCAGAGCATCCAAGTTTCGATTCCCTAGTCTCTTCCAAAAATGTTCTCGAAGACCCGAATGATCACCACTTTTGTCCTCATTCTGAACTGCGTTCTTGTAGCCTTCAATATCGGCGTGTCGCAAGGACATTTTGACCTGATTCAAAGGGATCCATGTCAACTCTCCAGCTCGCTTTTCAAAATGAACTGCACGAATCAAATCGTCTCCACGCAATGAGAAAATGAGATTGTGTCCATCTGGTGTCCAACAAGTTGACTGGATCGCTCCCTTGAGATCTTTTAATTCGACATAGTCCCATGTAGCTGCCTCATAGATGCGTGCTACCTCAGAAAGATATGCTACAAGCAGATACTTCCCACATGGTGACCATACCATACTGCAAACAGTAGGTCCCATATGTCCATGATCATGTGTTGGTGCTATATCCTCAGGCTGATCTGGCTTTGTAGCCAACTTGATAGCCTCCTTGATATTGGAAGCGATTTCAGCGACCTTTCGTACACTACGGATTATCTGCGGCGGTGTTGGCCGGAAGCTCAACCGAAGCTCTGTTAATTCTTTTGTAACGCTTTCGCGAATGTACACTGTTGAGGAGTTGGATGAGGCTACTGCCAAGAGTTCGCCACGAGGATCCCATGCCATCTGGTCAACACCACCCAGATCCTTAAACAAACTCAATCCGACCCAAGCTGTATCCTGTCCACGATTCGTGGCTCTAGTTGGTGTATTGTATGTTTGACTCAAGAGCACTGAAGGATGATCTTTGAGAGGATTTGTCGGCTCTGCCCATGCAGCCTCTATACCTGAGGGAGTATGATCTCTAAACACATGCCATAACGCTACGCCAGCTTCACATCCGACAGCAAGGACGACTCCAGACATGGGCTTCCATTGTAAAGTGGTGATTCTATCCTGTGATGGATATGAAAGTCCACAGGAGTACCAAGATTCGACTGAGAGATCATAAACCCAAACAGAATCATTCCAAAGTGCAATAGCCAGCAAAGGTTGGTGTGGATGCCATGCTACTTTGCGGATCAAGAATTTGGCAAGTTTGTCGCGATGAACAATCGTGTCGAATGATCCTGATATTTTCTAGTAGAGAAAGGTTTCAATGTTGGTGAGCTTCAGACTTTTTTTTTTTTTTTTTTTTTTCATTTTTTTAAAAAAAAAGGGAATAATGATATCCTTCAGTAAATGAGAAAGAATTTAATATTGATAATGTATCCTTACGATATATGCATCCCACGCCTTTTTGTAAACTGCCCCAGCGGAATTAAGAATAGCATCCAAATCCCTAAATATTGTTTCAAAGAAAACTTGGGAAACAATGAGTAAAACAAGTCATTTTTTGCAAACAAACAAACAAACAGACAAAATCTATAATCCGGCTAATTTCCGAGAAAGTGGTTTTTTTTTAAAAAAAAAAAAAAAAAAAAAAAAAAAAAGGCCATTACCATTGTTTGGCAAGTTCTTCAATCTTCTCCAAAATTGGTTGCGGAATTAATCCAGAATCTCTAGCAGTATCAAGGAGTTCATCTACTGCTGCATTGACCTTGTGGAACTGTGGAATATGGACGCCTCTGGATGGCATTGTCAATGCTGCATTTAACTGGCCCTATAGACGTCCGTGAAAAGTGTTTTTTTTTGTAAGCAAAAGAAACAGATCAAATTTCCTTTTTTTTTCTCAAGGCGTGTCCTTACATGTCTCTTGATAAAACTTTTCAGCTTTGGATCTTCGGGGCCTGACACATGTACTGATTTTTTTTTTTTTTTTTTTTTTGGTTACCACATGTAAAAAAAAAATAAAGAATAAAAAAAAAAAGATAAGGCATTTGTTGTAGGTCCTCACGCTCTGGGATCATGTCTGTATGCCTTATTGAATCCTGGAGGATACTCTAGTACTATACCTAAAGCGGAATTGGACTCTCCGATGGTGACATGACCTTTTGGTGGTAGACTCAGTGCATCTAGTTTATTGTTTTTTCAAGGATGATGCCCAGACTATAAAAAATCAATTTCCATAGTATGGATTAATGTCCTGCAAGAGAAGAATCATCCATGAATATATAAAATGCTTCACCTGAATAATCGATGGTCCCGTGCATGATGCCACAAGTGCTGAGTGCTGCCGTAGTATTGTCTGTTAATAATAATAATAATAATTAATAAAGCCTGCAGTTGTGTATCGGGCCAAGAACGAAGGCCCGTCACCAAGCCAGTGGAAGAAGCACACGTGCACATCAGGCTGGAATCAATTAGCTGACTTTTTTTACTACAATTTTTTTCAAAGTCCAAAATCATATGGAGGAGCGTACAAAACACATGTAACTCACAATCATGCTTACCATACATCATTGTACATGTCATTTTGTTGGAAAACCACCTCCACACCTTTGTACACTCTTTCTTACTCTCACTTCACAAACGTCACCCTCATTCACGATCAATACTATTTTTTTTTTTTGCTGGTGCTGATTGTTAAATGGGAGTTCGCTGGAGGGCTGGAAGGGAAGGGTATAACTAAATATTATTTGGCAGCCCATTGCCAAATATAGTCAACTTTCAAGACTCTCTTTGGCAGCCCAGTTGCCAAATAACATTCATTATTTACTTGGCAGCCTACCCAGCATTATTTGGCCTCTAACTATTTTTTTTTTTTTTTTTTCATTCCTAGGAACCGTATATGTTTATAACGCTCATACTTCAAATTAATAAAGCTCCCGTCTTCTACGTCATAGTTATGTGTAGTGACATTGTCTTCAAGTAGGTCGCTCATACAGTTTTGGAGGTGCCATTTGGAGATCAATGCCTATGAGAGGTTTTCGCTCGGAGCAAACGCGTCTCACCTACTACCTAGACGTCTTCAATAAATCATTCCCTAACCGTGTACATTGAAGGCTGTTTTGTGAAGATGTCATCGCCGCTGCCCTTAGTACCTCCGGCGGCATTAGCTGTGCAAGGCAATGTATCCACAGAACGCTGCTTGTTTTACCACTGATGTTATGACCCTGTTATCAAAAAAAAAAAAAAAAAAAAAAGTCTGTATTTGGCAGCCCAGCTGCCACCCAAGAGTGCGAAGTTAAGTGGCAGCCCCCAGAAGTAGGCTGCCAAATAGAGGCAAAAATTATTATATTTGGTATGGGCTGCCAAATAGATTAATCCTAAACAAAACGAGATCCATGCAAGTTTTTATGCATCCTCAAATATCCAAGCTGACTATGGGCTTTGTAGATACGCCTGCCCTGGAACAGAAAAAGAAAAATCTTTGTAGACGATCAAAGCTCAAACTTAAAATTTAACATGTTTGTACACTCCCAATGACTTTCTGAGTAGTTATTTAAGTCGCCTTCGCGTCTTAATTCAATCGTATTCTAAAAAATAAAATATGTTACTTCGCCATTTGTTCCTATAAATAGAGACATCGCGTGTCTCCAGCTCTATCGTCATTCTATATTCTTCTATATACTCCATAAGGAACCTTGACTATGCCCTGGAACACTGCTAGACGATTTCCCTCTACCATATTGAATCCACAAATCCATATCCCTCATCCAATCATCCCGGTGATTGCTGTTCCTGTTCCTGCTGATGTAACCCCTCTTCCTCCAGATGTCACCCCTGTCCCTGTTGTCGCGTTAACCTCTGTCTCTACTACCACTCTTGGCGCTGTTCCTGGGCCTGTTCCTGGGCTTGCTGCTGCTGCTGCCCAAGGCTTGGACGACAATTTAGCTGTGCCGATCGATCCGCTTCGCTATACTATGCCGGTTGAGCTGATTGACTACACAGCTGCTGATCAAGGCCTGTAATAACAGGAGGTAACCCTATAGCTTATGGCACTATCACAAGGAAACACGAAAAGAAACAAGCGGAAATAACAGACTCTCAAGATATTGTTATGGCCCACGACTACATATGCTGCATGGTTATGCTTCTCTATACGATCCATGTCGCGACATGATATGCATGCCGGCTCAATGCACCCTCAGGTTTTTCATTTTGGAGCCCATTGACAGGCCACGGAGATTTATTCATTTATTTATTTTGTTGTCGATCCTGAAATAAACAGTTAACTTCCACTGATTCAAATCATTTTTACAATAGTAAGTTGGTATAAAAAACTGTGTATGCCATTGCTCGGTATCTGAAAATGTACCAGGGCTGTCTTCATTGCATACAGTGGTGTTTTTCAGCCAAAGCGGTACTAAAGGTAAACGAAAAGTCATTCTAATGTATTTACTTTACATGTCGCGTAGGACCTTTTTATTCAAGCTTTGTTAATTCCTTCTTTCTTTTTTTTTTTTTTTTTTTTACCAGTTCATCCAAGTCTTTTTATTATTAGTCTTATTACTATTATTTTTATTATTTCTATTATTTCTACTAGGCTCTGTCTGCATCTCGATAGACGAAACATCACTCCACTACTGGCACTGTATACCACTGTACAAAGCTTTAAGGGGATATTAAAACAAGTGCCAGGGGATGTTCTCCTGTTACAACACAGATTTCCTATGGAAAGGAATCCCTTAAACTCTCTATGACCACCTTGATAGCAAGAAGAATGAGGAAGAGGGTTTATATCTTTTTTTTTTTTTTTTTTTTTTTTTTTTACTATTCTTCACCCACGGTCAAACCGATGAACAAAGCTCCAGAATTACCAATTTATAGGACTATATTTACGTGTCAGGAATAGCGTGCCATCAACAGCTGGAGCATCGATCAGTGGATCCTCTTCCGCGTTTTCTGGGTGGATGTTCTACTGTTGTGTTCCTGAAGGTGAACTTTACTGCATGTGCCCCTCGTGAGACTCAGAATCGGCGTTAATGTTGCCAGCAATGGCAGGCTGCGATGGCACTACATGTAGAAGGCACTAGTCCCATTTTGGGCTGAGTACAATCCTAAAGTAATTTCAAATCAAATATGCCATGGAAAACAACACTTAGGCCTCTGGAAATGTGGACGAGGGATGCAGGATCTAGCAAGGGTCCGACTTTTGAAAATTTTTCGTCCAACTTCTCAGAAGCTCATTCCCACCTCCAATCTCTTCTCTCTAGCGAACCATGCAGTGCCTTTCGTTCTTACGCTTCGCTATCTGCCTGTGCAACAATCCTAAAAATCACCACGTTTTCTGTGACTCGGAAACGGCGAGTTCTTCTGTCGCCCATTTGACATGGACACCTCAGTAATATAATCTACCTCCATAGTGAAATGAATCGCAATTTTTTTTTTTTTTTTTTTTTTTTCCTTAATACGTCTCCTTTGTCAAGCTGCCATGAACTGCCGCCGCCATTGCCGTCAATGCCGCAGTAAGCATATAATGGCCAATTACTCATCAATGGTTCCTTGCAAAACAGCAACCTTGAAGGAGCTTTTATTATTATTACTGTTATCATTTCCGCTTTATACTTATAACGGCTTTGCCTCCTTTAGCCTTATACAACCCCGTCTTCTTTGACACATCCTATACAGCTTTTGAAAGTGATATTTGCCCATTTGTCTTGAACTCGTTCCCAAAGCTCCAACCTTTTTTTTTTTTTTTTTTTTTTAATACCTTTTCTATTAAATGAATGTCAGGAGAGTTGGCTGGTCATTTCACGAGAGCCATCTTCGACTCTTTAATTTAGTTCATTAATGATAATAGTAATGACAATTCAGAATGAGGGGCCATGATGGCAAAGGAGATTATCAGAAGGAAAATGAAGATTGAAAAGGATTTTTTTAAAAAAAAAAAAAAAAAAAAAAAAAAAAAGCGATTGATTGCATCAGTTTTGGCTATCATTCTATTTGTAGCACTTGTACATCAAAGGTTCGTGTTCATAGTGAAATTTCATTTAAAATTCAAAGCAACCAATGTCGACAGGGTTTAACATGAGATAAATAACTTTTCAAATACCACAGCATGAGTTGTAAATGAAAATGAATTATATATCGGATGAGATCTTTATTCTTATTTTCAAGATGAGTTCAAGATTCTTTTTCTTTTTCATAAATAGAGGTTATAGCTTCGTAATTGCACCTCTATCAATTTCATAATTTTTTTATTATTATTTGAGATACTCAGGTGTAGAAGTAACCCAAGGTTTCACCTCTGCACGCCAGATGAAAATTCTGGTTAGCGCAACGCATTTCGGATGTAATGCTTAGACTGCTGTTATTGATGTCGATCTGTTAATGTTTCCCGGTCATGAGGACGTTGGCGTCGTACTTTTGAAATTTACGAAATTGATACGAAACCAAAACCTCAATTTATGAAAAGAAAAAAGAACTACGCACTCATCTTGAAAAAGGGCCATTCCTAGGCTCGTCACCAGCCTGTATGGCTTATGTGCATTGCACTAACGCTCACTGACAGGCTGGGGCCAAACTTGAGATTTTAGGGGGGCAACTTCTAGCGGCATATTTCGACTTTGAAAAAAAAAAGGGCCATTTCCCCGCCGTTTGTACGACTTGGAAATTTTTTTTGAAGAAAAAATGTTGGGTCCCAGCCTGTTAGTGCAATGCACATAAGCCACACAGGCTGGTGACGAGCCTAGGCCATTCCTTCTTTCATCCTCATTTCTGTCACTTTTTTTTATCAAGATGGCTAGCATTTCACCATCCACATTTGCCTCCGAACAAAAAAAACAAAAATGCAATACTACGGAGGAAATACCCAAGGAGAATATGCTGACGGGTAAGGCTCTGGAAAATTGACTAATGGATAACTTTTCTCTCCTCTTAACTCTTTCCTCTTTCCTCTTTCACCTTGAAAAACTAATAAAAATATGTCGATATCAGAAAACACCACCGCTATCGTAGTCACAGCAGTTGCTGGTGTTCTTATAGCCCCTATACTTTTCAAAATTACTGTCGCTAGCCTTGGCTTTAGCCCTAATGGGATCGTAGCTGGAACCCCAGCTGCTGGAATGATGTCTTTTTGGGGAGGTGCAGTCACTGCTGGCTCTATCTGTGCAGTTCTTCAATCCATTGGCGCAGGTGGACTAGGAGTAACTGGAACGGCTATTTCTGGCGTGGCAGGAGGTGCTCTAGCTGTAGGGACCACAGCAATAGTTAGAACTCTTTTTGAAGCCCGTGCAATAGGCGGAGCAGGACTCGATAAAGCTAAAGCCTCCTTATACAGAGCAACCTCAATGGCTTCCGAGATCGATGAGGCAAAAGTTGCAGCTTTAACTTCTGAAGCCAGTGCAGTAGGAGTAGCAGGATTCGAACAAGCTAAAGCCTCCTTATACAGAGCAGCTTCAATGGCCTCCGAAATCGATGCAGCAAAAATTGCAGCTTCAGTAGCTTCTGAGGCCAATGTAGTAGGAGCTAAAGGATTCGGTAAGGCCAAGGCCTTATTCAGAGCAGCAACAGGAAAGGAGTGATATGCCGTTTTCCAAAAAAAAAAAAAAAAAAAAAAAAAAAGCATGAATATCGATACCAGCCTACCGCTCTTTTGATCCTTCAATTAGCTTTATTTCTTGTTTGCTAATAAAAATAAATAAAAAAATAAAAAAATAAATAAAAAAAATAACACTTTTATATCCCAAACAGGTTTCTCAATTAGTAATGTTGGCATAAAAAATATCCAGAACCTGAGAAGCAAACATGCCATAGCGTGTCCAATACCGTATTCAATGGACCGGATTGCCAAATAGACCTTCCATCTGTGTATGCTATACTTTGGCCACTTGGCCTTCGGTTGCTCAGGCTCGCACATTTTATTTCATTTATAGCCCATCGCATATTAGCTGGCATCGTACATGTATGGTATCATCCATTCTTTTTCAGAACTTGGAGCCTCAGGTACTGAGGGTTTGAATAAGCTTGCCCTTAAATTTTTCGCCGCTAATAACTGCTCAGTACGCATAATGAAAGCCACACCCTTCTTGAGAAGCTCCGTCAGCGGTTCCGTAACCCTGTTAAGCCTAAGGAGGCGCGCATATCTTCCTTGCTATAAAGTGGAACGAAGTTCTTGGGCCTTGTTGGTACTTCCTGGCATTATATCGATCTCACCCTAGCCTAGATAGCCCCCAGTGACTTTCGTCTTGTCATGCTTATCATATTTGAAGTGGATATTATTTGCTTTGTACTTGATTCCTTCATAAGGAGAACAGGTCACTACCTACGCTGGGTCGAGCAAGTTTACTGAGTGCGAGACTTAGTATCATCATGAAGGAGTATATTAAGCACATGGATTCTGGGACATTTACAAACAAAGCGGTACCATTCAAGCTCAAAAGCGCGCCGCACACATGCAGCCGTTTCGTTTGGAATGCGCTCGCATGGGCAGTGGGTTTATACACACGATGCCATGGGATGAACACTTGAAGCCCCTTGACCCTATTTTTGCAGCGGTTCGTATTGAGTTAAACTCAATGGTACACACCACTTACTCTCCATTTCTAGTCCCTGGCGCACTATTGACACCCTCCTTGCACCATCTTACGTACACTAGCTAGATCCCCGATAGCTGGCTGGTGCTCCAAGATGGATGGGTCTTTTAATCTTTTTTACCTTTCGTTTTTTCTTATTTTTCTTATTTTCTTTATTTTTTTTCTCTTTCTCTTTCCCTTTTCAGCTTATTCGCCTTTTTTTTCTGCATTGTCGTCACCATTTTGCTTTATACTTTCTTTTCTTTTTTTTCTTTTTCTTTTTTCTTTTTTATATCCTTTTTATTTTTTTATCTTCTTTTATCTTTTTTTATATTCATTTCTTTCTGTGGTTCTTTTAGACAGCGGCGTCGGCCTCCTTGAACCAGCACCACCCAGGGCACACCATGAGGAGGTGGCCCAATCAGCAAAACTCTTGGCAGTGCGTCTTAAAACGGATCCGTAGCGGCTATTGGCGTATATGGCCTTGTCCAAGCCCTGTTGTTGAAGCTCAGGGGTGTTTCCTCGCACAATGGGCTTCTCGGGCAGTTCACTAAGAGCTGCCACTGCCGTTTCAGGGCTGTGTTGGTTATCCTCGAATAGCTCCGTAATATTATCTCTGCTCAAGTAGAGTTGGAATGCATACATCTGACAAAGTGGCATAAGGGATCAACACACTCACTGCTCTCTTCAAGAACTGCACCTCAATCCAGGAGAGATTGTTCGTTTTTTACATTTCCTCCACTTTCCTTTCTTGTCCATCTTCGTATACAAGTCATGGCCCAGCTTGGTAGAGTGTTTGTGGTTTGCAAGTGGCTATAGTGCTAGAAAAAAAAGTGATGCAGAGCTTTCTTTAGTATAAATTACATGCTCTTTTATGAACTGCCTCTACAGATATAGCCGACCGTAAGAGAACTTCAATAATAGAAGGCAACCAACTTACATGAATGTATTATTGCACTCTGTTCGGTCGAGAGGACATTCTGGTCATTTGAGCAAGGAGGTGTTGACCAGTCGAAGAGGCATCATTACATCGAGACACCATTTGGTCGAGGAGCGAGGATCGCCATCCTCATCAGCCTCAATGCCTTTGACTGAATGCGAGGAATGGTCGATTTTGACTTTGTGAGCACGGGTTTGAACCAAGTCTGGGTTGTTGCTACTGCCTCATTCGGGAACCGCGCAAACACGGTAGATATACCGTCTAGGCATCCACTAGTGATACTCGATGCCTCAAAGCGGGAGTCTAGATTGCTCGTGAGCGCTTGAATCATCTGTAAGAGGAACGGGAGCAGCCACCTTGAAGGGATTTCATTAGATGCAAGGATCCAGACAGCCAAATGGCAAGTGCGTGCCTCATTTGTTGTGTTGACCAGATGCAGGATCCGCATCATCATGTGCTGGACCTCTCCTTGAGTGAACATGACAGCGATCGACTGGTTAGAAAGGAAGTGGCTTGTGCACTTGAGCGCTGCCTGGATCAGACTTGGGTGGTTGTTTGAATCCAAGTCCCTCACGAAATACTGAGCAAAAGCCCGCACCGACTCTTGCTGCAGAAGCTCCCCACGGCCCTCTTTGAGGTAAATACTCAATAACTGGTAGGCCGAAAAGCGCGACCGCGTGTCCCTGGCCCCCAATAGCGCCAAGGCTCTCTCCACAGAGACTGGGCCCTCTGGGTAGCTGTCACCTCTGCTTCTGACCATGTGAGGGTTCTTCACCTCTGGGTGGTCAAGCATACGCTCCCAGCTTAGGATGCGTACCGGAGCCGACGACTTGAGGATGCCTTTTAACTTGGCAGTCGACACTTCCCTTGGCTCTTGGAAAGTGAAGACGACGCGCTTTGCTGGAGTGGCTGGCTGCTCCAGTGCCACATCCTCGGCCTTCCTCTTCTTGCTTGTTGATGGACCTGACTCTGCTGCATTGTGGGAAGTGCTACAGGCCACTGGCAGCCGGCGACACTTAGAGGCGGCTGCTTGCTCAAGCGCCGTATTTTCCGCTTTCCTTTTCATATTAGTGGATGCGCTCATGGTGTAGAGGAGATATGTGTGTATGAAGAGGAACAAGGGGTCTGTTTGAAAAAAAGAGTGATGTTGAAGATGAAGAAGGCAAGAGAAAAGAAGTGAAATACGCTTAACAAAAGAAATAAAAAGAAGTGAGATAAGATAAGAAATAAATGAAGTGAGGTGCGTTGAAGGAAAGAAAGCGAAAGAAAAAGAAATATTGGTGGCAAGACTATGTCCTTATTCGGAATAGGTTTAAGGGGGTCAATGGCCAGTTTGTGTCCTATTGGCTGATTTTATTAACATGTCTTCAGACATTTGACTCTGCGTCGTTGCGCGAACGGAAATAAAGGAAGAAGCAGAAATGACGCAATGTTATATAAAAGTAATATTAAGATGATGTTTTCACCAATTACAGCCGAATAAATCGATCAACGACAAATGGAGAGAAGCATTTTAAGTGTCCGTGCACATCCCTTTGTATAAATGCATGGATGATGGAGTAACAAACATGATAGACAATGGTTTTTGCCAATCTCTTTCCCATCAACATAACCGCTCTTCCACTACTACACTGGCAGTCTTGTATGGCGATGTCATTGTTGCTGCTACCGCATCTATTGCTATTGTTGCTCCTTTTGGAAAGGAGAGCTCTTCTCTTTCTCTTTATGTATTTGCCTGATTGAAATAAGTTTAATTCGTTTTTGTAATGGGAAGAAGAGCTGGTTTTATTTACTAATAAAAGGTCTAACTTTCTTTGATAAGCACATCCTTAGAAAATTTCATAAGCTTATTCGGCGCTTAGGATAATGTTTTCAAGAATTAAAAAAAAAAAAAAAAAAAAAAAAAATCGGTTTGTAGATGCATTCAAACAGAGTGAAGTCCAATTTCCAATAATTTCACAGGATAAAAATGCTCAAAAGGGTATGGGCGGATTATAAGCGCGATTCATATGAATAAAAAAAAAAAAAAATTAAATAAAAAAAAAAAAAAAAAAAAAAAAGGAATATCGACGATGCAAACGAACCCATCTGTCACTCCTTCGATCTCGCTGAGCACGCTGTAACAGATTCGCCACTCGGGGACCTGGATATTTTTAAGTCAATAGGATTTATCGAGAGCTTTGAGTGGTGTGATGGTGAAGAGTCGTCTACAGATGAAGATGGAGATGGTGAGGCTGAGCTGCATAAAGAAAAGTGATGCGATCACCATGGCGTCCACAAGTCACACTTAGAGTATATCTGTTCTCGCGATTGTAAGCAGACACCGCAGACACCGACATATTATATTGTTGTCACTTCGAATCGCTCCTAGACATGGGAGTCAGGTCGAATCAGTTTTTTGCCCTTCTAATATTTGACATAAAATGAAGTGAACTCACTCTTAACCATTATACAATTGGAATAAACAGAACAAATAAGGTCATAAACAATGTACTACATGTATGCATTAAAAAGCGCCTCCTGGCTTTCATTACTATTCGTCCCGTAGGTTGCTTTATTTCATCTTGATGCTATTAGACTGATATAGGTTACTCTAAGTATATTTGTATAAATAATCTTTCGGATATGGAAGAGAGAGATTAAGGCGTAATGCCAGGGGCATTTGCTTTCATCTCTGTCATATATAAGTTATAGATGTGGGTGAAGCTGTGGGTGAAGCTGTAGGTGAGGCATATCTGTTTCACTGTCTAGAGATATTCTTCAATGTACATTGAAAACGTACTCTTAGCAGTGTTATAGAGCTGTCTCTTTGCGGCCATAGTGGCATCCGACAGTGAGACCAAGAACGGCAACATGTGGGCATTGTCAAACCTCGCCATGAGCACATGGTAACCGGACAAAACCATTGTGCAGGAAATTCCTCAAAAAAATCCGCGGGAAGTAGAGATTCGCGTAGATGAAGGGCATCGGTGGCTAAAAAGATGAGCGGTAATTAAGGCTATTGTCTTCAAAGGCCCAGAACCGTGGACGACCCCGATTCTGGGGCTGATGATAATGGATGTATTGACGGCGATCTCTGCAAGGATTGCTATTGTTGAAGCCGATGTTGGTGGCTGTGTATTGATCAAGTTTGCTTTATCCATCTGGAGACCTCTCAGGCCCAAGCAGCCATTTGCTCTATATTTTGTGAGGCGTCTTTTACAAATGTACCGTGGTATGTCTAAAGATGCTATCTCAAAACCCTGACACTGCTTTGTTAGAGGATTTAATCTAGTTTTTGAAATGACCAGTGTATGTTGCATCTAGAGTATCTTGATTCCAGCATTTGATATCGTTCTACCATGCCTCCACTCATTTGGAGTCGAAGAGCGAGCTGAGATGTGCCACTTCTGAAGGTGCCTGTAGGCTCGAGAGTAAGATGGCCTGATTGTATCGCGTCTTCTAACAATGAATAGAGCGGCGGTAAGAACAAAGTCCGATCCAGACACCCAGCTAGTCGAAGTGCTGTCTCCAATGTCATCTCTTTGATTGTGAAGTCTACTATGAGGGAAAAACCGTTGCCTTGCAACTGCTAGTGAAGAAGAGATATCCTTCTAAGGATGCAATTAAGCAAAGGAGGTGATATGAACACGAGGCTAGACTGATCTGATTGGTCATAATCAAACAAGTACAAAAGATAAATGATTGCAATTATGAATGTGCTTAATGTCTAATGAGGGCAGCATTCATCGAATCAGCATCAATAACTAAAAGAATCCACAGGCCATTCCTCTCTCTTCATTTTTTCTCTGAGCCCTGATTTTGCTTTCGTTATTCATTTCCCCATCATTTTTGACACTTTCTTTCATCAAGATGGCTATTAAAATCACGCGCTGGAGCATCGCTCTATGGATGCTGCTTAACATTTTACCATACACATTTGCCTCCGAACAAAAGTGCAAGTGTGCCACGGGGGAAATACCCAAAGAGAATAAGTTGACAAGTAAGGCTCTGGAAAATTGACAAAAGGATAACCTTTCTCTCCTCTTAACCCTTTCCTTTCTCTCCTTGAATAATAATAATAACATGTCGATATTAGGAAAGGCTGCCGCTATCGGAGTCGCAGCAGTCGCTGGTGCTGTTATAGCCCCTGTCATTGTCACTGGTGCCGTCGCTAGCATCGGTTTTAGCGCTGCAGGTATCACAGGTGGAAGCTTAGCTGCAGCATTTATGTCCACATATGGAGGTACAGTTACAACTGGCTCTACTTGTGCAGTTCTCCAATCCATTGGCGCAGGTGGACTAGGAGTAACTGGAACGGCTATTTCTGGTGTGGCAGGAGGTGCTCTAGCCGCAGGGACCACAGCGATAGTTGAAACTCTTTCTGAAGCCCGTGCAATAGGCGGAGCAAGACTCGATAAAGCTAAAGCCTCCTTATACAGAGCAGTTTCCATGGTTTCTAGGACTGAGGTAGCAAAAGCACCCCCAGCTGTTTCTGAGGCCAATGCAGTAGGAGCTACAGGTTTCGGCAAGGTCAAGGCCTTATTCAGAGCAGCTTTCGTGACTTCTAGGGTTGGTGTAGCACCCCCAGTAGCTTGTAAGACCGATACAGTAGGAGCTACAGGCTTTGGTAAGGTCAAGGCCCTATTCAAAGCAGCTTTCGTGACATCTAGGGCTGGTGTAGTAGCTTGTGAGACCAATGCAGTAGAAGTTACAGGTTTCAGTAAGGCCAAGGCCTTTTTCAGATCAGCAATAGGAAAGTAGTGATGTGCCATTTTCTAGGAAAAAAAAATATAAAAGTTTAGGCTAAGGAAACATGGCGAAGTCAATGCTCTTCAACTTAAAAGGCAAATAATAAATATCCTCACTAAAACATACAGCCGGATGGGAATCACTGTCAAACATGCTTGCGATAATTATCCGAAACGGTTCCTGATCATGCTGTGAAATTATACAAGAGCAATTTTGAAGATCAGCTTTGGCGAAGACATATTCCATATTTATCACAGGATGAACGAAATACGCTCAAACCACATTCCTTAGTGACGAGCGGCATAGTCAACCTTGTTTTAATAACTAATCCTAGTTTTTAGACGCGGTCAATGCTGTATTTCTCGATCTTGAGGGCGCATAGTCCGAAAAAGTACGTAGGTGAATTTGCCTGTTTAATTTTAATTGTGGAAATGGCAATGTTGGATAGGGGGCCTCACGTTACCATGACATGTGGTATCTGTAATAGCTGCAGACAGGCGCGTCCACCTGTTCCTTGCCTTAAATGTACCTTGCTCATTTTATATTGCGAGTAGACTGCACACTTAATGCAAACTTATATCGAATTCTTATTTGTGGAAACACTCGGATCAAATAAATATCCACAATCTCTGCACGTCTTGCTCTATCTCTACCGAGAGTATCAATCATATCCACAAATAAAAAAAGTACACAATAAGACTTTTGTTACAGCGTATGAAATCCCAGCTCTTCTGTCTAATCAAACAAGCGGTAAAAACAATCCAATAAAAACAATGACAACAAAAAAAGCTGTGGTTATTGTAATCTCAGCAACTGTTGATGCTGTTGCTAGTCCTTCGCTTGTTGTAATCGCCATCGATAGCGAGCTTGGTTCAGGCGGTATAATATCTGGTATACTAGCCACCAAACTAGAGAGGCCTTGTAACAGCGGCTTTGCTTGTGCTATTTCCAGTCCTTCAGGCAGCTGGGCTGGGGAAAATGTGAGCTATTGTTTCTAGGTTACTGGTAAACGCTCCGCCCTAGGGGTATGCAATAGGGAAAGGCGGCAAGATGAAGTCATTATACTACAAGCCGACACCTTAAAACAGAAGAAAAGAGGCGAAGGCGAAGAAAAAAAAACAGACACTTCGCCATCACCAAAAGCTTAATCCAGGTGCACAGACGTTGTGTACTGTGAATACATTAAGCTTAATGCATAGTCCTCGCCAAAAAGTCGTCGACTAATATATTTCTCACATTTATAAATTGAATAAAATACCCTACAGAAAAAAACCTTCACGTAAATTTCTGTTTTTTCAGATTTAATTCAAAAATATATTAGTCAACAACTTTTTGGCGAGGACTCTGGTTGGCTGTGTAGGATGATATATGACTGCATAGGGACAGATCGACTTTCGTGATCGTAACAACTCTGCCTGATATGCCACTTCCATCTGACGTATCTTCCTCATCGTATCGCATATGCATGCATACCCTACACCTTATGACTAATCATTGATCAAGATTCTAACACCCACCTGTCATCTACATTTCTAAGAATGGTCTATCAAAAAAAAAAAAAAAAAAAAAAAAAAAAAAGGTAGAATCCACTACCTTGGCGTCTTGTTGTACCTTAGCACCTAGATTGAGATTTAACTTTGCCAATGGCCTAGGACGTGGCTTAAGTTCAGGATATTTGATTTGTAAGGGCTCCTGAGCCTCTTGATATTGAACCTTAATTTTATTTATTTTATTGCTCTGCATTGATTATATTTTCCCCATCTTCTGGATCTCCAATATTAGTACAGGCCGGCTCTTATACATCATTTGAAGCATGTTGATCATTCAGCTGCTCAGTATCCATACGCCTTCTCTTGGTATGTCGCCTAAATTTTGATCGATTTTTGGAGCGTTTATAATTTATAGTATTTCGTTTGTCAGGCTATATTTATGTGAAATATAATTAGATAAAGATCAAATTAATATACGAAATAATGATCACTCTTGTCTTACTTCGGTTTCTCCATCTTTTCCTTCCTACCAATAGTTCATCAGGAAACATATAGTCATTGAGCGCCAAGCCGCCTTCATCCGCAAATCTATATCGTGCAATACGATCTTTATCGTATTCTTTAGCAATTTCCTCAATCCGGAGAGCAAAATCACCCTGTGAGGCCTGTAATAAAGAAAGTGGGAATACATATGGTAATTCATGTCTAGAACCAATTTCGCCAGTGGCAGTGCTGGACAAAGCCGACTCAAGCCTGTACCGATTATTTTGATCATTTTGCTCTGTTGATATAGCTGTCGCCACCGATGAGCCTTCGATATTGCTTGGTACAATAGGGGTGGCTCTTTGGCCAAAGTTCAAAGGTACTGCTTGCCTAGGCTGTATTGGCTGTGCACTTGTGTCGAATGCATTCAGTACTGTTGCGTCAAGATCTGCGGACTCCGCAGCATTCTTTTTTTGAATTTGCTCCGCAGCTCTAAAATTCATATGCGGTATAGAATCAATAGCACCTTCCATATATTTTCTTAGGAACTCGGGCAAGGGTTTAGCCACGAGTGGATTCATATCTGCGGGTTTGACGGCTCTCAGTTTGTCCATCACCATTTCACTTGCTCGGGCAGCAAGCGATACGGCCACCAGGTCTGCCTTTGACTGAAGATAGGAAGCAGATAGGCTATTAATATCCTTCAGTAATTTACCCACTGGTATCTACAGATAAAAACATACAGGAGAAAGAAAGAGAAGGGTCGTTTTTAGTTCAAAGAACAACGCCATTGCTGAGGAAATGATTGATTTGGAAAAAAAAGAATTTATAGAATATTAAAAGAAGAAAAAGAAGAAAAAGAAAAAGAGGAAAAAAGAAAAAGAATGATTACTATACCAGATTAGAAGAGTTCATGTTTTTTTCCAAACGGACCAATAACGCTTCATTACGAGCTCGCAGACCGCCTTCATCATTTTCCAACTCTTTGCTAAGCCTTTGTCTCTGGGCCGCATGAATGAAAGCGCCTCGGGAACGGAGCTTATGAATAACATAAATAAGATCGGTCGAATCATATTGAAATGCAAGTTCATAAAGGAGTTGAAGGTTTTCCCAAGTAGGTATAGTAATGCGAATTCCTGTTTTCTTGAAGAGGGCTGGTTGAGTAAAGTATAAGAAGTAGAGACAGTAAATAGCGCCAGCTTGTGCCACGAAAGTCTCCGTAGGAGAAAGAAAATCTGTTTTAATATAGAGCAATAAAAGAAGGGATGTGTAAGCACAGCATCCAATGAAAGGAAGATAGAAAACTCTTTGGAAATATGGACTCGCGTATTATAAGCTCCGATGTCTGTGGTCGTAATCAGCTTACCAAGCAAAATATCATAGAGAGCCTGCATGAATACATATCTTTCGTTTCTTTCAAGACAACCGGCATGGATCAAGTAAAATCTCTTCTCCTTCCAGATCTTTGAGAAGCTTGTAAAGTCTACACATTCATTCTATTTATGATTTCAAGGAGAGAATGAGAAAAAAAACCCCCCGTAGTGCTAATTTAATCAGTATATACTTTTGCATTTTTTTTCTTCCTTTCTTTCATATACACAGAAATAATGATTTTGTATAGTCTCACTGTATGTACTTTCTCATATTCGCGGACAATCATTTGAACGTCGTTATATAATGCTCGAGTACATAGCCCTATTCTTCCTAAAATTAGGCACTCGACTGTGCTTGGGGCTTTGTTATGATGACCTAAGAGCCATTGCTCCAAGGCATGTACAGAACGATGTGTATTTCCTGTTGTCGACGATGTTAATGAATTTAGGCCGTGCCCTTGACAGGCAGTAAGCGTAACATCAAATTCTGCTCTATTTCTTGACATCGTAAGATCATAATGAAAATGATGAATTGATTCAAAAAAGAAAAAAAAAAAAAAAAAAATGTAAGCGACTCAGCCGCATCAAACCAATCCTCCAAAAAAACAAAACTACAAAACGGGATAATTAAGGGGTTTATCACATGACTAGTTACGCAACACCTTTATCACCAATTTAATCATCGTAAAAATAAAATATATTGTCCTCGTTATGAACATTTATATTCTAAAAACATATAATTATTGAATTGATTTGGTCGGCTCAGAATTTTGAATAATCTTAAATGAGTTGGTGGCCAAAATCAGCCACCGATTCAATACTCAAATCCCATTCAATGTGATGCGCTTTTTCTGCGTCCAATTCAATCAATATATTTTTACAATATGAATTAAATATTACTTTTTTGGCGAAGAATAATGTACAGTGGAATCTCGATAATTGTACACTTTTGTAAATTTTCGAATTTGCTATATTTCTCGGTTATTGATTGGCTAAGAAGCCCACAATTCATGAAAAACTATTCTAAAAATCCTCTGCTGATTCCTCTACTCCAGTTGAGTGTGGGTTTTTTAGAATACTTTTTTTTAAAAGAGTAAGGCTCTTAGCCCACCAATGGCCTAGAAATATATCAAATTTGAAATTTGTACAAAAGTGTACAATTATCGAGATTCCACTGTATCAATTGATTAAATATTTTTATATATAAATATAATATATATTTATATGTACTCAACATTAATTCAATAAGAATAGCCGTTTGCTCATATTCTTGGCGAAGTAACTTTTGGGCAATACAATAAAAAGAGACAAAAAAGAGAAATCCTCACAGCTTCCAGTATATTCTAGCATTTTTTGACCCTTCAATGAACCGATCCCAGCGAAAGCATCCTTTGTATCCTGATGCCGACCATCAAGACTCTAACGATAAAGGAGCCATATCTCCACCCGGCAAGAAAATCCGCATAACAGATTATCCAAACGAAGTGCTAGTACAAATTATAGGCCATGTAGATGACCCCATAGCCTTGAATAATCTCACACAAACATGCAGTATATTCAGAGATTTGACTACTCCAAATGTCTGGAAAAACATCTTTGATCGAAAAAATGCATACTATTCAGCTGGCTCCACGGTCGATCATCTACGAGGGGCTAATAAGGCCTGGAGAATCGTTGGCTTGGACGACCATTTCCGCAATAAGCGCGACTGGGTAGATCCACAACAATCCTTTTCGATGTCTGGGCCGCCATGTCTAGTCATGAAGCCAAGCCGAGCCAAGCATATCCGGCCTCCACACATGCCTACACTCTCTTCTGATTTTACCATTGCTCCTGTATTCTCAGCATTGTCGAACGGCGGGCCTCCAGATTTATCAACAGATTCTACCGTTGCTCCTGTATCCTCACCATGGTCGAACGGCGGGCCTCCAGCTTCATCGACAGATTCTACTACTCAAACGACGATCGTAGCCTATCTACAAAGGAGGACTTTTAATGCTCATTCCGAGTATCAGCTCATCGTTTATGGCCTGCCAAACCATGAGACTCCTCTAGAAACCATTACCAGTGACTTCTGGGCCCATCCTGGGCTTGATCAAAACGCTGATCCTGAGGATCTCATTGTAGCCCAATTGATGGACATTAAGCATTATCCCCACCAACGAGATGACCAGGGGCGGATACGTATTGTGTTTGTGGTCGCTTTTGGCAACAGGAACCTTGCAGGCGTTGATGCCGGAGAAAGCGAGCTGAGTGTTGTTGAATCATGGCAGAAGATAAAGGTGAGAGCCATTTGCAACCCTTTATCTTTTTTTTTGTGGTTTTGCCCCTTTTTTAATAAATCTTTCCTTTTTTCTCCTTACATTAGGTTGCCGAAGCGTATATCTCCGACAAGCTTCCCGCTCCTATTTCTCGCAACAGCGAGGATACCACGGGCCCTCAACTTATTTCATTTCGCCCTCAACCCGCTCGTGGAAAGGTCGAGACCATTGTACCGCACAATACTCAACAGACAATTCGTGGAAGAATCATTAAATTGTACTCTGTGAAAGACCCTTTGACCGCCGAAATCCAAGACCACATCGCTTTGATTGGTATCCTGCAAGGCTCTCGGGCGCAGACCGTCGTTATGACCAGCCCCTTATTTGTTTCCAAGACGCCAAAACAGCTCTCTGCAAGAGATGGAACTAGTATGACACGAGATGAAACTATTACGCCAAAACAGCTCTCTGCAAGAGATGGAACTAGTATGACAAGAGATGAAACTATTATGACAACACCATCTACCGCTGCCCCAACCCAGTCCAAGTGGACGTGCCATGCCCTTGGCGGCGGCACTCGAGCGCTCAGCACTTCGTGTATGTCACTTTTCCCGCCGCAAAGCGATTTTGAGCATTTATTAGTCATTATGGACCAAGGTGGCAATGCCCAGATTTGGGACTGGCTTCGAAAGCTCAGAGTTGCAGTGCTGAAGGCACCAGAATCGGGCGCGGATACGGCGTCACAGGGACAAGAACGTGCAAGTGTTTCTAGAAACGAATTATTTTACTGGGGTGTCCAGATCAACTGGGCTATCGAGGAGCCGGTGTTTCAAGACCAAAAACCAAATTCACCCTTTCTGAGCCATAGAAAACATGGCGATTTTAGGATCGTTGCCTTAGCAGATGGCCAAGATAAGGAATGGGAGACATCTACGTGGTTCGTTAGCGAGAAGGAGCTTAGGAAACGTGAGGAAGTGTTGTCTAATCTCCAGGAGGGTGAGAAATTTGAATCTTGGGAGCTCAATGCTAAATATCGGTATTTCCAACAGTCTACTCTTGGGAGACGTTACATTCCAGGGGCATCTCCCGAGACAATTACATCCACATCCTCTCAGGTCCAAGAACTACTTTTTATAGCATATTTGATTTGGGATCATTATCGAATTTCTCTCACATCCAATAACGGGATCTGTATCTTTGATATGAACCAAGAATGTGGTAAAGCCGCCGCTACCTTCAGTAACTCTAGTGTACATACGCCGCTTCCTGAACCACCACAGTGGGTCACCTATCTAGATAACGCGGAAGAAGACCCATTGGTTGACATTGCAGCTGTTGGTGACGCGCTATTCTTGACGCGTAAGCATAGCCATATGATTTGGCCATTCCGGAGCGTTGTGGTTGAAGAATGAAAAAAGAAAAAAAAAAAAAAAAAAAAAAAAAAAAAAAAGAACACACACTTGAAACTACATCACCTTGCCTCCCACTCACGTCCCTGTCAAGGAATCAATGTATAGTTCAAAGGTTCCTACATTTCGACGAGGAAGCCGTGGCTCACAGGAATAGCTCTAGCAATATGCATTTTTATACAATTGCTACTCCTCTAGTTCACTATGGTTAAATAGAGCTTGATAATATTTAATGTATAATATGACAATTTTATTCTGAATAATTAGATTTGATATCCGATAATGTTATCCTTGTTACTGTCGCGTCGCCATTGTACGCACGTGCCACTTAGAAAAAGGCAGCAGCACAGCGTGAGTATAATTTCCCACGAAAAAATGAAGATCGAAGGAAAAAATAAAATAAAATAAAATACAAAAATTAAAATTAAAATTAAAATTAATATTTTTTTTACTTCGCCAAATTTGTGATCAATAAAAGCAGCAAGGTTTCCCCAACCGTTTCACCAATTTATAAAATGGCGTAGTAAAGAAATGACCCTGTTGGGTTCTGTACCGAAAATCACGTCATTTGCCCATTTGCCGCAAAAGCGAAGTTCTTCCTCCCTCGCCTATCTTTTTGTGTAGCTTAGAAACTATGATAGTCTCGTTTTCTATGTTATTATTATATTATACACCATCCTCACTTTCATCATCGTCACTACGCTCTGAAACAAACTTGGCGATAAAAGATCTAGAAATCCTTCCTTTCCGTCGCGGAATCATAAATCCATGGCCAAGGCTTTTAAGTGTGAGAATGGTTTCAGAGTGAGGCGAAGGCGAAGGTGAATTCGATGTGTATGCGTCATCCATCGTCAAAAGATGTGACCGAGGGCTTCTGCTTCTGCTTCGGCTTCTGCTACTACGGCCGCTGGCGCTGCTGTTACTGCTGCTGATACTACCTACACTACTGATACTAGAGCTGCTGCTATTGCTCCTTATGCCATTATCACAGCTGTGTCTGGTCGTGCTACTTCTACCTCGTCTTTCTAAATCATACCCCACCCTGTTATCATAATCGGTATTATTTTTGCTGCTGCTACTGCTGTCACTATGATTGTTCATTCTGTGTGCTTTGACATCCAAATTAGGCCCGCTATTGACGACCTGTGGGCCAATCAGTGAGTCGAGAATATCCTTGGCCACCTTAAGACCACTTAGATATGCACCGTGCGCTGTTGCTGGATATTGTCGACTTGTCGCTTCCCCTGCGAAATATAGCTGGCCATCCACAGGCTTCGCCAATAAGTCATAGTCCTCTCCTGTAGCTTCTCTAGCCACGTAGGAATAACTTCCTTGTGCATACTCATCTTCAGACCATCGTGTCACAATTGTTTCAACAGGTGTGGGTATCGGATTGATTTGTGGAAAAATCAATTGCAAAGTCTCCACAGCCTCTTTAACGAGTTCTCCCTTCGACATGAGCTCACTGTCATATGCAGATTGCCCAGCCATAAGCGTCACTATGTAAATAGGTTATACATGTTTGTCATTTTAATGCCGATGCTTTTTTTTTTTTTTTTTTTTTTTTTGCACATGTTTGTGTATTTCAAAAAGCGACAATCCACATCTTATAAGCAAAAGGCGCAACAACTAAAAACAAAAACAAAAACAAAATAAAAATAAAAATAGAGTAAGTGCAGCAAGGACTCTTCTTTTTACATACCCAGAATCGGCCGATCGGTTACATGAGAGCAATTCCAAAACATATAGAATTTACCTCGACTAGAACGGTATGTTTTTAAATCAAGTTTTTCAATTGATGTTCCTGATTTACCGCTTCCTGCATACCCAAATAACTCCACAGCGGGGTCCCAAAAAATGGTGTCAAACACCAAGACCAATTTATTTAACAGCCCAAATCCAAGACGCTGAATTGCCTGCTCCTTCCACCTTGGCAATGGCGGCGAAAATTTGATTTGCTGACTTTTCAAGACCCCTAGTGGTACGGTGATAACGGCAGCTGTACATTCGAATGAACTCCCATCGCGACATTGGACTCGAATCGCCTCACGATGATGTCGTTTAGATACCGACCGTGAAAGAGTCGAGACAGGGATAGCCTGACGTTTAACTGAAGAAACTGGCATGTCCAACCGCACATCCAGCCCTTGCGAAAGCGCTATCGGCACTTGACCGTAGCCCTGTACCACCATTGAGTGGGGGCCTGAGAATTCATAGTCATCATCCTGGTCCCAGTGCTGTAGTGATAGCTGATCGAGCGGTGCTGCGTTTGCAAACTTGAGGAAGAAAGGAAAAAGGAAGATAGAAGGGTGAGGGTGAATGGCCCATCTGCCTGTCTATCTACTTTTTTTTCTCCCCTTGGCTTATAAAGTTATATTTATTTACCTCTAAATTAGCATAATGCCAATGAATAAGCTCTAGTTCCTTGTTTGTCCATGAATGAAAGTCTGGATGGGTCTCCATAAAGAAATCCATTGAGTGTCCCAGTGTAGGCGATGACGTTGATTGAACCCGTCCTGGACCTTTCCCATCTTTCCTTCGCCTTGCTCGAAGATACTCTACTAACCTCTCGGGAAGGCGACTACTCTTGCGGAGCTTGCAGGCTTTATCTAATATCTGATTGAAGACAGTCTCGCACTGAACGTCCATCTCCTTTGACACGACCTCACCGCGATGATCAAATAGATCACATGTTTCGTTCACTAGATAATGAAGCGTTAAATCTGATAGTTGCTTGCGCACGATAATGTCCATTGGATTTCCATTCTCAAATCCAGTAATAATCTGTGCTCCTAGATCGACTGCATGCTTTGTTGGCCCTATCCTGGGTGCTATACTCGATAATGATGATGACGACGATAATGATGATAATGATGATAATGACGATGATGACGATGATGGTGAGAGCTTTGTTGTTGTTGTTGATGAGGCCTTGGTACCTAGTTCCATGGAGTGCATACGCCCGCCTATTCGTGATCTAGCTTCGAGCACCACCACCTTTGGTGGTAACTCTGGCGCAAAGCGCCATGCATAATACTTGAATAGATTTTCTAGCTGTCTCGCTACTGCAACGCCTGCCATACCACTACCAATGACTACAACTGTCTTTCTATTTTCTGATGGCAAAAGAGGCTGATCATATATGGAGTGTGACGGGTCCTCGCAGTTAGCAATGTCATTGGTACTACTATGGCCACCAGTATTAACACCATCGGAAGTTGCGAGATGCTCAAGGTCTGCTGTTCCATTGCTGGTATTGACGCTATTGCCTTCGTCCTGAAATGCACATGCTCCAAAGTTGATGTATCCAGATCGAAGTAGAAATTCGTATATATGGGCAATCAATCCATGATGTAGACCAAAGTCCTTGGTGGCCTCAAAGGCCTTATTCAGGGTGAGGGGCTCTTTGGGTGACAATCGCCAAAGCCAGAGCATCGTGTTACGAACTTTAAGATAATTCGCCAGATCCGATCTGTCTAGATGATATTGAAAGAGCTCAAACTCTTCAGCGCTCAGTGCATGTGCATGTAGTCTAGACGCATGTGCAGCGTTATTGAGCTCTTGTTGGTGTGTTCTCTCTTGAGAAGTCCTGTCTGAAAGTTGCGATCGAGATCTTGAAGAGATTGATGAATGGATTGATGAATTAGTCATCGTTCTACGTTTCCTTTGAATCCCACTACGTGTATTAGTCGTACTCCGTGTTGGTGGGAAACTAGAAGGGTTGAATCTTTCTACAGCTTTGCGTATGCGCTTGCCCAGAATAATGTTGTGTTGATGACTTGACCGGGTTCCTGTGTCGGATGGTCCATTCGATGTCAGTGAGGCTGTAGATCTGATCCATGCTGGTCCTAATGATGTAGACAGATGACGCAAAATTGTCTTCCGTCTTGTTCGTTGGTCTTCAGTTTTGGGGTGAGATTCGCTGTTCATTGGTTGGATAAATAGGAAGAGAATGAGGACAAAGGCGAGGGAAAGAAAGGATGAATGGATGACTAATTCAGAAATAAAGGAGTGAAAGGAGGGCAAATAAAGGACTTTGGTTTAAAGAGGGCACTAGGAGAACGTCTGCATTCCACAGAAACGCGTCATTTGTATCTGGCAATGCTTTTTTTTACAGATAACCGACTAAAAAAAAGAAAAGAAGAGAAAAAGAAACGGACCATCTACTACAGAGCCATGCAGTTATCACTGAGTGTTGTCCTGCCATTGTCAAACCTAATTACAATACCCATCATGGCTTACAAAGAAGAAGTCTGCGCTCTTTTTTTTTTATACATACAGTCGGCGAAGCAATTACTAAGCACGTGGATGCTGGAATAGAGAGATCAATTGTCAAACAGGGATCTCAATCCCTATCCTTCTCCCTATCTTTCTTCTCTCATCTTTTTTTTTTTTTTTTTTTTTATCCTTCTTCTTTTTGTTGTTCCATGACGAACAATTCTTTGTTCTTTTCCATCTGAAGAATTTATTATCAAAAAAAAAAAAAAAAAGTCTTCGCAGATACAGTCATTATGATGGAAGGAGTCTTGCAGCTCTTTAGCGCTTGGGGTGCCTTTGGCCTTATGGGAACTGTAAGGAATGCCATTTCAACCGACATGATCATCCTTGATCATCAATTATTCATTCATAACATTGCAATAGTTCCATTCAATGTTCATTATCCAATCTTACTCGCACGTTAAATTTTCCCTTCGACTTGTCGCGTCCCTGAGTCACAAAGTCGCGACCAGAAATAAAATGCTGTGCTGAGAGTTATGCTTATTCATATGCCGCACTTTTTTCCTTTTGGACGTAGGCTCTCCTAGGCTTTTCAATCTTCTTCACGTTATACTACTCGGATATACAGGATCGAGAGCCATTTGCTATGCTGGTCACAATCCTTGCCCTCACACTTTGTTTAAGCACTGTAGCTCTCTTCCCTGTCGACATCTTCCTAGTCTCCCGAGTTATGGATCCTTTGACTGGATTGAGAAATGAATGGGCGACTGATGAAGCAATCAACTATATTCAGATGTCGGTCAAGATTATCTACTATAGTATGAAGTTTCAATCTTTTTTTTTTTCCTTATTACCGTCCGCTCCCTTCCTTCCTTCCCATCATATTTTTTCTTCCGTTTGTTCTGATACAAGCAAAAAAAAAAAAAAAAAATTCATGCGATGTGATGTGATTGACGAAAGAGAGTTCTCCATCTCTCTTTTTCTTTTTGTCAGCTGGACTTTTCTCTAGCATATGCCATCTGCATCCACATGTATATTTCATGTCATCTGCCAATGAGATTAGAAAAGGGGTATTTTTATTTTCAAAACTAACCATTGCTATCCCCTCCTTTTTTTAAAAAAAGTTGCTTATGGTCTCATTGCTGGTTTCTGCTTTTTCTGGATCCCATTTGCTTATTTCTATTTTGAAGAATTAGCAGATGAAAGTCAGACGCTGATCAAACGCCTGTGGGTCTCTTTTCGATACACGATCTTTTTTGTCATCGTCGCATGTACGCTCTTATTGACAGGACTGCTGATGGGTCCTGATCGCCATGAAGGCATCGATCTCGACTTGTTACGGAAGTTGTTGACAGATCTCGGTATGACACGTGTTGCTGATGTTGTATTACATGAACACAAGAAACTATAATTTGTTATCATACTCAATAGCATTCTCTCTAAAAAAAAAATCTTAGACGGAGCGGGTGCAATGGCTTTCGTGACAGGTGTCCTTGCACTCGCTGGAATGATCATCTTGGTACTCTACACTGTAAGGTCTTATTACTCCCATGATCCTTAACGCCATTGGCTATGGACTGAGGCGATAATAAACGACAAAGTGGGCTTCGTCATTGACTTTTTTTTCGCTTATTGGTGCACATCTAGGCCCCAGGGCTGTCCCTTCTACCGCTCCATCTTCTTGCTGGGTCGAAAGCGCTTCCAAGTGCACATACCAGCGATTTTCATGTCCAATTGGCCGTTAACCGTGAACGCCAGCATGCAATCCTGAGACAATACAGTCCGCGTCGGCACTTTGGTGGTGGTGGTGGCGCTCATCAGGGAATGTCAGAGCGGGATCGACAGGCAATGAGCGAACTAGCACAGGAAGAATTGCTGTTGGAGCACCGAACCCGGCATATTCAACGGTTGAGGGATAGCTGTTTTCACCGTTGCCATTTCATTATAAGGCCTGTTCAGATCCTGTTAGGGCTGTTGGGAGCAGTCTTATCATTCCTTTTGATCGGATCCATTGCTTCGACAAGGCATGCGAACAACAAAGGAGCAAAAGGGGAAAAAAATGCTTGTCAGATGAATCTCTATGCTAAATCAACTTTTTTTTTTTTTTTTTAGTATTGGTCAAACCAACGACGACATCTGTGGTGCGCCATGTGGATATATTTTCAGCGCCAGGGATATGCCCAATCCACTCAACTTTGCGCTTCTAAAGCTATCACCGGTAAGTATTACTGCCTAGAGCATATCACGGCGGATATTCTTCATCCAAATAGAGCATTTTGAAGACAAGCCAAGGCAACTTCCTTAACTTAAAACCTGCTTATTATTTGTAACATAGTATTTCCCAGTTGATTATGTTATGATCGTGATGATTATTCTTTACATTTTCTGCACAACAGCCAAAGGCCTTATTTCTCTCGGCATTCGGATCCTCTGGGTAAACTTATACAAGTTTCGTCGACATGCCACGCCGCCACAGGGCTTGCTAGCTGGTACCATGCTACTGATGCTCAGCCTTGCTGGTCTCAGTTACTCATTAACCATGTCTGTCGCGCCTGAGTACTCCATGTTTGGCAGCCAAAAATATGTAAATGAAAGAATCGAGTCTTTTTTTTTTTTTTTATGATTAATACTATGTTTTTAACAATTAGGGACCACTTTTTTTTTCTATTTCTTCCTGAAGTGCAACTACACCATCCCTGATACGGGTGTCCGCGACTGCTCTTCTCAAGTCTCTCTCATTATTCCATGTCACATAGGTGCGCCTTCAGGATTATGTGTCCCGACTGTGACGTCTGTGACCATACTCAAGATCATATTGGCTACCCCTTCACTCGGTGTCGGCTTCTTTTATTTGCAATGGTCCTTTCTGGCAATGTTTTTGCTGGCCCTCATTTATAATTTGATCCGAGGATGTGTCAATGGATTTGGAGTCGATCCCTTGGATGAGGGCGAGGATGGTGAGGAGGATTTGGAAGATATGGAGACAAGACGCCTATTGCAAGGGAACTTTGAATCTGACGATGCAAGGCGTCGGACGAAACGGAGAGGACTCTTGGCAGTTGATAAGGATGACCAGACACCGAAGCGGCAGGGCTATCATGAAACAGATCAGGACCAAGGACAAGGACAAGGACAAGGACAAGGGCTATATAGACAGCAAGGGCAGTATGATCGCCAAGGTTATTCCCAAAATCCCAGAGCATACTATGGCACTGTGGGAGGCGCACGCAGATGATCCACTCGACAGGATCGTGTACATAGCTTTACTCTCTTTTTTTTTAACTTTTTTTTCAATATTTATATATATATATATATATATATAAAGGATAGTGATATTTGGAGATATCATAAAATATACAGAATGGTTTTGAATGGTAGATAAAGAAGTGATTATGGCATTATTTCTTCATGTATGTCATTAGATTGATGCGATCGCGGCGCTCCTTTTCCGCTTTACGACGATAGTCATCTAATGTCAAAGGTACGCGTCTATTTGACTATTGAACACAAAAAAAAAATTAGCATTTGTGTAGGGATCGCAAAAACTTTCCCCCGAACCCTAATTTCAGAAAAGGTTTTATTATTTTATACATACCTTCACAGTGGGCTTTGTACGGCTTTCTTCAATCTCTTGAAAAGTATGTGTAACAAGTTTTTTACTCGTCCCTACTGCACCCAAGGCTAGTCGATCGTGCTTGAGCCGTGTAGCGATAGGGTGGCGTGTCCCCTGGCCTTGAGCGCCTAGTCCTTTCTCGTAATCCCACCCACTGTTGACAAGCATCCTGAATCCTTTATTGGACTATAAATATTTTGGCACATGAGATTAGTCGGAGCAAGAAAGAGAGAAAGGGAAGAGAAAGAAGAAAGCAGATAAACAATATATCCTACATGTCCAAGTGTCAAGGTATCTAGCGGTTTGATAGGGGATTTTTCTGACATTAAATGCGCAATACCCCTGCGGTGTCTCTCAAGATCATCCTGCCGAACTTCAATCTGACATGACTCACAAAGGATATGACCTTTAGCAACCACCCTTGTGGATTCAGCGGGCTTTTCAATCAGCCAATTCCTACGGATGACTTCTGTATCTTCTGATGATGGATCCGATTCCGGCCGTTGTAGTTCATTTGATAGTGCCTGTAAATGTGGAGATGATGATACATCTGTACTATCGTCGGACGGTGATGCAGAAGTCTTTGAGGATATAATTGACTGCGGTAATGATTCTGAGAGCAATGATGTCTCTCTATTAGGTCCTGACGTTGTAATTAGTTCTGATACCGTTGATTTTTTTCTTTCTCGTTTTGTTTGCTGCTGACTCTTCATTTCTTTCTTCTTCACTTGCTTAGTCACCGTCCTGGGCATAGCTAGAACAGTTTTGTAAAACTAATAAAAATTGAGCATGTATAAAAAACAGATTATACTAATAGTGCTTTTAGGGTAAAACTTGCTGAAAAGGCTTTTTTTTAATACCTCTCTGACATTGCTAGCATCCTCATGTGTGCTGGTACGGAGGGTGGCTGCCTGGGCGTCCTTCATTGCAAGTGTCCCACTAGGGACGAATACAATATCTTTGTAGTATGTACCCGAGTCATCCTGACGCAGGATCCTGTTCTTATTACCTCTCTCAGTTGTTGCTTTGTAGCTCATTCTTTGCAAAGTCCTGTTGGATAAATGAAGGAATGGTAAATGTAAGGTGGCGCAAAGAGGATTGAGCTTCTTTGCTGTGGAAATCAAAAAGGACTGCTTTTTTATATATATTCCGCCCTTCGACGTACAAATGCAATCATAGATGAAAATCGTTTATCCACGCCCCACCCTCCGTCTGAGGGCGCATTGGAACGGCTTCCGTTTTAAACTGAGCACCATGTTTTGCGCCATGGCTAAGTGCTTGTCTTCATTGAATAGAGTCAAAACAGGGAAGAGTGGATGACTGAAACGAGAAATAGGTCGTAGCCCCATTGCACTTTTTAATGTATTAGTCCATGTCCTCGTAATTTTTTTTTTAATTCATTCCATTATCTAACTTTTGACATCTGGCTCTAATCTTAGCCAGTCCAGCCTCAGCCCCATTGTTAATCACGTTAAACATTCATTTGCACCGCATCTCCTTCTTCTCACTCTTTCTGGCTTTCTCACCTTCATTGAAAAGCGAGGCATGGCTACTGCTGCGACTGCAACAACGATGCCCTTGAGTCAACAACACACTCATTTTCAACAAAAACCAGTGTCTTCCTCTTCAGCCTCTCCATCTTCCTCTTCATTATACCGGCCTGCTACTTCAGACGCGCTTCTCGAGACTCTCGTCGATAGCCATAACCAGCTCAATCCTAATACTGAACACGCATCGGCGCCCTTGCCCCTCCACGTCCAGCAGCTGCCTACTCCAAGAACATCTATCTCCTCCGGTGCGTCCTCATCTCCAGAGAACCTTTCCCCCGACTTGTCTCTCTCTCAAACGCACACTTCTGTAACCACTCGCCAGAGCCAACAACAGGGTCAGTTTTACAATAATAGAGCCAATTCCCCATCATTGCAATTGGCGTCTGCAAAGCCCTCGTCTCCGTCTCTATCTTTATCTTCCTCTCACTCTGGTCAGAGCAATATTGCCTCACCCAATCAGCCCAGTCAACACAGCCCACTTCACCGATCATCGTTGGCTCAACAGCCACCTTACCCCACTACATCCCCTGGACAGAGCTCCAAGCTTAATCCGGCTTTTTACCGCCCGAACCCTTCGTCATTGTCCGCGGCCTCACCTCTTGGAGCAGGTGTAGGCTCCACAACCATAGCATCCAGTCTGTATACCTCCAGCAGCGGGGTAGGAGGAGCGTCTGTAGTTGCTACCCCCGCTGCAGGAGTCGGGAGCGGCACCTCATCCATCTCGACAGGAACATTCAATTCGACCACAATCGGTGGACGCACCACGCATCAGGCTCACCATCAACATGACCAATACGACACACAACTGCAGATGCAGCAAGAACAGCTCTTAGAGGATGATGAGCGAGAGCTGCAGAAAAAGAATGCTCGTTCAGCCATCAGCGGTGTATCAGGCTTCTTGCCTCCAGCCATCAACATGGGTCTGATCAAAGTCGTTCAGTCTGCTAAGGATGCTGTCAACAACTCTCCTCATTCACCTCATAGCAAGATGTCTTTGCCGACAAGTCGGCTACCAATCATTACAGAAGGACGGTCTACTACCAGTGCTTTTGCACCTCGCTCTCGCTTCAGATTCTCAACCGGCTCAATTGTACAAGCATTGAAGCTACCTTTGATCTGTTTATCATGGTACATGTCTTCGGCCGTGACCAACAACATTGGTAAACAGATCATGAACCAATTCCGGTACCCTGTAACGTTGACGTTTGTTCAGTTTTGGTTTGTATCGATCTTCTGTTTCATTGCTGGAGCAGGCTTCAAGATGACACGGATCCGAAGACCTACAAGAGCCATTTTGGAAATGACAGCGCCATTGGTTGGTTTCCAGGTGGTTGGACATGTGTTTTCAAGTGTAGCCATCAGTCGTGTTCCTTTGAGCGTTGTCCACACTGTCAAGGTAAACCAATCAATTTCACACTTCTTTTATTATCCTTGTTTCTCTTCATAACTTTTTGCAACATCAACAACTACTATGTCATTCAAGTTCCTCTTTATCTGACATCTGAAGAGTCAATATGGACTGAACAACAATTGCCATTATGCATTCTACGAGAACAAAAGAGGAGAAATGCGCGAGAGGAGTTAAGGAAATTCAGCAGAGCAGAGTTCCGTGGCGATGACAGATGGGGTTGCTTGTAAATGCAATATCGCACTGATTGTTGTTATTGGAATATGGCATTAAGCCTTTCCATCCAATCGAATCATCGGATTTGCCCATGGTGATATGTGATACGATGGTGTGGATTTTTTTCTCCTCGAACTGAACAACGACGTCAGGAGAGATATGGATCCCACAGGCCGCCATTTTATGCAATGGATGCTCTTCCTGCACCGCATTTCTATATTCTTTCTTTAGCAGTAGTAAAAAAAAAAAAGAAAAAGAAAAAGAAAAGCTCAATGCACACAAGTAGTTAACCCGAGTCTGTTTTTTATCTTGTTTACCCCTTTACTGCCTGTATTCAATCCTTAACTCTTCTTCGTAGGCCCTCACGCCATTATTTACAGTACTCTTCTATCGCGTTGTACTCGGCACAACATATAGTCGGCCAGTTTACCTTTCTCTTGTACCTTTGATGGCTGGAGTTATGTTAGCTTGTCGAATGTCGCTTGAGTTCAATAACGTAGTTGGTCTCGGCTGTGCTTTGGCATCAACCTTAGTATTTGTGATGCAGAATGTATTTACGAAAAAAATCTTGTCCAGTGGAAAGTCAAAACAACAGCAGCAACAGCAGCATCAAGAAGAGATGAGCATGCATGGGCTGGGTAACAAAGAACCCATCAACGGCTCTTCCAATGATCCTATTGATCAAGCCCTTGGCGCTGGCCCCAAGCTGGATAAGATCAACATTTTGTTTTATTCATCCACATTAGCAGCTGTCTGTATGATCCCAATGTGGCTCTATACTGAAGGATGGACACTCATCTTTTCAGAAGATCCATTGAAACACTCTTCTGGATCCACAGGCACATGGAGCGTGATCCTCTGGCTCCTATTTTTGAACGGCGTATCACACTTCTTCCAAAACTTTTTGGCATTTTCGGTTTTGGCACTCACATCTCCAGTCACATACTCAATTGCCTCGTTGGTGAAGCGTATTGTGGTGATCGTGGCCAGTATTATCTATTTCCATCAGACACTGGGCATTACTCAATGGACCGGAGTCTGCTTGACGTTCTGGGGACTATGGATGTATAATTCAGCCAAGAACGCAACCAAAGTTAACCCGGGAACAGGGATTTTGGCGACCACCAAAGTAGGCAGGAGAATGAGTCGTGGATTCGGAAAGGGAAGCACGTTGGATGAAGATACATCACTGTCCTCTTCTAGTTCTTCCATGGGTGGCAATAGGAACAGTAAAGCAGGGTTTTTGGTTTAAAAATAAAGAAGTAAAAAACAGGAAGATTAAAGAATAAAGAACAGTAAATGTCTTTTTTTATTACTATTGCCATTATTTGACCACTTCACTAAACATGAAATGTATTTGTACCAAGTACCGTAGCCAAAAGTTTAATACTGCCACCGAGGAGGGCCCATGCCTCTTGCCACGAATCGATGATCCTTTACTACAGTATTATTACTCCTTCCTTAAAAAGACCTCATTAAGCTCTTCCATCTGAATAGACTTGACACTTCCATCTTTAGATGTTGCGAACGTGAAAAGTTCACCGGCACGAATGCTTGAATAATGCAAAACACTAAAGAATGAGTCGTAATGGTAATGCTCTAGTTTCCCACTGTAGACTTGGTACTTGAAGAACAGTTCCTTGGATCTATCGTTGTTGTTGTTACTGCTAGTTTTCAGCTCAACAATGATATCTCCATAAACTGGATTATTGTAAACGCCTACAAAGCCTTCTAATGGACGAGTATAGGGCTTATCCTTGAGGCGTTCTGGAAGGTTTCCTTGAGCTATTTTTTTGTTATTTTCATAAGACTCTTTCGTAGAGTTAGTAACCACGTTAAACCAATCTTGAGTTCGGGGGAGATTCAGGAGCTCATCCGCAACGTAAAATGGCAGGTAGTGGGGTAGGATGGTCACATCGGCATTTGTAAGATGTGCAATCACTAGTTCCTGGCCTGGCATGAAAAACAGGTTTGAGATATAACCTGAAACGCTTCCACCTTTTTTTAATAAACAAATAAAGACGATCAGCAAACACTTCATAGACATACCATATTAGCATGTAGCTCAGATGATCAAACCTAGCAAAGTGATGAAATAGCAGAAATACTTGCACACGTACTGTGATAATAGATAGGGTTGCCTTTGTAGCTGTCTATTAGCCATCCCATTCCATATGTCAACGCAGGTCCAAACTCTGTAACTTGCTCTTTCGATTCTACAATGCTGTGAGCACTCAACAGCTCCTTGATGCTCTCTTTGTTCAAGAGCTGTTGGCCTTCCTGAGACTTGCCGCGACGCATTATGATATTTCCCCATCGGACCAGATCCAATACATTGGAATAAAGATCTCCTGCAGGAGCTGACGCACCAGCCATGCTTCCAGCTGGCAAAGATTTGAAACGTCCTTTTTGAGCATCTTCAAAAGACTCTGCCGCGTATCCCAATGCATAATTGCGTTCTTTTTTCCTCATGGACTTATCAGAGACACCAGTATGTGATAAACCTAAAGGCTTGAAGATCTTGGTTTCGACAAGGTCTACAAACGACATGTTTACTGCATTTGCAGCTGCCTCACCCGCCACTGTGTACATGGCATTGTTATAGTTGAGGAAAGGCTTCAATTTGGGGTCCACATTGGCATAGCGAAGGCGCTTTATCAGCTCCCTCGTTGGAACAGAGCTCCAGAACCAACCAAAGTCAACATTTGGCACGGGCTATTAAACAACATGAACATAAAAGGTTACATGAATATGGATGGAAAGCTCATTTGTAAGCCTTTTTTACTCCTTGTTCATTTTTTGTCCTTGTAACTGTTTTCTTACCGTGCGATGAGAGAGGAGGTCCTGAAGGTTTAACTGCGAGGTGAGCACAGGGTCCTTCAATTGGAACTCAGGCAAGTACTGGGATACAGGAGTCTTGTCCCAATCAATCTTCCCTTCTGCAACTAGCTCTCCGACAGCTGCAGCTGTGAATGCCTTAGAGAGGGAAGCAATTGGTGCCACTGTCTATTGTTTTCACCATAACAAGAATCAGAAAAAGAACATTAGAAAATGCACTACAATGAAGCTTGGCCCAATGCTGGCACACGATCTTTTTTTTTACCTCTGCAGTAAATTTATCATGGTCATTTCTCTTTCCAAATCCTTCAGCAAAGATGAGTTTGCCCTTGTGGAGGATAGCTACGCTCATGCCAGGGATGCCAGACATGACCCTGGCTTTTTCAAGCACTTCATGCAGGTTCGGAAGAGGGCGTGATTCTATTAAAGGATTAAACAGAGGTTAGCGCTTTATACGTGTCTTCGTGCCTTCCTTGCGAAATAATAGCATTGTTGCATCTAAATACAAATGATAGAGGCAGAAACAAAACAAAAAAAAAAAAAAAAAAAAGAGACATACCTGTGTCAGATGGTGAGAACCGTGCTCCGTGGATAACGGCAAGAGCCTGAAGGAACACAGGAAGAAAGACAAGAGCTTTCATGGTTATTCAGAGAGGACTGAGAGGAAAGAAAAGAAGAAGCAGTTGGATAAATGAGTAGATGCTGTCCGAGGGATAAGGGGAAAAGGAAAAAGAAGCAGAAGTAGAAGAATAAATACGAAAAAAAAAAAAAAAAAAAAAAAAAAAAAGCGCCTCAATGGAAGGTGGTTTACTGCGGTAGGACTTATTTTTTCAAATATCTTCGCCCACAATTCATAGGGATAGACGCCAATGTAGGCATGTAGAAAGATGTCTCGCCTCGTTACGCGCATACTTTTTAACTTCTTCTATTCCTGCAGACGCGCTTTGTGACTTGAGAGCATGCATCGAAACGGCTTTTTGATTTACTTTTTCCTTAGAGCCCATTTTATCGCGACTTATTCTTCTATCAATATCTTAACCTCGATGAAGCTTCCGATAAGGCGATTTTGCCTTCAGTAAGCAGCTTTGCTAGATTCGATTAACTATTGGCGCGTCAAGAGGCGTCGAAACATTATCTTTTGTCATGAACATTCTTTGACGAAAGTCACTCTTCCATGAGCTATTCTTTCCTTGCCTTGAAGCACTATTTTAAAATGCAAGTAGGTAAACGCATTCCCTTAATATCTAGCTTGCCTATCATAATAATAAAGAATTTATTAGATCCTGGTTATCTATATGGTAGTATGTAAAGGCTTCAAAATAGGGTGAGTGGCTCTATTACCGTGCCTATGCTATACCAAATATGGGTATGAACCAAGGTGCCATGACGGGGCTAAGCAAGACAGGCAGGATTGGGCCGAGCCAAACATTGTTACAAAAAAACTGAGCAAGTTGCTACGCCCTGCAATGTATAGAGAACAATATATGTATTCTTGTGTATATAAATACATATGCAACTCTATCAGTACTTAATCTTATCAACCCGAAGCATGCGTTCGAGGCTGCTTAGAAGTACTCGATATGAGGTTAATCTCTAATTAAAAAAACGGTGTCTGAAGGAGCATCTACCAAGGACTAATCCTGCCCATATACTCTTTTGAGTCCAGACACAACCAAACATTCATTTCACCTCTAGAGCCATTTCATTGGCAAGTGCAAAACCAGAGTTAGTTATTAAATCACCCTTACTTACAGCTCATAACTTAGATAGGCTTTCAAGTGATATCTTCTTTTTCCAAGAAATCTCATCGGGCCTGCCTGTTCCGCACTTTGATAGTACTGGAACAGAAAATAGCCATTGCATATAATCTCAGGTAAGAAAGCCGTGTCACGTTGCTAGCTTTGAGTACTGTAATAACTTGTGTGGACAACCTATGGCAAATACAGTTTCAAAGTGAGAATCTTTTTTTTTTTTTGTTTTGATACCGATACCTATTTTACTAAAACAACTGATGCTATAATGCACACAGCCGGAACATGCGCTCATTGGATGGCCTCAAACCTTTCATAGGATGCTGCTTTATTATTATTATTGTTATTATTAACACTATTCCTTCTTTAAAAAGACCTCGCTAAGGCCATCTAGCTCGACCTCAATAGATTTGACATTTCCATCATTTGCTGTGATGAACGTCAAAAGTTCACCGATACGGAAGCTTGAGTGCTGCAAGCCAGCAAAGAAAGAGTCATAATGATAATGTTCTAATTTCCCGCTGTAGACCTGGAACTTGAAGAACAGGTCCTTAGACTCGTTATTGTTGCTGTTGCTGCTGCTGTTGCTGTTAGTTTTTGATTCAATGACGATATCTCCAAAGACTGGATTAGTATAAACGCCTACAAAGTCATCGAATGGACGGGTGGGGAGCTTATTCCTGACGCGTTTAGGAAGGTCTCCTTGAGCCATTTTTCCTCTTCTTTCAAATGTGAGTTTTGTAGAATTGATGACCTTGTCATTAAGCCAGTCTTGAGTTCGGGGGAGATTGAAGAGTTCGTCCGCAATATAATAAGGTAATAAACTAGGCAGCTCGGCCAAATCGGTATTTGTAAGATGTGCAATTACTAGTTCCTGGCCTGGCATGAAAAACAGATTTGAGAAAAACCCTGCAACATGTCCGCCTATTTTGAAAAAAGAGAGAGAGAGACTATTCAGCGAGCGTGCATTTAGGGAAATCCAGATTATCGTTCACCATAGATAACCAAGCCTAACGAAATGAGGAAGTGAAATAAAAAATACTTTCGCACATACTATGATAATAGATTGGATTGCCCTTGTAGCTGTCTATTAACCATCCAAGCCCGTATACCAATGCGGGTCCAAACTCTGTAACCTGATCTTCCGACGCTACAATGCTATGAGCCCTCAACAGCTCCTTAGCGCTATCTTTGCTCAGGACCTGTTGCCCCTCTTGAGACTTGCCACGGCGCATTATGACATTTCCCCATCGGACCAGATCCAATACATTGGAATAAAGATCTCCTGCAGGGGCTGACACTCCGGCCATGCTATCGACCGGTAGAGACCTGAAGCGCCCTTTTTGAGCATCTTCAAATGATGTTGCCTCATATCCTAATGCATAATTGCGTTCCTTTTTCCTCATGGTCTTTTGTGAGACACCAGTATGTGATAAACCTAAAGGCTTGAAGATCTTGGTTTCGACAAGCTCTTCATACGAGATGTTTACTGCATTTGCAGCTGCCTCACCCGCAACTGTGTACATGACATTGTTATAGTTGAGGAAAGGCTTCAATTTGGGGTCCATGTCAACATAACGAAGGCGCTTGATAAGCTCTCTTGGGGGGACAGTACTCCAGAACCAACCGAGGTCTACGCTCGGTACAGGCTATTAAACAACATGAACATAAAAGGTTACATGAATATGGATGGAAAGCTCATTTGTAAGCCTTTTTTACTCCTTGTTCATTTTTTGTCCTTGTTCATTTTTTGTCCTTGTAACTGTTTTCTTACCGTGCGATGAGAGAGGAGGTCCTGAAGGTTTAACTGCGAGGTGAGCACAGGGTCCTTCAATTGGAACTCAGGCAAGTACTGGGATACAGGAGTCTTGTCCCAATCAATCTTCCCTTCTGCAACTAGCTCTCCGACAGCTGCAGCTGTGAATGCCTTAGAGAGGGAAGCAATTGGTGCCACTGTCTATTGTTTTCACCATAACAAGAATCAGAAAAAGAACATTAGAAAATGCACTACAATGAAGCTTGGCCCAATGCTGGCACACGATCTTTTTTTTTACCTCTGCAGTAAATTTATCATGGTCATTTCTCTTTCCAAATCCTTCAGCAAAGATGAGTTTGCCCTTGTGGAGGATGGCAACGCTCATTCCATAGATACCAGACTTGACTCTGGCTTCTTCTAATACCTCATGCAAGTTCGAAAGAGGACCATTATTTTCTTTGTGTGATTCTATAAAATATATATATAAATATCATTAGCAATTTTTCCCTGCCTTTATATTTCCCTTGTGAAATAAGGATAAGGACGATAAGATAGAAAAAAGCAAGAGACATAGAAAAAAATACATGCCTGTGTTAGAGAAAGAGAATTGTGCACCTTGGACTAGAGAAAGAGCCTGGAGGGCCACAGGAAGGAGGAAAAGGACTTTCATGATTATTCAGCTCAATTTATTCTGACAGGCTGCTGAGAATGATTGGATACTGTCTGAAGGATAAAGAAAGAAAGAAAGAGATAGGATGAGTAGAAAAAAGTCTCAACAGATGGCGATTTGCTGTGACTTTTATAATCACTTCATCCGCAGTTCGTGGGAATAAGCGTTGATGCATAATCGGCTTGGGAAGGTACACAAAAATGAGCCCTCCGCCGTACGTGACTTTTAGTCAGTCTTTTTTATCTTGAAGACGCGTTTCGTAAATTATTTGATCTTGGCATGTACTTTGTTTTGAAGCATCTAAAAAACCCCGACTTGTAGACTCACGAATGCCTTGAGAACGAGCCTTTTGCCAAAGTTGAGATTTTGATCGTCTCTGACTAGTTACCATTGATGCGTCATGAGGCGCCAAAACAGTGTCTTTGCATCAAAGCCATTATCATTATGTGCTATCCCTACTCTTGCCTTGAAGTAATATTTTAAAACGCAAACAGGTAAATGCGTTCCCTTCATCAGGAGCTTTTACCACTATAAAAAAATACTATAGTTGCTGGTTAATAACCAATATGCCAAGGGCATAGGCTTGATCTCTGTGCCCAAGGACCTTAGTTCGTACCCATTTAGGGTGTAGTTTTAAATATTGTTGTAACACAATGCCTTGTGTAGTTTTCTTGGCATAAAAGTGACATACTATATACATGTATATAATACGTAAACTAAACGTTATGATCCTCTCTTTTCACTCCGATGTCCTCTCAGTAGAACATTTCTTAATTGCCATTAAGATTTCAGCACATTAATCATGTAAAAAAAAAAAAAAAAAAATAGCTCTTATTTTTGACCTATCCATTCAGGCGCACAAGGCGAGTAGAAAAAAAAATTAAAGAGCAGAACTCTAAATCCAAACGCCCTGATCCAGATTTTGTAGTGTTAACCACCATGTTTCTGCAACAGATGAGCTCCTTCATTTTCCCAAGACACAACGTCGGTTCAATGATATGGCAGTTAATGCAGCCAAGTATAACATCTTTTTGAACGAAAAGCGAAAAGAGAAAAGAGTTGGCTCCTGAAATGTACTAGATAGAAAAAAGAAAAGAGGCACCTGCTGTCTAAATGTGCTGGTAACCACTCTCATCCTAATTGGGACAGTCCACTAACTATTGGAGACCAAAGGGAAGAGTGAAATGAAGTGAACAGGCGATAGTAAGGATAACTAACTATTCCATACCAAGCTATCTGTCTATGAGTATTCATTTGACTACTACCATAACGACTCGGTGTTAAAAATCTTGCTCACAATTGCTTGTGTCGAGTGCTTAATGCAGGAAAAAAAAAAAAAAAAAAAAAAAAAAAAAAAGAGCTTACGTGGATGACTTCACGTAATCCCATCCTGTTGATACTTCCCCGTTAATGCATCTCTTTTTTACACCAGTCTTTTACACCATAAGCAACCTAAACCTTCTTCATCATGGTCAACACTACTTCAGCTCTTATTGGCACCCTAGCAGGAGCTTTACTAGCACCTATTGTTGTGGTTAAAGCTGTAGGCGTGCTCGGCTTTAGTACTACAGGCATCATATCAGGAAGTATTGCCGCTTATATCATGTCAATTTATGGAGGAACTGTCACAGCAGGCTCTGTGTGTGCTGTAATGCAATCTATTGGAGCCGGGGGGCTCGGAATCATTGGAGCCATTGTATCATCTGCCATTGGTGGAACCGTTGGAGGCGTCGTTGGAGCTGCTACTTCGGTTGATGCAGGCAACTATGGAGATTGTTCGAACGACAGCAACTGAATTAAAAAAAAAAAAAAAAAAAAAAAAAAGGCTTGGACAAGTGATAACAAGGCAGGATGCTCTCGTGTACAATATACACCATCAAGAATCACAAGTGGAATCAGCAAATATCTTTCGCTTTTCTGAAATAAATCAAACTTTCGATTTTTAAATTTTGTATTTTGGGGCTGTATATGAGCCAAATAATACACGGCTTCTTTTAACAAGGTCATTTGTCAATATATACATGAAAAATATACTTAGGACTGTGTCCTTGTTGGTAAGCAATGATCTCCTGAGAACAATCTTGAGAAGGCATGAAACAAAGTTGTAATGTTATCAGCAATTATTTATTTTGGATTATGACCATTACCACTCCTCTTTCTTTTTCGTCCATCCTACCGTCAACAAATGTGGTACCACTACCGGATCAAGTGAGAAAAGACTTTGACATCATATATTTACTGCAAACCATATTCAAACAATAAACTTTCAAATTGTGGTGGTCCCATCTCTATCACCCATTGACTAATCAAACGCCAACATCAGCCTAATGTTGGCAGTTCCTACTCATAGAAATGGATTATAGACCTTCTTATCGCTATGTGCCCTTTCGCAAATATCTTCATATCCTCGATGCTGACTCAAGCTCCAGAGGGCTGTTACTGTACTTGCTTCACCTTTTGCCTATTTATGGGGACGAATCTGATAGAAGGACCTTCTCTCCTGATGCTAATTTTCCCGGTCATCTTTGCCATTGCTGTCTGATTTTGAACCCTCCTATAGCCTTGCTTAATGAGTCAACATATAGGAAAATGGCGATTAGTACTCTAATCAGAATAGAATAAAGGTAGCAATCAATAAGGATGCGAACAGAAACAACGAAATATCATACCCCAACTTTTAGTAATATAGACATGCTACCCCGTCAAGAAGCTCCTCAATCCTATCGGCATGCTGGGATTTCAATCATCTTCTGACCTAGTGCTTCAGCTCTATAAATGCCTGCCTCGATTTTCTTCAATTTATAAACCAGGGCATGCGGGTAAACTATATCCAAAATCATTGGGGAGGGTCTGGGAAAGCTGCAATCCGTATATGACGCCAGGAGCAATGCGTCGTGAGCCGCATTCTTGCCTTTGAATTTGAAATGACTGTAGAAAGCGGAGGTGCACTCATATAAATCCTTGTAATAAATCCTTGTAATAATAAATCCTTGCAATAAATCCTTGTAAGAGCCAGTCTTGATCAGGAAATTCGACGTTGTCGTGAAGATGGATTATGGCCAAGTGAGCACATGAAGCGCGATATAAAAAACGTGATAACCACCATGCCAAAATCACATGATGTGACTGATGCGAAATGCTTTTCTGCCGTTCGAGGGGGCGGAAATGGTTGGCTATTATGATAATTGGATAGACGAAAGTTGTGTAACACAACCATCGAAGAGAAAGAGAGGTTGAAAGCGCCAATGTGGGTTCTGATTTAAAGGCTGTAGCGCCATGTTTGATTGCCACTTCGGTATTTTGCACAGTAGAAGAATTAATTGAGGTGAAAGAAATTATGTGGAAATATTGGACAGCTTAAATACTTTTCTCTATTCTGCATCATATCACGCCTCTAACGTTGTCTACGCGATTCTCTCTATTCGATACTAAACGAAGCTCCATATAAAACGGCTCGTAGATCCGTTCCCATCGCGCCCTGCTCCTTCTGGCCAGGGAAGGCTTTACAGTGCGACATTGATGGTTTGCAGTACTTTCTGATTTTGTGAAGGCCCTGTCTCCTTGCGCTTGAATTCCAATCGAGTTAAGTCGCTGACCAGCAGGATGCTATCCAAGGCCAAAGTACTTTTTTGTTCTTACTCTCCTCTTTGAAACAACCATTAGGATTACCAGGAGCCATCAATCTAGGCAGAGTTGCTGTGTTGTTATTTTTCCACCATTTTGTTTATAATAACCTTTATGCTAATATTACATGACTCTAATACATAGATAGTCGTCCCATAGCGTGGAGCAAGTGAAGAGTCTTTTCTCATTACTTTTGGAGTGAGGACTCGTTGCTGACTAGATTCCTTCAGTTTTCCCGAAAAAACCAGCAATGGCATTGGCGCTGAATATATAAGCAAAAAAAAAAGGCCGAAATAGCATCTAGCAGGCTGAAAGTATACAAATATATAAAAGAAAAAAGTATCCACTCCACTCTAACAGTTGAGACATGAACATTTGGTACAGAAGTACCTTCTGTAAAATGCAAAATTGACTTGACTTCCACATAATTTTGTTTATTATTATTATTTTTTTCTTAATCTTTTATTCGTCCTTCGTTTCCTCTTCTCCCGGTTCCTGGCCATCTTCATCCGCTCCTCCTGTTGCTCCTACTGCTGCGACCCCCGCGGCGACGCTACCTATCGCCAATGCAGAGGCAATTGCTTGGGCTGCCCCCAGCCCAGCTGCCCCAATGGACTGCAAGATTGCACAAGTAGAACCCGCTGTCACGAACCCCCCATACGACGCCATAATTTCAGCGGCGAGCGTCCCGGACGCTATACCACCTGCGCCGAAGCCGATGCCGGTGATTATTGCAACAGCGAGAGGAGGGCCAGCAACAGCGCCGAGGGTTGCAGCAGTTGCGATAATCGCGGCCTTTTTTCCGATCATTTTTTCTTAAGTCGGTGTTGGTGTATTTTCTGTTGGTTGTATATTATTTGTGTTTAAACAAGTTGCAAGTTAAAGCCAAGCCTGATGTTCCGTGCTTTTATATTGATGCTCTTAAGTATTCCTAAAAAGAAGAACGACTGGTGTTTCGCTGCTGTGGAGAAGGACGATGCAGAACATGTGGGTACTTATCCAAATTTTCACAAATAAGAGTCCTTGCATTTATAAATCAAGGCGAAATGTGATTTCAGACCAGTCCCAAAGGAAAATGAATTCAATCCTTGTCACCGGATCTGTCTGGGTTTGCTATTTAGTAAACATGTGGTAAAGAAGGGCTACTGTATTTGATTTCATACAAGAAAGCCCTACCAGGTTTAAAAGCCTCATATCAGCGCCATCATAACTAGCTGAACAACTTGCTGTACATGTACAATCGAATCTGGTCTTTGGAGACACTTTCTTAAGCAAACTGTCTCTAAATTTTATTAAATTGATACATATTCGGAATGCACGCCACTCCTTACGCTTTTTCTGCATCCTCTTAATATCTCTGATATGACTATCATATGACTAGGGAATATATGTGGCAGCATCTATTAATCTTTAGAATACAGCAATTGAGGATAAAATTTAAAGGCAGTTTGCTTAAGGAAGTACCTCCAAAAAAGCAGACTCGACTGTACTACAAATGGCGCCTATAAACAAAAACAAAAAAATTCTACTAGGGCATTTTCTCGAGGAGATGAGGTATGGGATCTAGATTATGAGATTAACCAGTGTCTCGACAGGGTAAAGACAAATATACTGGGTCTCCAGAGCCCTTTACCAGGCCAGTGCCTTGGTTATGCCTTTGGATCCCTTGATCCATTGAAGTCTTTCGAGGCTTGGGGAAAAAAAAAAAAAAAAAAAAAAAAAAAGCATAATAACCAGACGAAGCTTAAGAAATAAGAAGGCTTGATTTTGACAATTTAGCCCTTAGATGGACGCCACCAAAAGAAAGTACGTGACTGTTATTCGCGGGTCAGGACAGATACACGTTTGTATTATTGTATATTTTCCCTGGCTCCTCCATTGACCAACCATCACAATGGCTGAACAAGACACTATCACTGTATCGGAATACATTGCCGAACAAGAACGGCTGGAGAAGGTAACATAAAGAATACAAATAAAATAAAATAATAATAATAATAATAATAATAAAAAAAGCATCGTCTAATTGAACAAAACATTGCTCCTTCATGTTGCCAATTCTACATCTAGGAAGCTAGAGAGCTGTTTCCCAAAAAGTTTGACATCGTAAGCAGGATTGGATAGTTCAACTTGACTTCAGGAGATCAACTGATGTCGCCGCTGCAGCTAAGGCTAGCATCGAACTGACAGGTCTATTTCCTTATTTGCCTTTTAACAGTGTTCAAACAGTATGGGATACATTCGCCAACCGGTTTACTCCTGTTTGACTTGCAACCCCAATTCAGGCGAGGAGGCTGGGTTTTGTTACTCTTGTAGCATTTCTTGCCACGGAAACCACAACCTTGTCGAACTTTTCACTAAGAGAGGTTTTCGGTGCGATTGTGGAACAGAAAAGTTTAAGACGATAAAATGCAAACTTGATCCTAAACCTGCTGAATCCATCAACGAACTGAACAAGTATAATCATAACTATTTAGGCAAATTCTGCTGGTATGTATCTACGTTTATCGCAGTGGCCCATTGATGTTCTCCATGAATAGCAACTTTTCCTTAAATTACCGCCATCTGACTATTTATGAATTTTTCTTGGTATTAGGTGCGACATTCAATATGACCCTTTGAAAGAAGAGAGTACAATGCTACAATGCGTTGTTTGCGAGGACTGGTTCCATGATACTTGTATTGGCATTGTAAGCATTGCTGGATCTATTAGAAAGTGCAAGATGGTTGAAGACATAATGTGCTCATCCTACCCCTTTTCCAATTCCATTTAGACTCCACACAACGACGATTTTGATGACTTCATCTGCAGAACATGTACAAGGGCCCATCCGTTTCTTCGAAGATATGCGCAGCATCCTCTCTTTATGATTGGCTTATCCGAAAAAAATGGTGACCCAAAATCCGTCACTATGATCGATTGCTCAAAGAACTCAGGGGACGCAAAGGGCAAGGCGACTGATAAAAATGGTGGTCAGTCCACGAAGGCAGCGGAAGATGAAATCATTTCCATAACAGATGAGGATACAACTAACAAAATCCCCGAGACCAACATCAACACAACCATAGTTTCCGCTATTACCACAACGACCACACCTGCTACTTCCACTACTACAACCACCTTGACGGAAATTATTGAATCAGGAACTAAAGGATCAAATGTTGTTAACCATGCCAAGCGCCCGCACGATACAACCCAGGAAGAGAATACAAAAAATGGCAAGGATACAGAAGAAACCGAATTGAGCCAGAACAAAAGACAAAAGTTGGACACAGAGGCATGCAAGCTTCATCAGCAACCTTCGGATGCATATCCGGACCAGGAAATGAACTTATTTGCAACCGAAGGATGGCGCGATATCCTCTGTCAGTGCACTGCATGCATGACGCTCTATACAAAGGAGGATGTGCCCTTTATTTTAGGCGAGGAGGCAATCTATGAGGACGAAGATGATGAAGAAGCAGATACATCGATGCTCGAGAGTGGCATGAAGAAATTGAGCGAGATGGATCGTGTGCAGGTGATGGATGGAATGTTGGCATATCGCAAGATGCGAGATGAGATTCGAAACTTTTTGGCACCATTTTCTGAGCAAGGCAAAGTTGTCACTGCGGACGATATCCAAGCTTTTTTCACGGTAAGCACCCAACTGGTTATGCACATGTGTTGCTATATCTACTTTTTGTTCCTCATTGATGGTCAATTGACAGTACGGCGCTTCTATCTTCGTTTTCTATAAAAAAAATCAAGGCAAAGATGGAGCAGCGTGCAGCATCCGACGATAAACCCAATACTTTTTAATCCCCCCTTTAATATAATATACAACTCTTCTGCGTGTGAACCAGACCTCCTTAGTTCTATACTCGTTGATAATTTGAATAAAGTGCGTAATTTACAATGACATGATAATATTTAATGATATTAACTAAATCTCTTCTTTCCGGAGAGTCTGCTCTGCCAACATTTGTCGCTCCAGCTCTTGTTGAGCCGCAAGCTCGGTCACATTATCGTCTTGACGCCTCTTCTTTGCCATACGCTCTTCGTCCTTGACAATACCCATACGCATAGTCTTAAACCAAAAAAAATAAAAAAAAGGACAGCCATTGCAGATCAGTAGCTAGTTTACCTCTTCAACTCAGCTCAGGAGACAAGTTGTTATTGTTACCTCCTTTTCGGACATTTGCTGATAATGCACGCCCCAAACAGTGGCAATAGTGCAAAGGGTAGTGATCCCCAAAGTCATTTTTGCTTTCGTTGACATGGTGAGAATGTATTATTTTTTGTTATTGCAAAGCGATTCTAGAATTGGTGTGGAAAATGAAAAGTGCAACTTTTTAACATGCAATGAGATCTAGACGATCGGAAAATGGGAATGTGACTGCCCATGCCTGTACAGAAATCACAATAACCGTTGGCGCTCATGCTCTGGGCTGTATTTTGCAAACGCACTCTTCTCGACTCTAAGGGGAATGTTCTTGCCGATCAGATAAATCCTATTCATTGCTTTGGACACTATCTCATCTCTTGAATGTTGGTTTAATTGGTGTGAGAACACAGTTCCGGTCATGAACGCGTCAAAGTAGGCGGAGTGGAAATTTTCGCTCGGTTGTACCATATTATCCGGTATTCTCGTAGATGAACTGGAAACTGTAGAAACTGTAGATGTGGTGGCAGTCGGCTCAACTTCCGCGGTGCTAGATACAGCCTCTGTTGCTCCGATAACTGATGCTTCTGCTGTTTTGGGAGAAGTAGTCAAGGAAACATCAGAAACTTCATTCTCAACGGTTTCCTGATTGGTCCCTGAGTTGTTTGATCCCTCTGTTTGTATCTTTCTTCTTTTGGGGGTTGACCTCTCTTCTTCTGCATCCAAGATCATATCCAGATCATGCGATTTGCCACATCGCATATTTTTCTTGCATACACCATGCATCTACATATATCCCAAAGATTTTATTTATTTTTTTGAGAGGAAGAGAAAGAGGTGATTAGAATGAATTACAATGATGATAAACATTACATCAGAGTATAAAGACATGGTGATGGGGCTGCTTACAGCGTAATCTTCACAATAACCGACTTGGGAACTGTCGTGTTCTGTCTTCGGACTAATCACTTTAACAGGCAAAAGAAAGAGTCTAGGCTGAACATCAAATGACGAATACACGCGCTCAGCCGAAGATCCGCGCGCTTCCCTGGCTCGATTATTGTCCCGCTCATACTTGCGGAAGAGAAATGCTAGAAAGCTCGCACGCTCTCTAGTGATGTAGTCCGAGATGTATTTTGTATCGAAAAGCCCTCCAGGGAACATATCTGAAAGATCCGCCACGAACGTTGACATCTTTGGTGGTAATTCGGCATAAAAGCTAAGCTCAATGATGAAAAAAAAAAAAAAAAAAAAAAAAAGATCAACACTAGGGCTGAAGCTTTCGGTAAACCATACCATAGTCTGTAACCATCCATATACCTTTGATATAGAAAGATTAGATCTAAGAACCCATTGTGAACTACAACTGGCACTCGCTGATTCATGATACGTTTAAAAATAGATCTCATGATCCCATTGGGGTTTCCACGACCGCCATCATTTGTCTAGATCACAGAAAAAATGAGTTGAATATCATGCAGGCATATATCTTCGAGTCTGGCAATACTTTTCGGTCTCCTGCTTACCAATCGATTACCACCTGTATATGGAATTCCTTCAATGATCCACTGATTCAAATCCAACCCACTTTCAGCTAAGAAGAGCATACTCTTAGGGCTCACTGCATAGTCACTCTACTTAACAATACACATAAAAAAAACATTAATATTTGATGAAATAACAAAGGGAAGCCACCTGTCCTAATCATTGAACTTTATGCCTACCTCACTCAGCATGGAAAAATTAAAGTTGTGAACATGGTATCTACATTCCAAGTCTGGGCTTCCGATACCTGCATCTGTAGCTATTTCGACTGTGCCCTCCGTGGTTGATGGTTGGGTAGCTTTTGCTTGGACGAAGATAGAAAGGCCTACCGCGACCAGGGCATGACTCTTTGCCAGCGCACAAAGATGCTGATATCGCTCTTGGATGTCTTTTGCCCGTGTATTGGCAGCCTTTGGACCTAATCCTGTGAACTCTGCGTCAAGTGCGATGAATGTCGCTTGTTTTAGCAATAAAACAATCATGGGCTGCAGGTGTGCCAGGTTATGTTTGGTCACCTGGTTATAAGTTGGTAATGGCAGCGGTGTGACAGGCATGCTAAGATTCTAATTGATCTAAATGTTTGCCCGTTGGGTAACAAAAACAAGAATGGGAATTGATTTTTTTTAAAAAAAAAAAAAAAAGTGCCGCGCCTCCCTGACTGCTAAGCATTCAAAAAAGGAAGATGCATAGAACCATTGCCAAACAGTATTAATGACTTTTATGATCACGAGATCACCTGCTAATATATTGCGGCTTCAACTTTCATTCTCCATTTTATTCATTTCTTCATTTCTTCATTCTGAACTTTTTCCAACTTAATACAAATACAAACCTAAGCTCACTGTGTTATTCATCCAGCTCGATGGAAGAACGAAGCGCAACAACAGAAGCTGTGCAATGCGGCATATGTCATTTACAGGGTGCAACCTCATACACATGCAGGCAATGTGTTTGTTCATAGTATGTACGAATTACCCACACACCTCCACAGCCTTACCATTCCTGACAGTTTTCAATTATTTTTTTTTTTGAGCGGTAAAGAATAAGATATTAACAGAGGTCGTGGACACTACTCGTAGCTTGCAGAAACACTGGGAACAACTAAAAGTGATCGCCGCAGAGAGAGATCAACTCGCAGCACAGGCGAACCAGGTGCTTAGCCCAAAAATCAAACGATATCAAATGTGCCTAGCACAGAGAGCAATGGCAGCTGAGCATGCAGCAGCCATTGCTGAAGAGCGAAGGCAACTACTACAGGGATTGGAACAAGGTATTGGAAGACATTAAAGCCAAATCCGCACACAATTGAGCTCGATCTAGTGTTTTGGCACCCCATGAAGGTAATGAACCCACTTTTTTTTTCCCTCTTTTGGATACATAGACCGGCAAAGATTGCAGCGGTTAAGGACAACCTTGAATCAGCGAAAAGAGTTACTCAAGCTCTCTGTAGCAAGGCTACAGGTTACCAAGATGAATGGACCGCCAGCAATTGCGAGCTCAGTTTCCCACATTAAGGAACACTGGGCCTCAGTTCATCAAAAGCTAGTTCACTCGCGGAGAGTTCTTGTAGCAGAACTCGTAACATTGTTTGACCTCAAATGCGTTCCCGAGCGAAAAAGGGATTCAGCAAACTATGATCTTAATCAGAGCACACTTTCGACTACAACAACTCTTGTTGGAACATCCTCAACATCGTCAAATTCAAAATCTGGATCACGAAAAACAAAGCTACGCGTACGAGACTATTTGGAGGAAGACTCTTGGAATGAATACCTTATTGTCGGTCGCCCGCTACCTACAGGATACTTTGAAAGTATGCACTTCAAAATTTTGGATAGTTAAGTGTTCTATGCGCGCTTCTTAGTCCTTTGTTGACATTTGACGCCTCTGCGCTTAATAGATTACGACCGTGATGCAATCAACACAACCATTGAGAATGTCATTCATATGATGACACTGGTAACATGTTATTTGGGGATCAAATTGCCATATGACACATTTACTAGGCAGTCTCGATACTACATCCAGGCCGCAACAACGGCAGGATCCAAGCGAACACCGCTTTTCTTATCAGAAAATAACCTTATGCTTTTTGCTGCTGGATTGGGCTATCTCAACTACAATATTGCTTACCTTTGTCACTCCCAAGGCATCCACATTCCACTAGAAAATGTCGCCAACACTCTTGAAAACCTGCTTGCCTGCTGCGAAGCGCCCAATCTGGGAAGATATACCAATTACGCATCTTTGATGGCGGCACGCTCTTCAACAGTAACAGAGACAGAAAGCATGGACGGAACTTCGCCTTCCTCACCGATAAGCGATGATCATGGTTTTGAGAATATTTCCTCGGATTTAAAATCAAGTTCGAAAAAGCACTCCGAGTGGAACGAGCATCTTTTATGGTGTCCTGGCCAGGAGCCTTTTAATTTGAACGTTCATGAACTAATTGCAATGATTCGCTCACGCCGGGAGGAAGAGTCGCCAGTTTGGGGTGGGCTTCACCTCCAAGATGCAGTGGCGGCAAATATGGAGACGCTTGAGGATGACTATTTTATGCATGAAGACCAAGAAGAGGAAGACGGGATGTATGCACTTGAGGATGCCAATAATGTGAATCCTATGAGTGAGGTGTCTGCAGGGATAGAATCTGGACCTGGATCCACAACCTCTACTGCAAGCCTCACTTCCACCGTGACGCCAATACCCTCCAATGAATCATCCTCCACTATCAACCCCCATCGTCAACGGCGGCCAGCACACCCATCCAGAGACCGCCGACAATCGCATCCAGATTATGACAAGTCAAATTCACTCCAGTCAAGGAGTTCAGATCCATCTATACCTACTAATCGGAGTCAAACCCAGCCTGAAAACTGGACATTTCTCGATATCGATACATATCGGGTTCCCAGCTCTGTGAACAAAGGCTCCGGTCTGCTACCTAGCCGATGGCCCGATATGGGGATCCTCAGGAAAGTTGGGAGCGCAGTGGGCGGTGCTGCTGTAGGCCTTGTCAACGGTGCCTCTAATGTGGCTGGTGCTACAGTGGCTGGTAAGGGCTCGCGTATTGGCAACGAGTCCCCTGCTCAAGCTCATATATCTGGGAACAACTCATCATACCCAGCGATATAGAACTCTGCGCTGTGGTTTATATGGTAAAGAGTCTAGCACATAATAAGGTCGTGAGAAAAAGTATTCTCCCCTAATAAAAAATAAAAATAAAAATAAAAATTAAAATAAACAAATAAATAAAAAGGAAGCTGTATACAGCAACATGAAGACAGTTTGGATATTCAGCTCATTTATTCTTTAGACAAGAGCTATGAAGTGAAAAGATGATGAATTAGACAACACATAAGACTTGAGACTTTAGGCAATTAGAAAGATTTGTGAGGTAAAACTCATAATTGATTATAGGGATAAATCGAAAGGAAGTCGGCGCTCTTTCTTTTTATTAGCAATGCTGATATATTATAATTGATGGGGTTCTTTTAAATTACCCAAGGGTCCAATCCGTTTATGCGTTCCAAAAAAAAAAAAAAAAAAAAAAGACAAAAACCACTGGCGTAAAGAATAAGATCTTGGTACTTGGCTTAATCACCAAGTATCCCTTGGGAAGATTTAACTATTTATCTTTCATCAACTCATGGGCAGGGCAGATCCAGTTCTACTAGCAGAAACTATCTATTAAATGCCAAGAAAAAAAATCAGTAAAATCAGATAAACCCATATATCAAGCAATATCATCACGATGCACCATGTCCGCCATTCACTTGTCTCTTCTCCTTTGCGTGTCTACTAACTTTTGCCATTTTCATTCCTTCTTCTCCCAGCCTAAGGGAAAACAAAATCTCATTCTGGCTCCTTTTTCGCTAGAGGTATGTCGCCGAACCTCTACACTGATCTAAAAATGGTTGTCATTCAAGATTTTAAAAACCAATTGATTATAGGCTCAAGCCTTTGTCTCTAACAGCAATAGTATCAAGTTAGATTGCTAGGCGGGATTCATAGATAGTCCACCAGTGCACGTCGGCACTGCACCGACTGCACTAGTTCCCTAAAGTCAGCCCTATTACGGTTAAAATCCGCTGTAGATGTGTATGGAGGGATCGACACTAAGGTATCACCACAATAAATACCTTGGAAAGAGAAAAAAGAACATCAAAGCAACGATGGCCGCGCGTTGGATTGTAAAAAGATGCTATGCTCAGAAATGTTTAAGCGACAACGTCGAGCAGGTCGTCGTAAAGCAAGTAGGAATAAAGTCCCGAAACTGGTGGTTGATGACGAATGGGAAGGGCTTCACCGCAATCAATAAATACGCATTAGACTTATGCTTTGGGTACTGTTATGTAGGCTTTGCAAAGTACTATACTCAGAAGCTGCTTAAGCGACTTCCAAAGGAAGACTGCATAAGGGATATAACCAAAATATAGGAGAATAGTGATGACATACTGTAATTATATTATGCTGAATTGAAGTATGTGAGCAGCTAGATGGATGGACTTGTAGGTATAGACGGAATAATGTTCATAAATGACACTGTTTATTTCATAAGACAAATCAATTTTATTTTCATGGTCAAGACGCTTTGTAACCTGCTACCAACCCATATCGTCAAAGGTCTTCTTCCATCGCCACTTGCAGAAGTCTAAATCTCACCATCATTTACTTATTTCTGCTTCCTCGCAGCGAACTAACCTATACCTGCTCTTGTCGCGTTCAACCCTATGCACAACACGTCAATTCTAGGTCGCTTCACATAGTGTCTGGGCTGCTATGGAGCATGAACAAGTATACGGGCTTAAAGGAAGGAAATGAAGACACTTTCACTACAAATGTGATCATGCCTGTCCTTCTTACAGCATTTCCTGGTATCGCGAATTCCATTTTCCGCTGGGGAGGTGTGTTTCGACCAGGTCAGACCATCTTTGTTCGTGCGCCGAATGGTGATTTGATTTCCATCACTAATAGATATTTCTCTTTAGTTCCCAGGTTGTATGGCATGGAAAAACCAGAAATTTCAAACATTGCAGAGCAGAATTTTATCAATGATGAAGCCAAGATCGCGAATATGATGAAGAAAGGATTGGACTATTGGACTCCCTATTAAATGCAGGGCTCAACACCAGCATTTTCAAGTTGGTTGTTCAAGGTAAGGATAAGGAGGACTCTGTTCTTGAATATATAATGACTTGATCAGTTGAGCGGGCCTCTAACATTAACCATACTTATTACTTAGCGGTGGCCGTATATTTGAACAAAATGGCATTAAATAATGAGGCAATCTATCTACTATTGCCTCACGGTCATTTCAGAGCCCCGGCAAGCAACCTCAAGTTGGCTCTTGCCTTCGTCATGATTCCAGTACTGGGTCACCTAAGAGTAAGGAGAGCGATCTTCATACATATGTTCAAAAAAAGAGAAAAAAAAGAAACACGACTAAATAATCTTTCTTAACAACATACTTAGGAGAGTGCCATTAGAAACACGACAATCCTCCAGGGACCCAAGCTAGCTCGAGGCATTAAATCGGAACTTATTCGACCAGCATATATAATAGTTCCAAACATGATGTCTGGAGATGGCTATCCCCGGTGGAGCTTCTAAGGAGAGCTGCCTTGCATTAGGTCGTATTCTAACAACCAATTCGACTCTAATCATGCTGGATGTATCAGGTAACTTTGAAAAGAGAAGGAGCGGTGCCCAGGAAGATAAGCCGATAAGTGCCTCTGGCTCTACTACCGCTCCCCCGGATTATCATTCGGTTGGCGGCTTTGGCCCCCATATCGCTTTATCGTTCCCAGCTTTGGCGAAGAACTCGAAGCTGAGGGTACTATCAATCGATCATAACAGATTTGGAGAAGAGTCCTTAGTCGAGCTTTGCGAGGCATTACGACGTAATACCACCCTGGGTATTTTCAGCTGCGACGGCAATGATGCTTTTACACCAACAGGATTGGAAACCATTGCAGAGATCTTTGCCCCGCCTCGAGTCGATGCCGTAGCAGTAAAAGCAGTAGCAACGCCAGAAAATGGGGCCTTGTCCCTCACTCTTTCTCCAGCATACAACCAATCACTTTCAATTTGGGATCTCAAGGCAGAGGAGATCTTAACGCAGATGGAGTTGCTTGCAAGAGAGGTGCAGCGACACACGGCAGAACAGTACGGGATCGAAAAGTTGCAAGCAGGCAAGGATGTCAAATTTATGGGACTTACGCCTCTGGAAGATGTGAAGAGGCAACTCCAGAATGCCGAAAGGAACAGAATTCGATATGTGGAAACACACGCACGAATCATCGAGGCTATTAAAGCCAACAACAAACAAGGCAAGGGAGCAAAGAATATGTCGTAATAATGGTTATTCGGGGAGCAACAATATTCAGAGTACATGTTAAAAATAAAAATAAAATAAGATATTATTGAGAGTGTGAGATAAGCAAATTTTTGTTTTTTTTTTTGCTTTTGTAATCGTAAAATTAGACTGACTCAAGCGAACACCGCAGAACCACTATTTTTTTTGAAAAAAAAAAAAAAAAAAAAAAAAAAAAAAAAAAGGACTGTCAGGGTGATAGCCATGTCCTTTTGACAAGTTCTTCGAGTGGCACGCGACTAACGTTGGCACTGTGCTAATGTTGAAGGTGGACTGGTATTTTTTTTTGGTAGTTGGGATCTAACGAGTTTATGAGGGTATAGCGAACGACTCGTCCCGTCAGTTTGCCATCGAGGTGCTTTTTTTTTTTTTTTTTTTTTTTTTTTTTTTTTTTTTGATAACAAGGAGCCTTTGGGTCATGGGATTTATTTTCTACACTCTATGAACAAAATGGTTATGAATCCATGGGAACCGAGGATTGCAGGATTTTTTTTTTTTTTTTTTTTTTGATAACAAGGACCATGTAGGATTTATTTAGATGTTAGCTCTATAAATGGGTTGCCCCATTACTGGGGTCGCAAATAAAGCGGTATCCAATAATCGACCAAAGCCGCATCGTCATACTGTCACAGTACTACATCCTGTTCATAAACCACGTCAGCATTGAGTAGACTTCCTTGGTCCCAGAGGACCTGTGGCACGGCTCAACTCCCTACTTGGCCTGAACCGAGGATTGCAGGAGTATTTTTTTTTTTTCGTGTTAACAAGAACCCACAGAGGTTTTTTTTTTTTTTTTTTTTTTTGATAACAAGGACCCTCAGGGTCAACAAGAACCCACAGAGGTGACCGAGGATTGCAGGAGTAGGGGACACAACTCTTGCAGATATGGAGGGTGCAGATATAGATCGTGCTCATGTAGGAAGTATGCAGCTATTACACATATCTAGCTGTTTGAAGGGCAGCAACACAACAATTAGTGGCCTAATGGTCTAGTCGTATGATTCTCGCTTTGGGTGCGAGAGGTCCCGGGTTCAATTCCCGGTTGGGCCCATGATGTTTATTTTGCAACTCGATCTCCTCTTTTTTTGTTCCTCCCCTCTCCTCTTCCCTGTTCTTCTCTCGCTTCTCCTCCCTTGAGGAAGGAGAAAGTATCTTTTGAATGCATATTTGCTCGACCCCATACACACCTTAGTCTTACAGTCCCCCTCCTATAAACACTTACCCTTTCCTTCATTGCTCCCATAGTATAAACACAGCTCATAACGTGTATCGATAAGGCACCCTAGGCACCTCAGACTCATTCCCCAAGCGCTGCTGTCTTTGACATTTGCATAAAATAATACGTATTCAATTCATTCAATTTTCCATTTTGTTGTCTTACTATCCTGTGTCCTCATTGGACACTCTCGAGAACAAACCCATGCATTCACCGTCCCTCACCTCTCTGAATACCCTCTATACAGCTTCGTCCGTCGCCTTCACTTTTTTTACAGCCACATCCAGCTTGTGCCTGTCGAGGTGTCATATCGGGCTTCTCAAACACCATCCCCTCCATCCTCCTCTGCTGCTACTGCTACTTCGTGGCTGCTCCACAGCTTTTGAAACCATGAGCAACGCAAAGAATGGGATGCCGTTAGAACAAAGTACATTTCCACGCTTACTGAGTTCTCAAAGATCGGCGAAGTGTTATCAATCACACAAAGTTTGCTTTTTGGTGGCAATAGAGGGCTACGCATCAGAAGATGTCCGAAAAATAGATGAACAAAATCGCTACACTAAATTTTTTATGGTTGCAGACAAAGCGATCGGATAAGTGTGAATACTCACTGGAATTTTGGCTCCAAGTCATTTACATATATCGCAAGGGGATCTTCTGTTTTTTGTCAACCTCGTTCACATCCTCTCTAAACAGCCCTCTGGGTCAAAGTAGAATCCGCTCTTTATTTATTTATTTATTTTTTTTTTTAATCAACTAATTGTTTGCTACCTAACTATCTAACTAACTAACTTACCTGGCTACTATCCTAAGCTGCAAGAAACCAGACTCTTAGCCATCTTGGAAAGCACTTTTCTTTATTATCATCAAAAACACTCTCTTTCAAGATGCTGTCCGGAGCACACCACGTGGAGGCGGTCCGGCAAACCGTGTTCTTCTAGATCAGGCCTTATGGCCACGCAAACACTCGCGCGCACACACACACCCATTTACCCATTCCCATCCCCAACCCATTCACTCAGACGAAGAGCTCCACCATCACATGGTTCATTTAAGAACCAGTTTAGGTATATGCTCGTCCGAATCTTGGATATGTACTGTTGCTATACCAAAGAATGTTTCCATGTTAGTATAAGTTTACACTTATGTGTCGTTGCTATTTAAAGAGTGATTTACGTTCGTGATAATCCTTTTTTTTTCTTAATAATATCTTTATTTGCCTTTTTAACTATTCTTTTTTTGATAGTTTTCTTTTCTTATTTTTCTGAGAACGTACATTTTCTAGATTCTATTTACTAAAGTCGTGAGGGCTCGTGTCTGTGTGCTAAGTAACACCACGGTCATGGCACGAGACATTACAAAAAAACCATAGACCTTAAATAAATGCACTTTATGCACGCCCGAAAATGGCCAGACCTCAATGATGGGTTTCTCTAACCACTGGTATACGTACATGATTAAATCAATTAGACACTTAAAAGTGTAGAATATTTCCGCGCCATGAGTATTGAGAAGCATAGTTATTAAGAGCTTGAAATTTCATACGCACTCTTTTTTTATTAATGGGTTTCTTCTAAATTGTTCATGAGCTACCCGTCTATGCATTCCAAAAAAAAAAGGAAATGAGCTAGTGACGCAAAAGCCAAGGCCTCGGCGCTTAGTCACTTAATTTACCCTTGGACTGTAAAACGGGCAAATTTGCCCATTTAGCTTTCATCAACTCATGGGCAGATCAGGTCCAGTACTGCGCCAACCGCATTAGCTTCCCAGTATCTGATCGTGATGCGAGTGGTGCCTGAAATATTGGTAAGGGATGTCTTGAGCATATATCATCTCAAATGCGATCCAAAAAGTTTAAGCTCGGCATGGCAGCAGCGAGGACCAAGGGTTTTCCTCATTAGCACTGTTAAGCGCTTGAGGTAACAATGGTTGGGAGGTCGGCTCCCTTCACAGACCTGCAAGTAAAACATTCATAGTTTTTATATGCTTGAGCAATACCATTCTTCTGCCTATGTAGTATTTATTCATGAATCTAAACAATTAACCGCGTTTGTATATCCTACTATATATTGCGGGCTGTGGAATCAGGGCTACGGAACTTAGGATTTGTCCTCAGAGTCAATATATAATGTTACCGCATCCCCATCCAAGTTTCCTGTTATCTTCTACTGAAGAAAATTGAAAACGCCAACTTCAAGGGCTTACACACCTGTTGCAGATCATAGCATGTTATTTCTAGTATCCTTAAAATGGGCTTACCTTGAGCTGGAAACTAATCCTTCCTTTACACTTAAATGTGCATTTCAGAAGCAATTGAGAACTACAAGCAAGCATTGCTTAAAGAGAACAGGAAAAGAGCGAAGGCGGCGGGCCATGGTTGTATGATGGTGGCTTTTGAGCAGTTGGTGGTGGAGCATTAGGGGCCTCTCCACTTGGCTCTGGTGAGCATGGCATAATCGATGATTTTGGCTTTGAGACGGACTAAGGCGCACTATCATCAATTGGAAAGGATCAATAAGAACCTTGGATTTTAATGCCATCAAAACACCAATCTTCATATGTATAATGTTTTATCATATTCTTTTAATATTGCGACACAAAGCATGTATTGTATTTGAATAGATGCTGCTTCTTCCTTAATTCTTTACTTATTTACTCGGCAATAATATCACTGTTCAAGGTCATCAGAAAAAACGGATTATCGTATGACTAATAAAAGTCAACTGAGGAATTAAGATGTGCTAAGGGTACAACCTGCCACAGTACAGTACCCAATATAATATGCATTTTCCTTCCTTTGGAGGGAAGAGACAAAGAGAACAAAGAAGCAAGCTTGACTGACAGCGCCATGATATGCTTCTCAAAAGCTACTCGAGCTTAGTGTTTGTGGAGACTTTTTCTTCTCCACTGTAAGAGTATGGATGATATTATTACTATTCACTATCAGCTCCTTAAGCCGTTTTTTTTCTCTTATGCTTAGCAAAGGGACCAAGGCATATTAGACTTTTTTTGCTACCATTCATATAATTGTTTGCTTTTGAACGTACAAAAAGCAAAGTACTTGGTATATTCTATTGCATAATGGCTTTTACTTGCTTTCGTCCCTTTGATCACTTTCAAGAGCCACTTATCATTCATTCTTCGAGAGTACTTTTGGAAACGAGTATAAGAAGATTCAATGTCAACTTTTTTTTTTCCCCTCGGCCTCTCAACTTTCTCGAACAAGCTAAAACCGTAAGCAGCTCCTCAAATACCCATTCCTTCTAAAGTGTTCAGCCCTTTCATCCCACGCTGTATCGTTCTTGCTCTGACCTTACCTTTCCTAATATGTCATGAACGATATGGGTCCTTTCCTAAACCAACCGGGGCGCGGTAGTTCGAGCCAGCTTCACGATCAACTGGCGCCTCCGTAGGCAAAATGGTGCCAACTCGCCCAACCCCATCCTCTCGAAAGCGGCCAGAGCGCCTCATCCAAACAACCAGAGCGTCTCCTCGCTCTAGTAACTAGCTCGCCGCTCCCCCACTCAGCCATGATGACCAGGCTGCCTCTTATTGATGCACTCTGTACGCCCCCACCTGAAGGACAAAACCAAGGAAAACCCGGGAGATTCCAGTCAAAATAAACATTTAAAAAGGATGAAGTTATTTGTACGGCCCCGTGCAAATAAATTTTCACTTCTAAAAAAATTTATTTGCACTGCCCCGTACACACCTTATTTACACTGCTCCCCCCGTGCAAATAAAAAAAAATTATTTGCACGGGGTCTTTATTTCATCTACAAGCGGCAACATGTATCCTACAGCTTACATGATTCTAGCTTTTTATTTCGAAGGAATAAGTGAAAGTGAGTCTAGAGTAGAGGGAGGTCTGAAATTATTACTGTTGGAAGTTGCAGCGCCGTGGGAGCTGCGATACTCATCGTGCTCTGTTGCATATTTCATAGTATGCAATATTATGATGGCCTAGCTAGAAAAAAAATTAGAGTAAAAAACACTAGTAGAAATTAGTGGCAATAACGCGCCACACATAGACGCGATAAATCTTTGATATGAAGTTTTTAGAACGAACCTTTGTCATCCTATAGATAGATACGTAATTACCTGGTACAAGTCCCTCTAGCAGAAAATGAATAAGTACCCCATGGGTGTGGTGTGTGGACCCCATATCTTATTCCCACTTACCTTTCTACTGCTTACTATCTATCTACAAAATATTTTTCACGCTTTATTCCGCTCTACAGTCACCCGAAAGGAAGTCTGGTCAAAGTGGGTTATTTATTATTTTTTTATTTTGAATCTCTGACAAACAGCTCATTTGTGACATACAAAAATACTTCACCAACCATCAGGGAACCAGACCAACAAAAGTGCAAAGTAAAGCTGCATAATATATCCAATTATAGATAAATCGTTTGTAACTCTTTATTTAGTCCCAGAATCGCATAAAGAATATCGACATCTATTCTGGGCTACGTACGACCTTGATAAGATAAATATTCTGGTCAATATTTGATGCTTGGGTATCGAGCTTGTGTCGTGGACGGCTTCCTAGTAGTGGTATTAAAGACTGAAATAAAGACCCACAAAAAAAAAAGACCCCTGTGCAAATAATTTTTTTTATTTGTACGGGCCGTACAAATATCTTTTTCCTTTAAAAAAAGCCCCCTGAAGAAAAAAATGTAAGAAAAAAAAGGATTATTACGAACGTAAATCACTCTTTAAATAGCAACGACACATAAGTGTAAACTTATACTAACATGGAAACATTCTTTGGTATAGCAACAGTACATATCCAAGATTCGGACGAGCATATACCTAAACTGGTTCTTAAATGAACCATGTGATGGTGGAGCTCTTCGTCTGAGTGAATGGGTTGGGGATGGGAATGGGTAAATGGGTGTGTGTGTGCGCGCGAGTGTTTGCGTGGCCATAAGGCCTGATCTAGAAGAACACGGTTTGCCGGACCGCCTCCACGTGGTGTGCTCCGGACAGCATCTTGAAAGAGAGTGTTTTTGATGATAATAAAGAAAAGTGCTTTCCAAGATGGCTAAGAGTCTGGTTTCTTGCAGCTTAGGATAGTAGCCAGGTAAGTTAGTTAGTTAGATAGTTAGGTAGCAAACAATTAGTTGATTAAAAAAAAAAATAAATAAATAAATAAAGAGCGGATTCTACTTTGACCCAGAGGGCTGTTTAGAGAGGATGTGAACGAGGTTGACAAAAAACAGAAGATCCCCTTGCGATATATGTAAATGACTTGGAGCCAAAATTCCAGTGAGTATTCACACTTATCCGATCGCTTTGTCTGCAACCATAAAAAATTTAGTGTAGCGATTTTGTTCATCTATTTTTCGGACATCTTCTGATGCGTAGCCCTCTATTGCCACCAAAAAGCAAACTTTGTGTGATTGATAACACTTCGCCGATCTTTGAGAACTCAGTAAGCGTGGAAATGTACTTTGTTCTAACGGCATCCCATTCTTTGCGTTGCTCATGGTTTCAAAAGCTGTGGAGCAGCCACGAAGTAGCAGTAGCAGCAGAGGAGGATGGAGGGGATGGTGTTTGAGAAGCCCGATATGACACCTCGACAGGCACAAGCTGGATGTGGCTGTAAAAAAAGTGAAGGCGACGGACGAAGCTGTATAGAGGGTATTCAGAGAGGTGAGGGACGGTGAATGCATGGGTTTGTTCTCGAGAGTGTCCAATGAGGACACAGGATAGTAAGACAACAAAATGGAAAATTGAATGAATTGAATACGTATTATTTTATGCAAATGTCAAAGACAGCAGCGCTTGGGGAATGAGTCTGAGGTGCCTAGGGTGCCTTATCGATACACGTTATGAGCTGTGTTTATACTATGGGAGCAATGAAGGAAAGGGTAAGTGTTTATAGGAGGGGGACTGTAAGACTAAGGTGTGTATGGGGTCGAGCAAATATGCATTCAAAAGATACTTTCTCCTTCCTCAAGGGAGGAGAAGCGAGAGAAGAACAGGGAAGAGGAGAGGGGAGGAACAAAAAAAGAGGAGATCGAGTTGCAAAATAAACATCATGGGCCCAACCGGGAATTGAACCCGGGACCTCTCGCACCCAAAGCGAGAATCATACGACTAGACCATTAGGCCACTAATTGTTGTGTTGCTGCCCTTCAAACAGCTAGATATGTGTAATAGCTGCATACTTCCTACATGAGCACGATCTATATCTGCACCCTCCATATCTGCAAGAGTTGTGTCCCCTACTCCTGCAATCCTCGGTCACCTCTGTGGGTTCTTGTTGACCCTGAGGGTCCTTGTTATCAAAAAAAAAAAAAAAAAAAAAAACCTCTGTGGGTTCTTGTTAACACGAAAAAAAAAAAATACTCCTGCAATCCTCGGTTCAGGCCAAGTAGGGAGTTGAGCCGTGCCACAGGTCCTCTGGGACCAAGGAAGTCTACTCAATGCTGACGTGGTTTATGAACAGGATGTAGTACTGTGACAGTATGACGATGCGGCTTTGGTCGATTATTGGATACCGCTTTATTTGCGACCCCAGTAATGGGGCAACCCATTTATAGAGCTAACATCTAAATAAATCCTACATGGTCCTTGTTATCAAAAAAAAAAAAAAAAAAAAATCCTGCAATCCTCGGTTCCCATGGATTCATAACCATTTTGTTCATAGAGTGTAGAAAATAAATCCCATGACCCAAAGGCTCCTTGTTATCAAAAAAAAAAAAAAAAAAAAAAAAAAAAAAAAAAAAAGCACCTCGATGGCAAACTGACGGGACGAGTCGTTCGCTATACCCTCATAAACTCGTTAGATCCCAACTACCAAAAAAAAATACCAGTCCACCTTCAACATTAGCACAGTGCCAACGTTAGTCGCGTGCCACTCGAAGAACTTGTCAAAAGGACATGGCTATCACCCTGACAGTCCTTTTTTTTTTTTTTTTTTTTTTTTTTTTTTTTCAAAAAAAATAGTGGTTCTGCGGTGTTCGCTTGAGTCAGTCTAATTTTACGATTACAAAAGCAAAAAAAAAAACAAAAATTTGCTTATCTCACACTCTCAATAATATCTTATTTTATTTTTATTTTTAACATGTACTCTGAATATTGTTGCTCCCCGAATAACCATTATTACGACATATTCTTTGCTCCCTTGCCTTGTTTGTTGTTGGCTTTAATAGCCTCGATGATTCGTGCGTGTGTTTCCACATATCGAATTCTGTTCCTTTCGGCATTCTGGAGTTGCCTCTTCACATCTTCCAGAGGCGTAAGTCCCATAAATTTGACATCCTTGCCTGCTTGCAACTTTTCGATCCCGTACTGTTCTGCCGTGTGTCGCTGCACCTCTCTTGCAAGCAACTCCATCTGCGTTAAGATCTCCTCTGCCTTGAGATCCCAAATTGAAAGTGATTGGTTGTATGCTGGAGAAAGAGTGAGGGACAAGGCCCCATTTTCTGGCGTTGCTACTGCTTTTACTGCTACGGCATCGACTCGAGGCGGGGCAAAGATCTCTGCAATGGTTTCCAATCCTGTTGGTGTAAAAGCATCATTGCCGTCGCAGCTGAAAATACCCAGGGTGGTATTACGTCGTAATGCCTCGCAAAGCTCGACTAAGGACTCTTCTCCAAATCTGTTATGATCGATTGATAGTACCCTCAGCTTCGAGTTCTTCGCCAAAGCTGGGAACGATAAAGCGATATGGGGGCCAAAGCCGCCAACCGAATGATAATCCGGGGGAGCGGTAGTAGAGCCAGAGGCACTTATCGGCTTATCTTCCTGGGCACCGCTCCTTCTCTTTTCAAAGTTACCTGATACATCCAGCATGATTAGAGTCGAATTGGTTGTTAGAATACGACCTAATGCAAGGCAGCTCTCCTTAGAAGCTCCACCGGGGATAGCCTTCGCGCGGGCCTCGTCATAGGGAAGTGACTGCAGCTCTGCTTCTTGTCGAGGGCGTGTAACGTAAAGGCCTTTGACATTTAATTCATTAAAGCACGTCGCCCGCTCGAGAGGCGCCAAGATCCGCTGAAGATTTACGTCAGAGAGTATCAAATCCATCATTTGGATACCAAATGGTACCTGGGGTTTTGTTGCTTCCACTGATGTTATCCACTCTTGAATAGCTGCATCTGAGTCGAACAGCGGGTTCTTACTAACATTCAATGTGGATTTTGTGGATCTATTGACATCGCAGATGGCTTTGAAAAGTGATGAAAGAGATAACCAGTTCAATTGGCAGTGTGATAGGTTTAACATCTGTAGTTTTCGGGAGCCCTGACGCACGTGTGCCTCAAGTACGTCCAACGTTGGCTGCGTGATAATAGTTTCAGCCAAGTCCAACTCTACGAGGTTCTCAAGGGATTCAAGCCTCTCCAACGACAACACACTCTGAAGGGGATTACTGCAAGGGACAGGTGCACCAATGCTACACAGCTGAATTTGCCGATTGTTCTCCAAAACAGCGTCCATCCATTGCCACCAACGGTCATCTGCCCAATTACCCTGCAATCGCAGCTCAGTTAATCCTGAAAGATTATTCACAAGGGCTTCCATCCCAGCCAACCCAATATCGCAGTTTGATAAATCGAGGGCTTTAAAACCTCTGAACTTGCTAAAGTATCCAACCAGTAGGTGGCCGACAGTATCTTCGCCACCAAAACTATTATCTGCCAAAGATATACTCTTGGACTGCTGAGTGTGGTAGTTATCCTTGTTCTTTGGAACAACCGCGCCCTCAAGTCCCTTCACGAATGCTTCCACAGTGCTTGTAGTCCAGCCGCATGCGTTGAAGCGCCATTGAAGAACCTCCTTCATGGACCGTACAGTAGCTTCCAGGATCTTGGTCAGTTCTGGCCGGCTCCACCCATCTTCTACAATTTGCACGCCATCAAACTGAACGAGTGTACATGACTGAAGTTTCTGGGCTACGCGGAAAACAGCGCCTATCATGCCAAGGCTAAATCTGGGCCCAGCAGTCCGAGGGGCCTTCAGGGTGAGTATACCGTCCTTAAGCTCTAGGTAATCATCCACTGTGGACTTGACTTCCCCTTCATTCACGTTAAACAAGGCGCCGTGGATTTTCAACTGGAGTTGAATCCATGCCGCTGGTGATACTGCTTCTTGTTGGTTACTCGACTGGCCGTGCGATGCCTCAATCACTTTCAGTACTTCAGATGCTGTGCCATTAACAGAGTTAAATTTGATAGAAAGCCGCTCCCCGGATAAATCACGTCCTCGGCGCGGGACCAACCCACACATGTCTATTGTCAGGGTATCTTCAAGCTCATTAGATACGGACTTCAGAGCATCAATCTCAATAAGGTTCCAATGCTGGAGCTTCTTTGAAGGTGAATCTCGCATTACTGAGCCGTTTTGCTGCTCCAAATACAAGTGTATTCCATTAGTCGATAGTGCCAAAGCAGTGAAGGTCGATTCTGATGAAGTTAGGATAGGCGGTAGCGAAGCGTCCGAAGCCGTCGAATCACTCACGATCATTGACACGGCTGCAGATTCACATACCCAGACCTGTACGTCCATTTCCGGTATAGGTCCTGTCAATTTTGAGACGTCCCTGGGCAGCTTTAATCGGTTAATACTCTCCCATTCCTTAACTCCATTCTGAATAAAGGCCAGCCTTGCATCGCTTAAGCTACTCGTCATAAAATCGTTGGTCCGCTCTTTCGAAGGCCTCTTAAGAGCTCCAGAGGCCAACTGTGGCAACTCGTCATCTCCTACTTTTCTTTTTTGACTATTGTCTTTCCGGGGCGGAGAAGGCATGCTAGAGAGGCTCGGCGAGCGTATATGCTCTTCATCTCCATCAAAGGACTTGGTTGATGGGGACGACTCTCCAGAGAACATTGCAATATCATCACCGTCAATATCTGTTGAGATGGATAAGTTTGAGATGTCCGTGGAAGTAGTCCTTCCCCGTATTCCCATGATATGGAGTGACCGTTCTCGCATCTGGTCAAGTTCTTTGGCCTTGGCCTCCTGATGCTGCACAACGGCCCCTCGCAAAGTCGTCTCGTGCTTTTGGACCAAGTCGGCAACAGCCTTTACCGTTGGAGGACGGATGCTATTGCTACCACTAGCGGTCCCAAGACGCGGGACCATTGGGCGAGGTGGGATCCTTGCTTCGGAAAGAATACGAGCGACCTCAGCATGCGAAGAGAGCTGAGCGAAATGAAGGGCTAAATAAAATATTATGGTTAAAAAACACTCTTCAATAAAACAAGAGGAAGACTGTTTCAAAGTTCTTTTTGAGCTTACCAGATTTGTGGTTCCTATCAAGAGCAGTGTGGTCAATCCCCATGGCCAAGAGCTCTTTTGTGAGTCGTATCATACCATGATATGCAGCCAGATGTAGGAGAGTGCACCCTGATTCCGTCTACAGGTAAGGGAAATGTGAGAAATTGAGTTATCTTTGACTAATGCGCTGACTAACATCAATATAGAGTAAATACTTACTTTGAAGGCCGGCAGTATCCTCCCAGGAGCAAGAGTCTGAATGACTCTTAAGAAATCAAGAACGACGTCTTCTTTAGCTGCCCATGCGAGACCAATATCAGCATTATTTCCTGAAAATGATTCTGATCCGTATGCGAGCCCTAGTCCAGCCCCCATACCAGTGCCATGCGCATTGAGGATATAGGAGAGCTAGAAAACAATTTACAGAGTATGTTACTGTTAAAACCAGTGGTTCAGATTTTTTTTTTTTTTTTTTTCTTACTTATTTGTTTGTTCGCATAACCTACACTATCTTCATTTGGGTATTCGTTAGACATGGCGTACGACAATGAGGTTGCTGCCAAGTTGTAAAAGTCGTAATCTAACGGAGCCATGTACATGTAGTCGACACTGTCATTCTCAGCGCCAAGCGGGAATGTTGAGGAAACGATTCTAACGGCTACTATGCCCGGCTTCAAGCCTTCTGCAGGCGGCGTCGTACATTCCATCACGTCATGATGTGATATCGTAACAAGTTCGGCTGGGACTTTGCCAAAGTATACCGCTGGGTTTTGCATTGTATCAAAATTGGCGCCATGGATCGTGACACGAGTACCACCAAGACATGTACCTTCGCTAGGCGTTAGCGGATATATTTGCCTGAATTTTGGAGGCGCAACAACACCTCGGCCTCGGCCGCCGCTTCCATTTGTAGTAGTAGTGGAGGGATCAACTCCCACTGATGATATAGGGCGCTCGTCTACCGACCTAGGGGACCCAGTTGAACTTGAGTTTGAGGAAGGTTGCCGTTGCCGATGGGTTCTGGGATCTGGGCTCTGGCTTCCATAACTAAGTGATGGACTTTGAACAGACTGGTCGTTTAACGGCAGGGGGGAACGTGAGCCTGTGGAGACTGGCGCATCAATATCTGTAAGCCCTTCTTCCTCTTCAGCCTCAACCTCCGTGGGGCCTCCTTTTGAGCGAGCCTCGCAACAGATGCGAAGTTTAACAGATCCTCCAACCTGAACCACCTCAGGCTCTGTTTGCATTCTGACCACAAAGCCTTCATGCTCGTTGTGATGATCACAATAACAATTCAGCTTAATACACACAATCGCATGGCCTTTGCGGATATCAATGACAGGTTCGCCTAAATGCGTCATTTTAAAGTTCTTGGCCAGCACCTGCATGATCTACAACAGCAGAGGTGAAAAAGACACGTAGCGTAAATAGCATGAAATGATAGTTATACCAAATGGCTTTGTAGTACATTAGCATTATACAACATATATCCAAGTAATATTATTTACCTTGCGTTCACCATCCTAATTGTAAATACAATCGTGAAAAAAAAGTCAGCATATGCACCGCAAAGCAGTACTTCTACAAAGAGTGCGTTGGTAGTACTCCTGACTTACCATACGCATGACACAAGCAGGACATGATTCCTCAATCGGACGATTGTTGTTATTAGGGGACACAAGCGAGATATTGACATCCAGGATCCTTGCCGTCCGCATCTCTGTATTAGTTTTTTTTTTTTTTTTTTTTTTATTATTAAAAAAAAAGAAAGAAATAAAGAAAAGTAAGAAAATTAAGTATTATTAATTATATTAATTACGACAGGCATACGTACATTATAGAAGGATCTATATTGTGTCCTATACGGTGGACGAAAGTGGGTATTTTACCTTCCATACTCAGCTTCTTTTTCGGAAAGGCATTCTCCTTGAATCGATGGATTGAGAAACGGAGGTAATCCCAGTTGCGTACAATCTCACGATGTGGATCCAAAATACTGGTTTTAAGATAGATGATCGGTTCGATTCGTAGCGCATTCTTATGCTTAACCGCTACATAGTGGCGAGACTTCTTGCGGAATGTATAGGCTTTAACATCAAATGCAGGGAGATATAGGTTACCAACAGGCTGCATCACTGGATTCATCACTGCTGGTACACTAGAAGAATTTTAAAAATAAAAAAAAAGGGGGCATGAACTCAATGACATTAACCAACATCGTAATACAACATTCTGCCTTTCAAAAAAATGTTCCAGGCCCCATGGTTTATTACCTTGAACCCTGAGTACTATAGCTAAAGTGTCCCTCTTCTGCAAGTGGTAACCCCATCTGGAAAAACGGAGTATGGAGTGAACGTGCATAAAAGTTATTTGTGGCCAAGGCTTGGTGATTGACCGTTGTTGATATCGATGCTGAAGTTGCAGCAGTAGTGGTCTGAGCAATAAAATCTGTTTCAGACATGTTTTTTGTCTATGATAGTAAACAATGCATGATATCGGCTTGTAAGCATTGATGATGCACAAAAAGCCCAAACATTGTACCAGACACGGGAGACAAATATTGATTGGAGGAGCAGACACGCTCTAATTAACCAAAGCACCAAAACACCAAAAAACCAAGGAAAGCTTATTAAACAGGGGAGAGATCGAATGGATCGAGTAACAAAGAAAAATGTAGGTCAGCAATCAGGACATATTGCCCATTTTTGAAAGTCTTTGTGTAGATCATATGGGTTTAGATTGGTTGCTGTAATCTTTATGTCTCTCCAAAGGGTGAAGGGAAGAAAAGAAGAAGAGAAGGAAAGGTGGGCTCAAATAACTACAGCTCCTTAGTAGGGATAATATCAAGTTAGTGCCGTTTTTATTAAGACCTTTTTTAGAATACCTCGTAGTTTCGGCCATAAGGTTGGATTGGTGCTGGCGACCAATGAGGTACCAAAAGATCATGGGATCGAACAGATGGAACCAAATGTTGCCTAGTCCCTACCCCTGAAGAGCCAACTGCAGGGGGGTTCGCTGCTGAAGCTTGAACTCCTGAGTTGGGTGTATATGTTTGTGGAAGGAGATGGGGTTGCTGTGCATCATTCTGTGATACAAAGGTGATACCCTGACCCAGCTCGGCTGATTGACTGACAGAAACTTGCGAATAAACTGGTGGATTAGAAGAGGCAGTAATGACTGAAGATGAAGGCGTAGTAGCAAGCACTGGATTGTATCGTTGGCCATAGTGTGAGGTTGATTTGAGTTTGCCTGTGGAAGAATAGTTTGTATTAGGACCAGACAAGTGATTCCTGGGTTGGGCTGCAATTATTATTGGCGGCGACCCATGTTGCTGTTGTTGTAACACGTGGTCGTTCAAAGTATGTGAAGAGTGTAGGTCTGAATTTAGATGTGTTGCTGATGATTGATGTTGAGGATGATGAGAATGAGTCTGCGATGTGCTGAATCGCTCTTGTTGCTGTGGAAACAGTGGTTGCATCTTTATTCTTTCAATTCAGCAGTTGTTACGGGACAGGACGTGAAAGAAGAAAGAGGGGCAGGTATAAATAATATGGTACAGTACAGGGATATTTGAGGCAAATGAATAAAAGAATGAGGATGAAGGAGAGAAAGGGAAAGAGAAGCACGAGTCTTTATGCAAAAGAATTAGGCAGTTTGCCTCAACCCTAAGGAGGAGCAAGTTGAGCTGGCTGCTCCTGAATTGTTCTTGCATATCGAGTATAAAGTTCACATCTCAAGAAAAAATAAAAAAAGTTCATCCCTTGTTTCTTTGGAGTGAGCTGGGAAACCGATGTCAAAAAAGGGACGCCAAACACTTGAGCTTTGATCACGCAAAAGACATTAAAGGAGCGTGGCTGTGCTTCTCAACGTCTCCTAGAGTTGTAAGTTCTTTGGTCTCTTTGAAGGGACGTTCTCTTCTCGTTCTGGCAGTCAATCTTTTAACGCCACTATACCAATGGAATATTTTAATAAAATATATCCCCCTTAATGGGAATATATTCATTCTGTCTTGATTTTCACAAGACTTCATTGCACATCCAATTTCCATCTCATAGAAACATTTTGTTCTCCTTCTTGCCAATTTCATTTCATTTCATCCCAATTCCACTTTCATTAACAATGCACCCCGCTACACGATTCGTTCTCACTCTCCGACATACAGCACCTCCCTTCAAGGCCAGACATATTACACGAACTCTAAGCATACATGTGTCTTCTTTCGTTACCTTTGCTTCTTCCCAGCAGCAACAGCAAGAACAACAGCGGCAATATCATCAGGATACTAGTGCTTCTATAGCAGCACCACACGATGTGGCAACGAGCTCTAGCTCCAGTAAAGCAGCTTCTCCGGACCATAAAGAGAAGTTATGCCCCACCACTATTGCCCGCCCTCGGATGCCTCCGCTTCCTTACATCTTCCTCCGAGATCTTCCATATAACCGATCCACTGATCTACAGCAGCGCTTAGTAGATCGGCAACTTCGACTTCGAAAGGATCGGGAAGGCCAACTTAAAATGGCCTTGGATGAGCAAGCTGGAGGGACGCTAGAACCGGCTATAGAAGATAGAAACGGTGATCTGCTTCTTTTGGTAGAGCACACGCCCACATACACAAATGGACGTCGAAACCGTGGTGCACAAGCCATCAGCCACAAAGAAGCCGAACGATTGCAAAGTCTTGGGGCAACCTATGTCGAATCCCTGAGAGGAGGCGAGATCACCTTCCATGGCCCTGGTCAACTAGTAGCCTATCCTATTTTAGATTTGAAGCCAATTCAGGTAAAAATTCAACGCGTCTTTTGTTTTTTGTGATCTTGGGATGCAGCACGTTAGGCTAATTGGTTACGTTGAATGTTGATAAAAAAAAAAACGACCAATAGCTGAGCGTACGTTGCTACGTATCGTACTTGGAGAAAGCCATTATCGCGACCTGCGCTCAATGGGGAATCAAAGCCATTACGACCGAGAATACGGGTGTATGGATTAATGATCATAAGAAAATTGCAGCCATTGGTAAAAGCACTCTATCTTTTTTTTTTTTTTTTTTTTTTTTTGAGCTTTGCAACATAAACAGTGGTTATCCACCCTCATCTTCCCTCTCTCTCTTTCCATCACTTTTTTTTTTTTTTTTTTTTTTTACAAATATTTAGGCGTTCATGTTCAGCGGTATATCACTTCTCATGGGCTTGCTCTGAATTGCAACACCAACCTCAACTTTTTTAAAGAGATTATTGCGTGTGGCCTTGAGGGTAAAGAAACAACATCACTAGCAAAAGAGTTGGACGACTCTTCTATCAGTGTTCAAAAGGTACTCCCTACTTTCTTGAAGGGCTTTGGCGCTACATTCAATCGCGAGCTTGCACCGCTTTCAGAGGTCAACCCTGAATTACAAAAGATGATTCAAGAGTACGTCGACACTGGAGCAATCAGTTCTGCTAATGAGGATCGTGTCGATCGCTTGTAGTTGCTATCCTTAATTTACAATATATCTTGCCAAAACCATGCCATAGAAATAAATATGATAGATGATGATATATACTTTATAGGTGATGAGCTTAAATCAAGGAGCGTCGATTTTTTTTTTTTTTTTTCAAGTGCCTTGTTAAGCGTAAGTATATCATTCCAGGCGGTTCTTAAAAGACACCTGGCATTGATATTCAAGCAACTGTACAATGGATGGGTATAAAAATGTGAATAAAAAAAGGATAATGTGCTTCATTTATGGTAGTTGCTATGTCAGGCTACCCTTCCTATTTTTGTTAAGTTTTTTTTCATCTTTCCTGGCGGGGATTCGGATGCAGTTCTTGTTCAAGTGGATGGCAATCTGATTGTTATCTATTTTTTTTTTTTTTTTTTTATAAAAAAAAAAAAAAAAGGTGCAACGTACCCGATTGCAAAATGGAGGTCATATCAATGAGTCGACATCTCATGATGAGATTAGCCAACTTTCAATTAAATACAAAAAAAGAACTTACCGCATGTCCCTTCGAATTTCTTTGGAGTTTGGACATGAATTGTATTCGAAAACACTTGACATATCGTCTTTGATTTTCCTCCTCTATAGATTAGTGGGTAGCGGCTTCATATTAGTATGGCCAAAACATGAATATAGAAAAGTACTACTATAGCCAGTAGTCATATTTTGAGAATAAATAAGTGGATAAAAAAAGAGTAGCTGGGACACTTACACTGGGATGCGCATGAGATCTGTCAGACAAAATCGAATCTTGAAAAACCCCTCGGTGCGGATAGATAAGATACTAAATGCGAACCAGATATGAGACATATCATCATCCAGACCTGGAGCAACCTGGCCACTTACGGCTGTTTGGCCCACAAGGTTACGAGTCGATAGCTCTCTTCTCATTACTAAACTAGAGCCCAAGCCTGAGGACTCACGTTCCATATTTTCAAGCTCCTCCAGCTGCTTTAAATCTTGTTCCACGTACATATCGTTATCTCGATATTCATCCTCCTCATCCTCTATGCTGTCACCAGCATCCTCCGTACCGTTATCTTCATCGTCTGATGGGTCAGCGGGCCTTTTGGAGACAGTACTGGCGCCCTGTCCTAGGGTCGCGCGGGAAGAGGGGAAGGATATCGAAGGCATCGAGGGATCATCATCATGGATTACGTTGCGGATACTCATGCGAGAAGTATTAGAGGAAGACGCTGCTGCAGTAGCTACGCCTGCCGAACTGGATGCACTAGGTCCGGAAGCTGTATCCCTCACTTCGGACGACGGCACGTTTTGATGGATGTCAAGGTGATCTACAACTTTGTAGAAGAACAGCGGGAGTATATATGGTCAAGATAGGTTTAAAATAAATAACTTTTGATGTTTGTACAGGACCATTGTGTATAGTATGCATGGGGAAATATGTTGGACTATATGGCTGACCTTGTTGTGCATATTGTTGTGAATAGGCAGCTGTTCTCGACGACGGTATGGACGATATAAGGACCAAGTTACGATCTGTAACTTCATCTTCCAGCCATAGATCTGCTGTTACTACGAATGTCTGCTTACTCAGGTGACTAAGTTTGATAAATGAAAAGAATGATGACGTTGAGTATCACTATACATTATTTTGAATGTGCCACCTGAAGTGGGGGATGTTTTCTCTTCTTCCTACTATGTAAAAGTATCTGAGATTTGGAATAGACCATTTCATATCATGCTTATAAGTGTAGAGAGAATGTGTGTACCACCAAATGGGTTAATAAAAAGAGACGACAAAGTTCATAGGATGAAACTAAATAGAATAAAATGATTTTTGATGCCCATCAATCAATTGGACACAGTACTACAACACAGCAAATCAGAAAATTGCACATTGACATCGTTACACAACACAAAAAAAAAGGAGTTCGACATTAATTTCCGGCAAATCAGTAACTGAATTGACCAATGGAATCCGGAAAAAAAAAAAAAAAAAGAATTTAGGAGAGAAAGTGCAAGGGAAAATGTTAAGAGCGTGGTCGCGTTCTTTATCTAACTAGACAAAGCACGGAGTTATGTAGCTGTTGCTGTTGGTATTGCTATCAAAGATAACGTTAGCAGGCTATACTGACAAAAACAAAGCAATTATGAAGGAAGAGGCTATAAAGTAAACATTGAAGTAGAATAAAATAAACTCGATTCGAGTAACAAAGATCGTCCCAAATAGATTTCATTCTTACAAAGGGAGGTAGCAAGATACAGAGGAATTGTTTGGGGGATATTGATGCCCCCATCGTAAGCGAAAGGTGAATCAGTAGAGGGGAAGCAAGGGACACACGGCGTCAGGGCAACAAAAATAAGCACCATTCATGCCTCAAACTCTCTAGCCCCTCTAGTCTAGTGGCAATCCAACTCGTTCCCATCGAGTTCATGCACACTCCATACTCATTCTCTGTATGTCTATTTACCTTCCAGAGACGATCTTCCCATCTGGTGTTTTGGCCACCAATTTTAAAACAGGGGCTGGTGTTACATTCCGTCGATCCTAAATTTTCAGTGAGTGAATGCACACAAAAGATTAGGAGATTTTAGTTAATTCATTCAATGTCACATCCCCTCTCTTAGATGGTCATACATGACGCAGTGGTCCCCCCAAGTGTCCGTGCTCTGCATGGATGACGATGGGTGGATAAAAAGAAATTGTGTAATAAAACATTAAATATTTTTTTCTTTCATCTTTTAGATTGGAAGAGCAAACTGAACAGTAGTAAACAAAAATTGAGTTGGCGTAATGGATTGCTGGGAAGGTCAGGATGTGTCCTGCATTTTATGCAGACAACATTTGTCTAGGTTAATGTAAGGGGTAATGGCTGAGTGTAGAATGAATGTGGATGGATGGGATATGGTAGGAGACATAGAGAGAAAGGGAAAGGAAATGAAAGGAAGGGGACAGAGGCATAGCAAGCACAAAAAGGGTGTTTGCGAATGTGGTATGTCTGTATTTCTGGACTTTGTGGTTGTGTATGTGGATGTGCATACGAATGTGCATGCGGATGTGGATGTGAATGCAGTTTTTTATTTTTATTTATTTATTTATTTTTTTTTTGCCGACCACTGTGGCAGAGTATTGTCGTAATTATGCAAACATTTACCTTGTCACCAAATCCACACATTCTAGCGCGGATGGGCTGTTGCACAATCTCCAATGAGTAAATCCTAGATCGCGTAGTTGGGTGAGGTGTTAAAAAAAAAAAATAAATAAATAAAAAATAAAAAAGTATGTGTAAGCTGGGATAATCATGAATATGGTTTTGGTACATTGCATTACGGCAGCAAATCGAAAAACAAACAGATCGAGAAGCGAAAGATAAAAAAAAGTGAGAAGAGTGGATATAATTATGGTTAATAAGGGCAGATTAAAGCTTACTTACAGATCATTTGGATCAACATCAAGGTCATCATTGTCCTCCAAAGGTCGGGATTGGTAGTAGTACTTGTCGGATTTACCCATTGCGATCGAAGCCGAGTGCTAAACCGGCTAGTTTCTCTCCTTGCAAGGACGAAGGATAATAATGTTATGACTGAGGCCAAAAGAGAAAAAGAGAAAGAGGAAAGAGAGAGCGACGGAGAGAAAGAGAAGAGAGAGAGAGAGAGAGAGAGAGAAGAGAGAGGAGAGGAAAGATAGAGAGGGGAGAGAGAGGAAGAGAGTTCCGGATAGGCAAAGGTTAAAGATGGTTTTGTTTTTCTGAGCGTGGTATCTGGGAAGCAGATCAAGAGAGCGGAACGTGAAAGGATAGCATCAGGAATACACTTTATTATGCAAAGAGGAAAAAAAAAATCTAGATTAGCGGTGCAGCGATGCAGTGAAGAGGAGTAAGCAAGGACGATGATGTGCATGAAACAGGGTAATAAGAAAGGAAACAGAAGGAGAGGCGAGGACCCTGTTTACTAATGGGACCAAAAAGAAAAAAAAAAAGAAAAAAAAAGAGGGGTGTAGGACAGAAAGAGAGTTCACTATGACAAGGTGTATCTCTGCAGAGTGAGGTGACGGTGCCAACAGAACAAACTGTAAACTGTAATTCACTTTGTCACTCACGACAACAGGCAAACAAATCTGTCTTCCATTGGCTGAAAGAAAAAGCAATTGAATCAATGTCACACACCCCCTCATATCTCTTGGACGGAGAACTTTTTTTTTTTTTTTTTTTTTCTTATAGTTCTTGATGTACCCGTTCTGACACAATAAATAATAAAAAGCGCTGTGTTTGCTTACGAGACAACAAATACACAATTCTTTCTTTCGTTGTGAATAGAGTTGAACTACAATGAAGTACATACCCACCTGGAGATAATTTTTTTTTTTTTACTTTTGAAAGTTGAGCTACAAGTGAAGTACTGAATGAGAAGAAATGGTGAATGTGTTCGGAATGGAGTTACGAGATGTCTACTTAATGAATAGACGTATTATTGTATTGTTGCACAGTGTTTGTTTTTTTAATGCAGGTACGGGTAAAAAAGGCAAACGAACACGGTGAGGCGAAATGAGAAAAGCATGGAATGAGAGAACCTGAATGAAATGAGAGAAATGAGCCTTTTTTTTTTTTTTTTTTTTTTTTTTTTATAAAAAAAAAACAGAATACTAAAATGTAAATGTGTATTAAAAGAATAAAGGCAGATTGATATAGAAAAGGGGGGGGGGGCGCAAAAAGACAGACGGGAGCGGACGAGAGCAGCGACTGCCGGAAGGAGAAGAAGAAGAAAAAAAAAAAAGGCTAGAAAGTAGTAATGAAGTAAAAAAAAAATGAAATAAAATGAAATAAAATAAAATAAAATAAAATAAAAGAAAGAGACAGGGACAGGGACAGAAAGGTTTGGATAAAGAGAGAAAGAATAATAAAGTATGAAATAAAAATATAAAAAAAAAAAAGAAAAAAGAAAAAAGAAGGATATAAAATAAGAGACGATTGACGTATCAAACGACAAGGGTGCAGACAAGGACCCAAATCAAAACAGAGCAAATGCAAGCATCCTAGCCTCTCGGTATAGAATCCCAATGGCACGAAGAGGGGACCAAAGGGGCGATCCATTGGCGCATTTACTAGATCTTTAATGCATCGGTCACACACAAATGATCATGGAGAAAAGTATGAATACAGATTTTTTTTTTTTTTTTTTTTTTTTTTCCTTTGCTCCCTTTTTTTCCTTTTTCTTTTTTCCTTCAGGCCAGGTACCGGAGGAGGCGAGTCGAAATATACGGGGGATGACAAATTGAACAAGAGAAGATTGCAGATGTTTGCATTGTAAAAAGCGTTGTAGTGTGATGGAAGGTTGAGATGAGAAAAATAGGGGAGAGAAGAAGGGAATGCGAGTAAAAAGTCGAGTGGCCCTAAACAGACTGCACATCAGCATCACATCAACCAACTGTAAACAGCGATTGCATTTGCATATTTTAGCAAATAAAGAAAAAAAAAAAAATTATAATAGTAGATGCAGTACTGTATATAGTCATGAATACAATACAAATTTATATTTTATTTTGTTCTTTCCAACCATGCTCCGTTATAGAAGTAATTACTATGGATGATCATGATGCAGCCCCATGTAAGAAAAGTAAATAAATAAATAAAAAAAGTTAAGGGCTCGTAACAGATAGATAACTTGAGGCAGGTAAAATGGGAAATCATTGTAAGCACAAAGCCATTGATTGTGCTGAAATGCACTACTTCGCATCTTTCTCAATGCCAATCAGCTTTCTTCTCGGACCTCTAGTATATTCGATCTGCTAATATTTAGAGTAAGAATGGAGTAATGCATATCCTTTCTGTCATCAGCAACTCCTTTTTTTTCCCTTAAAACCTTGGATTATCCCAGTGTGCAGCCTGTGTAAGGTGTGCAGTGTGCAGTATACAGTGTGCAATGTCATGGTCGGTATCTCAACTCGCCCTCTTACTTTTTTGGTCTCCTCGGCTTTTTAACTTATTTAGTTCAACTCCTGTCTTTATCATTACTATCGTGTTATCACTAGCAAGTAACGAGTACAGGAAGAGAGAAGAAGGGGGGAGGAAAGGAAAAGTGGAATAAATGAACAGATGGAAGGAACACGATGCTGTGTTTGTTGTCGTTGTTTTGTTGTCATTAAAATTCAGGTAGGATTGTTATTTCGCCTTCTCTCCCAAGAACTCGGCTTGGATCGATGGAAATGGAATTTTTTAAACAATTCAATTCAGTGTAATTGAGTTAAATAATCCCATCTTTCCCCCTTGCCCCTTTCCCCTTTCGTCTAATGAATTACAACAGAATAGCAACCCCTACTCTGCGATCATTACCACAGATCAACTTACTGGTAGGATACAATGCAATGGATATGCAATCCAAGGGAAGTAAACCCTTTGGACCACAACTTCACAATATGTACAATAAGGTAAAAATAGGGAGCATCTGAGCAGCCTTTTTCTGTTCAGTAATACAAAACTGAGCCAACTTTTCATGTATTTTATGCTTGAATGAGTGAATGAGTAGCAAGCATATAACTCAATACGACAATGTGGTAGACCACACTTTTTTTTTTTTTTTTTTTTTTTTTTTGAACCCCTGGCATCTATAAAAAAAAAAAAATAAAGAAAAGAAAAGCATCGCCAACAACGTCTAAGCGACTCCCTTCGGCTCGTGTCTTTCTCATGCTTTCAAGTATGCAAAGTGTAACAAATGAGGAGAAAGATCGCGCGGAAACGCTTTTCAAATAGATAAACAAACAATAGCAGTAGAAGTAATGGTAGTAGTGCATACTCCCGAAAAGAAAAAAGGAAAAAAAAAAAAAAAAAAGGTTATTGATCTTCATCTGCAAGCCTCTTTTCTTTCTTGCTTTTTATGGGCGGATTAAAGCATTCCAGCTTTGGTGTCCGGACTTTGGTTAAAAAAAAACTTATGCTGGCGATAAGCGAGACAGCGTGCAAGCACAATGCATGATACAGACCGATCATTCGTATCCTTCAACCTGATCACCTTTTCCTACACTAATACTGTGTCTGTAGTCAATTTTTTTTTTTTTTTTTTTTTTTACTGTCATCCGTTTTGGCTGATACCAACCAATAGTTTTAATCCAGACTTTGTTGAAGAGTCTATATCCGCTCGGCACTCGTATTTTACCACTCCATATTCATTTGCTCACTTGCCCTTGAACAGTAAGAGGTTGTCAGGTGATCGAAGGAGAGGAAAAAAGTAAGACGATGAATCAAGACGACGATCAACAATCCTTACCATTTGCTTCCTCCTAACCTCCTCCCTCTAAAGTGATGGCATGCTTTCGCCACATATCAAGCATATTTCCAACACCACTTTCCTCTTTTTTTTTTTATAGTCATACTGTAATTGTGCATATAGACTTTTGAAATGAAGCGCGTTCAATATCTTGTACCACATACCAGCGCGTTTCTTTTTTTGTACATCATCTCATGCATAATATTTCTTCCTTATTCGTTTCGGCAAAAAAAAAAAAAAAAAAAAAAAAAAAAACCAGCCTTCACTTTTCAACTACAGTTACGCGTGTCTCCTGCGCGTTATAGAAAATAAAATAAAATAAGATACTCATTAAGTTCAATATAATATCTTTTTATTTTTAAATGTTGCGCCAGTTCAAAGGCTATAGAATAAAATAAATATAATAGAATAAAGTAAAGCAGATATTCAACACGATAACTTCTTAGGACCAAAAAAAAAAAAAGGAAACTCTGGCTGAAAATATGTCTTGTGGTTCTCACAAGGCTAATGAGTAAATCACCATTGTTTTAAACACGTTTGGAGACGGAGTGTGTCCTCTCTGTTAGCCTCTTTCCTTTGAGATGGAGCACGTTCCTCCATCTCATTTCTCCCAAAATCGTTAGGATTACAGCTTGATCAAGAAAAAAAAAAAAAAAAAAAAAAAAAGGCAATAGCAAGGGGAGGAGTTAGTAACTAGCGGACTTTTTTTTTTTTTTTTTTTTTTTTTTTTTTAAACTTCTTCATCGGATTTACAAGGACTAGATCGTCAAACCGGCCTACACATGTAGTCTAGCTTTGAGATAGATATCGCTTGATCAGCCCAATAAACTCTGTAGCTCTTTTTTTTTTTTTTTTTTTTTTTTTTACGCTTGAGATGGTTTACCATTATGTGTACAGTTCATGTACATGAATGAAGCTATACTTCTGTGATCTCAGATAGGTATATAGTATATATATATATATATATGTATATATTATATATATTTTAGTTCTTAGCCATCGGAGGAAAAAGCTCTTTTTATTTTATAAAAAGTCAAGAGTATAAACCCACTCATTCCATGGAGTGCCATATGTATATATATACCTGTGGGTTTATAGTCGGATGTGTTTGTAAAATAAATAAATAAGTAAATAAAAGGAACAAAATAGATAGAAACTTCCTTAAGCCGAAAGATTCTTCAACTATCTTCACTAATAGGCCGTGGAGTCTTATTCCTCCTGTAAAGATCTCTACCTTGACTTCATTAGTTTGTGTTTTGGCACATTCCACACTATATACATCTGTTGTTCTGGTCTTGTTTCTCTTCCATTTTTTTTTTTTTTTTTTTTTTTTTGTTATGTCTTTACCCTATTTTACTTATTCTTCATTACCCTTTTTTTTTTTTTTTTTTTTATTTTTTATTTTTTATTTTTATTTTCTGCTCTCCCATTGTGCTTATAGTTTCTCTTCTCTTTACTTTTGTTTACAACCTGCATTAACCTTCTTTTTGTGCCATCTGTTGTTGACATCAGTACACGAGTACACGTGATGAAAGCCTTCGAGGAAACCCAGAGTTCACGTTTTTTTTTTGTGTCCGTATCCTAAATCCAATCCTTACGAAAAAAAAAAAAAAAAAAACTCTTTGTCTATTGTTCCATTTCTAGCCACATGGGGCAAAAAAAAAGCAGAGGAAAGTGAACCGAATTCTCCACTTCTGTCAAGAAAATCAAGGACGACTTCCGCTCTATCCCCAATGGGCCATATAACCACAAGGCAAATGAGCTTCGCGAGCCAATCAGACTGAAGTGGCCATGGACGAAGCCGGCTATATAAATTCTAAAGCACCTCATGCTTTCATCTAAAAAAAAAAAAAAATTAATAAAGAACCCATGTTCATAGCACAACGTTTTCTGTCCATATCTAATTATGGCAGACGAACACTTATTGGACGCTAATGTCGAGAAAATTGACAGTTAGAGAATGAAAACTCATTTTTTCATTAATGGAGCTCCAAATTGATTGAATGGCACATTTAAATTGGCTTCGATAGTAATATTTTAGTAACATAGTATTTTATGTTGTTGATTTGCTGCATCAGTGTTTGTTTCGACTCGATAGTCTAATGTAAGCCCAAGGATTATTAAATAGGCCTCACTGAATCGAAAGAACAAGCTGTATGCGAAGGAGTCTCACGAACTATGGGCACTATATATTTTCAAGGCAACCTTGCCAGTAAATACCATGGATAAATATCTTAAACCGTTATTTCCAATACTTGCTGGATATAACACTTTTTTTTTTTTTTTTTTTTTTTTTTTTCAGAGAATAACTCCGAGAATTCTGTCTCTCATTTCTTTTGCATACAAATTACATTCCTTTCTCTAATTTTCTCAAAGATGGCAACGCTTCTAGCAGCAGCCCCTAGAAGAATATTGACAGCCATTGCTACATCAGGTCGTAATGACATTGGAACAAATTTGCACAATGGATGGTTAAAATCTAGATCAGTTGCAGCACCATTTGAGACTGCTTCAAAATTTACTCTCCACAATAAATTTGATCGATATTCTGCGCAGTTCTCAACGATGTCAGGTACCACAAAATATGACAAAAAAAAAACATTGGACACCTTGGCCTTTTTCTTTTTTAGAAGAGGTCGTTATTTTGAAATATATCACACCACAACGCTATGCTAGTTGTAGATAGAGAGAAAGAGAAAGAGAGAGAGTTACAGTCAGATCGAAGGAAATGCAGTCCATTGCTCTCCAACCTCCAATGATCGAGGAACATGCAACCACTTTCTTTTTTCATGCCTCGGAGCGTTGCGGGCAGAATGATAGTCTATTTTTTTATGGGGCAAAAATAAATCCAGATCATGATCATTTCTCCCAAACCTTACTCCTTTTTCTTTCGTTCCTCTTTTCAATAGGCATACAATACGCAAAGAGGGGCCGCCCTGGCCCAGGAGATGGTGTTCAAGTTAACTTTATCTTACAGGATGGAGAAGAGGTGTCAGTTCAGGCGCATGAAGGCGAAAGTCTCTTGGATGTTGCCTGGGCAAATGATATTGATGTTGAAGGCATGTATTGCTACTACATGCCTAGTGCTGTTGCTACAAAAAAGAAAAAGAAAAAAAAATATGCTGAAGTAGCTTTTTTTTGTTGTTTCTTATAGGTGCATGCGAGGCCACACTTGCTTGTTCAACATGTCACTTGATTCTGGACCCAGAGTCGTATAGCAAATTGGAAGAGCCTACAGACGAAGAGAACGACATGTTGGACCTTGCATTCGGACTGACAGATACGTAAGGATCTAGATGGCGGGATTACCTTTGTTCATCATCCTCTTTAGCTTGATATACGAAGCTTTTTTTTTTTTTTTTTTTTTTTTTTTTTTTTTTCATTTTTGGCTCGCTGACTCAAACGTACATTCATCCTTGTGAAACTAATTACTATTAATTAGATCTCGCCTTGGATGTCAAGTGCTGATGAACAAAGAGCTGGATGGTATTGTCGCCAAATTGCCAACCATGACAAGAAATGCGTGAGTATAAAATTACATGTCTCAACTTTGAGAGGGGGGGGGGGGGGTCTTGTTTTCTCTTCAAATTACTGACTCTCCATTTGTGTACTGTTAATTCATCTTGCTTAATAGATCTACATAGAATAATTACAGTATTAAAAAAAAAAAAAAAAAAAAAAAAAAAAAATGAAAAAAACGTTCGTGTACAATATTTGAGTCCAACATATTTAGTATGTTTAGTACAAAGCTCTTTTTTTTTTTTTTTTTTTTTTTTTTTTATTCCAAAGTCATCAGATTATCAAAAAGTGAGGAAAAGTTAATAGATGAAAAGAATGAAAAATAAATAATGATACATCTTTCCAAGTCAAGGCGATTTTGGTGATAACTAAAATAATAAATTGGACTGTCGTGAGAAACCTGCATTATTGGGGAGATATCATTGAGAAAGAAAAAATGTTGGTATAAGAAATACAAAGCTGAATGGTGCCAAACAGTATCGCAAAAATAAAAATTAAGGGAATAATGATGAAAATAAAATAAAACAAAGCAAAACAAAACAAAAAAAAAAAAATATAGGCTCGATCTTTAGATGAGTGGACGGCGGTTATGAGGATGCAGTTGGTCATAAAGATGCGGGTTCACTATTATAGAGAATCAAGGTCGTCAATAACTGCTAAATGTAAATCAGGTACCATTTATCAATAAAATGTAATAAGCTTTTCCAAAACTTACTCTGGAGATACAAAGACTGGGCATGACTACTATCATAGTAATCTCTGTCAGATGAAGTGGTCGAGGTATGACTGGGGGGTGTGGGCATTGGATGGACCTGTTGCTCAATTCCCAACGAGTTGACCAACGTGCCCATGCCATATAGCGTTGCTTGAGGTTGCAATACCTTGATAGGTCGGTTACTGTTACTAGTAGCACCAGGATTAACGCTGGGAAGAGCGCTGCTTGGACCCGTTGGGCCGCTATTACTGCTTGCTCCCCCCACTGGCGGTCTGTTGCCGCCATAATATGATGGAGTTTCGGTATCTCCGGTTGAAGTTGTTGGCATAGCACTCATAGCTGAAGAAACGGCCACATTTGTAACCGATGTCGCCTCTGGACGCGGGGCAATCCAACGTGGCGGGGCAATCTCATTCAATCGCGTTGGCTTCTTAGGGACTGGTGGTTTCACACTTTGACTCATGCTGGAGGAACTAGAGCTACCTGTGGATTGTGAGAGGATACGTTTAGGCGGTTTAGGTGGTGGCACGGCAGCTTTTTTTCTGGCAGCATCTACCGCCTGTGCAGTTGGCAGAGCCGGAGGCTGCGATGATGCTTGCGTGTATGCAGTTATAGAGGTCGGCGTTGCGTTTGCACCAAAAGGTCTGCCATCCATGCTTCCAAGGCCTAACAAATCACCCACGGGAGTAAGTGGCGATGAAGACTGGAAAAAGGAATGCTGTCCATAGGTCGAGAGACCATTAGTGACCCCACCTTGATGACTATTAGGCTCAAACATACCAGGGTTACTACTTGTAGTCGTAGAATTGTAAAAGGGAAATGAATTGGATGCATCATAGACTGCAGTCTGTCCGTGGCTCGTTCCAGACGCGGATGAAACTCCCGAGAACTCAAACCCCATCGAGAAGCTAGTATTAGTCATGAAACCTGGTGTCGCTACCATCCCAGAGGATCCTTGGGATTGGGATTGGGATTGGGATTGGGATTGGGATTGACGGAGCACGCGACTTGCAGACTCAAAGGAAGGGTAAGCATGGGTTTGTAAAGGTGAAAACATATCTGCGTCTTCTGTGCTATGGTGATGCTGCTGGTGTTGGTGCTGAGGATGTATCATATTGCCATTGTGTCCGTTAGGATGGTTCATTGACATTCTTTGTACAGACTCTGACGGTGAGGCAGGGGACATAACACCTGTATAACTGTAATCTGAGGTAGGTGTTGCAACAAAGGGTTGGTGTTGTTGATGTTGTTGATGTTGTTGTTGTTGTTGCTGCTGCTGTGGTGGTGCCAACAAAAAGTTATTCACCATTTCCTCCATAGACGTAATATCCTTCTCTAAACTTGGAAGCTTCGCTAAGCTAACATATCCTTTGATCAAGTCCATAGTTCGATAATACAGATTTTGCGAATTAACTGCTGATTGCGTGACCATCTGAAAGACATGAATCTCTGCTGCCTGAAGCATGTGATAAGCAAAGAGTCCACATCCAGGCCAGGGCCAGCTATAGTTTTGGAAAATGATTTCTCCAATCTGAGTGAGCATGGCTGCGGCGTGTGAACACTTGGCTATTGGCGAATTATTGTCTTTGATCTCGCCTCGATGCTTTTTGCTGCTAATGAGGGGTCGGTAGAGAAGCAGTTTGTGGCTGTAAAAGAATCGATGCAAGTAGAGGGTATAATATGAAGGCAGAGGCGTGGCGCTAGCTCCTGCTGATCCTTGGCTATTATCCATGGCGCTATTGCTGTTGCTGCTGTCGACATAGACCAAATGAGCTGGAAGATTAGAAATCCAGTTGCTTAATGATAACTCAATTGCATCCATATCTGACCCTCTGATAGCACGTGCTAAGACACGTTCGTTCGTAATTGTCCTGTAGAAAATACAGATGCGGCGATAGATCTGCACAAGCTCCAGATGATGGTACCAAAATATCAATGTTGCACCTTGTACAGTATCTGGCATGAGACTGGCTTCTTGAATGAGCTTAGGCATGTCTAGCGTTGTATTTGCAATGCAGTAGTCCTGACCCAGCAAACTACTCGTAAGACCATCTAAGAAGAAACATCCGAGCCAAGCTAGTCGATTTTCTTGATGGATCACCATCCTTTTCTCTTGTGGTAGCCTGTTCTGCGGGCTGTTATGGTCGCAAGACTGGCCTCCTGTACCTCCATCCTGCTGGCGTGCGTTCATTAACATAGAAGAGAGGTGAGATGGTGTGTTGCCGGTACAAGATCGGCCGTAGAGACAATTTATTGAAGGGCTGTTGCTGATGCTGGGGGACTCTGTTTCACTCAGGTTCTTGAGAAGGGCGCGTGGCAGACCCATGTCCTGAGCCATTCTTGTCGCCAAACTGACATACATTCGAATCCGGAAAAAGTGACCAGAACGCTTCTCCTTTGTCTGATAATATGCAAGGAGCAATAGGCCTTGAACTGTGCTAAGTCTTGGAACATCCATGTAAGTGTCTAGCAATGTACGTGCATGATCATATAAAGCATGATGGCTCTCAAGACCTGATAGCTCAGGGATTTCCTGGAGCTCAAAATCTGTAGCATGACGTGCTGCCACTGCACATATGGCCATCAGTAGGAAAGGTGGTACACGATACTTTCCACCTTGACAAAGTGTCAGGAAACTAGACTTGTGGATCACAGGCAAGAATGTATGGACGCTGTTGAAATATATTTCCAAGAGCGCGCCAATGGCCTTTGAAGTCAATAAAGTATGAGGCAAAGTATAAGGCTGTGGACGACTGACCGACTCCCAATCCACAGAAGTCATATCAGGGAGATTGGTAGAAGGTGATGAACCGTAAATGCGTAAGTCGTTGTACGAGTGCTCCTTCTGGTCAAGCACTTTCGGGATATACTGTGCTGCTCCATCGCGCTCTACTTTGAGATTGCCCATCAACAAGCTCAAAACTTGCATTGAGTCATCTATAGCAAGGTTTCCATCATCATTTTCAGAGTCGGGTCCAGTCAAGTTGGGAGTACTAATGGTTGCTCCAGAGAATTGTTTTGTGAGGGAAAGGGAATGAGAGTGTCGCGAGTCAGCACTGTTGTGGTTGCTGTTGCTACTATGGTGATGTGATGGTTTGGATGGGGGCGTTGCAGGGATAGAAGATGGGGTATATGGAGAGGTGGGGTCACCATCATCTGGTATGAGATCACCATGGTCGTTGCCGTCCATGGGCATGGGCACAGAGCCTTTACCCCAGCCACGCGAGAGCAGACCTTGTAAATGTGATTCCACGCTCTTTAGCCGATTCTCAAGCGTTTCCACATACTCTTGGTTGGCAGGCTTGGTAGCCACAGGGTAAACACACTCGGTGCGGAACTTTTCGCAGTGGGCGCAGGGAACCTGACCATCACACTTGATCTTTTTGTGGCGACAGTTGACACAGGCTGTAGAGATTCGGATTCGCTTTGCGGGCTTTTTAGGTGGGGCCTTGGGAGGACCCGGTGTGGACGTAGTAATAGATGACTCTTGTGTTAGGTTGGACCTGAGGGATAACAAGACAAATGGAGACGACGTTAGTCTCTGTAGGACAAACAATCGAAGGGAAACACGTGCACGAAAGTGAATCCATTATCACTAAAATGGCCCAGTTGTCGGGCCAAAAGTTGCGTGTGTGTATTTGGGGGACATTGTGACTGAACAGGCTATCGCCATCCAACCTGAAAGGCACTAGGTAAACAGCCTCCGAGAAAAAACAACAGAAAATTGAGCATCATAAGCTGGCCGAAGAATAACATGAGGAATGGTGTAAATCGGGTCCGTTTAAAAAAAAGGAGTGAATTTGGGCGTATGATGTGATTTTGTACTCTGTTGTCTCTGTTGTTGCAGTGGGCGTAATTAGAAGAGAAGATATCAGAGTAGGATACACGCCATGAAAGCGCAATTATACCGCTTACCAAAAGGTCTTCGCCTGTAAATGACTGTTATTATCATGCATATCCCCTTGCTGTCAAGGTAGCCGAAGAGGGGGGACAGAGTGTAGGTAGCGCTGAGGGCGTTATTTTCGTTGACAGTGAATAGGGACAATATTCCAGCCGGATGAGGCAAGTGAGTAAAGGCTCTTACTAACTGGGTTTATAGATTGTAATAAGACAGGGAGGTATCCACGGTATATGAAAATTAGGAATTAGGACAGAAGCAGGTTTGTGAGGAGTACTAAAAACAAAAAAAGTGTGGGAATGGGCGGTGCTAATGGTTGGTTCGACCGTGCACAAGGGCAGGAAAAAGGGGGAGGACGAGGCAAAGCTGAGCAAATGCGCAGAGACAAAGAATCTAGGGGAATACAATTGAAAGTCGCTCAACGGCCAAGTGATAACAGGATCTGAGTATCTGAAGATCTTAGTATCGGGATGAGAGGGTAGTGGATGTGTGCAATATAGGAGAGGGTTTCGAATATGTGGAAGATGAAATGAATTAGAACACAGGAGATAGAAAGTGAACCTTAGTAAGAAAGCAGGAGTATATAATAAATTTTTTTTTCTTTTTTTTTTTTTTTTCAAATGAAAAACAATATGAATGTCAAAAAGAATGTTAATGCCAATGAGAATGATGGGATGAGGATGATGTAGAAAATGATTAGCAATTGGCAATCGGCAATTAGTCAACTTTACAAAAAAAAAAAAAAGGAAAGAGAGAAAAAAGAGTAAAGAGGGTCCAGCACACAAGAGGTTTTTCCTCTTTGATGTGCGGAGTCATAGATGACGAGACGGAAGAGCAAGCACAATTTGCCCCCCGCACCCTTGTCTCTGTTTTGGTCTTGTTATTTTTCCATCTGCTGGATGGATGCAGTAGGCTGGACAGACCAAGACAGACTACAAAAACCATCCACAAATATTTATATCCATACAATATCAAGTGTGCCCTTCTCTCTTGCATTGAACATGTACTCTTTTGTGTGTACAATGCCAGATACAACAAACAAAATGTAACAACACAACACATGCACATCTCTTTTTCTCTCTCTCATGTTGAGAAAGAAAGTGTCAATACAAAACTGCAAATGATAGGATCAGGGCCAGAACCATCTGCAAGGAGTCCCATGCATTTGTCATTCCATGGACTGGAGTGAAATTTATAGACATGGATTGGAGGAAATGGAGAGATGATCAGAATTGACCCAGAGAGGAAAGGGAAATTACTGAACGCTGTAAAATTTTCAAAAATAGCTTCAATATCGAACTTTATGAGGCCCTGTGATGAGGATGACGATGGATAATCAATTACACCAAAATATTAGTTATATTTTTGTGCAGTTCAAGTTTGATTTTTTATTCTACCCCACATCCTTGAAATCGGATGTTGGAGTTCCATTTTGTATTAAGGAATATCAGAAATGTGAATATTGCATACTCATTAATATATCGGCGTTGAGCTCGCGCGCGATGGCTTCTTTTGATCCATACCATTCTCGTCTTAGAGACTTTGCTGTCCAAACTCAGTAGGGCTCACTATATTAAATTAATGGCATCAGTACATTTATATAAATGCTAATCGTTTTTTCCTTACAGCACTTCGTATATAAAATTCATTATAGCACACACTCGTTTCTCACGTTTTTTCAGCCCATCTCTTGCTATCTACTTCCAAGCTTCTCTGTCTTTTTTTTTTTTTTTTTTTTTTGAGAGCCTTGTTTGGTCAAATACTCATTTTTAGTGCTAATGCAAATGCAACACTGAGATGTTGATGTGACAAATGCGTAAATAAACAAAAAGCCTGAAGGAATCAAGGCAAAAAAAGGAAACAGTGTTTAATAATAAACATCGATTGCAAACATTTTATTAAAGGTTATAGGCACATCCAGTCATCCAGCTGTGAAAAACATACTCCATCTGCTATCATATTTCTGCGCGTTCCATTGAAACAAATGAATGACATATTTTCAATCTTGAATGCAAGTATAAAAGGAATCGTATCAGCACAGCACATCCAATACTATACACATGTACATGTTCATGTATTTTTTTTTTTTTTTTTAACGCGTCAGTGACCTTTGTCTTGTTGATATTTATTTGTTTATTTAAGTTTTTTGCGACCATCCATTGGTGTCTTCATGAAGAAACTCTTGGAAAGTAAATAAATGGTCGTTTTTAAAAGAATACCTGGGTTGCGACTGACAAACGTTCATTGCAACGTCGCTTTTGCATTTGTTTTTAAAGGGCGTAAAACGATGTGACCATTGCGCAAATAATCAAGGAAACTCATGGGTCTGGGAGCGCACCTACGCTCTATATCTGGTGCTTCTTTTTTGTAAAGACCAGCCTTACTGAAGACTGAACATAAGCTTGTGGAGCCGTGTTGAGGTTTACAGCAGCTTATGGGCTCAAAGGCATCCAGAACTTGGCCCGAGAGGCCAAGACAAGCAAATCACGTATTATTCCATAGGGATCAAGGCATACACTTCTGGTTATATCAGTGAAAGTCGGCAGGCCAAGTCTCATGGCAGCAACTATTGAAGGATGGCTATGCAGCTAAACAGAACCTTGTTGACCCATGCTTTCCTTGTTTTTCATGCCCTTCACTTTTTAGGGTCTAGACAATTATATATGCCTTTTTATTATTTCCAACTACCTCAATACCCCAACAATTTAAAAACTAGGGTGCTATAAAAATGAATAACTGCCTAACTATCACCCAAGCGCCTCGCTCATGGATGGTAATCTGCAGAATAGAGAGGGTCTTTCAACCTGTTTTTGGTGCTCTTGGCCGACAGTCCTATGTCAGACTAATTCCCAAAACCAAACTCAAGTATGGCCTTATTAGGACCAGGGAACTGTCAGTATTTGAAGGCGTCGCAGAAGAACAAGAAACTTTCACATCAGGCTGGACGTGATCCATGGCAAGAAAACCTTCCAGTCATTTGAAGATGCAATTCATATTTTGGGCCAAGGCTTCCAGGTTCTTAATTATTTTTATCGCAGTGTAAGATTAAGTGTTGAGTCTCTCTCTCTCTCTTTTTTATTTTTTTTATTTTTCCAATTTGCATTTTAAATCATACCGTGGGTAGTCCCTATCCTGATATTCCAATGTCTGGTATGTAGAAAGCTGTTATCCACTTTGATTGAACAAAAATATCCCAAAGCTTAAAACTCCTCTAAACACATTGCTACAGATCTCAAAAAATCGCTGAGAAGTTACTTGGCTCTACTGAGCGATAGGCGCATTTGATTAATGAGGCTTGAGGCCTTTTTTTCCGTGCGTGCATTTCTACTTCAATAGAGGCGCTGAGGCTTCGATTCACCATCCCCTCCACATTTGAGCTTCTGGGATTTAGAGCCTAAAGGATGGAGAGAAGTTGTGGGGACCGTTGACATCTCAGACTTAGAGGCACTATGGATTGTAGAAACACATATACGGAAACTTTTGGTGGATCGCTTGACAAAGGGTGATGGCCTAGTACTATTTCTAAGAGAGCTTTGCTTTGACAGCAAGCGCCGGCTACAAGTAGTTTATCACGATGAAAATCTCTACATTGGAATCGGGTATAAAGTAAAATTTTTTTTACAAGAATTTTGACTTCGAACCGTTTCTAAACGAGCAAAATAAAAAGAAGCATTTTTTTTAATTCCACGCTCGTTTTTTCATCTCTTCGACTTATGTTTTATTTGATTTTATTATTATTTTATTAAACCACTCTATACTTTATGAACATGTATAAGCGTGCAAGGTAATTTCTTTAGCCTTCCCTGCGCACGTAATAATCTATTGGCTCTCCAGTTCTTATTCTCTATTATCTCAAGCTGTCGTAGAAGAGGAAGAAGATGATGAAGAAGACCCTGAAGGAGACCATGGCAAAGAAATACTCTCCCATCGGCTCTTCTTGATCTCCTGCGAAGGTGGTGACGCTGAACTTCCCTGGTCAATCAGGAAAAAGCTCTCTTCTTGCTGAGGATGTCCAAGTTGATGATGTTCATGATGAAAGTCGTATGACGATTGTAATAGTGATTTTTTGTTGTCAGATGTCGTTGTTGGATCCTGGTCCTTTGAAACAGACCGGGATGGTGTGTTTGTGGTCAAGGATGACGTTGATGACGGCGGCGACGACGGCGATGTCGATGCAGACGCGTTTGATGACGAATCTTCTGGAAAGCTTCTTATCATAGGCTCATCCGCAATTTGTAATACAAACCCTCCTGTTGAATTACCAATCCCAATCTCCTGTCCTGTGTATGGGGTATGATTCCTTAAGCGTAACGAGACGTCCAAAATCTCATTCAGAGTTCGTTTGAGTATTTGGTTTTCTCGCCTAAGCTCCTCAATTTTCTGATCCGCGGCAATGGCTTGCTCTTTGATCTCCTCCCGTAGCTCTGATGTGATGATCAGTAAGTTATCGAGTGAATCATCGATATGATTTTTTCTATCTCTTGCGTTCATGCGTGTCCTGTAGTGATAAGCGCAGTATGAACGGATTAAAATCCTTAGTTGCCTGATATCTAGCCGAGTGGTCGAAAGCATTGACTCTGATGCATTGGATTAAGCAGTTACCTTGTGTTCTCTAAAATAATTAATGATCCAGCAACTCCAAAAATGATGGCTTCACCCAGAAAGTTGGCACCAATTTCCACGGCTCTGAAGAAAAAAAAAAAAAAAAAAAAGGTCGAGCAGGATGGTTTAGATATTAAGATCGATTTAACCTCGAGTCCACTTTTGAGCCACTAGTTATGGCATGGATCTCTTTAACATACCTGGCATCATTTAAGGGACGGATCGACTCGACTTTGTAACCCAGGAACTTCATCTTCAGCTGCATTTCAGTCTTATGTGAGAACTAATCATTATACAATTAGGAAACATTAAACTTAATTCGTTATCGAACTTAGAAATCTGGTATGGGCTACAATGCAGTCTAGTCAATCCATCATGCTTACAAAGTCAAGCTCCTTACCTGAGCCACACTAATACACGCATCTCTGAATCTATAAAGCCACCACCGCGAAAATAATGAAGGTATTATATGTAAACGCGTGAGAATCGTATGATTTTATCGACATTCTCTGTTGGGCGCGTTCTCTTTCCTCTTTTCCATTTTTCCTTCTCTTTAACACATCTCCGGCCGAATAGATTCAAGAGCATCGGCTTACTTTGGATGCTTGACACTGTAAGATTTTATAGAGTTGGCAATTGGTTTGGCAATCGTACGGATCGCCAGGAAACCAAGTTTAATTGCAGACATCTCGTCAAACTGCCCACTGTTGTAGCAAAGGAGTGGAGTTTCGACAACTCTTTATACTGAAAGATACTTTTCCCCCTACTATGCTGACGAAGACTTAATTAATCCACGGTGAGCCTTTTCCAATGAATGCTATTTGATTCCAAGTCTGTTCCTGTAGCTCTCACGGAGGTGCTTGCTGAATATGGGCCGTCTGTATCCCTGTATCGAGTGAGGGGTCAAATTATACCTTGCAATATCGTTTTGCCACAACAATCGGGAAATAGTGGTGAAACAAAGAGCTCGGTTTGATTTATTGATGACTCTAATTGATTGGTGGGTTTGTTGGGAAGATGGAGTGAGGAAAGAAAGAGTTATTCATTACCTTTCCATGTCAGGGCGAGTTCTGCGCAGAAGTGTATGGTGGCTTTGACATATACCCATTTGGCAATTTTTCAAAATGTTGAGCCCGATGGATGTTGACACGCGTGGGATAGTAGGCTGAGTATTTGGGTCTGCAACCTGGAACACAAACTTGAAGATTGTCCCAAGTAGATGAACGAGATTGAAGCTATTTCAAGATACGCGTGTAGATGCTTTCAGAAAACTACGTGTGAATTGGGCCCTTAGGAATTAAGGCATCACAATTGCTTTGTCGCGTGCCAATACAAATATGGCAGATCTTATGTATCACCGTGATAATATACCAAAAAAACAGCTTACATGGTCTGATTTCAACAAGAGATCGGATCTTTGATTCATGAATCCAGTATTAATTTAATATTTCTTGATATTATTGCTCAGCTCATTGTAACATCCTTTCAATACATTCAGAAGTAAACAGGGGTATATACAAATAGTACTTTTGAAAGAAGGATTTTTATTACTGAAACGGTAGACATTTAATTAAGCGGTCTCGCCCTCCTTCTTAAAGACATAAGTCAAACCGCAGCGACCGCAGTACTGACGGTCATGATGCCAGGCCATGAAAACACCAGCACCGCAGGTCTCAGAGGGGCACTCGCGGCGAAGACGGGTGATCTTGCCGTTGTTGTCAACCTGGTAGAACTTGAGAACAGCCAATTTGACCTTTCTCTTCTTGTGCTTGATCTTCTTGGGGGTAGTGTAAGTCTTTTTCTTACGCTTCTTAGCACCTCCCAAGAGGTCGATGTTAAGGTCCAAGGTGGCCATGGCAGGGATGGTGGCCAAGAGAGTCTCGGACGAGAGAGTCTTGCCAGCGAAAGAGAGGCGCTGGGCAGCGGCAGCGATACCTGTGAAAAGATCATTTTTTTATTCCCATCGAAAACCGAATGAAGGGAAATTGGATGTTTTTTTTAGCGTTCTAAAGTCGTTTCCAGATCCTTGTCCTTCACATGACATCAATTTCAAATCTCAATCCATTGAACGATTCGAGTTCATGAATCATCCAGATGTAAATCCGGTTGGTTCCTGTCACATACCCTCACGCTCCTGGATCATGGCCTTGACATTGTTAATGCTCTGACCAGCCTCAGCATTGACGGCCAAGGTCTTGCCGGTGAGTGACTTGACGAAGAACTGCATCTTGACTAAAAAAAATGTAAAAAGCGAAATTGGGGCAGTTTATATCCATTATTAGAATTGGATGCGCCAATGCATTTTTTTTTGTATTTCATTCATTCGTTAAAATCCATGCTGAAAATCTGAAATGTCCAGGATCTGTTAATGCATCTACTCGTGATGTTGAATTCCGTTTATCCATGTGTAAATCGTTTCGCATTCATCATGTCCATATAGTTGATATCGTCCTGTTGTGATAAACCAGGGTAGCGCCAGAATCTTACATGAAGAAGAAAAGGAAGGACCAGACAAATCCTGCTATCCAACGACAATAAATCAAAACAAGTTGTATGGATTGAAACCTATAGCTTACGGCAACCGAACTACTTATACGTCATTCTGCTGCCCCTTAACACTTAAATCCTGGTGAATATGTAAATACAATAAAAGTTCTGCAATTGCAAGAGAAACAGGTTCTGTTGATGGTGTCTATTTTTGGCCCTTATCGGTTGAGATTTGTTTCAACTTCTGTGGCGAAAATGTTATCACAAATATATACAAGATGAAAGGTTACCATGATTTTTCAGATCATATTGAGCGCCTGGTGATCCTACATGGTTTCACACTCGCTATTTTTGGGTGTGCTGGTTCCCACAATTCTCTAAATGCAAACTATTTTTAATGAAGCGCGATCAATTCAAATTCAGGGGTAAATCTAATCACCCCAGTGAAATTTCTTGTGTCTTGCATTCTTACACATTCGTCAAGGATCCAGAAACGATCATTTACTGCTAATCTTTATCCGGTATTGGATACAAGAAAAGAAAAAACGAGCTTCTGATCTGATTGCTCCGTGCACTCCTCTCTGTACAGGGACTGTAAGGCGGAGTATCCTGTATGTGATGCTTGCTTTTTTAAAAAAAAAATCCCGCGCTTGTATACATGCGATTGCATCGATTGCATAATCAATTCATGATATATGCATATTTTTTGCGGTTCCAAGGGCTTCGTGAGTTACATCTCCAGTCGGCATGGACCTTCTGATGAATAATGTGAACGGGAAAAGAAAAAGCTTATTGTATTTGTATCTTTTGAGAGATGAAGATCGCCGCTGGTGCGATTTCAAGCCTAAGCTACTTGTACAACATTTCAACAGTAACGGGCTATTCTTCATAGTTTATCAAGAATATGGCGGTATCAAAATATTTCCTTCTTTTTTTGACATGCTTGTATGAGTGAATAGTTGTCCAAAGGCTGCTCCAAATCTCTTAAAGCAGTGGTAGATGTAAACAACTGGACACAGGAAAAGAAGAAGAAGAGGCATAATTTTATTTGTCTGAGAATGCTTATTGGGTGCAAGAAAGCTCATTTTCATTCTTAAGTTGAACTGTAATCGTACATAGGACAGATGAGAGCATGGGAAACGCCACGCCGGTCATTTTGACACTACCCGCCAATGCGACAAGAAAACAAACAAGTTTGTATATAATCAATAAAATAGTGCGAGCATACATGTATATACATTTCTTGCAAGATGTCCAGTCAATCGATCAGAGCCCTTCAGTGAACAAAGGCATCTAATTCACCCAGCCATTCGCTTTCCCCTTTCTTTTCTCCTTTTGTTCCTTTTTTTTTTTTTTTTTTTTTTCATCAATTGCTGCCCCATCTGCATTCAGCGTTCATTCCTGCATCTCTTCAAAAAAAAAAAAAGAAAAAAAAAGCATCGATTGCATTGGCGCGTATCTGTTACACCTTCATCAACCAGGAACTTTTTAATTTTTTTCTCTTTCTTCGTCAGCGATAGCCCATTGCATCTTCTAACGCCTGTATATCCTCTTTTCGAGGAATTTCCTTGCCACCCCCATATCTCTCCTTAATCTGCAGGTAAAGAAAGACAAACATCAGAATTCAATCCATCAGCACTTGGGCTCGTACTCCGAGGCATATCAATTTTGACTTCCACAAACCACCAGCTTTCGCTCCAAATTCTCCATCATCTTTGAATGTATCATCTCGATCAAGTCTCAAGCATTCATATTCTATTCTTCATCTTATTAAGATCGTTGCTCACTTGAGGAAAAAAAAAAAAAAAAAAAAAAAACCACATGTGCTCTACGTAAACCAAAAGCATATCCGCATGTTTTCCCTTCAATTCATACATCCTTAATAACATAGCCCCATTTTCCCCTTCTTTCCATTTCACCATTTCCTAACCCCATGTAGTTATGTTTTATAAGCAAGCACTGCTTATGAAGCAATTTCTTTCCCTTTAGTTCGCTTGCTCCACTCTTTCAACGTTCAAACTGATGCTGGTTTCCCTTTGGATGGAAATCATCGTTTCTCACATGGATACTGTGCACTGGTATATCACAAAATTTATTTTCTTTTATCACAATTTACATCATTCAACATTTGGGAGGAGCGGGACGTTGTGTCCCACAATCCACAAGTTCAACGTAGTGGATTGTGTGATTGTAGAGGGAAAAAAACTGTTGGTGTCCCTGGTTTCTTTCTCCGTAACAGGGGTACATGTTTGAAACGCTTCATATTGGTGGCGAGTTACTTTTTGAGTGGAAATGCCATAGACAGTCTATCTACAATATTCTGGTGCCTCATATTTTATAGACATTGCTGTCTAGCTTAATCGGCTTTTTATCAGGCTCGGCTCTCAAAGAAGCAAAAAAAAATTAACCTGATTCTCTGATTCGAGACCCATTCTCTTCTCCCCCTATTTTGTGTAGTAAGACTGATTTGGCTAGGCATGCTTCATCACATCATACAACGCAATATTCAATTAATCCACCCGCCACACTACCTCACTCTGCCACTTCTTTTCACTCTTTAAAATATCTTCCTCATTTATCCCCTCCTTCCCCCTCTCAACCGTTTGTTCCAAGTCCGCGATCTGTTTCATTCAAGCGCGCGTAATTCTATCTTCATTGGTTATCGCGCTCTTGCTACTAACTGCTGTACGATACCTTGTATCTTGTTGGTACGGTACACCTGTCGCTGACCATAATGAATCAAGCGACTATCATCATTATTGTTATTATTATTATATTCCCCTCCATTTCATTGACTCTTCTTCCCTGTTCTTGTGAGGTTTCAAGCTTGGAAATGACTCAAATGTCCCTCTCCCTTTGAACCAGGGACCCCTGCCTATTGAGCAATGTTTTGATTCTCTACGAGAGTTTGTTTAATTATGCACATTTTCAAAGATGGAAAAAGCGATCATCGAGTGAGCACAATCATGTCATCCTGACCACACTAAGATGTAGCAAGCATTTGTTATCAGCACTTTTTTATGTATTTGTTATATATTTTTTTATCATTTGCCTGTCAAACAATCTTAATCCCAAGACAGTGTCATCAGCGAGAGCGTGCTAGCAATGATTCAAGGTTAATGTGTTGCATTATAGGCAATATTACCGATGGAGCTTTTTTGCTGTTCAGTTTGTAAAATTGTGCTTTGATCTCCAATGTCATCATCGACGTCAATTTTCTTTAAACAAGTCTGTAAACTGTGAGGAACCCTGACTAGACGCAATCTCAGGCACGCTAGTCTAGTGCACTCACCTCTTTCGCATTTGTTCATGTACATCAATCCCCACTCCGATTCTGTTTACCCTATTTTTACCCGCAAGGGAATTTGTCCGCTGATTTCATGTACCCACAATCCCACAGTGTCCTGCGAGATTTATTTTTATCCCTTGCGTGGTAACGTAATGTCTTCCTCTTACTTGAGTTTGCACTGGCCCATATCAAGTTAATATCATTCGGTTTGCAAACAGAATATGCACTTATTTACTTGATTATTACTGCACCTTCATCCATCTATTTCTATCTATTCAAAATCAATTGCTCGCGTGTCAGTGGTGTACAGATGCACAGTGAGAATTGATCTGATCCTTATCAATCCGACCGACCATGGTGTCCTCGTGGTCTGTTTTTACTGAAAAAACAGAAAAAAAAAAAAAAAAACACACTTCAAAAGGCGCTTAAATTAACCAAAACATTCCTTGATATCAACATTGTATTTCTCACAGATATCCAAAGGACATTTTTCTGTATTGGACCTTCAGTCTTTTTTTTTTTTTTTTCTTTCTTTTCTTCGGCTTTACCCTGGCCGGTTGTAATTTTACGGTTTAGTTGAGAGAGGTAAAGTTTATTTCATTTCCGTTATCGTGTATTACGACTTGATTAGGATGTGGCGGTGTTTTTATGAGGCCAAAGCCATTCCTGCAAATTTCTTGTGGCAACGTCATGGATACACTATTTCTACTCTACTTACGAACCCTTGCACCTGTTATCTATTTCACACGCGATCATTCAGTCTTGCCATTGATACACCATGGACCCAACTCACCCAGACATAGAGGCCCATGGCGTTGCATATGATGAACCTCAAGGTCGACGAACAGGAGCTCATGTTACAGGAAACTCTCTGAGCCCAGATAATAATACGACAAACGCCAGACGCCCTACTAACTTCAAGCGTCAAAAATCACTTGTCAGGCCGGAACGTGAACGTGTTGATCGCAACCATCCACAGTACTACTATCGAAATGCCACGCAAAATCTCGATGGTTCAAACATCAGAGTTCAAGCATCAACGACAGGTACAGATCCTACAGGGGCGACCCTGAGCCGCACTGGTGTACGCCGCGGAAAGAGTGTACTTGGCCGCGAGCCTGAGAAGGCCGGTCAACCTCGTCTCAAAGCAAAGCCTGCGCCGAAGAATAAATTTGTTGACATCAAAGCATTAAACAAGGAGAAGGAATGGCCATCCAAATGGGTGATTTATTATAATGCGATTACCTGTTGTTTCCCTGCGGCGCTTCTCAAATCATGCGGTATGGGAAATCATGCTACTGTTGCACATCATATCATATCCGAATGGAAAAGATATCATTAACAGTTGGTGATTGATCCATCCTCAATAGGAATGCATACCGCTGAAATTCAGCGAGCATGGCGCGAAAAGATTGCACTCGTTTCACTGATTATCATGATGGTACTGGCAGTGGCCTTCTTAACGTTCGGATTGCAACAAGCTTTGTGCAGGGACAATCAAAGCGGGAAATATGTTGCTGGATCACGGCCGGAGAACGTCATTATCCATGGCAAGGGTTATTACTTTAATGCTGAAAAGTCTCGTTATGGCGGAATTGTCTGGATGCACCCTGCCATTAATAAGGACATCTCGAATGAGCCTGTTGATATTATGAATGCCCCTGATTACGGTGCCAAGGGCATGGACGCTTCGTTTTTGTTCCAGGATCCCGCTGGCGGTGCTTGCGAAGGCTTTATCAGGCGTTCAGCTCCTCCAGCTGGTGATGATCCTCAGGCCAATTATTACTTCCCATGTGTTATGCGCAACGTCGATGGTTCTACGTCGGTCAACAATGCAGCAGACAAAAACGCAGTAGCAGCTTGCCATATTTCTAACCGCAATGTCTGGTATGGCCTTGCGAAGCAATCAGACGCTCCAACTTATTACACTTGGGGCAACATCACCAATTCGCAGCGCAACTTCTTCGCTTATGATGGCGATGTAATTGATGCAGATATTCTCAAATGGATCAAACCCGAATTTACTCTTGATGAGCGTATCTCAGCACTCTTCAATGGAACTATTGGTCTTCAACGAGACCTCTCTTTCATGTTTGCACAAAGGAATATGATTAACTTGGGCAAATGCCTCAAGCAGATTGCGAGAGTTGGAGCAATGGATTCGAAGACTATTGGCTGCATGACTTCAGATGTTATTACTTATGTGTCGCTAGTCATTATCTTGGGCGTTGTCTTTATCAAGTTCTTCTTGGCCGTCTTCTTTGGCTGGTTCTTGAGTCATAAGCTTGGTGGTTTTGATAATGAGACGTACCAAGACCGCATGAAGCGTGCAGAACAGATCGAAGCCTGGAGCTCCGATATCAATCGACCTGCATTCAGTACGAAACGTCAAACTTTCTTTCCCACCACATCACGATTCACTCCTACAACCCCTACAGGTTCATCCAGCGCTCTCAATGGCTCATCCCTTGGCCAGCCAAGTTCTCGTCCTTTGTCCACTTTCAATCGCCCAACTAGTGTTTTTAAGCCGTACACCCCACCTGGCTCACCCGGCGCCAATCCAGCCCATCTGTCTGCTTCAAACACATCCTTGAGCAGAGCCTCATATTTTAACCAGCCTATGGGTCCCAATGGAACTCCACCTCCATCACCGCCACCTCTACCTGGCGCCATCAGGCCATCTAGTGTAGCTAGTTTTGGAGGTCTGCGACAAATGTCTCGCCGCTCCTCTACCTCATCGTCGACTGCAACCCAGCCATCTAACTGCCCACTCCCCTTATCGCCCTTTTCTATCGCACAGCCTCCAGTTTCGTACCAACCTTTCAATTTCCCGTTGATCCACACCATGGCGCTGGTCACCTGTTATTCGGAAGGCATTGACGGTTTGCGTACAACCCTGGATTCGATCGCAACCACAGATTATCCCAATTCACACAAGTTGATCGTTGTTATTTGTGATGGTATGATTATTGGAGCTGGTAATAATATGTCAACTCCTGATATTTGTCTCTCGATGATGCAAGACGACCTTATTCCCCGAGATGAAGTGATGGCACACTCATATGTGGCCATTGCAGACGGTACGAAGCGTCATAACATGGCCAAGGTTTATGCTGGCTTTTACAAATATGACGACGAGACTGTTCCAGATAAAAAGCTCCAAAAGCGCGTTCCCATGTGCCTTATTGTTAAGGTCGGAGGTCCTACAGAGCAAAACATGCCCAAGCCTGGAAATCGTGGAAAGCGCGACTCTCAGATCATCTTAATGGGTTTCTTGCAGCATGTCATGTTTGACGAGCGCATGACCTCATTCGAATATGAATTGTTCAATACGATCTGGCGTATCACAGGTGTAGCTCCAGACCGATACGAAATTGTTCTCATGGTAAGGGTTCTTTTTATTTATTTGTTATAATTGGTATTTATAAAAAAAAACTCAAGATTCTCATTTCTGGTAAATTAATGCTTATACTTTTAGGTGGATGCTGATACCAAGGTCTATCCAGATTCGTTGTCCCGCATGATTGCCGCCATGGCCCATGATTATGAGATTATGGGGCTGTGTGGAGAGACCAAGATCGCTAACAAAACCGATTCGTGGGTTACTATGATTCAAGTCTTTGAGTACTACATTTCTCATCATATGTCCAAAGCATTCGAATCCATGTTCGGAGGCGTCACATGTTTACCCGGATGCTTCTGCATGTACCGTATCAAGGCACCCAAGGGACCTAATGGTTACTGGGTCCCCATCTTGGCCAACCCTGACATTGTGGAGCACTACTCAGAGAACGTTGTTGATACATTGCACAAGAAGAACCTGTTGCTGTTAGGAGAGGATCGTTATCTGAGTACACTTATGTTGAGGACCTTCCCTAAACGCAAGATGATGTTTGTGCCCCAAGCCATCTGCAAGACTGTTGTTCCAGATACATTCAAGATTTTACTATCACAACGTCGTCGCTGGATCAATTCGACCATTCATAACCTGCTGGAGCTAGTTCTCGTCCGCGATCTCTGCGGAACCTTTTGTTTCTCGATGCAGTTTGTTATCTTCATGGAGTTGGTCGGAACAGTGGTCTTACCCGCCGCTATCTCTTTCACAATTTATCTGTGTACGATCTCGGTTTATCGCGCCATCTCTCATGACGAATCAATCCCCGACACGACGGTGCCTCTGCTTTTATTGGCGGCTATTCTGGGTTTGCCTGCTGTCTTGATTGTGATGACATCACGTAAGATGGTATATGTCGGCTGGATGATGGTCTACTTGTGCTCGATCTTTGTTTGGAACTTCGTTCTACCAGCATATGCTTACTGGCACTTTGATGACTTCAGTTGGGGTCAGACTCGTATGGTAGCTGGCGAAACAGCCGGTGCCGACCACGGCGGAAAAGAGGGTCAATTTGACAGCTCCCATATCACCATGAAGCGGTGGGGTGAGTGGGAGAGAGAGCGCCGTCAAAAGGCAGCGGTCTTGGCAGGCTTGCCAGCCCCACATTTCACACAGGCTTCAGATTCAGGTGATGACTGGAATAGTACTGCTAACGGTATGAGTGGCAGTGGAGGAGCAGTTCGGGAGGAAGAATTGTCAGATGCCAGCTCCAATTCGCGCAGGACTGGAGATAGTGGGAAGCCCTTCGGACATATGAGCCAAGGGTCTACAGGATCGATGAATGCTAGTGGAGGCTACACTCTGACAGATCCAGGCTTCCCTGGTGCACCGGGCATGGATTCGATCCCCTTACTGAATATGCATGCCCCTGCTCCTGGCGGCACCATTGGTCGTCAACGTGTCTCACAGTTTAATCCATATGTCTCTGGTGTTCCTGGAACTGAAAATCGCATGTCCGGTTTCATAACACCACAGTCACGTCAATTCACGTCCTCGCCCAAGATGAGCAGTAATCTAGCTACATCAAGTTATACACCGCCTCCCCCTCCCCCTGGAGTCCGTCTCGGATCAATTGATACCAAGGCTCCAACCCCAATGCTCATGATGGCAGCTGGTGCCTCTAGAACTGCATTGTCAGGGCCTAACCAAGCTCAAGTTCAAGATCCAGCACCTGCATCTGGTACTTCTGGCTCAGACCCTATGCGCCAGTCTTCGGATCGGCCAAGCGACCTACAATAAGCATTTCAACAAAAACAAATACCAGTGAATTTCGTATGTATTTTGCCATATGATTTATTAGAATATATCTGAAAATATGCACTCTCTATTCTATCTTTCACACCATAAACCATAAATCCATCTTTACTCTCATAATTCGATAATATTCAATAAACTACTACCGCCACTACTACAGCTACTATTACTATTACAAAAAAGAAAAGAAAAAGATGTTCAAGTAAGAATTGTAGAATATTGGCGTGTAAATCGATCGTAAAGCTAATCAGGCGAAACCGCGATCTGGAATATGTAGAAGGAATAAGCGGAATTTTTTATCATAATATCTCTTTCCTACCTTTTTTTTTTTTTTTTTTTTTTTTTTTTTGATGCATATTCTTTTTCACCACACTTATTGACCCTTTCATAGCGTAGAAAAAAAAAAAAAAAAAAAAAAAAAAAAAGAAATGAAAGAAACATTTGCTGAAAAGTCTAGTCAGCCCAGGCTTGTACTCCTTGCCACGGCAGTATTGCTGTTTCAGAATGTGGCTAGAGCCAATGCAGTAATAAACTTGAGCAGCCACCGCAGTAATGTGGGTTTGATGGGATCACAGAATGAGGCCCCTCAACAGCACCAACAACAACGTCTGCAACAGCACTTGTCATCTGTAGATATGATAGATGTCGCAGTTTCAACTGACGGGAAAAGGTCAAATAGTGATAAGAAGAAAAGGGATGGCATCGACACGGTTCAGCCTGACATGAACGCGTATCTTATAGGTCTATGGGAGGGGATTGTCCATATTGGGGATGATCCGAAAATCCTGGCTGGGATCACGGCCTTGGCCACAAACGTTCTAAACAATGGTGACCATTCTGCACATCTGTTATCCGTCAAACACAAACACGAGAGGCGTCAGCTTTGGCAAGAAAAGGAAGAAAATATAATGCAGAAGCAGAAGAAGCATCAACCCAAGTCCGATGCTGACGAATATAAAGAGGGACTAGAGAATTTGCCTATTGGGAAGAGCGAGTCCCTCCTAAGCGCAAGAGACGGTGAAGTGGATGAAAGGAGTAAGATGAATAGAAATCAGGAGAACAAGGCAATGGAAGAGAAGCAGAGCGAACGTATAAGTAAAGATCAAAGGAGCGAAGCTTTGCATCAAACGGCGAGTGAAATTGAACAGAAGGGGAACCAGGGCCATGATGATAGCCATGGTAAGTTTGAGCAAATCAACCTCACAAATAGAAGTTCAACAGCCAATTACGATAAGCCTGGAGAATACAATTTTCTAAATAAGAAAAAACACTGCTGGAAAGCAATCGAAAATAAGTTATCATTGCTCATAACGTTTCTATCATTATAACTTTCACGATCAAGGCATTGCCTGTATTTTTCAAAACAAGGATAGCAAAGACAGTCTTCTGTTGCAGAGCAGCTTTAGGATCGAGACCTTAGGACAGGACAATAGGCTACCCCAAGCCGTTTCCCTTCTTGGGACACAGTACGATAAAGAAAGAGAGGAACCCATTAGATGGCTACTCAAAGGCAACACCGCCAAGAGTAACCGAGAAAATGAGAACAAGTATGCGGCGATCCTTACTGATAGCGACATTAGCGACATGATCATGAGCGGCAATGTTCTGGAAACTCAGGATTTAGCCAACGAACTACTTGATATCCGGATAAGCATTGAGGATTTAGACAATCCTTCATCATCACTGCCACTCCAAAAACGCGGTGTGCCACAGCAACAACAACAACAACAACAGCAGCAGCAGCAGCAGCAGCAACAGCAACAGCCAGACAAAGGAGAGGGAAAGGAAGTAGAGGGTATTAAGGGAGGCAAAGCGAAAGATGAAAAAGGAAACGACACAATAAATGTCAACAAAACCGGCAAAGAAGTCAAGAACTTCAAAGAGAAGAAGAATGAAGTAGAGATGCCTGATGTCATGTCGAAGGACCAAATAAACGAGGATGGAAAGGAGAAGAAGGACGCGGAGGAGCAGCACAAAATGGCAGTATCTCAAGAAGATGATGTCGTTGCTACTCTAGAGAATAATCTCCCTAATAACAACATCAAAGTCAACCATATCAACAATAACAATGACAAAAAAAAGGATGGATCTAAAAGTATGAAAAAGAACAAGGTGCACGATAACCAGAACGGATATGCTGATTATCAGGTGGATAGTGGCTTTCATGAGAAAAGTCCTGACCTAAACACTCTCAATTCTCTCCAAGATGCACTAGACAAACTCTTTGAAGAGAACGATTTCGAGCCGAAGGTAGCTCAAAAGGACAAGAAGGATAAGGAGGATAAGAAGGATAAGAAGCACAAGAAGAAGCACAAGGATCACAAGGAGAATGATTTAAACAACGCAGGACAAATCGAGATAAACAACGGGCTCAATGACAAAGCCTTCAACAACATTGGCTTTGGAAAGCCAAAACACAAAGCGAACAATAAACATCATGGTGATCCTGGAGCCCGTATAGCCCAAAACCGGGCACCAGCACATGCACCAGTATTAGTGCCAGCAGGGTCCCCTTCGCATCCTGGACAACCCATGCCAGCGCAGGGTCAAAGCAACCCTGAGGGCAAAGGCCCTTCCGAGCAGGCAGCACCCGCTGGAAATAAGAATGGATCTTTGTCTGGGGGGTACGGGACTGTACCGATGTTTGGGCCTGCACAACTAGATTTGGGATCTGATGCGAGAGATTCCAAATTCAGCATATTAGAAATTTCGTTTTGGGCAAGGGCTGGCGTTATAATCGCTACCACCGCAATGCTTGTAGTCACTGGCCTATAAGGGTTTATTATCATCGTCCAGTTTTCTTCTGTGAAACAATGATGTTTGAATAAAATTAATAATTACTTTTTTTTTTTTTTTTTTTTTTTTCATGGCAGCTTAATCAAAAGCAAAAGGTTCATTTGTACTCTAACTATCATTCTGAGTTTCCCTTCCTTCTTTATTCTTTTCTTTATTCTTTCCTTCTTTACTTTCTGATAGATGTGACTTATACTTGACTTCTTCTTTTCTTTTTGATCCCCACTTTATTTACAGCATCTTGAATGAAAAAAAAAGAAAATAAAAAACAATACCTGGACTTGTCCATACCCTGCCTGAGCCTTCGTTTTCTGAATCAATTTGAAAGCTACAATTTACCGCCTATTTGAAGAGTCAATGATGCTGCCACCGCTGCTAGAGTATGAGATGCTGAGGGGAGGTGCGACTTAAGTGGCTATTTGTGAATGATCTGTATTCATGTTTCGTGCCGACATTTCATTACTGGGGAGGGCGGTGCTAGTTGCAGCAGCAACAGTAGTGGTGGTGGTAATGGCTGTTGTTGTCGTCATCAAGGTGGACGTTACAGCCATCTTCATTATATTAGGCGTTTTGACTGCGGCGTTGGTAGCAGACGATGCGGTCGACATTACTTTATTATCGGTGGTAACTAAAGCGGTGATAGGGTCAAGGACGGATACTGGAGCTAACGAAACTGGGTCTGGTCGTTGTTGGCCCAATTTGGGGGATGACAAGGTTGCTTTAGCATACAAGGACATTAATTCATGTTCCGCCTTCTTTTGCTGCTTGACAACCTTAGTTCGGCGATCCGCTGCAAGTGATCCAGAAAAAGGAGTCTCAGCAACCATCCACCGCAGCTTCTCGGGCGGTTGTGAGCTCGCTGATGCAGATGCACGCCGAGACATCATTCCATCTGTCCTAGATACGGTTTCTCCTGTGGCTGCATTGTTGTTTCCAGCTTGCTTGGTCTGAAAGCCATGTCCAAAACTACGAAATACTATAGATCCTATACGAGAGGACTTGCGCTTGGTGCTGCCGTGCGTGCGGACATGCCTCGTTAAGTTGCTGGCGACATTAAAGAGTTTGTGGCATAGCGGGCACATGTGCGGTTTCTGAAGAGGGTGGAGGGGAAAGACAGCAGAAGATAGGGAAGAGAGATAGGAGAAATATTAGTCTAAGAGCATAGGAATATTGTCAAAGGGAAATGATATTTGACAACTGGGTCCCAAATTCACAAAAACATTACTTCGCCCGAGTGCGTGAACAAATGTGTTCTAAGCTGGCTAGGCCGCGAGAAGCGTTTTTGGCATACATCGCATTGATGACTCTTGCTCTCACGCCTTCGTCGCCGCACACCATCGCCAAGGGCAGCTTTACCGTCCTTATTAACCGGAAGGCCAGCGCTGATGAATTGTTGGGAAAAATTGTCAACCCTCTCTTTTCCTTTGATCTGACGATCCACGTTTCCACCAGGGTTATTACTATCTGAGCTAGCCCTTCCACGGATCCCCTCAGCACTATAGTCCGAACTATGGTCTGACTCATTATCTTTGTTCGAATATCCATCTTTGACCAAACCACCGTATTCATTGAAGTCCGAATTATAATTCAGTCGGCTACCATCCTCACTATCCAATTCACTGGCACATTGCGATGTATTAACATAATCATCTTTCTCTTTCACTTTATGATCCAGTCTGGTTGGCCCTCCATAGTCCACTTCGTCATCTACAACGAGCGACAGCCGTCTTATTTTTTCCTTTCCTTTCACATTTTGGCTCATCCTTATTCCCTTCCTATCACTGTTCTGCTTCGCTTTTACTACATTATTAAGCCCTCTGATCTCGTCTTTTCCCTTGTTTACTCCACTGCGGTTGACATTTGTGCTGGTTTGATAGCTGTCCAAATTGTAAAGGCCGTTATGACTACCTCTCTTAGTTACAATACCATCCCTAGATGCATCTCTTCTCGGATACAGTAACTGCCCCTCATGCTGTAAGGATGTTGGAGGGTCTCTCCTCATCCAGTCTTCCGTCTTGGCCCATTCCCTGTATAGACCCTGTAGATCTTCTTGTCGATAGTAGCCTGCTTGTCCAACACGTAGTTTAGACCTGAACTGAGATGACGATATTTCTGGATCCGTCGCCATAGACGCTACTGGTGTTGATATGCTGCAGGGTACATCGTCTTCTTCTTGGTTATAAGGGATTGTTGAGGGCTTAACATTAGTAACATCATCACTCTTTTGCTGATTCGTAAGAGAGGATGTGGATGATAATGTTGGAGAAGGAGCAGATGAGGATGAAGTATACGTTGGAATAGCAGCTGACTTCTGAGCTTGAGCACGGTGGTTCGGTAGAATGGCGTCTCTACCCGCTGGGGGCTCCACATTGATAGGCGTAAGGTAAGAGGGCCATGTCTGACGTCCCAATACTTTTTCTCGGTATACGGCCTCGGCCCCTTCATCAGCTTTTGTGAACGAAGTAAGGTCTGTTGTCACATTATCTGCACTTAGTCTAGGAGGTACTGCATGTTTTGGCGGATATTGCTCACGTCGTGCTAGTCCGTCTATGTGAGTGATATGGGCATCAGACGGTGATACCAGTCTGAGCTTCGTACGGTCTATCAGTGCATCTTGCCGTACCATCCCATGAGATACGCCGTCTCTATACCGGAAATCCTCTCCATCAGTTAATGGGGTTCGAAAGGCATTGGTGAGTACGTGTCCGCTTGGGACGTAGTTCATCTCAAATGACTCCTGACGTAGTTCTGTCTGAGATAAGCTCATTGTGTCTTTAATCACTGTGCTAGGTCTCACATTCACAGTTGTAGTAGACGTTGGGTCCGTGTTGACCAAGCGCTGTCTCAGAGATCCTCTATCAAAATCCCTACTTTCAGATGGTGACTCGCGTTTCTCTCTTGCCCCCCAGGAGTGATACCTTGCCATTAAGCGATCATGATCAAGATCCGTTGGAGGTTCAGCTTTCATAACATTTCTGTGCTGAGCACTTCTAAAAGTGCTGACTTTTTGCGGTGACTCCTGTGTATCGATGACATGTTGCTGTTCCTGCTGCTGCTGCTGAGGAGCTCTCTCGGCCTTTGGCCATGATCTCTCGGGGTGGTGCTCCAAACTGGACAAAGATGACTGCCGGCCGCCTTTGAAGCTTAAAGCAGGCGTCTGTGACACTTTGTGAGGCGTGTCTGAGCGGATCCCAACCAAGACACTGTCTGATACTCGGTCGGCTATAAAGGGAAGTCGACTGACCTTGCGGATGCAATCATGCGGAGGTGGCGGGTCAGAAGACAGCCGTTGATTTGATCTGCCATCATAATCAACAGGGGCCGACTGTAGCCGATGCTGCGACACACTTTGTTTGAATGACACTGCTTGGCCGTGGTCTTCAGGTCCCGTACTCATGCTGAGCGGATAATTTTTAAATTGTTGCCTTCCTTGGTCCATGACTTCGTTCAAATGGCTGTGAACAGCCTTCCTTGGATCGTAAGTTGATCGTGGATGTGATTGGATTTGTTGGTGTTGACGCTGGTGTTGCTCATGCTGGTCAAGGAATCCCCATTCAGGATGACACATTCCTTGCTCTTGTAGCGACCGAGAGTACGGCTTCTTTACCATCGATGCGGTGGTACCTGGTCCATCCCTATACTCCACTTGCGGCTGGGAGAGTCGATATGGATGATACCTAGGATGGTGATCCTCTCTCGCTTTCAAGGATTGGTTCCGCTCGATATTTGCTGTGGCACTATAGTTGAAACTCCTGTTTGATTTGAAACCTTGATAAGGTCGATCTGACCAATGCGGAGGTGGTGTGCGTTGTTGTGACAATGGACGTAGAGCCGAAGGCGAGTACGGAGGCTGGTCCGTCGATGACTCTGTGGTCCATTGACCATCGCAGTAAATGTCCAATGTCTGGACCTGAAGGTCAGAGTGATAGTCCTGCTGGGGCAGTAAGTTGTTCTGGTGTGGTTGCCAGTTCTCTTGAGTGGGCTGTGGTTGCCTATTATCCTGTCTATAGTGTGATGAGCCTGATTATTGTAAAGGGTTCTGTTAGCTGAGGCTTGTCAAAAATAAATAAAAATTAGCTAATCTTACATACTTACCTCGTACTGCTCCATGATTGGTCTGTTCAGGGCTCTCGCGCTCTCGCGACGCAGCTGCGGGGATCTGTTTGTTTCACAGAAAGGACCTGTCAGAAAAAAAGCAATTGTCCAACTTAAAAATTAAAAGAGTTTGGTTTATACATACATTTTTCCAGCGGTCAATTGGGCAGTTTTCTGTGATAGAAAATGAAGGCGACCGGCGTTTGTTGACATTGTATTCTTCAATGCGAGAGTCACGAAAATTAACCTGGAGGAAAGACTTTGACGTCTGGCCTGGAGAACAATGCCCGCCTCTTGGTTGTGTAGAAGAGTTGTTTGGAAAGGACAATGTGTCACATGAATAGATTTCTTTTTCTGGAGGACCTTGTGGTGCATTGCAGTAGGGATTACTCGTATATGAGGTCGTCTCTCTTGCAGACTGATATCTAGAAGTAACACGATCATTTCTGGTCATTTCACCACCTTATGAAGGAAGACGCAATGCCAAGTTCGCGTAGCGAAGATAAACATCATTGAGTTGTGAGTGCGATAGTAGGCATCGATGGAAGGCAAGCAATGGAAAGTCGAGGAATGTACGTGAAGGATACAATAAGCAACCAAAACTTCATTGGCAGATCAATAGAGAGAGTGAAGATGGACCATTCTCTTTGAACTATCTAATTTTCTAATATTGCATTTGTTTTAAACCAAACTATACTATCATAGAAAGGAATAGGTTCTCTCATCATTCCTTTCTGTTCACAATGTACGTTTGCAAGTCAGCTTATCTTCGAGTGGGCGTATATGTGTTACGGCATAAAGTTAAAAAGGAAAGAAAAATGGCAGGAATTCGTCAAGGGGTGAGGTAATGGAAGAGAATCCGCGGGGATGATTGCCTCCTTTCTTCAAAAACATATGGCAATAAACCTGAAAATAATTCATAGAGCCATCTTCCCGTATTTGGTGATTTTTTTTTTTTTTTTTTTTTTTTTTTAGAGAGAGGATTGTCCTTTGCTCGACGATCATTGATTAATGTATTGTTTTTTTAATGCAACAACTATTGACACGAAAATACGGGTGATCAAGCATTTGGATGAAGACTATTTGTTATTCTCCTTCCTTCTCCGTCAATATTATCCTCATTCTCAGCCGGACCAACTCTTGCCCTACATTTCCCTCTCCTCCCTCCATAATCTCCTTCCTTCACTTCCTTCACTTTTTTAAATCAGAACACAAAGCAATGGGGAGGATAAAATAACTGTTCTATTTACCTTGGGGGGACATTCGCTTTTTCAAAAAGTGAGCTTTATTTGACTGGGGGCTCGTGAGAGCAGTATCGGCTAATGCTGCGGCGTTAAGACTGGATCCAGAAGAGAAAGAGAAGAAAGTAGTGAGGGGGAGAAAGGATGAGGACACAGGCGAGTGCTGCGTTCGAATGGTTTGGATGGATTGAGAAGGCGAATGGGTCGAATTGCCATGGCGATCAAACGCTCTGTCTAAGTTCATTTGTCTCCCTCCGTTGTCAGGATCGGTTAACAATGAATTTAGACGGGCATGCTTACATCAAGCACCGAGAAAGATGCTTTTTTAGGACTCAGCGGACGTTTGGTCTTCAAATGAGTAAAGTCCGTGAGAAACAAAAAAAGTAAGCGAGGTCCAACCACTAATGGACGAATGCTCGCACGAGTGAAACTTTCTAATGAGGGATCCTGAGTGTTAAAATTAAGAACTGAAGGAACAAGGCAACGAAAAGAGGAGGAAGAGAGGAAAGGGCTAGTGGTTTGGGCACAACTCGGTGATTGTGGAAAGAACATTCATTAATGGATATTACTTTTTTTTTTTTTTTTTTTTTTTGGTCTGCTTTCTGCTAATTTCTATTTTCCAAAATTTCAAATGGTGTAGATTGAAATGTGCGTCAATTGGCCAATTGAGCTGCTCCAAAACTTCAATTAAGCATTTTGTCTTTGCCCTTCCAGCTCAGCGGAACATTGTCCAAGAACAGAATTTTTATCGATAAAAAAGTGAAAGAAGACGCTTTATAAATATATTTATAATAAAAGTGCCCATTTTTATTGCTCACGTTGTTTACACGAATTTTCTGGTTGACCTCTGCGATTATCATCTGCTTTTTTTTACATTGTTCACAAAAATGAATGAGAATGAGAAATGATATCCTAAAAAAAGACACTTCTCTATAAGTGCAATAGGAACGGAGCAATGCATCTAGAGAAAGGCAAAGCTTTCCATCTCTCGTTTTTTCACGTGCTTAAACTTTATTATGGTAAAAGGGGAAAAGAGTAAAAAATACGGGTAAATACACGGTAAAGTGCCACGAAATGGAATATTTCTCCTTCGAGCCGCTTGACAATTTTTACTTCTGTTCGCATTCCTTACCATTCCATCCAGTCTGTCTACTTTTTTTCCTCATTATGCTCTCATTACAACACTCACTCAAAAAACTGCCTGTCCCCAGTTTGGAGGAGACACTTGCAAAATACCTTCGGTCCATCGAGTCTCTCACTACACCTGAGGAACTAGAGCGCAGCAAGGCCCTCGCTAAAGACTTCATCAAACCTGGTGGTCTTGGTCAAGTGCTCCAGCAGCGTTTGCTGGATGTAGATCGGGCTGCTCCTCATAATTGGCTAGACGACACCTGGTGGATTAGGTATATACCCTTCACTATTAACCTGCGTCCGGTTCTTTATGAAATCTTTTTTTCAGCTTGAGCATGTGACAGAATTATACAATCTGGTGCTGCTCCTATGTCCTTGCTATACACTTATTCTTTTTCTTTACTTGTTCACTTTACAGCAAGGCATACCATGAATGGCGAGTGCCACTGATAGTCAACTCTAACTGGTATATCTTGGTCAACAACGAAACTAATCATCCAAAAGAGTTCTATCCTACCGCTGAGAACCCTGCCTACACCACATTCCAGGTGAAACGTGCAGCACATGTTACTCAGCAATTACTTGATTACATCGATACTCTGAACAGGTAAGCAGAAACAACATTTTTTAATGCACGCACCCTTGGGTCTTTCACCGTTAGGAAAAAAAAAAAAAAAAAAAAAAAAAAAAAAAAGTGAAAATCGAAGTTGGTAACCGTTAATTTCACTTTGCTCTAGTCAAAATGTTCCTGTTGACAAGACACGCGCCGGACCTTTGTGTATGCGTCAGTACACACAGCTCATCGGTTTCACACGCATCCCCCAGCATGGTTGTGATCGTCTTGTCAACACTGCTTTCCCTTCAACCTCCAAACACATTATACTCATTATCGATGACCAGCTCTTCAAGGTCGATGTATGTGCCAAGGATGGAGGACGCTTTCTGGATGGAGACATGGAAAGGTATACAAAAAAACTTTATGCAAAAATACAAGTTGAGCTAACTGACCTATCACATGAGATTTGGATTTTGAGAACTAACCGAAAAAAAAAAAAAAAAAAAAAAGACAATTCTTGAACGCAATTAAGCAGCTCAAGCAGATTAAGCAGTCAGCGCCCGTAGGACTATTGACATGCGATGACCGTGATGCCTGGGCTGTAGCACGCGAGCACCTCCTAGTGCTTGATCCCACCAACCGGGAGTCAATGCAGGTGATTGAGGATTCTCTCTTTTGCATAGTACTCGACTCTGTCGCTGAGCCTACAAAGGCAGATCCTGAGACAAACTTTTCAGAATGGGCAAAGTTTGGTATGCATGGCCATGGAGGACGCAACCGTTGGTGCGACAAGTCGATCAACTTGCTTTTCGAGCGCGACGGCAAGATGGTTTGTTATGGCGAGCACTCGCCCTGCGATGCATTAATCCCCGCCTTGATTATGGACACTATTGTTCGCAAGCCCACGGATTTGAACGCTGCGAGCTCTAATGTTGATATCGAGGCTCCTCGCCACCTTCCCTTTGTGACCGATGCCAAGACACAGGAACATCTCAAGGCTGCATCTGCCACGATTGAGGCACTTTCCAAGAATAGTGACTGTGGTATCGTTCATTTTAAAGATTATGGTGTAGACTTTATTAAGAAATATGGTAAGCTTGAATTGACAAGCAATCTGACTATTGACATTATAAATAACATTTATTATATTTGTGTCTAACGTTTTGAGGATTTGGAAATACCAGCCAAGGTTTCACCAGACGCATACATTCAGATGGCACTTCAGCTTGCATATTTCAAGCAAACGGGAGAGCCCTGTGCAACATATGAGACTGGATCTACTCGCCAGTTCCTCCACGGACGCACCGAGACTATCCGCACCCTTAGTCCTGACAGCTTGGCATTCTGCAAGGCTATGCAAAACCCTTCTACCACGGTACGTGGGCTATTCAAAAGGTTTAAGATATTTTTTTTACCAATCTGCTCATTAAGCTAAACTCCTATCATAACTTCTTCTCGCGTATACACTATTAACATGAATAGCCTGAAGAAAGAGTTAAACTTCTCCGTGTCGCCACAATTGCTCACAGCCAGTACCAAAAGGATGCTGGGAACGGCAAGGGATGCGATCGCCATCTTCTCGGCCTACGTCTGTGCCTCCAACCTGGTGAGTCACATGATCTGTTCAAGGAGCCTGTCTTTGCAAAGAGCACGGATTTCTTGCTTTCGACATCGGGTCTTTTTGCAGGTGATTACTTTACTGGTACTGGATTCGGTTGTGTGTCTCCGAATGGCTACGGCATTAACTATATGCCTGGTGGTAAGGTGATCAAGTTTGGCATCGAGTCCAAGTTCGATTCCAAGAAGACAGATACAAGAGCCTTTGGAGAGCTCATTCATCAGGCCTTCAGAGAGATGAGAGCTGCCGTGGAACAGACTTTACCTGAAGACCTGCGTAAGACTAGTGCCAAGTTGTAAAGAAAAGAGAAAAAAAAACTTGAATTAGCAATCAGTGTTAATACCATTAGGATAAATTGAAATCTCTAAAACTCTAAAACTTCAAGTTTTTATAACTACAATAAAAACACACTTTATTGTAAATTGTGAATGGCTTCTAGTTTTTTTGGGCTTCTAATTTTTTTGGGCTTCTAGTTTTTTTGGGCTTCTTCAGGCTTGCGGTACACAGTCGTAGCACCTGACTGATTGGTAGGGAAGACCAACATCTCTGCGATATTGACATGTTCAGGGCGGCCAGCCACAAAGATGACGGTCTCGGCAATATCATCGGCATTTAAGGGCTCAATGCCCTTGTACACTGAGTCAGCTCTATTCTTATCTCCACGGAAGCGCACCACTGAGAACTCAGTTTCAACTAGGCCTTTTTTTTTTTTTTTTTTTTTTTTTTTTTATCAAAATTTTCTTTAGTTTCTTAAAAAAAGAGAAAGAAAGAAATAAAGAGAGGACCATCTTTGGAACCAGAAAAGCTGATTTTTTTTTTTTTTTTTTTTTTACCTGGATTGATCTCAGAAACACGAATTGCTGTGTCAACGGTCTCATGCATCAGTGCACGCGTGATCGAAGCCACAGCGGCCTTGCTAGCACAGTAGATAGATCCATTGGCATAGGGCTGCTGTCCAGCAACAGAACCGATGTTAATGATATGACCCTTATTGCGTTGACGCATTTTAGGCAACACTGCCTGAGTGACATGGACAAGACCCTTGACATTTGTATCAATCATTGTGTCCAGTGCTTCCTCTGTGATGTCTTCAAGTTTATCCAATCCAATAACCAAACCTATGTGATTTCAAATTTTAGGAAGGGATGAAAAAAAAAAACAAAAAAAAAAAAAAAAAAGAGATAGAGAGAGAAAGAGAGAGACATGTTTCTTACCAGCATTGTTAACAAGAATGTCGACTTGACCAAAATGTTCGACTGCAGCATTGACGTTGGCCTTGTTACGGACATCCAATTCAAAAGTCAAAATCTTGATGCCAGAGTATTTGGACTCGAGCTCCTTTTTCAGTGACTCCAGACGCTCCTGACGACGAGCAGCCAACAACTAGAAAATAAAATAAAATAAAATGAGATTAGTCCTTCAAATCCTTTCTCTCTATTCTTTTTCAGAATTCACCATAACTGTTGTATAAAAACAAAAAAAAAAAAAAATACCAAATTGGATCTAGCCTGCGCAAAATGGCGTGCACATGCTTCACCGATACCGGAGGAGGCTCCAGTACTATTCGCATATATTAAAAGAGGAAAAAGAAACGTTTGTTGTAGGAAAAAGTGAGGGCGAATATCGACATGTGTTTTTGACACTCAAGCACACATTTTCTTTTTTTTTTTTTTTTTTTTTTTTACGTCAGAGAGCTCCTTGTTGTTAATTAAAATATTTACATCAAAACATTTTTTCCTAAAAGTCTGCTACTCATTGTGACAAGGTGATGGGTATTGGGATGGAAGCCGGTAAAGAATGGGGAATAAAGATGAGAATACAAAAGGAACGGAGGACACAAAGAAACGGAAAGAAATGAATAAATATGTTTGTTGCACGCCGTCGAGAAACAGTCGCAAATAAACATAATTCGTGTTGTCATCCAACCCGTGGGAACGGCTCAATCCAATGTTGTCCGTGTTCGCATTTTGTAAGTGTAATACAGACAAACAAAGACAGACAGCATTCTTTGATAATCAGATCAACATTAATTAGGCTAATCTCTTTTTTTTTTTTTTTTATTTTATTTTATTTTATTTTATTTTATTTTATTTTATTTTATATATTTGTATATATTTTTTATATTTAAAAACCGATTGATGTGTGTCTGAAGTGTAATAATTGTCTGGTAGTTCGTGTGCTTAATGTGTCTGTGTGAGAGTTTAACTTGTCTACAATGCCACAAGAAAAAATTGATCAAATGATTAGATTCAAGAGCATTCAGCGTAGTAGACACGGTACAGCTAATATTTATAGTGTTTCATTTTTCTTAGTTTTGCTTACCAGAATATACAATGTCCTGCATCGGAAAAAAAAAAGCAAAAAAGTTACAGGAAGTAATCAGGGACATGACGGCTAACATGTGGTTCACCACGACGAGGAGCAGGATCAAATTGAAGGAATGTGTACTTCAAGTGCTCATCAATCTCCATAATCGCCGCTTGATTGCCACATCGATAGCAGTAGTTTGGTGCACTAAAAATCGTTACAACGTTGCGATCCTGGCACCAATTATAGCCCTGTTAACGAAAAATAAAAGCAACATAAAAAAAGAGGCGTTAAGAGTGAACGATCATACATAGGATTGTACACGTAATACACTACTCCCCTAAACAATAGTAATAAAAATAAGATGATCTGCTGTTTACCTCCATAACCAGCTGATGAGCTCTTGCAATCAGGGTCAGTCCGTTGTTGTGGTTGAATGTTTCCGAGACATCCTGTCCAAACGTGTAGCCGGCTCCACGTGGAGAAATACCCCATCCACATCTGTCATCTGGGTCCGACCACAGCAAGTCGCACATGGGTCCCTCGTGTGGTACTTCCTGAATACGATCCAGTTGGCGAATATGATCGAGAGAGTCAATAGATGGTGAAAGACCTCCATGAAGGCAGAAAATCTAAAAGTCAAATCATTGCATTTTTTTATGAGGTTAATATCCGGTCGAACATACCAAGTAAGAGAAACTCAGATAGTTGATGACTATGCATTTCTTATTAAAGAATGTTCATACCTGTTCCTCAATCAAAGCCGTCAGAGGAAGGTAGTCAAAGAGATCTGTGAACGCCTTCCAAACATTAGCATTGCCATACTTGCGTAGGCACTCGTCGTAGAATCCATAGACCTGTGTGATTTGACGAGATTCATGGTTTCCACGCAGGATTGTAACACGATCCTTATAGCGGACCTTCAGAGCCACAAGTAATGTCACAGTCTCAACAGAATAATAACCGCGATCCACATAATCACCCATGAATAAGTAATTGGTATCGGGTGAGTTACCCCCAATGCGGAAAAGTTCCATCAAGTCATGAAATTGTCCGTGAATATCGCCACACACTGTCACAGGACAGCGAACTGGCTGTACGTTAGACTCCTCCATCAAGATTTCACGCGCCTAGAGAATGTAACGAAGCAATTTAGAAGGATTAATTAACTAAATATTATGATGTTATAATATTATTATTCTGATCCTGATACATAGATTTGTTTAAATGCATATTTGCATCATCTGTAACCGTTTCATATTATTGTCATAACACATCCTGCATCGCCATCTAGTGTCCAACTATTTCAACATTTTAGCTTTTTTTTTTTTTTTTGCTCGAGACTTTTGTTGGCTATTTACCTTCTCACATAGCCTCTTGATATCAGCCTCTGGGAGTTGTTTACATTGCATCAGATGCTGAATCCAACCCTCAACATCGCCAACATCAGTGATTGTCGCCATTTTATTATATGCTTTTCAAAATAGGGAGAAAGAAAAGATCTTGTATCGTTCCTATGAATAAACAGCATGTAGGAGAGAATTTTTCGTTAAAAGTGGCAAAGCGTACATGTACATAGTAACAGGTTCAATTAATATTTAAATTAGCTCGAGGACAAGTGCAAAGGAAGAGACACCACATAATGTACATCTTTGTTATTTGCAGCCAGAACTCAAATAAAAAATATAAAAAATAGGGGAAAGGATCCAATATTTAAAAAAGAGCACGACCTTTTCCAAAAAACATGGCTCTGACTTTAACAACAAAACAGCATACCCTCCCTATTACCCAGCCCAACTAAAAGTCTGCTCTCAAAATGAGTAAAAAAACTCGCGGCTCCTCTTCCTCAACACGATAAGTCGTGGCCTGCCGTGTTCTGCCAAGACTTTAAACTGATTAAAGGAGGAAGAAAAAAAACACTTCTTTTGTAACAATAAATGTACTCGTAAAATAACAAGCAATATTGAAGTCAAAATACAACATCACCAGTCAATAATGTATTTTTTTGTTTTAAAGAACACGAGATTGCAGAGTTCTATGTGTTGTATGTGTGTGAGCTAATGTGGATGTGGACATGGATGTGGACATGGATGTGGATGTAATATCTTTGGATGATGCTTAAGAAGTCAACGCTAGCCAACCAGCAACGAGAGATGCTCTGGTATGTTTTAGTTAAGCGAGCGGAGAATTGAAAACATCCCATAATAGACTTTGAGTCATAAGGGAGGAGATGTTCGATGTGGACAAAGCGCATTCCGGTTCATGTTGATACCTGATTTTTCTCAAAATACGTTTAGTAAAAGGAAAAGGAGAGAAAGGAGTAGGGGAGAAGAGGGAGTATAAATAAAGGATTGAGTCTAAAATGAGAGGATGAAGAAGAGAAGGAGAAAAACAAAAAAAAATAAATGTCAACAAGTTGAATGGATGATGAGAGCGCTAAAAAAATTGCCCTTTTTGTGTGGTGTGTTGCTGGTTGGCACGCACGCTCGAACAATCATTGTCTGGTGATCCAGTAATCCCTGTCGATGCACGGCATTATAAACGTCACTTCCTGCTAAATCCTGTTTGCTTTAGGAAATAATACTCTGTACTTGAAATTCAATATCGGCTTTGTACATAAAAACACTTTTTCCGACCAGACTTCGGTGATTTCAATCAGCAATTAAAAAATCAATCATTTCTTTCTTTCAACTTCATCAATCTCTTTAATAATAAGGTCTTTTGTCATGGCTGGTCCTCGTATCATCTCCCACTCTGTTCGCCTCCTCGGCGCCAATCCTGAGAACGTCAGACGCTGGTGCGTTTCTTTCTTTTTTTTTTTATTATCAACCCGCTCCATTGCATATTATTATTCCGAAAAGTTCCTCCGCTAGTATAATCGGATGCATTACCAGGAGCAGGACAATGACTTCACGTATTGGAAAGAGCTCGCATGCACAATACGCGTTATTCAACATGTCTAATATCTTTTAAAAGAATAAGGACTCCTCATCGTCAAATGATCGGCCCTCACGTATTGATAATCAGGAACAGGACAAAAATATCGTCCTCCAGCTCCATTCGACTAAAAAAATATTACTTGTTAACAATCTTTCATCACAATTGATATATTTAATTAATCATTATTAGGTCTGGGGCAGCTGCTCGTTTTGGTGTTGCTGCTGGCGCTGGTGTTCTCTTCTTTGCCGAGTGCCTTCCCCCAGCTAAGGTAAAAAAAAAAAAAAACGACACATCAACACCATCATTTATGACATTTTATGCTGGACACGCTTTCTGCTCTTTCTAACTCTTTCTTTTACACATATACAATATCTATCATATAGACTGATTTGTTCTGCAAGCTCCCTGTCATCGGTAGTTACTGGAAGGATTATGAGGCTAAGGATGAGGAATAAACTTTTTCAGTTCTTTTTAAAATCATACCTTCTGTCTCCTTCAACAAGCAATTAGCGACCATCGATCATCAACCATCCAACCAGCAACTACCTACAATATTAAGCTCCTTAACATCCACGTTTTTTTTTTCCTTTGCCCAACAGGGAGCGAAACGAGGAGTTTTGTTTTTTTTTTTTTTTTTTTTTTTTAGAAAGTGTTTACAGACACGGATAAAATAAACCACGTTCCTTCAATTGCCCTTTTTTTGATGAAAGAAAAAGAAATATTATTTAGTTATAAACCTATTAGATTGGATGTTGAATATCTTTACACTTTTTATACAGAACATCAAACCAATGGGTTATATAGAATAGCTCAGATCTAAAGTTCATTTAGACTATTTGACCATTTGACCATTTGGAATAGCCAGCACGAAAGCAAGTAAAAAATTAATTTGATTTCATTTTTTTATGTGATGTCTTTAGGTATGTAAACTATGAGATAATGATTGATGAATTCGCACGGGGCAAGATTGATTTAAAAATAATGACCAAAGTTATCGTCTGCAGGCCATGGAGGAGAGCTTCTGGCATCCTCACCAATTGTCATGGTCACTAATAAAAAAACAGAAAAGGAACAAATGTTCAGTATATAGTAATCCAACAATGATTGATTGATCGATTTTTCCCCTCTTCATTCACTGCCCTTTCTACTTACAAATAAAGTTGGCAAGATATACGGCAATCAGACCCAGACAAAGCAATGTAGGAATGGTTCTTGCATAATAAACCACATCTTTACGCTTTGTGATCATGTACAGATGTCTCAAATGATACAATGTTGTTCCGTAAATGAGTGTTGTCAAGGCCAGGATCAGAGCGCCCACACCGATCGAAGTGACGATATTATTACCAAAACTCAACAAGGTCACTGCAATGGTTCCCTGCAGGATTCCAAATCGGATCCAGTGCAGATACAGACGTTCGTTCGAGAACTGAGCATAGCGACCTGTTCCTGTTACCTTGTAGGTCACCTTGGTACGACTGCGACGCAGGCGAGAGAAGATGTTTTTACGAGTCTTGTTAAGGACTGGTCCGTTCTTTTCATTAGAACCATTGCTATTGCCAGGGCTTTTGCCTCGCTTGGGATGATCATCCGTCTCAGATTCAGTGTCATCATCAGTGTCATCCCGGTGCCGATTCCGGTCCTCGGGCAGATCCAGTGGATTGACTGTGCTGTCCCGGTTGTTATAGTCTGGATGCCATGGCTGTGGTGTCAGTGAGCGTGTGGCCTCCATATTGAACTTTGCCTTTTTTGTGGGGGCCAAGAACTTCTTTTTGGATCCTAATTTAGAGCGAAGATTGGGGTTGTTTTGGATCGAAGGATTCAGTGGTTCGTTTGAATGTGTAGAGATGTTTGAAAACGAGGCTACAGAGGTGGGACGGTCACCCAAGGTTGTTGCTCCTGGTGAAGAAAGACCCCCTTCAAAAGTTACAAAGCTACGTTGAGGTGGATCAAGAGGGAACTCCTGTACTTGACTAGGCCGATTAACAAATGATGAGAGAGGCACAGGGGCTGTTGGTGATGGAGGAACAGGTGCACGAGGACTTGCTTTGGAGAAGGCAGATGCTGCTAATTCTGGTGAGGGAGTGTTATTTTGGGGGAAAGGAGGAGAGGGGGGGCCTTGGTGTGAGGGTGCGAATTGTTGTGATGGATGAAATTGTTGATGATGGGGATAATGTTGTGGAGGATACTGATATGATGGTGAAGGCGGTTGAGCTGGTGTATAAGAAAAGGAAGAAGGGGAAGCAAGAGGCCTCTGACCCTCGTTTCGTTGATTTTGGTACGCCATTCAGGTCCAGTTGTTTTGTCTCTTTCTATTTTGCTCGTTACAGGTTAAGGCCTTACAAAAGAAAAAGATATTTTTAGCGGGATTTCCCCTCGGTCGAGACAATGTCAGCATGTCATAACGAGTTATGAGCAACGGTATTTGAATATTCAAAAAAAAAAAAAAAAAAAAAAAAAAGGAATTGGACTCCCTTCTTTGTTCAGACATGAAGACGATTGTCGAAAGAAACAATGGGGTTTATAACCATTGAGGCAAAAGAGAGAGGAAGAGACTTTTTTGGTGTTGAGGCAGTGCCTGAAAAAAGTAGACCTCACACGACCTTGTACAAACAGAAACCATCTCACACGACAATTACTTTTTTTTTTTTTTTTTTTTTTTTTTGGTTGGAGGGCGAGAAAGAGCGCTCACAGAAAAAAAAAAAAAAAAAAGACAGAGGTCTGTCCTCTCCTCCCTTTCAACCCCTGGAAGACAAGAACGAAATCTGACCGAGGGATTACATATTGCATAAGGCCCATGGGCAATGAAGTGTAAAGTTGTAAAAGGAAAAAAATAAAAAATAAAAAGTAAAACAATAATAATAAAAAAGAATAGTCTATACTTACAAAAAATACATGTATATATTTTTGAAGTTTAAAAAAAGTGGCGGAGAGAGAATGAGTGAAATTGATGAGGATGGAAATGAGAAAATAAAGTAGATGGAGAGATGCAAAGATGTGAAATAGAAAGAAAAGAGAAAAGAAAGTGTGGACAATCTTCTTCTTCCTTTCCCTTCTTTTTGCTCTCTTCTTTATTCCTTTCAGGAACGCCGAAAAGTTTTTTTTTTTTTTTTTTTTTTTTTTTTTCAAACGCCTTTGTCGGAAGAGTTGAACCATCGCGTGAGATGTTTCTCGATACTCAGAAATGCTTATAATTCAGCATATAAATAAACAAAGTGTATTAATACATGATCTCCTTCTTTCTTTCCAAGCCTACTGTATTCTGTGCAATAAAAAATGTTTAAACATTCCTCCAGTGCAATAGATGCTCCTTTATCATTGGTGCAAAAAAGTCCAATGAACGACCGCAGCTTTTGCTTGTTTACCTGCGCAATGATCCGCAGAATAAGAATCAGGTTCCAAGTGACTTGCTTTCTTCCGCATTCCCGATTCTAATTCAAATTCTGTGCGCTTGTCTATGCAAAGTCACCACAATGAAGTTCCCCCAACTCTGCCTTTGCCGTTACTTTTTTTTTTTCGATCGTCCAATGACCTCTTTTTTTCTTTACGCTGAATTTTTTTTTTTTTTTTTTTTACTCAAGTCTCCTTTTCAAATTACTGTTTTTTGCTGCTAGGGTATTGGTTGATGCGCTTGCGCTCCTGATACTCGCTACAGCACTCACAGTGCCGTATGGACGACAAGAGCTTGCAGCTCCTGTAACACCAGGGCGGCCCTTTCCACCCTTTCTGCTTCGACGTTTTTTTAGTTCGACAGAAAGGACTAAATAGGGCACATATCTATCTATCAATTATCCTTGACAAAAAAAAAAAAAAAAAATATTTGCAAATATATATTCTATTAACTGATGGAGTTATAAGTCGAGGGACTACTATTGTGATAACCCTTCAACTATTAAATTTGGTAACTTGCTTCTGAGGATATGAAGCAGGCTTTGTAATGTCGCTATTTCGTTTGATACTCCTGTGATCGTACTCAGGTGCGTCTCATGAATATTCAAGGCCTTCAGGCACAATCCAGTGCCATTGTCCGTTGGGATAGAGTCCACTAGGACCTTGAACAACTCTAGATCAAAGTTCGTATGGTCAAGATGAAGGATTTCTAGAGTCGAGAAATCAATAGCATGAATAAGAATCCTCCATGACTCGGGCTTAATTCGCAGATAGCTTAGATCAATCTCTCCAAGAGTTCTTGCTGCTGCTGCTGTACTTTCCTGCGTTGGAAATGAAGACCCTGTACAGGACAAAGACAAAGGTGAAGGAGTTGAAAATAATAAGGATGAAGGAAGAACAAGGCGATTTGGATTGTTGACAAAGGTCTTTGGACCTTGATGAGCCCCAATCATATTGGCAATCCATTGAACACATTCGGATGACACCTCGCCTGCGAATGGTTGATCAAACACCTGTAGCTCCGGCAAGTCTTGTCGTAAGGGTAACCACTGAGCAAGCTCTGGAGTCCATTCTATCTCTATTGCATCGCCCACCCGTGTCAACCCATTCAGTCGACTTGCATAACTCTTGACTAACCTCTTGCATCGTTCTTGTTGTTCCTTGTCCGCCAAGTTACTCAAGCGAAGACGTAATTGCTCAAGACCCTTGGATCGTTCGATAATACGGTCTATATAGTCAAGACCCGCCATTGTCAACGATGTACAATCGATTAACAATCCTCGGAGGCTAGAACCTTCCTCTTGAGTCGACTCATCTAGGACTTGGGCCATCTCGTCATTAAACGCTGGGCTCATGGTAAGGTCGTTTACAAGAGCTCCATAATGCCCGAGTAAATCGATCATGTCACGCCTTCCGTCTCTTCCAACGTCTTCAGAGTACTGAAGCATGTCAATGTCGATCAATAGATTATATGGATCCAATGGATCCGGAAACTTGACTTCCATGATAAAGTTGCTCATCGACCACTTGCTGTTCCAAAATCTAACCGTCTTGAGTGCACAGGACCGAGTCCAGGAAATGATCTGGTCTCGGGTCCTGAGAACTGTACCGAAGAGGTCAAAACAATGAGTGCAACCTTCGAAAGAGAGCGATACCATCTTTGGGTTCTTCATCAAGATGAGCGGCAACCATTGGTAAGAGCCTGCAGAAACATGATTTACGATTGAAAGATGCGTGAGTTGTCCAGTCTCAAAAATGGGGAGATGGCGTTCGAATCCCTCTGCCAACTCTGTGATCTTCATTGCTGATTCTACAGGTTCACCCTGGAAGTAGTTGACCTGTAGTGAAGCTGTATTATACCGTAGCTCCAACGTATTGAGGGTCTGAACCATCAATGAATTGTGCCCAACGAAGCTCTCCAGCACCATGCCAGGTACCAGCCCACATATAACCAAATCTGCTAGGGAAGGACAGTGTGCCAGAACGTTTCTCAGAGCAAAGATGGACGAGACGGTTTTCAACACTCCGGTGCCAAGGAAAAGGCGCCGAAGCTTGGGAGCCGAAGTCATGGATGTGGTGTCTGTACAATCGAAGAACTTTTCAAAACTTATGAGTGACATAGACTGGATGCGTCCATTGCATAGAAGTTGCACAATTGGACGAAAGCGGTCAGTCATATCCATGCCTTTCCCTAGAAGACCCGACCCATCTAGGCTCATTACAGTGACGTTTGCTTTGGTGACAGCTGTTGCAAACTCTTGAAGGTCGCCTGCTGTAGCATCCCAATCCCATGAAACGTTGAGCTCAACAACACTACTGGCCTTAACCATCGCATCATAGAACTGTCTGGCCATGTCTCTAGATGTTAATGCGATCTCGATTTTACCCACTTCCTCCAAATAGCTTCCGTTATAGACCTCGACAAATCGTGCCAGACTCGTTATCATCCATGCTCGGTAGCCATTGGCGTAGTGATCCCTGCAAACCCACTTGGAATGCCCTTCGTCTGTGATCATCCTATATAGGTTACCAGGAGTACGACTGTCATCTCTCATAATCAAATGGCATTCAAGTTCTTGCAGATCCTCGGACTTGAATTCTTTGTATGTGTCTGATTGCGTTTCCAAAGACTTGGAGCCAGCCTCAATCTGTTTCTGAATATACTCGATCATCCAGTCGATCAGAGACCCGAACGCACTCGCAGTGGCCTTGAGGTACTTTGGGCCACAGTCCATCTCCTTGACCATACCACAATGAGCCAGCGGCGGAACAATGGTTTCCGCACTTCGATACCCATACTTGACCATCTGTAACATCACAAGGACATAGGGGCCATATCTTTCAAAGAACTCCTCAGGCCTATCCAAGTCATACCCTGGATGGTTGACCAGATGAGTCTCGTTTAGAGTAGCACCATAATTGGTGTTGGTCATGGTATGTGCACCGCACTCACATATGAAATAGACCTTGAACTGGTAGGAGAATGGCTTGAGTGCATTGTTGTTTTGATAGCTTTGATAGTTCGATTTGGGAAGGACAATAAACAGACGAGGGGTTGGGTCTCTATGTGGCTCGTGTGTTTGACTAATAATACTGTGAATGCGGCTGTAAATAATGTCAGGACACTTAGGGGCTTGAAAATGACGATGGTGCTGTACTTGAAGTGCCTCCTTAGGAGTCAGATCCGTTGTTTCAGTTGTCTTCCGTTGTTGCTGTTGAGTTTTTCCCATCCTCTTCTGTATTTCGGCCATTGTATATTGCTCGGTTTTGTTGTGCGATATAACCCCATGATGGTCATCAAGAAGCTGCTCTACTATTTCTTTGCCGTTGTTCACTCCTTCGCAGATACTACTATTGATAGTCGTATCCTTCTTTTCAGAAGGCTGAGGAAAGGAATCGGGAATTTCATGGTTGTAAAAAGATGGGTGAGGGTCCAGGTTTATGTCTTGGATAGCCAGGGCTTCAATTTCAAGGGATGTTAGATCGAGTGAGGTTGGCTTGGGTGACGCAGCAGGGGTAATATCGGATATGGTAGTGCCATGCAATGGCGCAGATGGTCCTACTATTGCGTCTAGGACAACTCCACAGTGGTATTGAATCCTTTGTGGCTCAAGACTACAATTATTAACATAAAAATGTTTAAAGTTGTTAGATGGTTCAGAACTAAAAAATAAAATAAAATAAAATAAAATAAAACAAAAGACGGCTTACAATTGACCGTTCTTGTCAGTCTGGAAAAGAACGGTTTTGTTGCCGTGCTGAATGTGTTGAACGTTAGAGAAAACGTGCTGAATATCTTTCCAGAGCACGAAATGCTCTCCTGTCTCGATGTCTTTACAAACATTGAGGCGGACAATATCGGAGTGATAGGGTTGTCCAGAAGGAGTACAGAATTGAAAGGCTTGACGAAGCTGATTAGTTGTACCTGAACTTGCCATTTTTTTTTCTTTTTTTTAATAATATTGAGAGGTAATGGGATTGTGTTGCGGGGTTCAATGGGGGAGAGTAAGGATGGACAAAAAAAAAAAAGTATAATTACAAAGGGTATAAAAAAGTTTGAAGGCAAGGAAAGTAAAAAAAAAAAAGATGAAGAGAGGGGTCTACAGGGAATATAACAAATTCTCTGTGGTTAGGGCAATGATGACATTGATGGCCATGCGCTCAGACAGAGGTACGAAAAAAAAAAAAAAAAAAAAAAAAAAGAATTCGTCTCTTGACCCACATTTCTTCCGATAATAACCAAATTTACTAACATCCCTTCATCAAGTGACCATCCGGTATACACGTTTTTTTTTTTTTTTTTTATTTTATTTTATTTATTTATTTATTTAATTTTAATTACATCTCGTCAGCAGTTTATACACATTGAGGAATGAGAATCATTTGGGATGTCAGAGGACTTGAAGAAGAAGGGAAAAAAAAAAATCGGAATGGTATCATAGAATCATTTTAGACTAAAGCCGTATTCAAATCCACTTTTCTCTGACAATACAAATAGGTACAAATGAATTAAATGTCAGGCTCAAAGAAGATGAGGTTCTCCGGAGGCTGTGTTCCACAGCAGTAGCAGCAGTAAACAATAAATAAAGATTAGCTTTACTTGCATGCTTTTTTATCCTATACAGGCTAGAAGGCCATTTAAAATGAACCACAGACGATAAACAATGTGACATGCCATTAATAGTAATAAAAAAGTTATAGTTACGCTGTGCCTTTGCTGTCTTCTCTCTCTCTTTTTGCTCCAAAAGATGTTAATTGCTCATATGGCATATGGTATATAACTATAATGCTTTTGTCCACGCAAATAACACATGGGATGAGTCGTGAGCAATGAGAAGAGAGAAAAAATAAAGGGAGAGAAAGACATAGAGAGAGAGAGAGAGAGAGAGAGAGAGAGAGCACCTTCTTTCTAAATTTATAATCCATTGATATTATATATATACAAGGGTGGAAAAAAAAATAGTTTTAAAATGAAGGTTTCAGAACAATAAAAAAAGAGAACGCGACAAAGCCCGATGTGATGGCGCAATTTCTCGATCTCTCTCCAAGAAACCCTGCATTGTCCAACTTGCTATGTAATGGTTCTCCACCACTTCCTACTTTCTTCTTTCTTCCTTCTTGGGCTGACAATGAACACAACGAGCAAGATCGACCGTTTATAGGAGATGAAAATGAGAGGAATGGGTAGAAACAATTCTTCGGAGATGGACTATGCTTTCTAATCCCTGCGGAACGTCCTAGAGTGAAATACTTTTGCATAACATCACCATTTACCGAAATCAATCCGAGTGATTACGTTTTATTTCGATTCAAATCTGCTCTATATGATCCCCAGAGAGTTGCTGGCGAATGGAATGGAGCAATGACGCTTGTCAGATCTTCCGAATGTCCAGATTCTTCATTCAAAGTTCCTGCTCGAGGAGAATACATGGACCTTTCCGGCGATACTTGATCGTGGTCATTAGAATTATATCCCATCACCCATCCTGCTGATGATGACGGTGGTGATGATGGTGGTGATACCACAGTCATTGTCGTGGCCATTGTTTGACAAGTTCGTCTTTGTGAGGCAATAGATGTCATCATCATCTTCCAAGATCCTCGCCATGCCCAAGGTAATGCAGAGCGTGTATATGTGTTGTTGCTACTATACAAAGAGAGCCGTGCGAAGGAGGATATTAATGATGATAACCCAGCCGTCCATAGCAAGGATTTGAGGTCACCAAAGTAATTTGATGGTGGTTCTACTCCTGTTACGTTAGTTCCTGTGATGAAGACGCCTGCTCCTAGTGCAACTGGAAAGGATGGAGTCACTGCAGTAGGGTTGGAGAGATACGAGTAATTGATCACTGGCTCGTTGGCATTGATGATCACGGCAGGAAGAAGCAACGAAGCTATCCCGTAGAGAAATATTGTCAGCATTGCTAAAATGAAAGAGGCGTTTTGCTTTATTTTCTGTTAGGGAGAGTTCTTTTTTGTTCTGTTGTTTTGGTCTGGTTTGATCGTTCGCTTATTGATTTGCTGCGTCAGACAGGATCTGTGTTCTGTTGGTGACTTTTCAAGTGTATGCGCTACGGCTTGGTCCGTTTGTTTTGTTTTGTAATTGGTATAATATAGTAAGGATGGGACGGGGACAGACAGCGAATTTTGGTCATATGATAATAAAATAGTAGTGCAAATATATGTTTAGTGTCTTGGAGAGGAAGAAGAATGGAAGTGGAAGTAAACAAGGAGGAAGTGAAATGAGAAGAAGAAGAAGAAGGAAAAAAAAAAAAAAAAAAAAAAAAAAAAAAACAGATAGTAGAACGTGTGAATAATACGAAGTGGTGTGGATACTTGTTTCTTTTTTTAGTGATGCAGATGTCTTGAATAGAGTACGAATGGAATATGAAAGTAGAACGAATCAAGAGAAGGAGAGAAGGAGAGAAGGAGAGAAGGAAAAAAAGAAAGAAGAAAGTAGGAAGTGGTGGAGAACCATTACATAGCAAGTTGGACAATGCAGGGTTTCTTGGAGAGAGATCGAGAAATTGCGCCATCACATCGGGCTTTGTCGCGTTCTCTTTTTTTATTGTTCTGAAACCTTCATTTTAAAACTATTTTTTTTTCCACCCTTGTATATATATAATATCAATGGATTATAAATTTAGAAAGAAGGTGCTCTCTCTCTCTCTCTCTCTCTCTCTCTCTCTATGTCTTTCTCTCCCTTTATTTTTTCTCTCTTCTCATTGCTCACGACTCATCCCATGTGTTATTTGCGTGGACAAAAGCATTATAGTTATATACCATATGCCATATGAGCAATTAACATCTTTTGGAGCAAAAAGAGAGAGAGAAGACAGCAAAGGCACAGCGTAACTATAACTTTTTTATTACTATTAATGGCATGTCACATTGTTTATCGTCTGTGGTTCATTTTAAATGGCCTTCTAGCCTGTATAGGATAAAAAAGCATGCAAGTAAAGCTAATCTTTATTTATTGTTTACTGCTGCTACTGCTGTGGAACACAGCCTCCGGAGAACCTCATCTTCTTTGAGCCTGACATTTAATTCATTTGTACCTATTTGTATTGTCAGAGAAAAGTGGATTTGAATACGGCTTTAGTCTAAAATGATTCTATGATACCATTCCGATTTTTTTTTTTCCCTTCTTCTTCAAGTCCTCTGACATCCCAAATGATTCTCATTCCTCAATGTGTATAAACTGCTGACGAGATGTAATTAAAATTAAATAAATAAATAAATAAAATAAAATAAAAAAAAAAAAAAAAAACGTGTATACCGGATGGTCACTTGATGTAGTAAATTTGATTCAGTCCTCGCCGATGTGATGGATTTAAACTTCTTGGGTCACATTTGAGATGTCATATGCGCAAGGCACTTTCCACCAGTATTTTCGGCACCATATTCCAAGAAGCTGGTGCGGTTGGTATGGTGGCAACGTGCACTGATAAAATATCTATGAATGCCAACACCACCACATATCTTAGCATTGTGAGCCTGCAATCAATCGTTTTTTTTTTTTTTTTTTTTTTTTTCAAAACATTTTTTAGAGGCTGATTAGGCTACATACCTCTAGCGTAAGAGGGAGATATAAAATAATAGAGATAGGCACTTGTTTATCTTCAGACTGGGTAGAAGAAGGTGAAAGTTGGGAAATGCGCAGAGGTGAAGGCTATTTAAAGATGAATGTAGCGGCATCATGATGGTATAGCTTGATAAATAATTGTTTTGGTTTTTGCTGGTTGGTTTTAGCTCGGTTGATTTTTGCTGCTGATTTTTTTGTTTGCATCCTTGGCATGCAAATTGAACAGGTCAGAACATCGGCATTGCTCCTACGCACCACAACTGTGACCTCATACGAGTGGCAAAAATCCAATAGCCGGCTATTCTCTTCTCGTAGGAACTGGATCTGGCCTGCCCATGAGTTGATGAAAACTAGATAGGCAAATTTGCCCGTTCTATGGTCCAAGGGATAGTTAATAAACACTGACGAATTCTGTTCATGGTGTGAATATTGGATGAATTAAGAACATGTTTTTTTTTTTCGTCATGTGCGCCAGTATATGTGACTTAAATTTCACGTTTTTAAATATATCTTTTATGGAGGTCAATTCATTGATTTTTAGAGACAATTTCAATATGTTTTTGTCTCTAAAAACCAGCTTCGACTGTACTAATTCTAATCTGTTCCTATCAAGATTCTGTGGTACAGAAAACTCTCAGGAACGACAGCATCATTATCATTATCAACCACATCCACACAAAAATCAACAACATCGAATAGAAGAAAATGAAAAAGAAAACTATGGCCACACTCAAGAACATGATGATAGGCCTGTATACTTTAACAACAATTGGAAGGCACGCGTGTACAACCACATCAATATGTCTACAAAGTCTTGAAATCATGAATATATATATATATATCATGATATAGATATATACCCCCCTTCCCCCACCTAGCAGGAAACACGAAATAGTAAAAACGGTCTTTCACGCGCCGTATCCATTGGCTATCAAGCTAAGCATTGAAGAAAAATAAAATCCCGCCAAAATACCGCGGATCTCTTTCAGATTTTCTTTTTGTCTTGTACGCTTGTACAACCGGGCAAATGCTCCCTTTTCTTTTGTATCCACATTTGTACTTGACTAAGAGCTCTGAAGAATGCAACTCGCGTAGATCGAATTACTTGCAACCGAATATGTTCCTCAGGACTATTAGATTTGTTTTTCAAGGCGCTTTTACTGGGGATGGGGGAAGGTGTCTACTTCAAGACGACATTGAGTCCTGCAAGCAACATATCAATTATAGCCTTTTTGGCCTTGAATTGATTCTTAAAAGTTAATACCTCTTTCGTTCTCAAACAGCGATAAAGTCGGTCGCAAATATAAGTATGAATAGTCATATTGATCTAATTATTCTTGTCTCCATCATTCTCTATATTTACTTGTCAGTTATTTAGAATGCAATGCTGTATGTTCTTTTATTTTTCAAAATTGGATGGTTGAGGTTGTTCATGTTATTTTCTCTCTGTTATCTATACTCCTCCAGATAGATATATACACATATATATATATATAAATATATTTTTCTACAGCCCTCTATACCTGCATTTCACTTTCATTCAAAGCCAGGGATTCGCGTTCAATATAGTCCATTGCATCTGCAGTTCTTCGGAATAGATGAGAGTCGCCGCCAGCACGTTTCAACAGACCACTCTTGACAAACAGCTCACGAGAATTTTCCCTCAGCTTGACAAAGTACACCTTAATATGACGCGCATGATATGCCTCCACAATCTCAAGAAGAATTTGGCAGGCACTAGGGTACAAAAAAAAAAAAAAAGACAAAAGGTTAGGAAAAAAAAAAAAAGTATCAATATTAGAATAGAGCGATTCAATATTAAATAATTTTTACCTTGCGTCCAGTGAAGGCATGTTCTCAACATCGAAAATAACATGTGACACGGGATTAAGTCGCGCTTCCTCTGATGGATGGACACTCATGTCGCCAAAGACTTCCAAGCGGTGCAGACGATCTTTGAGCTGACCAGTGTTTGCAAAGTACAGGGCTTCCTCAACCTTGACAACAAGGACACCATCAATATGCTCTGCAATACCTGGGTAGTCTTTGATGGGGCGAACTATGTATGTCACACATTGTACAAGCGAAGGAAAAAAAAGAAAGAAAACAACCAAAACAAACAAATAAACAAAAAAAAGTCAGCAACCATGGCCCTTCAGAAATATGCATACCACAAAAAAGGTACAGGATCTGCAAAAAAAAAAAAAAAAAAAAAAGACAACAATGACAACAACAATAGATTGTTCAACTCTTCTTACATTTGCCCTTGGTTCCAGGCATACGACCCATAATAGTGATCCTTGGGTAGGTTGAGGTCTTGATGACCAGCAAGAAGGACAAGGCGATGGCAATCAAGGTCCCGGCCTCCACAGAAACTGTAATGGTTGCAAAAAACGTCAAAAGCAACAATCCTAAATCCGACCAAGCTTGGATCTGCCACCAAAACTTGATGTCATGAGGGGCCTCCGAAAGCAATGACAATGCGGCCACACAGATGATACCAGCCAATACCGCCTTGGGAAGATAGAAGAAATAAGGTAGGAGGAAGAAAATGGCAAGGAGGACAATCAAGGCTGTGATTAATCCTGCAAGCTGGGTGCGTGCTCCGGCTTTATCATTAATCTTGCTACGGGAGAGTGATCCAAAGGCAGGAATGGCCTGGAAGAGTCCTCCAAAGATATTAGCAATACCCATGGCAACCAATTCACGATTAGGGCTAACAGTGTAGTTGTGCTTGTTGGCGTACTGTTTTGAAATGACGATCGACTCGACAAAACCAATGATGGAGATCAAGACTGACGTGCCAAACAGGGAGCGGACTGACACACCTTCGGGTGCGGCAGGGATGGATGGGAATTGGATACCAGCAGCCTTTGTCGCCCCCAAAACTGCAAGACCATCCTTGTCCCAACGGAAGACTGCGGTAAGGACGGTATAAAGGATGACACAGAGTAAGATCTCTGGAACAAATTGCAGGAATGGCAGTTTTGTGAGACGCTTCTTGAAGGATCCAAACGAGAGCAAAAAGACGATACTTGAGAAGGACACGACTGTTGTAAGAACATGAATGTGTTTAAACTCCTCAATAATGAAAACCAACTTCTCAACAGTCGAAGATTGCTCCCCAATTCCAGACTCTTCGGCCAAATCCCTGAGTCCAAAGAGAGAAATTGACTGTTCGATGATGACTACAACTGCGACAGCAGTGATGAATCCGCGTAGCAATGCTCTAGACAGAACAGAGTCCAAAAAGCCGAGACGGACAAAGCCCAAAAAGAATGTGAAGAGACCAACAAAGAGGGTGATATAACAAGCAATAGCCAAAGCAACATTAGGATCTGAGCTACCACTGGCATGTTGTTGCTGTGCAATGGCCGTTCCGACCATCATGGAGACAAGGGCTTCAGGTCCGACTGAAAGCTGACGTGATGTTCCAAAGATGGCATAAAGTACTCCTGGAATAAAAGCCGTATACAGTCCATGTACGGGTTCTAGGTGAGCCAAAGCAGTAGCATAGGACAAACTCTGAGGGATGATCAAGCAGGCAACTGTCATGCCAGCGATAAAATCATGGCCAAAGCCATCCATGGAGTAATGAGGTAACCAACGGAAGACAGGAACATAATAGCGGAGTCTGTTCTTGAAGGTTGTCCAGAGATCGGCACCTGGGCTTACAGGTTCATCTAAGGTTCAGGCACAACATTTGATTCACACGCATAGGAAAAGAAGGTTGTGGGGTTAAAAAAAAAAAAAAAAAAAAAAAAAAAAACGGCATGGCATGACATTGTTTCCAGAATTTTTTTTTTTTTTTTTTTTTTTTTATTTTTTTTTTGGCGGGCACATTGCAACTGTAAAAGACTTACAGAGATCATCTTCTTCCGTAGGCTGTTGGTATTCCCGACCACGTCTGACAAAAGGTGTGCGCTCATTGTTATCCTCGCTGTCCGAGCTATCAACCTGAACGGGAGAGTATCCTATAAAAAAAAAAGAAAAAGTAGTGATTCGGAGGAAAAAAAAAAAAAAAAAGATCGTCGTCTGTCAGAGCACTGATTTCAAATCCTTTCCTTCCGTGGCACAACACACTGCATTGATGCGCTTGGTTCGGTCAAAAGAAAAAACAGAGAGAAAAAGAAAAGAAAAAAGTATTTTTGTTTCTCACACATCCTAAACTTACGTGGACTGCGTGAGGATTGAGCTTGGCTAGCGCGTGTCATTGGAGATGTAGGTAGATGAAAAGAGGACCTGAATGAGCGACAACTAAAAACTCGTCCTCATGCAAAATGCAATGATTGAGTTGGCCAGTATATGGGAAGTACAAAAATGAAGCAGATGTATCGAGAGTGAGGATGCAACGGAGCAAAAGAAAAAGAAAAAGAAAAAGAAAAAAGAAAAGGGTGAAAAGAGAGAAGAGAGGAATGAGATGTCGGTTGATGAGTAGAGCGAGAGACAATGGGAAGGTTAAATACTCATCACAATAGGTACAAAAACCGTGCACAGTGATGCATGTACACAGATAGAAAAAAAAAAGCCAAAAACAAACTCATCAAGAAACTTCAAGGACATGTAACCTTTTAACCAGACGGAAAAATAAACACGAAGCGAAACAAACAGGCTTACTTGTATCCCTTTCTGGATCGTTAATAAGAAAAAAAACAAAAAAAAAGGGAGAAGAATAGCAATTGTCGTCATCCTATCCGTGCCTTTTCCCCCTCCCTCCCCTTACCATCTGACCATGTTAATTGCGCTCGTGGCATGAAAAAGGAAAGCAAGGAGTAGCTTCTTTTCTACTTTGTTTATCTGCAATACATTTATGAATGACGTTGAGGAGCTATCCTAGCTTTTAGCTTTACATGCACTTTACCGTTTCAGGGAATGAAAAGCCAAATCTCGATGACCTTAAGGATTTTTTTTTTTTTTTTTTACCGCACTGAAGATTCATAAAAGGATGTCCAACGCACGTTTCAATTCTGATTGAATTTCAGAGGAAGACGGGAATGCACTGTACCTGCAGGAATCTATGCTTTGTGGCACATCTACACATGCAAATGTTCAGAAACATGTCTTTATTTCTAAAACTTGTAAAACTCATTGAACGATTAAACGACCTGCCCTGCAAGGTGAATCTTCCATGATTCGAGCAAATCTGGTAGTTCTGATAGGCTCTGGATCTGATAGTCAACATGCCAAAACTCCTCCAATGACAGATCAACCATCTCCCCACTTGTCACCAGCACAGTCCTGGCACCTACAGCACGTGCATATTTAAGTGCCTCAATGTTATCATCCAAAACAACAACCTCATCCCTCTCTTCAACCTCTTCCACATCAGCACCAGTCTCGGCAACACGAGCAATAACCTGACCCGAGAAATTATCACGAGTAACAGGATGAACGCCCACACGTGCAAATACTCTTTGAAAGTATTGTGGCGATGTCTTTAAACAATTGACTCTATCAGATCCATAAATATCATCAAAACATTCAAACACATCCAACCCCTTTAAGATATGCTCCAGATCCTCGAAACTATCTGCAGAGCTGATGTATAATTTGCAACCACGCCCCAGACCAGTACTCGGATAACGGTTTGCACTTAATTTCCGAATCGTCTCTACAGCGCCAGGGAAAGCAGCCTTAACTCGTTGAATTGCATACAGGTGCGCAGATCGTGCAATCTCGAAAAGCTCATCATCTGATAGAGACAGTAAGATCTTGGATTCGAGCCCTGGCACATAAGGGCCAGCAACACGACACATCTCTTTGATCCAAATCAGGAGACGCAGTCTCTCAAAGATCCAACAAACATTTGTCGCCTTTGCTTGTTCATCCTCGGTAGTTTCTCTGGCATTGCCTTCTTGTCCTTGCTCCTGTTCTTGTGTGGCTTTAGCTTGTGCCTTAGCAGCAAGATCTTCAGCCTGGGCCATATATTCACGCCATCGACTGAAAAACGGTCGAACGATCTGTGCATTGGCTTGACCCCAAATCTGTGCATCTCCTCCCAAGACTGTCGTAGGAAGAAATTCGCCAAGATAGCGGATCCATTGGGGCCCACGCTGAGCGTTATCGTTAATAACTCCACCAGAGTCCAAAAATATGGCAGATGGCATTTTAGTGGGATGTGCAATATCTTTTTGAGCGGCCATTTTTCTCCAAGTTATTTAAAATATGACTAACAGGTAGATCGTTGGTACTGACAGCGATAAGTTGATACTTAAAAAAAAAAAAAAAAAAAAAAAAAAAGTGAAAAAGAGATAAATTCAGTGCGTATCATTCGTGAAATTACATTTCATATTGATAAGAGTGGCTGAAAAAAATGCTGCGGAGCACAATCATGCGGTTTGTACTTCTCGTTGGCGTATCCATTTGCAACTCAGTTTCGTGTTATTTGGTGCTACATCGGGTATCACATTTATGATGTCAACAGTTAGTACAAATAGCCCAGCACCTGGACATCTTTGCCTAGACTCGATCTATTTAATGTGAAAAAGGACAGAAAAGGAAGGCCCATGTGCGCTACCATCATTCAGTTCTGAAACGATCGGAAGCTCTACCTCCGCAAAGCTCAGGGCTCGTTGGTAGCCTGAGCAGATTTGATTGGATTTACATGTACCTATTGAGAATCATATCCGACAATCCAAGGCTGACAACCATCTTGCTGTCGAATGCCTGGCGATGGGACTACCACAGAATTACCAAGACGGTTGTTACAGCTCGAAAAGAGAGAATATTACACGAGGGATCTTGCTCACTAAAGACACTTACGATAAGGGGTCATGGTGGATGCAAAACTGTTACCTGCGTTGCTGCCGAAGCTCTTGATTCATTCAATCCAGAGAATCCTCTCTTCGGGTCAATACTTCACATGCTCAAAAACTAAGAACCGTTTATCAAAAAGCTCGACTTAGAATTCCCGTTAAATGCTGAGATGACGCTGGTTCCGGATGAGTTGACCAAGACTAAGGGATCGAAGACTTCAACTCTGGATGCGGACTGCGGATCATTAACATCGGTTGGCCTTGAGCGTATGGCTCGCATCATTCAGAGGTCATCAAACCTGACAAAGGGGCGATTTGCGTTTAACTCCGATTTCATTACACTGACCCTGGACGAAGTAATCGGAGCTAGCGAATCTAAGCCTTCAACTCTGGATGTGGACTACAATTTATTTACATCGATTAGCCATGAGTGCATGGATCGCATCGTTCAGAGGCCACCAAAGCTGACAAAGGGGTGCATTAGGTACCAAGGATTTAAACTCAAGATTAAACCTCTCAAAACTTCCGTTTCAGGAAGCCCAAAGATTCGGTGGCTATGCGCTAGTAGTAGATGGAATCGGCGGAAAGATTGAGGTTGAGGCGATATTCCATGTTCTCATGAATCAAGGGCCATTGATCAACATGATTGCGTTTGACCACGGATTCGATGATAAGATACTGTTTGTCTTGGGTAAATTCGCTACGCCTATTAGGCCCTATATTTCACGCCTGAGGATCGTGTGTGGATCATTAACATCGGATGGTTGTCGGCTCTTGGGTCGCATTATTCAGAAGTTATCGAACCTTGTAGAGCTGTGGTTGTATGCCAAAAAATCGGCAGAAATAGAGAAACTAGAACAATCAAGCGGCGAAGGGAATGCCAAAGAGTTGCCACAAATGGTTAATTGGCCACCAACGCGACGAAATCTACCGAAGCTACAGAAATCGAGTGTCGACATCGATGGATTATCTACACCTAACTCCTCTCAATGGGTCATCAGTATGGTTAAAGCCCCAGAGCTTTTCCCCGCCTTGTACCAACCATACAAGCAATACCAACGCGTCATGAGTATGATGATACCAAGCCTCTCAAGAACGTCCGCTTAGCTTCCTCTTCTTTCAAGCATATAGAATGGAAGAAACTCGTAGAGGCCATTGATATCTCAGAACTAGAGACACTGTGCATTTCAGGACTCTTTCTTAATGTCCTGATACTGAAGCTTTTGGTGGATCGCCTGCTAAAGGATGGTAAATCAGTGCCACTGTGGAAATTCAGTTTTAAAAAGACACGCCCGGCGCAAGCAACGCATTCGGACGAGATAGAGGAGTCAAAAGCGTTACTTAAAAAGAAGTATCCTGGACTGAGAGTGGATATTTCTTTAAAATAGAGTAGAGAGTTTTTATTTTTTGTTGTGGCCACCTTCGACGTGGATTCAGATTGTTTAGATTGTTTAGATTGTTTATTATACTATGGATAGAAAACGTGTAAAATGCTATTTCCCCTTACATCCTGTGATGTCAAGGGAAAATAAACAAAAATATATATATAAATAAATAATAAGATCTATGCTATTCATCAAAATTGCGGATGGAAGAAAAAGTCCTGACTTTTTTTTTTTTTTTTTTTTTTTTTTTTTACAGAACTAGAACAAGCTCGAGGAATAACTTAAGCGGAAAGCTGGTATGAAGAAGGTGCCTCCGAGACTAAGAACCCAACCTGGCACTCCTTGAGCATGTAATCATAATTGACCCACTTGTGCGTCAGATCTACATAGACATACAGACACACACAAAAAAAAAAAGAGAGAGAGGGAGAGGAAGGGTCAGTAATCTTGTGCTATACAGAGGTTATCTTTTTATTATGCCAACATCCCATCAAGATCTTTTGAATCGAAAGAAAAGTTTTCTTAGTGCACTTACTGAAGAGTCGCGTTCCATCTCGTCCAGCACACCGCATGAGCTCCTTCTCTCCACCTGGATGGAATGGTAGATACGGCGTGATGTTATATACCTTTCCGTTTAGAACTGTCCAAGCGTCGTCAGGCTTATTGTGGGCTTTGATATCTGAAAGAGTGTACCGTCCTAGAGTTGAGACACCCTTTTTTGTTTTAGGGCCCACACGATGATTAAAAAAGGTCAACAGGAAAGATTAAAACATGACAAAGTAAGGAAGATGAGGAAATTCATTAAAACCTCGGAGATGATAATAATTGTAATAGCAATAATAATAATAATAATAATAATAATAATAATAATAATAATAATAAAACTTACCCTTAAATCAGTACCAGAGTTCGTTAGGCGAGCCCAATCGAGTGGCGAGTGCCCTGGTGCAAGAGCAAACTTGATCCTTCTCTTTGACTTTGGATCTGTAGAACAAGCTGCTAGACGTTGAGGTCCATTCAGAGCAGGGAAACTAGGTGTTGATTCTTTTTTTAAAATAAAAATAAAAATAAAAAAATTTGGGTGAATAATTTATATAATTCAGGGGAGAGGAGGGAAGATGACTATGCTGCGCATGGACCAGTTTGGTCCACTCCGGCGAAGTGCACAGACAAAGGCAACGTCGATAATAAATCACCAATTGATGAGGAGAAAAAATAAGCCTTACCCTCTGGTGCATCTGCTGTTGAGAGTGTCATGGTGGGTGTTGATCCGGTTGGAGCTACAGGGTTGGGTACGACTACTTTAACATCGGACTCTTTATCCGAGTCCGAGTCCGAGTCTGAGTCTCGTACAGAGGGTGGTTGTAGGCTATTTAGATTGACAGAAGGGATTGAGAGGCCAGTGGAGGTGGGAGGTTGGACAATGATTCTGCCGCTGTTGCTTTGCTTAGAGCTGTAAGGGTGGTTGAATGTGTTGGTTTGGCCATCCTTCTTGGCTTCATTGCTACCGGTGTTCTCGACAGCGGCCGAGCCCTCTGCAGGGTATACGTAGTCCTTGATGGCGGTGAAAAGGAATGACATGCAGAAATACTGAAGGATAATATGGGTATAAGGAATAGATAAGATCGTAAGGTATCGGTATCGGATGAAATGCAAATGAGATGTTGATCAAAAAAAAGTAGAGAATGTAGAAATGAAAGAAATGAAATGTGACCTCAAAAGTGCATACATGCAACTGCGATGCAAATGTCATTTTTGTCGTTTGAGCAATTAAGTTTACATGCACTTACGGGGTGTCATCTTTATTGATTTGCACATTTTATAAAGACAGTTAGACAAACACTCCAAAACACATTTGAAATACACCATAGTACATTTGCAATGCACTTGTCAGAGGGTTGACCTATTTCAAATATACAGATGGATATTTCAAATGCCTGCACATTTGGCAAATGTGCTTCCCTCAAATAACCAAAAAATGTCTAAGTTTGAAGCCCCATCTGTAAGTCGACATGTAAAAAAGCTATAAACCTCCTCTTTGGATATCATATTCAGTAGCTGAAATGATCCATCTTGCATAAAATAGATCAGACAGGCTCAACTGCTAGCAGTTCAGTTGGCTTTCCATCTTATACCAAGTGCAAGTGTTCAATCCCGAAATCTCTTTTTCCTTTCTCAAATGATAGCCCTGTAATTGCGAGATGCTTGATATCCAACTATAATCCTCCGAGAAGATGAAGTGATTACACATTTCGACAAGCTCCCTTTAGGCCTGGCTGCGCGAATAGCTCTTCCGGACGAGGAGTGTTGCCATGTAAAATGAAATGTTCCCCAATAAGATTGCTTATCGTCATCAATACGATGTAACCGTAAGCTCCTCGAGTAAAAGAAGGCCGAAGTTGATATGAACAATTCTTTAAATCCCACGCTTACTCTCGCATCGCATTCATCTCCATGTTTTTTGATATCCTCTCTCAACTGGTGGTCTGGCGGAGCACAATAATAATCGGACTTAAATGACAGGGACATGAGCTGATAAATTCCTGCAAATGCCTCGACATCTTCTGTCAGAATTTCTTTGGAAAGTATATCTGTTAAGCTTCAACGGGAGCAGCAATGGCGGGACATTGGAGAACAAAAAATATCTTGTATTGCTTCATTTGACATAGATCCGTTGAAGCCCATTCGATTGAGAGGAGATTACGGGCTAAAGTATCAACTGTCGTGTGCCCTAGGTCGGGAGTCCATGCCTTCTGAGGAGTGTTTCCGAGTATAATTGAATATTTGTAGCATGGTTCGATTATCACTATTAGCGCCCCAGCTGTTGTAGTTTAAAATGAAAGCGGTAGCGAGACACATCAGGGGTAGATGTGTTGGGAATGGCGCAGAGAAAAAAAGCTTTAATGATGCCGCTGCCTCCTGGTAATAGAACTCCAGATGAATGCTTATAAAATGTGATTCTGCTGACAGCCGACTTGAAGAGAGAGCAGTGTTTGGAGAGTGACCAAACTCAAACAAAAGCATGAGGGCATGGTCAGTGGGTTAAAGGAAGAAGTTTCTAGTGGCCTGGAGGCCTTGTGGTTGAAAAGCAGCCCATGGAAAATTCTATCAGGTTAGACCTGATCTGACTGTCTTTTTTTTTTTGTTCCCTTCTCATTTGTCTACATTTCAACCATTTCAACGCTTTTTTTATTTACACAGGCAACTGATTAATTTCCTGTCGCCCACTTCTACCACAAATGCCTCATAGTCCTAGTCCGGATCGACACAACGATCGTCGTGGGCCTCCTCGTGATTGGGATGCGCCTGAAGAGGAAGAGGGCGAGATTAGTTATTCTGGACGTCGTTCAGCACCCTCCCGTGGAGACCCCAAAGGAGACCGTAGAGACCATCGTGACCGTGACCGGGATAGAGGAGAGCGTGATCGGGATCGCAGTGATAGGAGACGAGATGATCGATATCGTGAGAGTGAACGTCGAGACTACCGGGATCGGGATCGTGGGCGTGATCGAAATGGTAGGCGAAGAAGCTCACGTTCACGGTCTAGATCACCATACCGTCGTCGATCCAGATCTAGGAGCCCTAAGAGCAGGCGTGGCGATGAAAGGGAGGAAGGTGAATATAGGAGCAGCAGCAGGAGGAGACGTGACGACAGTGACATTGAAGATGATCGTGCCGATAAAAGAAATAACAGGAAAAGAGACGGAAAGAAGGCAAATGATGAGGACATTGAGATGAAGCCTGGAGAAAAATTATCGCCTGAGGACGAGGAGGCAAGGATGATGGCTCTTATGGGATTTGGAGGATTCGATTCTACAAAGGTACGTACAGTTGCAACTTGAAGGCCCTATCCGATCTTTTTTTATTTATTATTTTATGCAAATACGTGGGCTTACGATCGCTATTATACTCATGTTTACATGTAAAATATATGGATACATAATTATTTTCCATAGGGTAAGAAAGTTGCTGGGACGGACGTAAGTGGTGCAGACATTAAGAAGCAACGACAATATCGTCAATACATGAACCGACGTGGAGGATTCAACAGGTGAGGCAATCGCAGAAAAGACTATTACGCTTATTTCTTATTTCTTATTATTTGCTTTTTGTTTCTGCAAATGTATTTCAATGCTTTCCATACAACAAACAAGCAAGCTGACCAACCAACATTCACATCTTGGTTCTTTATTTTTACTAAGACCGCTAGATGCAAAATAGTATACCTGAATAATAATAAACATTCGGACAAAAAACCTACTATATATCGTTTACAACTGCAGCGCTTCTATTACACGAATGTTATGATGAGCGAAAAAAAAAAAAAAAAAAACGGCGACTTTAACCAGCATTAATCAATGTTGAAGCACAAACATAAGCATATATTCAATCGAGGAATGACTTTAGTTTTTTTTGCTTTTTTTTTCTTTTTTCTTTTTTTTCTTTTTTTACTACACATTGTTTTATTCTTAAACATAGTCTACTTTCCAGGAACTCCTCGCAAAGCGGGTGCCTGTGTACCAAACAAATTACGGGATTCCAGGAAATCTTCCGAGCTGATATTATCCAGCACCTGTAGTTCATGGCGAATGTAATCCACCAGCAATGCAATCTGAGCAGGATTACCATGGGATGTGAATAGATTTCTCCAGAGTGCCGCAGCCATGATGGGATCATCCTTGCACATCCCCTCATCGTATGCTAACACACCTCCATGGAACTGTGCCAAGAAATCGTGCATATATGTGGTGATGATACGACCGGATGAAATCTATAATACAATTTTCCATAAAAAAAAAAAAAAAAAAAAAAAAAGATAAATTCAACCTTGGAAAGTAGGGAGTAGAGCTTTTGTTCAAAGAAGGGAAGAGAAAAAAAAAAAAAAAAAAAAAAAAAAGAAAGGGAACAAACTGATATCCATACTCTACCTTGTGATTGTATCTCATACGGTCCTCAATGTCATGGAAAAAGTGGTTGACAAGCTGCTGTTGAAAGACCTTTCCATTCTTTTCGGCTCGAATACGGACCATCAATAACCATACATGCAAATGCGTCACTGAAAACCACGTTTGAAAATTATCCGGGAGTCCACACGCTGTAAGATGAATGATAGTAATAATAATAATAATAATGATACCGGAATCGCTTATTAGACATAAAAGCTTTCATAATTCCTTGTTTTTAGATCCTATGTCAATAAAAAAAAAATAAAAAAAGGATCCATGCAAACAAGAGAACATACTATCGATCCAGAGAGAACGCTTTTGCTGTAATTGAGCCGCACAGATCTCATAAAAGTTATGTGTAGAACGCATAGCAGTTTGACCGACGGTATAATGACCAGTGACCATAGCTAATCCGCGTAGAAAATTGGCGTAAAGTCCTTTTGGCTCTTCATTTGATCCTCCGGTTTCTGAAGACGCTGGCTTAATATCGTTAGAGGATGTAGATACTGATGTGGATGCTGGTGATGTAGCCTGCTTTGAATGACTCCAAGATGTTGTGAAGGCCTGTTTGAATATATTCAAAGATGCAACATTAAAAAATGTTAAAATCAAAGCAAGGTATAAAATAAACAAAACAGATCGTTTAGAATTATGATGCGATTTGATATGATTGCGAAAACAAGTTGGATACATGGACTCGCCACTTACACGAGCAGTATATAATTGAGCTGGTCTCGAGCATGGAGCCCTGGCAATACTCTATTCAATATATTATTTTTTTTTTTTAAAAAAAAAAAAAAAAAAAAAAAAAAAAAAGATAGAATCCAGATAATCTTTTTTTATTAACTTGATTTGTTTTTTAGAAATAAAAAAAAAAAAAAAAAAAAAAAAAAGCTGTCTCCCCCAAAAGCGCCTGAAGACGATCATTTCTCAATGTAATCCCGCATTTGCTCCATTGAAATCAATCCTCCTTTTGTGAGAACATACACGAGCAGTTTGAAGACTAGATCTGGCGATGAACGATGAGAAAGCCATTGGTTTATACGCGACTGTAGGATAAGGGGAGAGGAAGAAGACCAGAGAGGTTAGGAACTTTAAAAAAAAGCTGGCGCAAAATACCCGGAAGGAATCCACAGTCACCTTGAAACACGTGCGACTGGCATAAATAAATCGTATCCCAATGTTTGAGCTTTTGTGCGAAACATGTTGTTGACAACGTCTCTGCTTGTTTGTTTAACATAATTGGCTGATCAGGATGTCTACTATGATTGATACGATCGATAGCTTTTTTGGTGGTCTTTTGAGGAAAAAAAAAAGTATACATGGAACGTGATTTTAGGAGTGTATTTACGGTATGATATAATAAAAATGTAAAGCTTTGGTTCAAGCATTTTAATATAATGTCCGTTACAAGAGATCAGGAAAAAAAAAAAAAAAAAAAGCTAGTTTAATTGAAAATGGATGTTTGGTATCTAAAGGACTCCTCTTTTTTCATGCCCAATATGTGTGAATTGTTTAAAGCTTTTTTTATTTTTATGATGAATATCTACATGTAATTGGATGGCAGAGTCAAGGTTCCTTTAGGCTCTGGAGTCCAGTTCTCGAAAGCTTTACCTTGTGCCTTGAGCGCTTCGAATTCACGGTCTTCCCTTTCGACTTCTTCTTTGCTCAATACTTTCAAGATCTTGGCAGGGTTTCCGGCGACGACACAGTAGGGAGGTACGTTCTTGGTAACGACACTGCCTGCGCCAACTGTGACGCCATCGCCGATTGTCACTCCAGGGCAGATGATAGCTCCACCGCCGATCCAGACGTCATTTCCGATTGTGATAGGCATTCCAAACTCAATTCCCTTGGAACGAATCAAGGGGTTGACAGGATGGGCTGCACAGAAGACTTGGACGTTGGGTGCAAAGAAGACGTTATCGCCAATGGTTACCTTGCCACAGTCGAGGATGGTGCAGTTAAAGTTCATGTAAACGTTCTTGCCCAGGGTGATGTTGCATCCATAGTCGACACTGAAGGGTGGTTCGATCCAGCAGCCTGGTCCCATTTGACCACGAGTGAAGAGATGCAGAAGTGCTTTACGCTTGAGAAGGTCCTCGGGTGTGTTCTGAGAGGTAGCATTGTAAACTCGCATCAGATCGCGAGCACGTTGACGTTCTCCAACGAGCAAAGGATGTGATGGGTCGTACACCTTGGCTTCAAGCATGAGCTGTTTCTGAGTCTGGTCCAGATGGAGACCCAAAGGCGTGAAATTATATTCTTTCTCAAGTTTCTCGGCATACTCTGCGACAGACATCTTGGGTGAGTTCTCAGTGGTCTTGCTGGTCCCTTCGTCCACGTTGGCGGTGTTGATGCTGACTGTGGAGGCCATTGTTAACTTTTAGACCTGCTGCTCAAAGTTATATGGGTCAGGAAGGGAAAGCGTGGTTGTCGAGTGGAGGAATGAGGAATGAAGATGAGAGACGATTGACTTTTTGTCTTTCTTATATACCAGTCTAATTGCTTAAATGTGGGAAAAACTTTTTGAATTTTTGTCTGGGTACTCGTTTTAATCGATCGAGCGGATGGGAGATATGGAGCTACAGAACTCAAACGGTCCAAAGTATTTTATCTTTCATGACATGATGCATCCATTCTAGAATACGATACGTGGCATAGTTTCAGTCATTTTTTCAATATAAACATGAAGGAACTTTATCTTTCGGTAACATGTATTGTAATTGGATGTGATGACAAATACCGTAGCTTCTCCTTCCTCTACGCCTTTGGCTAGGAATGGTTAGGGTCAATCTGTGGGCGTTCAAATAGCCGAGGGTTTTTTTTATGCTATGTATGCAGGACTAATTAGCAATTGACGTGAACCAGTTGCAAGGCGATCCAGGGGTGTGAGACAATTTTTTTTTCACGTTTTTATTCGTTTTGCGATTCGATCACATGACCACATAAAAAAAGAGAGTCGTGTCTGTTATCTCGTCTGTGTCAGTTGCCTGTCATTTCAGAGCAAATGTGTCATCATTTTTTTTTTTGTGGCCGTGTCGTGTTTAGTTCCATGTTCACGTTCATGGTCATGGTCAAGTTGTGTTTCTGTTGTTAATGCTCTCGCTCTACAGGGCAATGTTATTGTGAATTACATTTAATTAATTACTTTTTTGGCTTTCGGATGCTCACTCGCCCCCTTTTGCCACTCCTTTTATCTCTTTGTCCTTTTTTTTTTTTTTTTTTTTTTTTTTATTTTCCCTCCATCACAAGCTGTCCCTCTTTAAAGTTGTAGACTGCTGTCTCTTTTTTGTTTTTTTTTTTCCTCTCTTTCTTTCTCTTTCCCTTTCTCCCTTTTCTCAAGGACACACAAACGTAGCCCCCCTCCCCCTTTTTCTTTCTTTCTCTGTCTGTTCTTTTTCTTTTTCTTTTTAAATCCTTCGTAACGCGTTTCGCTCGTTGCGACTTGGCCGATTTACGACCTCAACAGACAGGACTACTCAGCCATGGGCGACGCAAGCAATGTCAGCCTTGATTCCATTATCGAGCGACTGCTCGAAGGTACGCCTCTTTGATACGCCTCTCTCCCACTCCCCTTTATCCCACAACGACTACAAGTAGACAATTGTCTTTTTTTTTTTTTCTTCAATCCTCGATTCTCTCATTTGACATCATTCTTATCTTTGTCTGTCCAACATTTCACCCTTCCTCTTCCTTTTTTTTTTTTTTTTTTTTTTTTTTTTTCCTTCTTCTTCTTCTTAGTGAGGGGCTCGCGACCTGGAAAGCAAGTGCAGCTTGGAGAGAATGAAATCAAGTTCTTGTGTACAGAAGCTCGTCAGATCTTCATCAATCAGCCCATCCTGCTTGAACTTGAGGCACCCATCAAGATCTGTGGCAAGTATATAAAAAACAATTGAATTACCAAAATGCAAGGATCATGATTGATGTTTCAATGCAAAGCCATTTCATGGTGCATGTGCTCTATTCCTTTGTCAATTACAACTGGAGGTCATTTTACCTCCTGCTACTCGGATCATCCAGAGACAATGTAGATTGATTAGCAAAAGACAAGTGGAGAGAAAAGGAAAAGAAAAGGAAAAGAAAAAAGAAAAAAAAAAAGAATGAAGGAAGGAATAAAGGAATGTGAAAGAATGTGTGTATGTGAGAGACAGACTAAGCTCAAGCAAGAAATGGAAGCAAACGCACAGAACTTTTAAGTGCACAACTTACTCGATACTCGATAACGGGCATGTGTTCTATGGGGTAAATTGTTTTTGTCACTAATGGAAAGAAAAAAAATATATATATTGGGTCGATTTTACCAATTTAGGTGACATTCATGGCCAGTACTATGATCTCCTTCGACTTTTTGAGTACGGTGGGTTCCCGCCAGAGGCCAATTATTTGTTCCTAGGTGATTATGTCGACCGAGGCAAACAATCACTCGAGACCATTTGCTTGCTCCTGGCATACAAGATCAAGTATCCAGAAAATTTCTTCATTCTCCGCGGAAATCATGAGTGTGCCAGCATCAACCGGATCTATGGATTCTACGACGAGTGCAAACGTCGGTACAACATCAAACTCTGGAAGACCTTCACAGATTGCTTCAACTGTCTACCAGTCGCTGCGATCGTTGATGAAAAGATTTTTTGCATGCACGGAGGATTATCGCCTGACCTGCTAAACATGGAGCAGATCCGAAGAGTGATGAGGCCCACAGATGTACCGGACACTGGTAAGTTTTACGAGCAGCAGAAAAAAAGAAGGAAAAAAACCCCCAACACAATCGACAATAACAACAATGAGAACAAAGAATTATCAACAGAAAGGTCAAAAGACAAAGCAGGATCAGAGAGATGAGATGCATTGGGAAATTTATTTACTTTTGACCAACACAGCCTCCGCCCTCCCATTGCATTGAATTCGTCCTCATCCATCGTCTTTTTTATTATTATTATTATGATTATGATTATTAATGATAATTATGTGAATGCATCTCTAGGATTGCTCTGTGATCTACTTTGGTCAGATCCTGACAAAGATATTACTGGATGGAGCGAGAATGACCGAGGTGTCTCTTTTACATTTGGACCAGATGTCGTAACCAGATTCTTACAGAAACATGATATGGATCTGATCTGCCGCGCTCATCAGGTAGTTGAAGATGGCTACGAGTTCTTTGCAAAGAGACAGCTAGTAACCTTGTTCTCAGCACCCAACTACTGTGGCGAGTTTGATAATGCAGGAGCCATGATGAGTGTTGATGATACACTGATGTGTTCTTTCCAGGTAAGGAGAAGAGAACAGGACGAGTGTTGGACGCAGGCCAAAAAAAAAAAAAAAAAAAAAAAAAAAAAGAGAAAAAGGAATAGAAGAGTTATTGTTGTTGCTCAAAATCAATGGAGGTTACTCAAATCTACTGAGATTGAAACAAACAACAAACAGTACCATTTTCACGCTGCTGTTATTTATGCCTGGATTTGCTATTGATGTATGTTCGATTCTTTCCATTCAATGGATAAAATCGTACCAATGGCAAAAAAAAAAGTCAATACTTTTTCTTCTTTCTATCATCTGTAGGGTAGGCAGGAAGCATTGTGGGGCAATGTTAGTCAGTCCTTATCATGGGTTGACAGCCTTTGCCTCGGAGGATTCAGTTATTAATATTCGTTTTATTTTTGTTCCTCCTATATTTCTATTTGAATAGATCCTGAAGCCAGCTGAAAAGAAGCAAAAGTACTCATACGGTGGGGGATTGGGATCAGGACGGCCCGTGACGCCACCAAGAGGAAAGAAAAAGAAGGAGATGTCGAAGGTCACTTAAATGGTTCAGACCTCTTCCTCTTTAGGTTGTGTATCAATTAAAAAAAAAAAAAACAAAAAAAAACAAAAAAAAACAAAAAAAAGACAGGAGGGTGGCCTCAGTTGTAGTTCACATGTAGATGAAACTGAAGCACTTTGCAAATACATGTTTATATATCAAGTAAAGTGTTTTATTTTATTTTATTTTTTTTAAAAAAAAAGCCATTTCCTTAAAGATGTAACCTATAGGCATGACCCTTTCATTTTCATATTTGAGAGAGATGTAGGATGACAAGGACGAAATAAGTTAGCAAAAGTGGAAGGACAGAGGTGAATGCATGTGGTTTTTGTAACAGAACGACAGACGAAGTGATTGTGATTGCTTTGGACTGGTGTAACCATCCCATTTCTGTCTGTGCTTCGGACATTTTCTGGCCAAAGAGTACAACGCAATGGTGTCCAACGATACAGAGCGAATCAACGGAAAAAAAAAAAAAAACACATTGGGTTCAATAGGACATATTGGATTTTTTTTTTTTTTTTTTTTTTGTAATAGTAGAAGTAGCAGAAGTAGAGGTTAGCGATGGTTGAACATCATGAATGAGGTTGAAGTTGAGCATTTAATCCATTAAAAAAGGAGGAGGAACGTAATGTTCCATTGTTCCATTGTTCCATGGCATCCCTTTTTTCAAGCAAAGTGAATGCGACACTCTTTTGCATGCTTTCTCTTTTTTTTTTTTTTTTTTTTTGTTCCTTTCTTCCTTTCTTTCTTTCTTCCTTTCTTTCTTTTTCTGTTTTTTGAGCGATAGCAACAGCACTTGAAGTAGCGGTTGAATCTTTTCTTTATTTTTATTTTTTATTTTTTATTTTTTATTTTTTATTTCCCTTGAAAACATAAACTGACATGGCCACCCAATGTAAGCAAACATCAATGAAAACCTTCTTAAATAATATATATATATATCCTATCTGGACTTTAAAACATAATTTTTCATGTGCTTTTCAAGTTGTGAAGGTCGCGTCCTTGGTTCCAAATCAACAACACTGTAACCTTAAGCTTAGGGTCTTGTCAGTTGAGACCATAGCGGAGACCATTCATAAAGAGAGTAAGCAAGCAAAAAAAAAAAAAAAGAAAAAAAGAAAAAAAAAAAAAAGCTCCTTTCTTTCCATTCGATCATTGATATAAAATTACTCTTGTCCTCACTTTTTAACCTTTTCTCATCCATACTCTTTCGTCACTGTCTGTCTACACTTTGTAGCAGGGAAAATTATTCAAAGTGCTGATGCTATTGTAGGCGATGATACAGCTTGTATTCTCCTTAACCTCAGGAATGGTAAAAAAAAAAAAAAAAAAAAAAAAAAAAAAACTATTAATATTTTATTATTATTAATAACAATAAAGAGGGAATCGAGGAATGGGGAGGGTATTAATTTTATAACCCCTAATCAGCTTTCACATTTCTAAATCGTTGATTTAGATCAAGTCAATCTTTTGGCTCGAAATGCAAAGCTTAGAGTGTTAAATGCACGTGTGAATATGTATCGTGGATTCATGCGTCTTGAAGTTGATGAAGATGATGAGATGAAGGATGGTCCAGATATTATCGAAGACACCCGTCCGTCATCGATCACAGTCATTGGAGATGAGGAGGAGGAAGAAGAAGATGGCGTCAGGGTTGCATCCACAAGAGGAGTATCATCGGGCCATCCTTCAGAAGATACTACTACTACTACTGCTGCTGCTACTATCGTACAAGGAGCCATTCCTCGGCATGAAGAGATAATATCGCGTTCAGAGAGATCATCTGGAGCAGTAGAACAGTCATCTCCAGGGACTGAAGCTGATGAGACCACAGCGATGACCCAATCAGCAGCAGCAACATCCATGACTTTGCCTACAATGGCCACATCAGGATCACCATCCAATTCATTGGTCTCCTCCTCAGCTCCTGCAGCTTCACTCGGCCGCGATCAATTGGAAGTAGAGATGCGATTGGGAACAGGAGGTAGTGTTCCTTTGATGGAATATTATCGTACGATTGAATTTATGTATTTCTCAACTGTGGAACCTATTGGACGCTAAATAATAGCCATCTGAATAAAGTAAAAGACCCTTTTTTTTTTATAATATGCGAATTTTCAAGACGACAAAAGGCGTCATTCTGATAAATGAACAATGGATAATGGGTAAAAGGGGTGGATGAACTTGAGCTTTTTTTTTTTTTTTTTTTTTTTTTTTTTTCAGGAGACTCGAAGTGAAAAGTAAATGAATGATAAAAAGAAAATTGAAAAGTGAGGATGAATAGGAGGAAGAGACAAAAGAGGGACGAGAGGAATGAGGGAAGGAAAGAAGGAGAGAAGGGAGGAGCAATGGGGTTGCGCACATTTCTTTCTTCCCACCCATTCACCTATTCGGGAACAAATATTTGGAAAGGAATGCGATGTTATTCTGTTCATAAAATTGTTCTCGACCTTTAGGCTTTAGCAACCCAATGAAGAATTGTTCAGAGATGGCTCTATTGTTAAAAGCTGTACAAAGACAACTGTCTATTCATCCGCCTTTTTTTTTTTATCTTTATTTCGCCGATGCTGTGAGCATGCGTAGAATTAGCTTTTTAGCTTAGAGTATCAAGATCCACAGTCCTATATAGTACTTCTGTGCCTAGAAGCTGTCGGGATTCAAGGTGGTGTAGAGTTATCATAATGACTGATCAATCATAATATAAAAAAAAAAAGCTCCCTCATCATTCAGTTTGTAGAAGAATTTAATAATGAAGGTGCCTTTCATAGCTCCGATTAAATAATTGCATGATAGTTTGAACGTCAACATGTAATTGAAAGATAATATATTTGTAGTCTATTACTGGACGTTTGTAAGTAAGCCAGGTGCTAGTCTAATGCTAAGTCATTATGAACATGATATGACAAGAAATACAGGCCCTGATTGCTTCCGATTTAATTTTATTTTTTATTTTTATTTTTATTTTTTATTTTCACTTAGTTTAACTTCTTTTTTAGTAGCGTATCGTTGACAGGCGAAGAAAAGTCCTTGGTTTCAAACTGATATCAGCATCAATAATCAGCGAAAAGGAGCAAAACAAAAGAAAAAAAAAATGTCGTACATTTTGTTTATCCTACAAGTTGTGGATGATATCAGTTGTGTAAGTTATGAATGTATTTGTGTGCTTTGCCAATAGAACTCAGCACGTATCAAGAAGGAACGAGACATGAGCACGGGATACAGAATTAAAAAAAAAAAAAAAAAAAAAGCCTTGACTATGATTATGACGAGTTTAAGCATTTTTGTGTATCTTACATGGACCATTTTGTCTCCTATGCCCCATGCCCCTCCATGCTCATATCCATACTGTGCTTTATAAAGAGACATTGTTGGTTCATAATGAATGGACCATTTATAACGACCAATCACTGACACATGAAGGTCAGTTGGTTCCTGGATGGCAGTTACTTTATTTTAAAATCGTGGCATCTGAGGATAGGAAAAGAGACCAGGAAGTATTGCTTATTCAATAAACTCTCATTTAATCTCAATTTAGCTTTTTCCACACTCTTATTTGGGCGTAATGATAAGTATATATGATGGGCAAATCAAGCATGTCATTTTTTTTTTATTCTTGACAATCTGGATGATGTCATTTCTGAGAATGCTTTTTGTACATTAGGTTAGAGTTGTCCAAAATTAGATTACAATACCATGAATACAAAGAGAGGAATAAAAACAAATTATCACATAAGCTTCCAAGGGCGAACAAACAGAAATATATAACAATGTCATCACTTTCGTATTTTTGTGTTATTGGTCTTCCCTTGACATCATATCGTTGATCTGCCGTTGCTCTCTCAGATAATTCTATGCTCACAATTGTATATGCATGCATCGTAATCCCTGAGAAGTATATAAATCAGAAGATCCCCTGACTTTTTTTTTTTTTTCTTCATTCTTCTCTTCAGTAATTTAATTCACCCACAGCCTTTTTTTTAAAACTAATACATCTTTCCAATCTTTTCCCACCAGCGAGCAGCCAGGGAATATTAATATTTAAACTAAATCTCTCACAACCATGTCATTTACAACAGTATCTCCACGCGCCCGAACATGGCTGCGACACGCTCCTGTCTACGTATTGATGTTCCTCTCCACACTCGTCAACCTCATGACCACATATGCCGCACCTGTTGCATCCAAGAGGCCTGGCGATGATAACGACAATGCTCTTGACAGAGCACGCCAGGGTCCCTATAACCTTACTGTCCAGGCTGGAATCGCTGGTGCCATCCTCATTGTTTTTGGTCTTATTCTCTGCTTCTTTGGTTATCGCTTCTTCCGTGTGACAATGTTCTTGATTGGTTTCTACTTCTTTGGTAACATCACCTATGTCGGTATGGCCAACGGTGGCGTCACTTCTCAGACCTTGCTCCTCGTCATCTCGATTGTGGTCGGTATCATTGGAGGTCTGCTCTTAGTCTGCTGCTCTCGTCTGGGTGTTGCTGTCCTCGGAGCCTTGGCCTTATACTCCTTGGGTCTCTGGATCTTAGGATGGAGATCTGGTGGTGTCATTACCTCCAGCACTGGTCGTGGTATCCTCCTTGCAGTCCTTGCCATCGTTGGTTTCATCCTTGGTTTCATTCGTGAAAGGGAAGTGGCCATCATCGGTTCAGCTATCGTCGGTGCTTACTCCTTTGTGGCTGGCGTTGACTTCTATGCTCGCACTGGATTCATCAACCAGACTGATTCGTTCATCAACTCCAAGAACAGCGTCAATAACCGTGTTGGTAACGTCACGGGTGAACAGTATGCTCTCTTGGCCACATTCATTGTCTTGGCACTCCTTGGAATGTTTGTTCAGTTCCGCTTCTGGGGTCGTCGCAACTTCCGCCCTGCTGGTCCTGCTGCTGGAACTAACGTCGTCTACACTGAGAAGCCCAGCCGCTTCGGAGGCATGTTCCGTCGCCGCCGTGTCTAAGAACAATAATAAGCATTTAGTGATAATAACTATGACAAACATTTAGCCCCATAATCTTACCTTCCCCCTACTTGTATATCATGTAATTAGTACAATTCATTTTATCAAAAAAAAAAAAAAAAAAAAAAAAAAAAAAAAAATCGTCATAATAAAACTTTTTTCTACTACATCCTCCATTCATTTCCACATTAAAAAAAAAGTAATGCCAATCTTCCCTCTGGAACTCGATCTGAGGGATAACTTGTTCCACTTTGTGATATGATCGTTGCTTTGGATTCATCGATCCTCAGGTGTCCACAAAGTAGTTAAATCGGAGATTTCTGATAAAAAGTCATGTGCATCCTCCCTCAGATTTTGATCTCTTTTTCAAGTCTTTAACCCCTTGACCAAATCGAGTTTGACAACCTCTATAAAGTCCACTTGGATATGTTAGATTGATCATGTTGTTAGTTACACTCATAAAAAAAAAGGATCTTTTTTCTTAGCGCAACCTAGACACAGACGCATGCAATCGTTAGCTTCTTCCTTCCTGTTGTACTACATGGTGATGATCATCGAACAGATGCTCAGAATTATTTCGGTGAGGTCACAGAGAGACCCAGGATATTTACATTAAGATCGCCCTTTTTTTTTTTTTTTTTACTTAGCCAACAAACCATGACCTTTGCAGAAACCACTACGTTACCTCAACAGGGATTCAGGGCTGTCTCGGCCTCTGATCTCCGTCCACTCTCAGATGCTGTCTTTTATATCCAGACAAGGATTGACACGGATACAGGTCAGCATGTATTTATGTGGAAAGATATCCAACGAGTGTTCAGTAACGCCAAATATCTTTTGGATGGTACCTTAGTCGTACCATTTATGACTAATCAATGCTATGAAGAGTATGTCTACAATATTTACAATGTCACTTCTCTGGAAAGTCTCACATCACTATCACAATTATTTGACAAACTAAAAATAAATAAAAAAAAAACCTCTACCTGTTTATCAACTCATTCTCAGCCTTGATCCTCTAAGAGTCCAGTACCGACCAGGAGTCGTCTTGGATATTGTAGTTGGGGCATCAGAGCATACCAATTTCACTTCGAAAACTACACTTTTACATGGCGATGTATTTACACGAACACTATCTGCTGAGGCAGTGACGAGTCCAATTTCAAAGCAAGTTGAGGAACTCTCTATCTCAGACAAGGCTCCGGAGGAGAACAGGCTAATCGCCCTTTCCAGTGATATGGATGCCGGTGCTCGATCATCGTTTCATGAGTATAGTCGGATCTATAATTCATACTTTCAGGCCATAGCACTCGGTCAAAAGCATCAAGCTGAGATTATGGCCCAAGAAGCAAGGAACATCCAAGATGCCATGACAGTTCATTTCAGTCATCAAAAGATAGAGTCGGAGCGAAACCTGGCTCTTCAACAGGAAGTTATTCGAATGCAGAAGCAGATGGAGCAAGCGATGCAAAGGAATAAGGAAGAATTGTTATTAATGCAACAAAAACTTGATGAAAATCAACAAAAGATGATGCAGTTGCAGAAACAAGCTCTTGACAGGCTAGCCATTGTCCAAAATCGAGTGCAAGCTCTCATTACTCAGACCTATGAATTGCATGAGTATCCGATCCCCAGGTTGTTCATCGTCCTTCCAAAGCCTACAGAGCGCCTTAATATACTGGCGAAGCCATTTGCAAAACAGTTTCGCTTGTTCTTTCTATGTGAGTGCGGCGACCACACAAAGACTCCAGGGAGCAGTATCCCACATCACATCCACCTAGCAAAGCACGAAGGGTATGATATCAGCCAACCAACGGAGTTCTTTGAGAAATACGGATCGTATGTGTTGACGCTGCTTCAGATACTCAAATACGGAGTCCTTGCTGCCGGCATTGTCTTGCCCCCATTGGCTCAACTCGACATTTCAGAATGGCTTGATATTGTGAAGGACGTGATAGGGACCTCGGGACACAGCATCGAAGCACTTGTGGATGAGTCAATCAGCTATATTCAGAACAAACAGGATATTGACGAAACGCTTGATATCTTTGAAGACGAGACAATATTTGAGAAGGCTAAAGTGCTTGAAGGAGCAGACCTACGACAACTTCAGTCGTTTTTGCAGATCTATGATAAGGGTCGCACACTTGGCAACTTGTATCGCATTGTCACGCCTGAGGGTCATGTCAAATGGGTGTGTTTTGACCATTATCGAGAGAACTACAGAGAGTCAGCGGTGCAGCGGTTCAAGGAGGTTGTTGCAGCTAACAGAGGCGATTATGATGAGCAGCATGGCAGCATCAAGCTTTGCCTCGAATCTCCGATACAGGCAAGACAGTTTTATGAAGCAATGATCCAAGCACGTGGTATCCAGGAACTTTCTATCCAATTTGGATGGGATGCAACAATGGATGAACTTCGTGACTTTACAACGGCTGCTATCACATCAAATATTGTCTGTGTTAGCGTTGATGGAAAATCCCTTAAGCGGCCAGCACTTGATGTTGTCAACCGCAATCGGCGCTTCAATCCGCTGGTTCAATTGATAAGTAATGGATCTATTCAATCAATGAAACTCGAAGGTATTGAAGGCCTTTTCTCTCGCGTGAACATTCCTACTTTCACAGAAGCACCAAGACTTCGGAACCTTGACTTGATCGGGATTGATTTCACTACTCCCTCCGCAGTATCACGCCTCAAGAGCCTTCTCACTTGCTGCCGCAATCTTGTAGAGCTAACACTCGGGACCTTTGAGATTGGTACAACACCTAAAAATCTGTTAGACGACAATCTACCACTTTTCCAAACACTGAAGTCACTGGAAATTCGATATGGATCAGGAACCTTACGCAACAAATACTCAGAAGGCATCATCCTGGAAACAACCTTGGAATTCTACCGTCCGATGAGGATATGTAATGACTATTCAGCTAATCTTGAAAGAGGCCGACCTACAGACCCTATACCATCAGAAGAAAAACCTGAAGGGTTCCAGTTGTATCTACTGAACATCATATCCGATAATCCAAAGATCACGACTATCTTGCTGTCGAACGTCTATGACTACCACAGAGTTACTGAGATGATTGTCACGGCCCGAGAGCGGATGATATCACTCAAAGGATCTTGCGCACTAGAATCACTTACGATAATGTATCACACTGGATCCAAAAACTTTATCTTACTTGACGTTAAATGCCTTGATATATCCGATTCACAGAGCCTAGAGGTCAACACGGACTTTACTCTATTTACAACTGTACCCTGGCTGGGTTATGATGTCGAGGCAATGCTTTGTTTTCTCAAACATCTAGGGCCGTTTGCTAAAAACCTTTTCTTTACTTCCAGCTGCACATTCAATGATGATATGGCTCTAGCTCTGGATGAATCGACCGAGGCTAATGGATCGAAGCTTTCAATACTGGATGTCGATTGTAGATCATTGACATTGGTTGGTCTCGAGTGCATGGACCGTGTAATTCAGAGGTCACGATGCCTCTTTAATAGTAATATGAGGTATTGGGGATTTACTCTTGCCATTGACAAGCCTATTGGTACATCCAGCCCAGGATGCCTAGAGATTGACTCTGCTCTGCGTCCAAACGGACACAGAGGCGTTTGTAGCGTCGAGGCAATTCTTCATGTACTCAAACACCAAGGGTCAGTTATCAAAAACCTCGACCTCAGATTTAAGTTCGATAACGAGATGGCGTTGACTCTGGAGAAATCTATCAGGATTGATGGCTCCATGATTTCAATACTGAAGATTGACTGCGCATTCCTAACGGCGACTGGCCTCGAATGCCTAGATTACATCATTCAGAGGTCGCCAAACCTTGTTGATATAAAACTGAACAATGTCTACAATACTATGGATATGGAGCAACGGAGGTGGATTAGCTCTGAATGGATTGGCAAAGATTCGACATCCCGCACCGCTAAATGGTTATCAAGACGATGGGATGTACCAAGGTTGCAGAAGCTGGATATCCATACCAGAGGAGATCTTACACCTGAATTTAGTCAATGGCTCATCAATATGCTCTCAATCCCAGGACCTATTGCTCCGGACCTTACAGCAGCCGAACAGCCGACACCAGGGTCTCTTGAATGCGCTTTTGAGTCTCTCAAGGAGATTCGTCTGAATTGCTGGAATGTTTCGCTTAGGGAATGGGAAGCGATTGTGAAAGCGGTTGATTTCTCAGGGCTAGAGACTCTACTCATTATGGGAGACCACCTCAATGTCAAGATATCGACGTGTTTGGTAGATTGTCTTCTACAGAATAGTGGAGCGAACCTACCACTGAAAAAGCTTTATCTTTATAGCGATAAACTAGTGAAGTCGGTGCATTTGGAAGAGATGCAAAGGACGAGAGCGATGCTTGAGAAAAAATATCCTAAGTTGGAGTTTAGTATTCGTATCTGGATGACTTGATATAAATGTATTTTTCTTAAAATGAAGATGAGTAACTTTCAGTGTGCAGCCAGAGCTTCCTTAATGTTTTAGTTTGATTCAAATGTCATCAGCTTTACATGGTTTCAAGAGGTCTTTGGTTTGATTCGTTTTTTTTTTGAGAGAGAGATTGTTTTCACCCTAGACACACTGGGTACGTTGATATCATGATATCTTTGTAGCTAGAGTTTTTGATTTTCTGATATTCAGGCGAGATAAACGACTCTTTCAAATCTAAGAGAGTCGTGGGAATTAAAACTGGGTAATTAGACACAGTATGAATGACTGAAAAAAGGAACCCTTCTGTGGTTTTAGATGTACATGTCTTTTTGTATGAATACAAATATGTAAGCAATTTTACTTCAAAATAAAATAAAACAGAGCTATAACGTAGGCATCTTGACGCGGGCTTCAGGAAGTCTCATACAAATAAAAAAATAAAAAAAAAAAAAAAAAAAGAAGAGACCATTACTAATAATGAAGGATGTTTCTCTCTTTAGGATATTTCATAACTTTGACTATTGAGCTACCGTTTACATGGAGACAGCCTCAACAAACGATATCAAAATTAATCTCTCTCAATGAACAGTGACCAAAGCCCAAAGGAACCAACTTTTTTTTTTTCATTCCTTGGGTTGAAGGAAAGAATATCTTCATGCATGCATATATGAGAGCTTAAGTCGATTTTATTAACGTAAAGATTCAGAGTAATTTGCGATCATACTAAATGCACTGGAGAATAGATCCGTTACTAAACATTCACTTTTCTAATTTATGTCTGTAGTAAGCTCTATCGCTTCGAAAACTCATTAGGCCCTCGGATAGAAGCCTTACTGCTTTTTGTTCTATCTGTATCAACTCTTTGGCAATTTATCCGTTCTCACTGTCCCCATGTACCTTAGAGGATTGACAAAGAGGTGACAGAGATTACAGATTTGACTACAAGACAAGGTTTATATGACAAGCCAATGATGTGGCCTGTGCTCTCAGGGACAAGAAAAAACGTCTTGTTGGCTGTGTTTCGTCTTGTTCCTTCGAAGGTCATTTGAACACAATCAAAAAACTTTAGTAGAGAGAGATGAAGGATACCGATTTCTTTCTTTCTTTCTTTCTTTCTTTCTTTTTTTTTTTTTTTTTTACAGTTTTATAGCCTGGTTGATGCGATTGATAAGACTTGACCAACCATAGTATTTAGTATGAAGTAGCTTACTAGGTATGATAGCAATACAAAGATATTGACCAGGACTGACAGCCATGAAAATGGCCTTAACCAATCGTTTAAAAGTTTGTGTGCTATAGGATGGTCCGAGATGGTGGGAGAGACTGTCTATGGGTCGTAAAGAAGGTGAAGAAGCCAATCATGTTTGTCACCTCTGTTACTGTTCAAAGGATGGCTTCAAAAAGTGGGAAAGGAAATGACATCGTTTTTTGTTGTTGTTTCAAAGCTGCTTTGTTTTTTTTACTAATAAATAAATACTATTTTGCATGTAAACAAGACAGACCAATGGGAGCAACATCACTGTCCGTGGTTGAAGGAACCATTAAAAAATGTCTCGAATATTTTTTTTTTTTCTCACTCTCATTCTCTTCACTTTCACTTTCAGTCCTCTTTGTTTTCTTACTTTACTCCTTCCTTTTTTTTTTTTTTTTTTTTTTTTTTTTTTTTTTTTTTCTTCCAAAGTTCGAGTTAATAGTAGATCTTTATACAATTCTCAACTCCACTACTTGATCATGAACGCCACACGAGAGAGAAGTAGATCTGATCCTCATGAGTCCACCTTAGACAAGGTAGTCTGGGCGTATGCACGAGTCACTATTTTCATCAGTGCTGCACCCTTGCTCGTGTTTGCTCATTAAAGCTAACTTGACGGAGGAGCTCTGTCTGTGTGTAATTTCTTTTCATCTTTTTATCTGCACCGATTGACATGGACGTCATAGCTCGATGACTGTCCACCCGCATTATCAAAACGGCATCACCACCGTTCTGTCGACCGTATCTGGCCACCAGCCTTAGAAGTCAAACTCGCACGGCTTTCTATGGACGAAGGGCCTTGCATCGGTCCTCACATCATCCCTCCACCTCCACCCGTACCATTTCATACTCCTTCTTCCGAGTTAGAGAGAGATGCTTATACAGATTCACGGCTGGAACCCATCCAAGAGGGACAAGCAATATCAACAACCATATCGCCACTACATACGTCATCTGGGCTAGGAGCGCCAGCAATGTCATCAGGCTCTACCACCTTTTTATCAGATAAAAGACGAAACTCTATTCTGGGGCCACTCTCACCCTCTAGCACATTTCAGATGGATAGGCATCTTTTTCATCAATATACCCATCCTCCTCATATTGATGTACAATATAGAAAAAGATGCAAGTCAATGTCACCTAGAGGAGACAAACGATTCAACATTATCCTCTACAACGATCATGGAGAAAAATCCATGGTAGGTTCCCAACACATACCCATGTTTTCACCGCCTTTGCGAAACATTAGAACATCTGTGACTACGCCAGAGGAACCCACCAAGTATGGCGAAGACTTGTTTCATCGCAGCACCTCAGAGTTCCAGGAGCATTTGGAATATCTTGTTAAAACAAGAGCTCCACCACAACTTACTATGCCACGGCCGCAATCATATCAGCATGCAGAGGAGAGTTGTGAAAAAGGGCACTGTGGCCGAGAAGTTAAGGAGCATAGGATGGATCAAGTTAGACAAAAACATGATAGGGTCAAGGATGTGGATGGTGAGAATGGATTAAACCAATCGCCTCTGGAGCACATCCCCTCATGCAATCGATCTTCGCAACCACCCGTCTCACCTATGCGTAAGAATCCTCTCTCAGCAGCGTCAACTCCATCATCACGGACCAACTCGAGACAGAGTTCCCCAACAAGGCTCTGTAGCCGCCAATCGCTACAAAGAAGTAACCATGACGTACAGCTCGATCATTCTTTAGCTATTCAACAGCAGCTACAACCGGAAGTACATACGACAGAGACTGACGGTTGGAAGATGAGCCCAACTTTCATGGATAATCCAGAGAGAAGGCGATACTCTCTGGTAGCCGATGATCAAGAAGGCCATAATGATTTCATTCAAGGAGCATATGAACGGATGTCAAAGCCATCATCCCCAAATATTTTAGACATCAGCATCCCAAATGATCAGGACCACTGGCGGTCTCCGACGCTCTCTACTTTAGGTTCACAGCCGACATCTCGCGCTCGCTCTCCATCATCACCTCGACTTCGTCCCACCGCACCTTCTGGCCTGTCGACTGGGACTACCATAGCCATGGCGATGTCGACCCGACGATCACGTCCGCCAGGCGTGGGTTTGGCTCGTTCTCGGCACCAGGCATTGTTCCGGGAAACAGAAGATGAATTGGCTATGGTAGCTGTAGAACAGGCGGAGGAAGAGACAGAGATAGATATGAGGGTAGAAATACCACTGATTGAAGCACATGATGAAATTTCACTCCAAGATATCTGGCAGATGGAAGATGAGGAACGTAATGATCGAATGAAAGGTGAGGGCAACGATAGTTCAACTGGCCAGAAATGCGATACAATTCATGTTTCGCTCATGAAGGGTGAGGAGCATGCACATGAGGAAGCAAGGCTTATCCAAGATATTCTGGACGGAAACTATCCTCCTCCACCTCATCACCATCATGATCACCGGCAGCAGCATCTATAAGAAAGTATAAAAACTTTGAATATAATAAAACAACCGAAATTCTACACTCGAGCTTAAGTGCTTTGCCTCCTTGGTTCAACTGACTTGGAGTTTTTTTTTTTTTTGTTTCAAGCTCAGTTGGCCACAAACAGCGGAGTATCCATTACCCTCCTGCGGGCGGCGCTGCACTTCAGACACGAAATTGTTTACTGCATAAAAAGATCTCACAGCTCTCGTTCTTATTTCATTCATTCACAAGCATTCGCTATTACACATTTCCACTTTTCTACATTTTCCCTTGTTAATCTGCACGCCATGACCTTCACTTGCCCCTCTAACCTTTATGCCTCAATCTTTGAAACGACCAAGAAGTGCCGTGAAAATAGCCATATCAAGGTACATACAATACGTCTGGTGTGGTGTTTTCCATTGATCAATATGTGTTTTTCAAAAAAAAAAAAAAAAAAAAAAAAAAAAAAAAGCTCATGCTGACATGCTTGATCTCATTTTTCTTGTTTTTATGAATTGAATTTATATAGATCAACCGTGATGGCATCAACAAGTTTCTGACAGAGCTAACGCAAGAGTCTTGGTCCAAGCACTCGGTCGCCAACGGCATGTCGTTCCCACTCAAATTCGAATCTTTGGAGCAGGAGGTCAACATCCTTTCGTTAATCGATATCCTAAACACCGGACATGGGTTCCGTAAGGAGCTCCATGAGGATTCCGACCGTGGCGCTTTTGAGACGATTGTCTTTGGTGTCATGTCCTTCCACATTTCCAGCACGCAAACGAACGCAGAAGGACTTTCCAAGTTGACAGCGTGGGAAGTTGGATCTCATTTCGGGATTACAATGCAAAAGGATGTACCCTCACAGCTTGAACATGTTACAATGTCCAAACCTTCGGTTGCATCCAAACTAGCGGGTCAAATCCAGGGTGTGTTGAATGAGACGGGGAATATTTTGAAACAAAAGGGATTTGATACCCTTGGAGCATTTGTAGTCGATGCCGCCAAGAAGAGTCAAGGATCCGCAGAAAAGTTTTCAGAGATTTTGATCAACGCTTTCCCAGCTTTCCAGGATGCTGCAGAGATTGATGGAGAGACTGTCTATGTGTTCAAGAAGGCACTGTTGTTGGCCTCAACATTGGAGCGTCGATTTGGATCGAGTGCTGATTCTTTGTTTGCATTCAAGGATATTGAGGGTAGCCCAATCTTTGCAGACAATGTGATCCCAACGATGATGGTTCATTTAGGGATCCTGGAGTTGCCAGAGAATTTGCAACATACAATGAAAGAAGGTGGAGTCACTACAGTCGAGGAATCGTATCGTCTTCGTGCAGCTGCCATTGATGGATGCCGTGAGATTGTGGAGATTGCAAACAATAAGAATGGTGGTGACAAGATCGGCACAGTGGATTATGGTGCCAAAGGAATGTTGAATGTGGATTTGGATGTCTATTTGTGGAGGGTCGCAAAGGAGACTCAGTACAGAAAAGTGCCTCGATTCGCTTGCAAAGACACTATCTTTTTCTGAGTAAATAAATAAAAATAGATGACTTTCTTTTTATTATCTGTAGATTTAAAGAGTAAAAAAAAAAAAAAAAAAAAAAAAAACCGCTAATATATATATGTTGGAGTACAATCCTCTTGTCCAAATATTTAATCCTTTCAAAGAAGAAAACAGAAGGAAGATTCTCGCTAGCCTATTAGAGCTGCGTAGTTCAAATGGAATATTTTTCCAAAACGAAGGGGTTTATAATAAGCACCACATTTTTCCATTCACTCAAAGAGCATTATTGATCGGAAAAAATGTCAGATTGAAGATTATATTCATGAGGAGGTAGAACTAGAGGGTAGCAGTCGGGCCAAAGATAGTCTTCTGTGGTGGGAAAGACATCTACCTATTTTTTTTTTTTTTTTTTTTTTGTTTGGTTTGATCTGAATTGAAAGATCCGTTATAGAATTACAACTAAGAAACATAGCAATCAGGGAAGCTTTAATGATAGCGTCAATGGTAATGGTCGGTATCTGCGGACAAGAATCACACGTTAACAATGCAGTTCTCTAACTCTCAAAGCCAAAGACGAACCGAGAGATAGCTATCAAAAGACCAAATTGAAAGATATATTACTGAAGGTCCTATTGGATATATGATTTGCCGTGCCATCTTGGTTGACAAAAAGAAATAAAATCGACTCGAAGTCATTGAAAGGTTCTTACGGCCTCGTAATTCTCGATATTGGTCTATACTTCTTCAAAAATAACTATCCCATAAGGAATGCTTATTTCCAAACTAGGGTACTTCTTCGTAAGCAATTCTTCTAGCCCTCTTATCTCTCTTTCTGCCGAATACGTTGCTTGTATCGAGCCCTTGCTATCAAAACGAAGCCCTCTTAGCGGCAGCACTGATCCGTCATCCTCTAGCAGGCGATCCATCAAAAGCTTCAGTACCTTGATGTCAAGGTGTAGCCCTGAAATGCAGAGTGTCTCTAGTTCTGAGAGATCAATGGCCTTCACAACTGTTATCCATTCTTCAGGCTGAAGATCCCTAAAGTCCAAATGAATCTCCTGAGAGGCTTAACCCTGTGTTCAGATGCTGCTGGGGCTGCAACCATCTTGACAGTCCATTGAAGGAACGAGGATATAGATTCCCCATAATTATCGACCCACAACTTCTGTAGATTCGGTAGATCCTGTCGCTCTTGTACCCACTTGACTATTTGCATTAATTGTTTGACGCTCCCTCCACAGCTCAACTCTCCCTGTTCTATTGTGTCCTTCGAAGGCCCGGTGTACAACTTCAACTCTACAATACTCGGTGACCTTTGAATAATGCAGGCCAAGCCCGCACGACCGACTGGCGTTAATGATCCACAGTTGATATCCAGGGTTGAAAGCTTAGATCCGTTAGTTCTAGTCGACTTATCCAGTGCCACCGCCATACTATCATCGAATTCGGATCCTATGTTGAGCTTTTTGATTAGCGATCCTTGACATTTGAGCATATGATGTATTGGCTCGGTACTCAATTTCGTCCACCCTGTAAGGTTCATATCGATTTTTAGGCTTTCTGAATCGAATGCATCAAGGCACCTGACGACAGCAATGGTAAATTCAGAGGATTCACCCCTGTGTTTTATCATAAGTGTTTCCAGCGCACAAGATCCCTTGAGTGATATCATCTTTTTTCGAGCTGTAATAACCCTTTCGATAACTTTATGGTAGTCGTAGACGTTAGTTAATAACATGGTTGTGAGCTTCGGATCGTTGGACATGATGTTCAATAAATATGAATGTAGCCCTTTACGCTTCTCCGAAAGAATAACTACGTCATCCTCACATATCCTCATCGGATGATAGAATTCCATGCTTGATTCCAGGGTAGTGCCTCTTAAGTATTTGTTACGTAGAACTCCTGACTCGTACTGAAGCTCCAATGACTTCAGTGTTTGGAGCAGCGGTAAAGTATCATATAATAGGTTATTAAGTGTTAAGATATTATCAATGGTTCCGAGCGTTAGCTTTACAAGGTTGGGGCAGTGAATCAGGAGCTGTCTGAGAGTTCGTCTGTAGTAGCAAGGGCTGATGTTGATTTTGACTATGTCAAGAGACCTAAGTTCCGGTGCCTCTTTGAAAACAAAATCGCTCATGAGGAAAAAATCCTCTATTGCTTCGATTTTCATCGATCGAACACGCTTATTACTCATCAGCCAAGCCAGCGGATTGTACCGTGACCCCGAATCCAGCCAGAACGAAATCCGCGATTCTCTTTGACTAATAGGCTTATCTTTTAAACTAACGCCAACAAGGTTCGATTCGGTAGTAGCTGTAGCAAAATCGGCAACATCGCCTTCTGTTGCTCTCCACCCAAATTGGATAGAAAGTTCATGGATACCGCGTGCTTGGACCATTGCGTCATAAAACTGCTTTGCCTGGAACCGAGATTTGAGACAAACCTTGATGCTGCCATGCTTTTCATCATAGTCGCCTTCGTTAGCTGCAACAACCTCCTTGAGCCGCTGCACCGCTGATTCTTTGTAGTTCTCTCGATAATGATCGAAGCACACCCACTTAACGTGACCCTCGAGGGTGACAATGCGATACAGGTCACCAAGTGTGCGACTCTGATCCTGGACCCGCAAAAATGATTGAAGCCGCCGTAGGTCTGCTCCTTCAAGCGCTTCAACCTTCTCAAGCACCGTCTGGCCCTCGATATCACCAATTGCACCACCAGTATTCTGCTTGTTCTGAATATAGCTGATGGATTCATTTATAAGCGATTCAATACTGGCCCCTGTCACTCCTATAAAATCCTTCTTTTCACTGAGCTTATTAATCTTTCTGCCAAGTGATTGGAAGATAGTATCAGTGGCAAGGAGTGGTAAGGCAATGCTAGTACCAAGGGTTCCGTATTTGACCAGCTGAAGCACTATCAGTATATACGATCCGTAATTCTCAAAGAACTCATTTGGCCGTTCGATATCATACCCCTCGTGCTTAGCCAGATGGATGTGATGTGGAGTATTGCTCCCAGGGACCTTCGTGTGGTCACCGCACTCACACAGGAAGAACAAGCGAAACTGAGTCTTTGTAAGTGAATTTTTCAGCATGTTAGGAAATCCTGTATGCTTTGGAAGGACGATAAATAATCTAGGGATCGGGTACTCGTGCAGCTCGTAAGTCTGGGCAATGACAGCTTGGATTCGATTTTGGATGATAGCTAGTCTTTCGAGGCCTTGTTCCTGCAACTGTAGCATCTGCTGTTGATTTTCATCCAGCTTCTTCTGCATCAGCAGCATTTCCTGGTGATTTTCATCCAACTTCCTCTGCATCCGCGACCGCTCTTCGGCATTTTTCTGAATTTTTTGCTGCATCACCTGCTGGTGTTGGGATGCCGCAGCTTCCATTCGCTTCTGCATTTGAGAAATCTCCTGCTGAAGGACTTTGATTTTTTTCAGTCTCTGCTCGTTGCTGACTAAAATGCTCCGTCATGGCTTCCTTGATCTCCTTAGAAGGAACATTGGCATGATCTGGTGCTCTAACCACTACTTGCAAAGTGACTCCTGGCCGATACTGGACCCTTAGGGGGACAAGGCTGAGGATAAGTATAGAAGCAGATGGAGAGTGTTTGTTCATTGGAAAATTAAGATTGTATCAACCCTGCTATGAAGATAGCGGCAGAAAGTGTTACAGGAACCGGCAAATTAGCATACTCTTTACTGTTTTGATCGGTTATAAATGGTATGACTTCGGCGTCAACCCTCAGGTATTTAGCATTATCGAACACTTGCTGGATGTCTTCCCACATAATCACATATTGTCCTGTCTCTATGTCAGCCCTTGCCTGGATATAGGAGATAGTGGCAATGCTTGGGAATGGGCGGAAGTCGGGGCCCGAGACGGCAATGAATGCCTGCTGCAGCGACGTAGTGACATCTGTAAAGGTCATGATTTGTTGACGAAGGAAAGGAAGAGGGTGAAAAAAAAAAAAAAAAAAAAAAAAAAAAAAAAAAGCGGCTTTGTTTCTTGTTGGCTTGAGGGCAAAAGGGGAAAGGGGGGCTGGGTATTTTTCAATTCATGCAAAGGATATGAACTACCATCTGTCCCGCAGGCAAGGAATTACTTCTGCCACCCCTCTGTGGTTTTTATGTTATAGCCTTGCATACATGTACCTTGGCAGCTACTGTTTTTCCGACTTTTGGGGTAGTAATAGTGCATAAACAAAGTATGCCAAGTAAAGAGCAACACCCAGCGCTTTGCTGAAAGGGCTGTGCTAAGCACTATCCACAGATCATGGGGAAATATTAAACTCATAATGCCCGTCTATTATACGCAGCAACAAATAACCATGCCCAAAGGGCGGAGGTGAGATCGCCGCAACCTACAACGCTGACGATTAACAGGAAACTACGCCAAAGTTTAAAAAACACGCATTCTTTTAAAGACTGGCTAATAATATATAAAATACGCACAGGCCTCATATCAAAATACAATGAATTGTACTACCAAGAGCATTAGAGCTGGTAGTGGCTGTTCTACAAAATTTTATCGTGACGCGTTTCCGTGGCTGGGATGGTAATGCCATGATTCATTCATAAGCTGTTTTTTTTTTTTTTTTTGGCAGCTTTAAGAACGAGCACAGTGCAATAATGCCACTAAGAACACAACCAAGCTACTCTTCTAACGGAATGCTGTCGAATCACGATATAAAGATTTACCGAGCTCTTAGTTGCCTTCAAGATGTTTTTCAGGTGATCGGAGCCTGATTTCATGCCAGCGCCGGTAAGGCCAACAAAGTAAAGCAATTTTCCGTTCCTGTTTTCATGGCATTGGTGAGATCGCTCGAATACATGGCTGTGATCGCATGAGTCCTACGCAATTGCCCGCTGTCCTCCTTGCTGAGGATGCGATCCATCTTAAGAATGAATAAGTTTTAGGCTTAAAGCACACTACTTTACATTTGCTTTGAGGAATAAATATTTTTTTCATCTTGGTACGCAGTTGTCTTAACAATCCAGTAAGGAATGTTTCCGCTTTGTCTGCCTCGCTTTATTGCCAGGGCTGGTATGATTTATGCTTTCGCTTATTAAGTATCATCTCGCTTGACATTCCACTTCATTACTTCTTAAACTAAACACGAAGATTAGAAACATCTAATGCCTTTTTTGAAAGCTTATTTACTTGCTCTGCCTTCCTCAATTAAGTGGTTTTTTGCCGAGATGGAAAAAGAGAAGTTTCACGACTTGCGATTTGCTTCAGATCCATACTTCAAAGGATTTCAAAAAGGAAAATGACAATAAATAAATAAAATATTCCCCACTTTCTCACGAGTAATGGCGTTCCAGCCTCTTAAAGATATCCTATTGAAGCGGCGTAGTTCACATGGGGCGCTGAGGTTTAATCCAAATTCGGGAGTTTGTGATAAGCACGACATTTCCCAGGCCAATTTCACTCAAAGAGTATTATTAATCACTTCTTTCAGGAGGGAAAGCTTAGTTGAAGATCATGTTCATGAGGAATGGTGTAACTTCTGTGGTGGAAAGGCGCCTGTGTCACCCAGAATGTTTTTTTTTATTCCGATGACTATGTGATCGTCATGGGTCCGAGCTGTAATAAGGTTCATCATGGGATTACGGCTATGGGGCATTACAACCAAGCAAGGTACACTTACAATATCGATGGTGGTGCTCGGTGTCCGCGAATAAATGCTTTACGTTAATAGTGCCACCTTTGGCTCTCATAGCTGAAAATTTGGGACTTTTAATTGATTCTACTATCGAGGTCTGCGCAGCAGAACCAGAATGAGCACAATAAGTTGAAACTTTTTTTTTTTTTTTTTTTTTTTTTTTAGCAATGTTGACAAATCCTAAAATGCGGCTAATGTCTAGGCTATGCCCATGCTGCTTCTCATTGAATCAAACCTAGTCCTATCTCATCATGTCATCTTATCATGAAACCCAGTGGTTGTTAATCCACTTTAGTTTTGAGAACATATAAAAAGGCCTAACAGATTGATTGTATTCTCTTATATTCCAAGGCACAGCATTAAAAAAAAACACTGTTATCCAGCATTTCCATATTTGCGCACAAACTACACATGTCCTCCACGAACTTGATAACGACCGCCGTAGTTGTCGAAGAAACCGGCTCTGATGAATTTCACAATGCTAAAATTGCACAGCTTCCACGTCCTGTCCCCAAGCTTAGTCAATCTCTTGTTAAGATTAAAGCTGTCTCGCTCAACCACCGCGAACTCTGGATTTTAAAAGGCCGTTATCCGGTGCGTAAAATATTCAGAGTTTTATTGCCTATTAATTTTTGTACTTCAATCTCTAACTTATGCTGTTTTGCTTTTGAGTAGAACATTGTTTTTAACCAGCCTCTTGGAGCTGATGCTGTGGGAAATGTTATCGAGGTGAACGGAGAGACATCGAGGTTCAAGATTGGTGACCGTGTTATCATCATGCCCTCGGAAGGGTGGATCTCTAACCCTCGTGGCCCTGAAGATGAGCACAATTACGCTGTCCGTGGCGGTACCAAGGCCCCTGGTGAGAGGAACTTTTTTTTTTAAAAAAAAAAAAAAAAAAAAAAAAAGTATAAATTTATTTACTGACACCGAGTATTTATCCGTTTACAAAAAAAAAAAAAAAAAGGCGTTTTTACTGAGTATTATGCAAGCGAGAATGCAGACATTTTCAAGGCACCAGCGCATTTAACCGACGAAGAGGCTGCAGCTCTACCATTGGCTGGCTTGACTGCTTATCGTGCTTTATTTACAAAGGGTCAAGTGGCAAAGGGTCAAAATGTATTGGTGACGGGCATTGGCGGAGGTGTTGCTTTGTTTGCATTACAGTTTGCGCTGGCTGCTGGAGCGAATGTATATGTAACATCTTCAGATGACAGCAAAATCGAACGCGCTATCAAACTTGGGGCGAAGGGGGGTGTTAACTACCGCAAAGGCATGTTCACTTAATTCAACGAAATGAAATGAAACGAGATAAAAAAAAAAAGGCTTAATTTGTTCTTATTCTCTCTATTTTGCTATATTAGAAAATTGGGATCAGGAGCTATTGAAGCTATCGCATGGCCAAAAGTTCGATTTGACAATCGACAGCGCCAGCGGACCTGGTGCTGTAACTATTTTGAGCAAGATCCTAGCGCAAGGAGGGATTTTTGTTACGTTTGGGCAGACCGCAGGGGCGTTCCAGCTGGACACTGTTCCCATTCTTCGCAACGTCGAAATCCGTGGTAGTACTATGGGGTCGCGTGTCGAGTTTGAACAGATGCTCCACTTTGTAGAGGAGCATAGGATTAGACCCATTGTCAGTAACGCCTTGAGTGGATTAGAGAATATTCCCAAGGCTATTGAGTATCTGCGAGGCGGTAACCAGTTTGGGAAAGTTGTTGTTCGTTTTAACTAGAGAAAAAATAAAATATATTGGGCAAGGACCCTTTCTAGTCTCCAAAAACCATAGTTGGTTAAGGGTTTTAGACGCGCCCTGGTTGTGGGTGGCTTCTAAGCATGTGACATGTTGTCATGGACTTAATTTTTACATGAAATTAGTGACTGTTAGACTTTTGGCGTGGCAACTAGTCACCGGAATGCGCAGGTCAGCAGATGCTGCGTTTCGAATCTCTGGTTGTGCGAAAACTTTTTCATTTATTCTCTTCTCTTACTTTACTAACTTTCTTTTACTCCTCCACCTCTTCTCAAAGACCCGTCCCTGCTCCCCATCTTTTATCCTACATTATTTCCACAATGGTAAGGATGCACAGCCCTCTTAAAAGACCCTTATTATCCTATCCTCCCTCCTCTTATTCATCACAATCATCTATTTCATTCATTTCTCGTTATTCTTTCTTTAACCAGCTTATATGCTTGAATGAATGCCCTCAGCACTTTTGTTGCGATAAATATACACATTTCTAGATATTTGTATATCGTTATTATTTTTGCTTTCTGCAACACCGCTTCAGAATATTGCTCAACGTCGTCTGCATTCATATGACTCATTCTAATTGGAAGAAGAAAAAAAGATAAAAAAAATATTCAACCTATTATCGCACGCCACGGACATAACAACTATTCTATTGAATTCGGCTCTTTTCGAATGAAGAACATAGATCCCTGACTCTGCTGTTATGACAATAAACAGGACGAAAAAAAAAAAAAAAAAAAAAAAAAAAAAAATGTCGAGAGCTACTTTTTCTATTGCCGGTAGATGAATGTGCATTCTTTTTTTAAAACAAAAAACGCGCCTTTTCCTCAGTGTGTAAATAAACAAAAGAAATAGGCGCGTTTTTTTCTATGGACAAAACCCCTTTCCTTCCTTTCCTTTCTTCATATCGAAACGATAGTACAAATTACACAAAACTTACACGAAAGGTTTAAAAATCTTTTTAATGAAACTAGGCTGACGCACATCTCGGAACCGAAGCAACTGCTGCTACGAACGCTCAGACAAAGTCTACAGAGAAGCGTCGTGAGAAGGTGCCTGCACTCTCGCGTTCTGCTCGTGCAGGTTTACAGGTAATGGTTATATTAATATAAAATTAAGACACAACAGCCAATAGCAGCCAGCAGTATCAATACTACCAACCGTAAAACGCCACATTGATCATCAAGACGCTCGATCCGCATTTTTTTTTTCTAACTCTTAATTTGGATCGCCATAGTTCCCTGTAGGTCGTATCCATCGTTACTTGAAGGATCGTACTCAAAACCACGTCCGTGTAGGCGCCAAAGCTGCAGTTTACTCTGCAGCCATTCTTGAATACTTGACGGCTGAGGTACTCGAGTTGGCAGGAAACGCAACAAAGGATTTGAAAGTTAAACGCATCACTCCTCGTCACTTGCAACTCGCTATTCGTGGAGATGAGGAGCTCGACTCATTGATCCGTGCAACCATCGCTGGAGGTGGTGTTCTTCCTGTACGTGTCTTTTAAAGATTATTCTCAATAACTTGTTTCACTATACGATTTGAATTTTACATAATCTGTAGATGAGACACATTTGACTAATCCCTTTTTTTCTTTTTCTTTTCTTTTTATCCTCGTTCGATCACTTTATTTAGCACATTCACAAAGCACTGCTGTCAAAGACACAGAAGGGCCAGAAGAAGATTGGACCTTAAAAAGATGCGTAACCCAGTAGGGAATAAAAAACAGGCGTCAGGAGCGAGGAAGAAAGTGTCTTTCCCTTTCATTTTCTACACATATTTTCGAAGCCAAACATTTCAAAACGCCAGGAATTATACATGAAGCTGAGAATGTGTAATAGCTTCAAGAATCTGTCATTCCCATTAATCATCTCTTCTTTTGACGCCTTACACTCGTCTTTATTTTATCTTGTAGTTCCCGCCATTACCCCTAGTAAACTTTTAAAAGACTGTATTTTACAAAAAAAAGGAAAAAAACTAAAAACACACGCCATCATTGCATCTAATACCACAAAGAAAAAAAAAAGATGTTGATCGACTATTATACAGAATGCAGATGAAATGATGATGGGTATCAATAGAAGCCGGTGAAAAAAAATAATAATAATAAATAGGCATTAGTTTCCTCATGACTACCTCTTCACCTTTGAAGCGGGTGATGGTGTCAAGCGTGAAACCCCTTTAACCAGAATTACACCGTTTTCGGCCTCGCACCGCCAGCCATCTTTCATTAGTAGGCTCAACACACTTGGATACAGACGTGCAATCTTGTCTTTGGAGTGGGAACCGATACCACAGACAATCTTGAGCGGTTTGGCCGCAATTCGAGATGCCTGCATCGTTGCACGCGCAAACCATTGTGTCACTGCCTCTTTGACAACTGTTTGTGCCTCTGCAGTGGTCAATCCATGAAGGTCCACCAAGTTGGGGTCATTGCTTACCCGTCTAGATACAGAGAAGGGATAACAATAAAAAACAAGTCAATTACCTAATTGGTATAAAGGCGATAGTTTTTGAGAAATGATACTCCAGCCAGCTGAGCTTACCGATGTTGCTGAACAACTGCACGGGCAGCACGCATATGCCATTGCTTTCCTTGAGCATCCAGCTTTTTGCCTTCGTCTGCATAGTAAGCAGCAATACCACTCATCCCTGCGCCTTTTCCTTTTGTACTCTGATATGCCTTTGCAGCCTTCCTGAACAGCTCATTTCTTTGTTCTAAAAGTTCATGAGCACGCTGACGACACCACATTGGATCATCGTCATCATTATAGAGTTCACTGTTGGATTTATCCAAAATTGTGTTTGGAAATGGCCGAGCACCTCCTGGAAAAGGATTGCTAGTTGATGGCAGACTCTTCAGGCGGTTGCCATTACTGGTAGGCGCTGGTGTATAGTTTTTATCCGCGAATCGAATGTCTGCCTGGAACGGAATCATATTTCCACGTTTGGACGAGGAAGAGGGTGATGATAATGATTGCTGTTGTTCCTTTCGGTCCGCGTGAGCGATATCTGCTGCCAGAACTGCATTCATTGCATCCTGCAAATCACCTCCACTGTACACCAACAGCTTCTTAAGACCCGTTGCACTATGATCCGGAAACATCTCCATCAATTGTGCCAAATTCACATCAAATTGACTCTGTCGAGCTCTTCTTTGAGCCGATTCAAAATGATTTTCCTGTTTGAGCCGTCTCTCAAGACTTTCAACCGTCTTGAAAAGCTGCGTTCCGTTGGCATGGAATTCAGAAACGATAGTCTTTTGAGGAACTGTATGGAAAATGTTCATCAAAATCGAGATCTGATGTTCAAATGTTGCCCAATCATTGCTCTCTGGGATCAAAAATTCATCCTGATGGTCGATTGCATCCAGCAACGCATTACTATGTCCATTTCGAGCTCGTTGCTGGTAACGAGATGCGCCCCATGCTGCTGCTTGATTACCTCCAGAATTTGTGCGTTTTGATTTCTTTTTCGAATTTGTAGGAGCGCCTTCGAAGAATGCATCATCGAGAGTGGAGATGGTTGAACTGCTAGCTTGAGATTCTGCTGAGCGGAGTGATCCAGATCCGGAAGAGGAGGTCTCCACTTGTTCATTTTCCAAAAATATATGGCTCAAAATCATTTCGACAGCCGTTTCCAAGTCTCTGTTACTCTCTTTCAAGATCTGTGCGAGGTACTCATCCGAATGTTCCTGATCTGGGAAACAGCTTCTCAAAAATTCGAGCTCCTCTATCTTTACATCACTGGAACAACCCGACTCTGCTGTTGTTGAAGTTTCGTGAGAAGAGCCACTGGAAGCAATTTCATCCTCTATGTCCTCAAAATCGCTCAGACTCTGGAGCTGATCCTTTTCTTCAGGTAAGCTATCATTAAGATTGATATCAGCAAAATGGTCTTCAACAGGCTTCACTGACAATCCCTTCCATGCCTTCTTATCAATGAATTGCTGCGATTTGAAGGTTGATGTCTGCCCCTGTGTCTCTGAATCGGCGCTCGATTTCTGCTTCTTGCCCTTTTTGGTCTTCTTTTTGTTCTGCTTTTGGAAATTTGGGGCATTTTCCTGAGAGTTCTGATCATCCAATGGCTGATCACTGTCTGCATCACTTGTTGCAAACTCTATTTGTCCGCCAGGCTCAAAAGATTCATTAGTACCATCTTCAGGTGGGTCCACCGCAAGACCATGGTTCTTCATGTAGTTTGGGTTTCGCCGCGCTCTGAAGGCTCCATTGGATGTCCCAGCAGCGTCTCCACTGGATGACTGGGTATTGTCTAGGCTGGTTGTTGTGACGATGGATGAGGTTGGGCGTTGGAAGGACGAACTAGTCACCTGTCCTTGCTTACGATTTAAGCCGCTGGAGCGAGGCATAGACGCGCTAGAGTTGGAAATTGCAACTTTTTCACTCCACACCAAAATATCTCTGTTATTAGCTGACGATTTAGAAGTGTGGTCGATATTGGAGTTGACTTTGTTGCTAACATTGTTAATAGTGGTATTCTTGGTTTTTTTAGAGCTAGTTGGTGTTGTGGTCAAGCTTTTGTTTGAAGAGCTAAGAATAGTAGTAGCAGGTGTGGTAGCTATAGTTGTGGTAGTTGTGTCTGCAGCTGTGGGCGTTGCTTTAGCAAGCTCAGAAAGGATTGGTATACAAGCCTTAAAGTCTTGTAGATCATGGTAAATCGAAGCGACCAGGGCTGAGTCAAGTCTTGGGCAAAACATTGCCTAATTATTTTATTTTATTTTTTTCATGGCGATTAGTTTTTCCAATTGATGATCACCATATCAATTATGTATACGAGCTGTTGTGAGTTTTTGTGTTTGTTCAGTTGATCAAAAGCGCACATTATAAATTACCTCTAGTTTTTCTTGGGCATCCATTGTTTATTATCTGTGATGTAATAAGAATTTATACAAGGTGTAAAATTACAGTAAAAGGGAGAAGGAGAGAGCAAGTCTAATTGGAGATATAAATGTGTGCTGTCTAGGATGGGATGATAACCAATGTCTTAAAAAGTAAAGCGAGTTTTCGATAAAGCCGAAAGAGAGTGATCTTGAGCAAAAGCAAGTCTTCTTGTTGGAATGTGTAGAGGATGAAAGTTGATGAATGTCATTTGACTTAAAAAAAAAGGAAGAATGAGTGGCTTTTTTTTTACTTGTTGGATAGAGCTAGCATGAATCACAAGGCATACAATTGACTACGGCGCTTTCATTTTCTATTTATTTTACTAGAAGCGCTTGCTTGTAAGACGCAAATGACGCTGTCTGCACTGCGGTCGTTTCATAAACCATAAATAATGTTAAAAAACTATTAATCCCGTAGTCAATATATTAGTCATCATTCGCAACTGGTGGGCGCAGCACCTCATCCTTTTGTCTCTCCAGTTGTTGGTAGTTGGCCTCCTCTGCTCGCGTGGTAGGGTATCCACTGTCAAGACGCACAATAGCTATTCAAGGTTTCAAGATAATAAAAGGGGGAATAAAAATAGATGGTCAACTCTTGTTTGCTTTTTTAATAAGGGTAGATTTGTATAATTAGTGAAATGCCGCACTTGCCTTCAGTCATAATACTGCCATCAATCACCGTTGTCTTGAATTGATCCATATCAGGGCGTAAATCTGGATTTCTGGACTGCAGATCGCTGTAGCTTAACGAGTGCACGTCGGCGCCTATGCCATGCCAAAATATTGGAAGTTGGTTGAGTACCAGCGAGAGAGCATGAGGCTTATTTGAATTTGTATAAAAAGAATCAATGACCATACCAAGTCGGAGGGTGAGATCTTCAACACCTGCCCAAACCATGGACCCAAAATGTTCTGCATCAGGTAAGCCGAGCGTAAGAGTATTAACGTTATCCAATTGAAACATGGACACAGATCGTTCAAACTGAGAAAAAGTGAAGAAAAAAAAAAAAAAAAAAAAAAAAGTGTCAGAACTTCCATTTACAAAAAAAGAAAAAGAAAAGCTTCATTGGAAGATATACTTACATCCAACGAGATATTCTCGCTCCTCCAAATGTCAACAATGCCTGTCATGATCTTCCCTTCGACACGGAGGACCAAATTCTTGCAGTTTTCTATATGTATTACCAATAGAAAGTGTATGTATGTCCAAAGACTCAATTGCTGATCTGTACACATATGATATTTTTTTAATATTGATCTAGATCTTACCAATTGAGAGCTTAATAGGCTTGCCCTGAATAGTATAATCGCAGTTCTCGCAGTTCATGAGATAAAATGCCTTACGGTCCTCGACCTGAATCACTTTCTGGTCATCTTTAACATCTCTCTACAATAGATGAACATGTTCACATTCAATGTAAAAAAAAAAAAAAAAAAAAAAAAAATAATGAAGCGCTCTTTGTTAAGTTGTTGGAACCTTAATTTATAGCGGAAATTATTGTCGCCATTAAAATTCTAGTCCGAGTTGAATTGATGAACATTACAATGAGATGAGTCGCACTCTCCTTGGCGTTGACCCTCCCAGTAGTAGAAAGGGCTCTGGCCTGGCCTTTAACCGAATTCATGTTTCACAAAAAAAATAAAAATCGGGATCAAGAAGAGGGGAAAATCTTATTGGAGAGCAAAGTATGAACAATGTGGGGTGAGTGTCGTTTTTTTTTTTTTTTTTTTTTTTTAATGGCACCCTTTTTATATTCATGAAACAGGTCACGATGCACAAGCTACCAAAGCGACACACACATCACAAGAACCAAAAAGGGATAAACTGAATTAACGCGAAAACAGCCCATGGTTGTTTTCCGATCGTAATGAACCCTCCCCTTCCCTCATATTGACTTTGCCTCCAGTAAACGGAAGGATAGCATTTCTTTTTCAGTTGATTGCATTATCTCACGAATGGTGGCGTTGCTTTTCTCTCAGGGTTCAATGACGATAATGTGCATTCTCCTATCTCTTCGATCTATCACAGCCTAGATTCTCACTACAGCCCATACTATTGGAAAACAAGTAGAAATACACTTCAATTTCGCGGTATAGGACGCGCCTATATCCCTCTAAAGTGAAATGGTATCGCTTCCCTCTATCGAAACAAAAGCAGTTGATATGCTAATATTGTAAATATATAACTAAATATAACTAAAAAATACAAAAACTGATAGAGTTCTAGAGAGCTTGTTAATGGTTGAATAGATCTCAATTTTGGACGCGTAAGTTTTCAGGTTCCCAAGTACCAATGCACCACACACACATAAAAATAAAGTTACATGTGATTTGGGAGAGACAGATAGAAAAAACGTTGAACGGATTTAAGTGAAAAATTGATGCGGAATTAAACGCAAAAAAAAAAAAAAAGTACCATCAATTCCACACAACCTCCCTCATCACATTCATCAGAACACGGACAAGATTATATCAAAATGGCAGGACGAGGAGCAACTCAGAAGAATAATACTGCAGAGTCATCGTCTATAAAAGCATCTACACAATCCGTGACCAAGCGCAAGGTCGCTAGTACCACTGCTTCTTCTATAACTAAACCCACTTCCACACCAAAGATACAGGAAATAGGTGATAATAGTGGCAACAGTGATGACGATGACGATGACGATGACGATGACTCGGACAATTCGGAAACATCAGAATCTGACATTGATGATATCCCAGGTAACGAAGATCGTTCATGCTTTTTTTTTTATTTGGGTTATGGCATGTTGTACAATCACCACACGATCTCTTTCAACCCACATGTCCTGATACGTTGATAATATTGCTGATTATCTAATTATATGGTTTTTTCTTCATTACCTTTTTCTTTTGCTTTAAGAGCCAGAAAAATGGAGATTGATCACGGAATCGGGAATTCTTGATCAAGTCAAGGCTAGTGATGAGCGTAGGACAGCCGCTGGTAGTGACAGTAGATCACGTCGTCAAAATGGCGTTCTTGGGCATAGACATGGGGATACTGAAGTACAACCGGATTATATATTTGAGGGCATTTTTTTCTCCATCCCGACAACATGTCTTTTCATCGTCATGGACATCCTGGTCCACCGGCAGTATGGTGAGACATATTCTGGCCCTGATGCTCTACGCAAAGTCATCAAAATCTTTCCAGGTATTAAGAAAACTCTGTATCTCAGTAAATGCAAAGATTCTTTTAAAGCCTTGCGTATTTACAAAACTTAATCGATCTGATACTTTTTTTATCAATATTGAACATAGCAATCCTTATCATGGTATATTTCAGTAACAAACATAAGGCTCACAAACTCACACAGGCAGCCATGTTCATTGTCTCAATTATCTGTGGGTGCTACTTCCTACATACCATGTATCGGTCCCCTGCAATGGGCATCATGCTTCGCGCTCCTGGAGTCATCACAATTTTAGTCTACTGTATCGTGCAATTACATCTACTTCCTGCTGTTATCAGTTTAGCACTCTGTGGGCTCTATTACCAGTTCGGTAATGCAAAGTACAGCCATCCACGCCGCTAACTAACCCCAACTGTAATAAAGCCATTAAATTTCCACCCTACTCGTTTAGTGTATCTCATAATCTGCTAGTGATATTTCTTTCACGCTTGCTTGCCATCAGCTTCAAAATGACCCAACTGTAGCGCTACACTTATTTACTGTTTGTGTAGAATAATATAATTAGAGGCATGGTATAGTTCATCTTACTAAATGCTTTGATAACTAAAGTAATAAGGATTTGTTGCTAAACGAAAATGGGCCTTTTGTTTTGTTTTAACAAAAGTAAAAAACAAATAACATGCGGTTAGATCAAAAACAAACAAAGGATCCGAAAGACTACTACTTAAAATTGCAATGATTTACATACCACTCCCATCGGTTTGAATTCTCGGTTTCCCCACGTATTCTTGAAGCTGATGTAGCGGACGATGTCGTCGGGGTCAACCCAAGTGATGACCTCCTCCGATATCCTGGTGCACGGTCACTACGACTACTGGTGCCGATACCACTACCTGCTTGTCCCTCCCTTTCAATCATGTTTAGCGTTGTGGATGGCGCCATAACTTCTTGAAAGTCATCTATAGGCGTCGTTTCTGGGATGGAGTCCTTTCTTTGGCTGAAGTTGCCTTCACACTGCTGTGGTTGTTGATATTGATTATATGCTGAGGAAAGGGTGAATTGTCGGTTGTAATGGTTCGACCCGGTTGGGGAGGTATATTCCTGTAACTGTGGTGTCGTGTGATGAGCACGTCGACCTGCTCTGTCCAGAGATGAACTATGATCAGCGCAAGACGTAGATGATCCAACATGACCAAAGCCTCCAGTAATAATGCCTGATGCCGAAGAGCTTATTGATGCTGCTGCAGAAGTTGCCGCTGCTGCAGCCCATTCAAATGGACTCTTACGGCCGCTGGACGGTGGAGCGATCAGGCTCTTTTGAGTTTGTTGTGACCATCGTGAGGTCTGTTGCTGTTGCTGTGGTCTAGTGCCCGACGGCATTTTAAAAGAGCCAACATTTTGTCGCGTTGAGGATAATCCATGAGAAAAGGAGGGCAAGTTCGGATCAAAATCATGGCTCTTAGCAAGAGATACTGAGGGGGGATTCGTCGCAGATCCTTGCCGATGTGCGGACACTATTGTTGCAGCATTAGACGAGCGATATTGATATGAAGAGTCATCCGAAAATGATTCTGCTCTGAATGAAGCGCTACTGTCGTCATCTTCTTCAGTTGCTGAACTTAGGGACGTCGCTCTGAAAGTTTTGCTCTCAGGAACTGGTCGGCTAGGCGATCGGCTTCCATCTCCTATCTCGTTCCGGATGTCCATGAAGAGTCTTCGGAGCTGCTTGAGCTTTTGGCGCCTTGTCAGTGGCCTGGAGGTTTCTGAGGAGGTGGTGCTTTGATTTTGATCAAAGTCGACATTAACATGATCTTTATTCGAGGTTGTGCTTAAGGGATGTCTGGTGTCTGCTGCTGAGGATCCGGATTCGCCAGCGACATATGCGTGGTCTTGTCGTCCATTTCGTCCCTCAGCTACCCTCTCAGAGTTTGAAAAGACGCCCTTTAATGATGGCATAAAAATATGGTCATGCTCATGACTCATTTTATGGCTACCTTGGCGAGAAGTCAAACTAGCAACGCAGTCATCGTCATCGTCATCATCCTCTTCTTCAACATCATCCTCGTCTTCAGCTCCATGCTTCAAGCCTGGAGTTTCCCTAGACATACGACTATCAACTTTTGTCAAGCCAGATTCGAATCCATTCAATATACTTCCAGGACTGTACCCATAATCCATAGTCGACGTCTCTTCCCAGAAGCTCTCATTTCCATCCTCTTCAATAGCCCCGATCTCATCCGCAGCTGATGAGTTTCCTGTTACACTCGTTACCCTTTCTTGACATCCAGGCCCCGCAAAACAGGGCGTATTCAAGCAATCTTGATCTGCTATTGACCTATAAGGGAGTTGATCATCGATCTCCAGTTGGAACATGGCTTCATCGCGATCCGCCTCATGAATTCTATGCCTGCCGCTGTGGTGACGGTGGCCGTCATATCCCGCATCATTAGGAAATAGGGTATCAGAAGCTCTTAAGCGTTCAAGAGCAGCCTTTGGACTGATAGCCATCGGCTGTTGAGGGATGTTCAAGGAATCAGAATTAACGGGTATAGGTGACTTTAAAGGCCCAAGCTGACTCTCTGTTACACGCGATTCTGATTTGGTCTGATTTGGTTCGGCAAGAAATGGCCGGTGGCATATCTGGCATATCTGAGGCTCAGTTGCATTGGTTGGTGCGAGCACTGCTGTATATGATGGTTTAGTTAGATTATTAACGATTCCCGACTCTTCATCCTCATCATCATCACTGGTCAAATCCTCCATATGCGCTTTTGCATCGAGATCATCTTGTGCCACATTGGTCTCTTGGCCAGCAAAAAGTAAAAGACCACCGTCAAAGGTTGAAGCTCTCTTGCGACGTGCTGATTGCCCTTCTCCAGTAACATCGCTATTACTATTACTAGCGCTTCTCGGCCCTAAACCTTCTAAATCACGATCTGCAAATAAATTGGGAGATATTGAACCTTGCGAAAACTCGACTCCAGATAAGCCTGAAATTGAATACCTTGACTCTTCCGAAAACATATTTGGTATGCCACTAGAGGACGAGCGTCGTACACCTAATTGCTGTTGTTGTGTGCTCAATGAGAACCGTCGACTATTCATGGCTGGGTGATTGGTAGCAGACTGACTCTCCATGTCTAGGACTTCTCGATCCAGTGGGCGAGTTCCATGACCAGAACTCTCGGCATAGTTTGTGGTAAAAGAGTTGCGCTTTATTCCTAAAGGTGATCCTGAAGTCTTGAAGTCTTGAAGGGTAGGAATGAAAGGTGCACGAGGTGATCCATGTTTCTCTCGTCCTGGCGGTGTTGAAAATGTGACAAGCTGCCAGCTGGAAGACTTCCCATCTGTCGAGGAGGCAACCTCTTGACTGGTGCTTTTTACCGGATTTATGTCTCTTCCAAGGGGCTCATCTGGAGATTTCCTCATCAGTCTACATTCATCACATATGTGTCCATGAGGATTCTCTGCATCAGCAGCGTCGAACCTATTCCTGATCCGTCCAGTATTCTTGAGTAGCGGTGATTGCGAAGAAACAGCTTGAGTGTCAATGCTAGACCGATGCATTGCTTTACCATGCTTGGCTAGGTGAGCAATTGATTTAAGCGAAAACTCCTCTCCGTAAATGAACTTTAAAAAGTAAAAGCAAAAATAAAAAATATCTTCTCCTCTTTGACTCCGATCTGCTAGCAAATGACTATACAAAGATGTTCATATCTGTTAATTTCCGGTGATCAGGATAGTCGTCTAGCGCTATATCACGCCATCGCTATATGTCAACTCACTTGAATAGGAACCAATCGTAGCCCATGGTCAGATAAAGCATCTCAGCTGCCGTTAATGATTGATGTACTTCTCCATCTGCCCACAGCGATATCCTGAGTAAAGAGATGAAAAGTGGTGTACGATCCCATCCTATTGTTATTGGGTAATGCCAACAATCGTTATTGACAAGTAGTTGGCCTATAAGACCAGGCATGTACCAATCCCTCTGAAACTTTAGCTTCGTACCTGATATGCAATGAATTAACAGGCCTTTCAAGGGGTGGGACGGTGATCCAGTGGTGCTCCTGGATCTACTTGCGAGATCGATATCAACCGTGTCATCGGCAATGTGGGTCAGATACAAACGGAGGTAGTTCTGCGTCAATTCGACTATGAAATCACAATAATGTACATGCGTGTGCGGGCAAGCGTTAATCAGGGGTTATTCGTTCATATCTTATAAATAGGATTTTCTTAATTATCAAATAAATACATACTTAAATCCCAGCTCTTATAACCCTTCCAACTGATACCAAGGTTATCAGTATGCCCAGCCGGGAACTGAAGCTGGGCATCTGCAAAGTTCTGGGACCAATCAAAACATAACTTCCGACCACAGTATTTGTTTGCTTTAAACTTTTGAAAAAACTCGACTCCAGGGTACGGCGTTGCCACCAGTTTAAACTTTGAATATCGGCCAAACGAGTCCACTTTTTCAGATGAAGTTACCTTCAAGCCATATCTGATGTACGCAATTGGTCAGTGAAACAAATATAAAATGAATAATGTCAAAACCAATCTCTTTATATTTGCCGTTATAATAATGCGATAACCTAGCCTGCTGATGTCTATTGATCTCTCTTTTTATTATTATTATTATTATTATTGTTGTTGTTGTTGTTATTATTTGAACACTTACTTGACTTTGCGGTTCTCCACCATGAGATCGTTGATATAGGTTACCCCTAGTTGATGCAGTAACTCAATATCTTCCATTCGCTGCTTTTCTAGTGATGACTCATGATCCTCCTTGTCAGGGCTGTAAGGAAGAAGAGAAAAATTGCATGGTTCAAGGTGAGAATTGAAATAAACTCTCTGTTGCTGGTTAGAACAGTATAGCAATCAGTCGTATAGTAAAGGGGAAAAAAAGGGACAGACAGACTACTGACCTTTTCTCGCCAGTGCCGTAAAGAAACATCTTCCGTTTTTGATTTAGATCATTAAGTTTTTGGTTTACACTATGCATAAACACTTCCACTTCGTTGGACAGAGTAGCCGATCGGCAGACATTCTTCCCTCGCACCAATATACATGGAACCACAAACCGAGCCCTGACACGTGCAAAGTGCGACTTCTCAAATTGTTTTGACAACTCTTGTGTGTCATTGACTATAAAACAGAGCAAGATAAAAAACTAAATGTGAATATTATCATATCATGTCCATGAACCAGTCTAACATGAAAACTTGTATGAGGCCATAAAAAGTATAATGTAATCTCTAGCAAAGGGAATCTATGTCCATAAGGGAGTATGATCACGAACCTTTATCTTTGTTTTCTGTAAGCGAGATCGGTTCTTTTGTCCTCCTATCTGTGGTGGAGATAGAGGATGCTCTGGATTCGCTTGTTGTTGCTTTCCTCTCCGGCCTAGATATCCGAAAGGGAAACGGTAGAATGTTTCTTTTGGACTTGTCATGATCATTGCTTGTATCGGAATGCTGCTGAATAGTCTGAGGAGAGCGGATCATATCAAGCTCTGACCTGATATCCTGAAAGGACATCATCTCGCTTTCACTTAGATCAAAGCTTTGGTCAGCGGTCTCCTCGATCAATGTGCGACCAAAGCCTTCTTGATTTGACACTGTTCGCTGGGTATAGTCATCATTGTGGTTACCACTACTATTGATACTAATGCCATTAGCACCTGATCTTTGCGATAACAACATTGGTGATATATTCGAGAATGTATCTGAAGTACTTTGAGGAACTATGCTATGCGATGGCGATATATGAGATGATGCAGACTGAACACTGGTATTCTTGGTGAGAGACTCTGAATTTTTTGACAACTGTGCGTGATCTGAGTGCCTAGACTGGTCTGTCTGTGTGCTCTTTATCAAATCTCCAGCTTGATCCTTTTTGTGCGTCTGTGGCACCTGTTGTGTGGTTGAATGGACCCGTTGCTTCTCTAGAATGGCGATCTCCGAAGGATAGGATGAACAAAGCTGTCCGCCATGATTTGCGACGGTACCAACAACATAATCTTTCTCGAACAACGAAAAGCAATGCTGTAGCACTGCCTTGCACTGTGAGTGTAAGTGGACGATAGCGGTTTCAATTGAAGTTATAATTGAATTGCCCATTTATCACACAAGCATCCCATTGCATAGGTAGAATCGATCGACAAATAGTACAATTGAGTATGGAGTGGACATTGAGTAAGAAAAACATTCAATTAGGAACATGGCGAACCAGTCAGAAGTGAAGAAGAAAAAGAAAGACAAGATATGTGAATAAAACATTAAATATAAAAAATTCAATTAAAAAAAGCTCGAATAGATTTAACATCTTCATCGTTTTCATCCATGCCCTTGCATATCTTTCATAAAAAAATAAAATAATAAAGGTCGCGGGAGCAATAATGACGGCCTAAAGACATTTATCTGTGATCTCTCCTACTGATCTGTCCTTGTTCTTCACATGTCAAGTGGTGAACAAGAACTGCTTGCAAGTCAAGCACCGAACCCGTTTTTCATCGGCCCCAGGATCTATTGCTGCTCCGAAATTGTAGAGTGGGGAAGAAAGGACAGTCACCCTCACCTCTGGATCATCATGTTTAGCCGTATGTGAAGCGTCGTAGTGCAAATACAGGCTGTAAAGTCGATGAGCCTGGCTCTGTTGGCACAGGTTCGAGCTCATGGCAATAGGAACAGATAAGATGCCAAGTTTACAGAAGGGAAAAGGAAAAATTAAGAGAGCGGGTGTGTCACTGTGTGTGAAAGAAAAAGGAATGAAGCATAGAGCAGCAAAATGCAAAGCAAAGTAAATGGACTGATGAAGGAGGAAAAAAAAAAAAAAAAAAAAAAATAGAACTAGAAGGGAACTAGAAGAGAACTAGAAGAAAAAGAAAACAAAGACAGACAAGAGGAGGTAAAGGATAAAAAAAGCCCTCCAGCGATGAATGAGCGAATGGGCAATGAATGAAAGAAAGAAAAGGACGTGCCACCCATTTTCCTTTCCCTCGAAAAAGTATCTGTGCCCATGCCTTTCCTCAGAGTTTTTTTTTTTTTTTTTTCTTTCACAATCATCTTCTCTCTCGTCCTCCACTTACCCCCTTTCTTTTCTTTGCGTGGTGACCGGGGTATCGTTTAAGGGGTCGATCTGCCACTCCGGCACAAGGACATCGATGGCAATCATGGCATATTCGCCCTTTCACTCTTTTTCCCTTTAAACTTTGCGCTCCAGGCATCTTCCTCTTTTCCTCTTTGCGTTTTCAATTTTCAAAGTTTACCTTTCGCCCAAACTGAGTATTTTTATCCTTGTTACTTTTTTTTTCGTGTGCATCCGTTGTTAGATCTTTACCCCGACACTTTTTGATGAGCCCTGCCCCAACACTATTTTATTCCTCCACAAAACAACCCTTCAAGTTTGCCAGCTTGGACTCTCACAGTTTTGATTGCAACAACGTCTGTGCGATTATTCTAACATTGAAATTTTGGACATGTCCAGGCAAAATTCTCACGAAGAATGTGGCGAATTTTTTGAATACATTTATTTTTATTTTTTATTTTTTTACTCAGGCTTGTGACGGGCTTGTGGAGTAAAGAGATCAAATTGAGATTCGTGTCATGAGCCTCGGGAAAGGGACATTGAAACAGATCTCCAGATCTACTGCATATTACACTCTGGCATATCAGGCATTTTAGGAACACCATCTACAAGCATTTTAGTATTGGTTCCATGAGCAAGAAGTAAAATCTCTCGTCAGTATCCATGCATGCTTACATGTTGCTTTTTGATAGAATCAGCCAGGAAGCTAAAAAAAAAAAAAAAAAAAAAAAAAAAAAAACCACATATTACTTACCGCTTCCCAATTCCATACCAGGAGCCAACTCCTCCAATATATCAGCGGGAGGCTGACCACAGTCTTGCATCTGGATCATCAAAAGAGAATATATTAGAACACTGTGGGTCTTTACGAAGGCGAGTTGTGCCCCTTGAACTCATCAAATATAAAGAGAAAATAATAGATCAACAAATACTTACACCCTGCATAAGCTCGATCACACTCTTGGCCTGAGCGTCACTTTTTTCATCAAAGTCGGGTCGATCAAAAAAGGCGACGATCTCTGTGACATATCCATACTGTTTCTCGTACCGCGCATACTCCTCAGCCGATATTTTGTCTTTATTGTCCTTGAGCCATTGAGGATACTGCAAAATAGCAGAACAAATTAAATCAGATCGAATTATGATGACAGTTAATACTCCTGAACAGGAATGAAAAACATCTAAACATGTGGGTCGGTTGGAATGAGTTCATATTTTACCTTTTGTTTCAAATCCAACATAGGCTCGTAGAGGATATCCTTGGACATCAACTGCTCCATCATGCCTTCAAGTACATTCTGGAAATCACCGCCCTCAGCCATGCCCTCCATTTGCCTCATCATCTCAGCCATTAATGCTTCCTCAGACTCTTCAGCAACTTGGGCCTATGTTAATGACAAAAAAAGGAGGGAGAAGGAAGGAAGTTAGATGGTATTCACATTATTTGATCTCGCTTCGGCTTCCTTTTTTTTTTTTTTTTTTTTTTACAGCACTGAGCCCGATATCCAAGCATAAAGTAGACTGATAATAACAAAGACCTTCGTGCCCTCTACACCCAAACAATTTCCCTATAATCATGTCTGATTCCACTTTTAACTCTACTTACGTCAACCTGTTCTGAGCTATCCTTGAGTTTATCCATTGTTTTTGCAATTCTATCTTGGAAATTAGAAGCGCTAGCTGCCTTTGTTCCTGCTGTTCCCGCCGTTCCTGTTGCTCCTGCTCCTGATGAGGATGCTGGTCCTTTTCCATTGACATCTAATCCCTTGAACATCTCCTCGAAGGATTTTTGTAGTTCTGGATTGTTGTTCATCTCCTTCATTAACTCCTCCATACCTGAAGCCAGCTGTTTTGAGAACTCGGCATCTAATCCTCCCAATTCATCATCATCATCATCCAAAAGTTCCTCTGGGTGAAGTAAAAGTGACTCTGGTGTCTTTTCGACCTTGGATGATGTAGAAGTAGCAGATGATGTAGCTACACCAGTAGCTTTTTGGGTTGCAGTGGGCTTAACAGGTGTCGCAGCCTTTGCGGATGTGAAGCCATCCAGGGCACCTTTGTAATGCGCATCATAGCAGACAGATAACGTGGTTCGGAGCAATATTAAGTATGAGCACAAAAAAAAAGAGAGAGAGAGCCTTTCAAGAAGCAAATAAAATCGAAATACGAAGAAGTATGAAATGAACATTACCATCCAAAAAGTCGTCATCGAGGTCATCCTCAACAGATGGGTTCTTCTTGATCTCTGGCATTGCAAAGTGGTTTTTGAATATATGTGAGCGGTGTCTCGTTTTTGGTTATGTATCCTTTCGTTGGATGAGAAAAAGAAAAAAGGCTATCCTGTCGCTGGCTGGTCTAATTGGATGAGATGGAGAAAAAAGGAAAAATGAGGAAGGAGAAAAAGGCCAGTTGAGGAAGGAAAAAAAGGAGTTTGAGTAGAGAATGGAGTCGAATTAGCTGGCAAACCACTTGCACACTCTTCTTTGTAAAATATAGTTTGGCTTGTTTGTCATTCACGGACACCGTTTCTCGTTCGGAATACAGAGCTTTTGAATTTGATCGGATCACATGGCAGCCAAGACAAAAAAACTAAGGAACAAAACCGATCTTTTGTCGCTTTGAACAGTTAATTTTGTTTTCATCCAGGAAACCTGCTTGCTGTGCTTCACGGCTCTCTATTGAGGCGCACGAAGAGTTGCTATTTCAATAGGACACTCCCCACAGAAATATTATTGCTTGTTTAATTGTCTTAAGTAAGTTGCCAAGACTCAATGCCTAAATCCTGTATCCATAAAAATAACATTTTCAGGACCAAGAAACAAATTCTATTCTTTTGTAACCATTGCGAAATTTAATATACAGAAAAAAGTGCATGCAAATGGAGGATATAATTGTAGATTCTAAATATGCTGTTACTATTTAAATTATGAAACAATGAACGCGTATGCTTATATTTTTAATGATGGCCCTCACCATGGAAGACCCTAGCCAACTCTTTAATGGCATCAATCGTTCCAATAACTGCGCCAGCGGTCCCAATAATAACAACCAAGATCATAACCACCAACTCAGCCTTGTTAGTCTTCTTGAAGCCAAACAGCTTCAAATAAAAGAGGATGGGGAAAACGAATGTCAACATACCGTCGCTCATTGCGCCTAGCAGCGACATCATCTGGCCAAAATAAGGGAAGAACAGCGCGATGACTGTTACCAAAACCATGGAAGAGGTGCGAATTATGGCTCGGTACAGCCATTCAACCTTTGATGAGAAACCACGCGACTCCAGTTTGAGAGCATTTTCAATCTGGAGGTTGAAGGTAGTAAGGAAGAGAGGGATCGCCAACAAGACGTGAAGAGTAATGATGATGGTCGAGATGGTCCGGGTGGCTCCACCTGGCAAATTTTGGTAGATTGGCGACTTGACAATATCACCATAGATCGCATATCCAGAGATGGAGCATAGCACGTACAGAAGAGTGACAGTCAGCACCCCCCAAAAGATGATCTTGTTCCAGGCGCGCTTGTTCTTCATACTCTCCTCGACGTGAGGGAAAATGACATTTCCACCATAGGAAAAGGCAAATGTGGCTAAAGCGAGGGGTAAGTTTCGAGGAATGACAATGTCATGATGGATAGGCGCAAGTGAACCATCGGGCTTGGTCATCAAGCCAATATCTTTGGAATCGATAATAGCAGCAATCATGACAATGAAAACTACTATGGCCGTCGAGAGAGCAACAAAAATACTAAGGAATGCGACTTCACGCATAGTTTTTGTAACGATAATTGGTACAACCATGATGGCAGCTGCGATCATGATCCACTGCTTCAAAGTAATAGAACTGCCAACAGAAGAAGCAAGATCATGGATGTTGGTACCAGTAAGGATGAGATATAGGACGGGCCCTCCAAGAGCGATCGAATTGTAGAAAAAGGCAACGACAACCCTTCCTGTCATGCCAAAGGCAGCATGAGCAATATCAGGGTATTCTCTTAGGCGGGTACGACTACATTTTTAGCGAAAAAGAGATCATTATCAGTCAAAAATCAATAGAGCTGCACATATGCATACAATACAAACAAATGAACATACCCATCATAGTACAAGCACTTGATCAGCTTTTGATTAGCATAGATGGCCATAGCGCAAGCCAGAACCAAGATGACCAGGCCCACCCATCCGGCGTCACGCAGTGCTGCAGGCAGACCAAGTGTGCCTGCACCTGCAAGTACGCTTACAACATTGACATAAGCTTGGAAATTGGTAGCCTTTCCAGTAGGGGCATTGGCATAAATGTCACTCAGAGAACCGCTAGAAACGCTCTCAATGTCGACCTCTTGGAGTTTTTCAGAGGTATATTCAGCTTTGGCCATTATTATGGTAGTTATAAGACAATGTGCAGTGGGAAATGGAAGGAAAGTCCAATTGGAGATTAGATATGAGGGGTTTAAGGGATAGGTGGAAAGATGTAGCAGAAATCAAGAACTCCACGTTGAGAAGGTGGTGGAGAAAAGAAAAAAATATTAGTTCACTCTGTCTCTTTATAAAGGAATGATAGCACTTTACCTCCTTTCGTCAGAGCTGCTTTTTCAAGCACATTTAGCACTCAGCAATGGGAATGCAAGCTAATACAATAGATAACTAAGGACAGCTTAATTTGGGTTGGTCATCAAGCACGCCATTATTGCACAAGCCAGAGCTCTTAAATACAAGCGTGGATCAAATTATTTAACATTTTCTAGCAAACCATCGGCCAGAGCTACATTTGACAAGAAAACTAACAGATTAATAGTAAGCGAATGATCGGCCAGACATGAACAGCAATTAACTGATGCTCTCCCTCTTCATACTATATTGATGATAGGAGCAAAATGTATAGAACGGGAGTTGCATCGAAAGTCAATGAGCTTTAACCTTTTACTTGCTCACTCCAGCCTTTTTTTTTTAATTGCCGAATTGCCTCTGAGACGAGGGTCGCTGAGGAATCAGGCCAATCCGGACACAGGAATACAACCCATCAGATAACGCCATTTTCTGTATACGTGAGGCCTTTGCAAGCCATGACAAGCTCCGATATTTTATAAATGGACCCTGAACACTGCAAACCCTCTCGAAAGCGCGTCTAGAAGCAAGAAAAAGCCATTATAGGACAAAAGCTTGGATGGTAATCAAAAATTCTTTATAAGAAAAAATAAAGTCCTTACAATTTTTTTGAAACGGTTGGTCAAAAGCTTATTGTCCTCTCAATTTGTCTGTGCGTGGAACCGAAGCCATATTTATTCCCACATTTATTTTCTTTTTTTTTTAATACGTCAGGTAGACCCTAATCGAGACTCCCAGACACAATTATCTTACATTTAATACTCTTTTTTTTCTATTCATTTGATATTTCTTGCCGGCTACTCTTGCAGAGCATTTCTGCAAAGATTACTTAGAGTACTCATCTTACGCTCTTCCAAGTGATAGCTCAATGTAAGGCAAAGATCCAAGACGGACATACAATTTAATACACATCGAACACTCGTGAATATATAAAACAAAAAGTAAGAAAAAAGGGAAAGGCTTATGATGGAAGAGCATCCAAAGAATGATGATTAGTTTACTTAGTGGTTTTAAATAAATATTTTGTCAAAAAGGTGAAATGGTGTGATTTCTGCAGAAATCGTGCACACGAGCTGACATTAGAATTAGAAAACAGTTGCCATAGCCTCGGACTTGTGTATGACACGTACGACCACCAACATTGGTAAAAAAAAACCCCCCCTAATAGAAGTTTCTTCCAGTGACGTGTTGCTGAGAAAACCTACTGTTGAACATTTTTATTAACTTTATTCCGGCTAGATAGAACATTGAGATTTATAAGGAAATGATGCCGTGAGTAACCGAGTTGTCCTCGGCACTCCTCCAAAAAAATTATAGCTTCTTGATCTGGACACGAGAGGCAAGAAAGCCTCTTTAGAAGTTCAGCTCAAAATAACAGCTTTTTTTTTTTTTTTTTTTTTTTTTTTTTTTTGATAGGATGACGGCGCACCTGACAATGAGACCACTAATTTTGCAAAAATATCGAAGTGAATGGTGTAGCAACATGTCTCGCCGATACGGAAATCCAAAAATGACCTGCACGTGCGGGTTTGAACGCCACCAAAGTATTGTAGCACGTGCCTTAAATAGAAAAATGTCCCCGTGCATCTTGTAATTGGCTGGTTTATTAGAAATTTCCAAGCACAATTCGTATTTGTAAGATCATGTCAAATTACGTTGGATGGATCAGGTTGGGTTCCTGGGTAAAACATTATATAGCCCGTTTCATTTGGTCGCGATACCTTATATTTTTTGAATACTTTCGATTGTATTGGCAGCCAATTAGCTCGCTTGTTACGAGTATTGTTGCAAGTCCGTCACGTAGTGAGATGCCACCAGAACAATTCAATCATCGTTTTTAGATTAAAAATATAAGGTATCGTGACCAAATAAAAATGGCGATAAGAGTTGGCTTAAATCGATCGGTTTCAGCTACAGGACTAAATTTGTATTAGACTATGGATTTGCTTTCGTCCGAGACGGCCTGATTGGATTTGTCGATCTATTCATTTATTGCATGTGAACATTGAGCACCAAAAACAGAAATAAGGGTGGAGACATTGATGATTCAACCAGTAGAATCTCCCCGGAGAATTTCAATGGATCCCCTCCATTCCTTAGAAAGATGAAGGAATCGTTTTTTATCAATATGACAAAAAACAAAGATAATGTACATGTAACTTGCTCGCCTGATGGTAGTACAGATCCATATATATATAGCTTTCTTATCCAAGAGTGGAAGAGATAACTCAAATCCTCATCTATCAAGCGAAAAAAAAAAAAAAAAAAAAAAAAAAAACGGGACCTAAATGTGCATATTGGTGCTAAGAGTTTTGGCTGTATACATTCCTTTTTTTTCTCAGTCTTTATTTGCAATTGCATAACTTTCTTCCATGTGGAGGTGTTATTAGTCGCAGTAAACCATGTGCCTTTGTGCAATGTGTTTTTGTCTTTTTTTTTTATGAATGGGCGGATCATGTTCCTAGAGGCCAGAGAAAGCGATCATTTTGTTTTTCGTGATGTTTTTATTCTCCACAGATTTTACTTTTCTCTTAACTGGAAAGATGAAAGTACAATGTGCCAATCTAACGGCAAATCATCTGTCGGAGAAATGTCTTTTTTTAAAAAGATAACTCTATTTGGTAGAGTAACTCATGATCTCAATACTTTTTTTGTTGACACATAATAACCCCGATCATTCCATACACATATCCCGCTTGAGATCATAAAAAGGGGTTTAGCCAAGTTTCCTTCCCTGTGCAAGGGAAAAGAAAGCGATAGGAGATTGCATAAACAGGTCTTTTGCCGTTTTTCCATTTTCTTTCACGTCTTGACATGACAAGATTGGGTGCGAGAGCATGCACCATGCACGAGTTAGTGCAAAAAAAAAAAAAAAAGAAAAAAGAAAAAAAGCTTACTCGAACAATGAAATTGTTGAGCCATATTAACATAATGCATGATGTCAATAGCAAAATTCATAAGCAATTTCTTAGTAGCCAGTGTTTGGAGACTATGCACTTTTAGTTTATTGTTTAGTTACACAGTTACACCCAGGACAGAAGTTATGAGCGTAATAGACATGTCAGTAAGCCATCCTTCTTGACAATCAATCGATTTTGTGATTTTATTTCAAGTATAAAATGAGAATGCAAGGCAGTGCACCGCCTCTTCAGTTTCCTACAATTAGTCGTACGGGTCAATGCAATATAGCCTTGATTGGTAACAAAACCAGTTCAATAACGCTGTCAATCATAAACGAGTAAGGATTCGCTGAGCGGCGCAGGATAGCAAGAATTTTTTTTTTACGCCCACTCTCTTGCTTGCCCCATTTACTTTTCTTCAATATTTCTACGCTTTTCCAGAGTCTTTTACATGCATGTTTTATATACTTCTGTCTTAAGATCAATATCCAGTATTCTTTTTTGAATTCAATTTTACAATATCTGTATAGTTCCCGTTTTGGAACCGTTCATTCAAATAAATATCGATCGCCTTATCAACTTTGTTTTTCTTTTTTTTTCCCTTTTTTGAATGAGAGCAATCCATTTCGGGCTGGTCGTGGTAACGCATCCGAGTAGCTCTGAGCCTACTGTGCTTGACTGGACCACGGAGATATTCCGAGCAATTCAAAAACATTTGTCCACCCAAAAAAAACCTATTCAGATCAATTTTTTTTCTTTTTTTCCACGCTAGAATAATGTCAGAGAATAATGACAAAGTTTATTTTCCCACTTGAAATTAAACTCGCTCATTCATTCAAGCTAACCGAATACACCTTCATTTCCTCTTGTGGTAAGTAAGAAAGTAACACATGCTCTTTTACTCTTATAGACGTTGGATAAATTAATATTGGAAAAGGTTCACACGAGCGAACGTGTGTAATTTATTCCAAGGCAGTTAGCCTATTTTATTTGTTCTGAGAATTCAATCACACCCATCATCCTCCATCATTGTGCATGTCCTTTGATTGGCATAAATATCGACACCACCTTTTTCATTTTTTTTTTTTTTCTTCCTTCCTTTTCTTGTTGAGAACCCTCTCCTTTCGCTCTCTCACTCTTTGATTTTACTCTTTCACATTCACCCGCACTCAACTATCTCCTCCTCCTTTCCTTCTTCATCCGACATTCTCATTCATCCATAAACTCTTTATCCTGATCTCCATACGTCCTTGATTCAACTTGCTCTTCCTATAATATAGTGCAATGGAGGAAGTACATGAACCACATCAATCAACTGATATTGAAAAATTCAGCCATGAGCCTCCACATGACATGAAGGAGGTTGAGGAGGACTTGGCTACCAACATTCAAGTTGCTGGTCCTATTCCTATCGCTGGTGGTCTTATTATCGTTAGTAAGTGTCACCCCCGCATCAATTTTATTTGATATCCTGCTCAGTAAACAAATTTGTTGACCTCGGTATATTTTTTTTTTTTTTTTTTTTTGCTAATATCTCTTTGCAGCTGAGCTTTGTGAACGTTTTGCATACTATGGTGCATCTATGTTGTTCCAGCGTTACATGTTGGAGCATCTGTTGCTTTCAAAGGGCACAGCCACAGCCATTTCCCGCGGATTTAGTTTCTTTTCATACATCACATCGATCTTTGGTGCTGTTGTTGCTGACAAGTGGCTCGGAAAGTTTAAGACAGTTCTTATTTTCGCTATCGTCTATACTCTTGGTTTGATTCTCCTGACTGTATCCGCAATCGACAGCCTTAAGGATACTCTCGGCCTGCCCGGTTTCATTGTTGCCTTGTACTGCTTGATCTCATGGGGTACCGGTGGTATCAAGTCCAACGTCTCAACTTTCGCTGCAGAGCAGGTCCCTGAGGAAGATTACGCCCACCCAAAGAAGGCAGGATATACCATCAACCACGCTATCACTGTCGAGCGTATCTTCCGTTACTTTTACATGGCCATCAATGTCGGAGGTCTTCTAGGTCAGGGTATCACCCCTACGGTCTCCGACTATGGTTGGGATCTTGCTTTCATGATCCCCGCCATCGTCTTTGTCATCGGCATCATTGTGTTTGCACTTGGAAAAAATAAGTACTATGATCGTCCTCCTAACGGTTCAGTTCTCGCCAAGAGCTTCAAATGCGTTATTTATGCCTTCCGTCACCGCAGCAAGCGTGCTCCAGGCACTCATTGGATCCAGGCTGCCAAGGTTCCTTCAGCCAACCAGCCTCTGCCATGGGATGAAAAGTATGTCGATGATATGGAGCGTACCTACCATGCCTGCAAAGTTTTCATGGTCTACCCTCTCTACTGGGCCTTGTACAACAACATGAACGACAACTTTATCAATATGGGTATCAACATGACACGTCCAAACTGGCTCAAACCTGAGATGTTGTCGTTCGTCAACTCAGCCGTCATTGTTATCTTCATTCCTATCCTCGACATGTTTATTTTCCCCTTGCTTCGTAAAGCCGGATTCCGCCTTGGACCAATTAACCGAATCGTCATTGGCTTCTGCATTGTGACCTTCTGCTTCGTCTATGTCACAGTCCTCCAGCACTTCTTATACAAGAGCGGTCCATACTACGATTTCTCTGGCAAGGACCCTAATGATCCAACCCGCACTATCATCATACCTCAAAAACCCAATTACCCCATCAACGATTTGACTATCTGGACCCAGATGCCTGCATACATCTTTATCGGTATCTCCGAGATTTTCGCATCTGCAACTGGTCTGGAGTTCGCATTCAAGTCCGCAGCGCCCGAGCTCAAGTCGGTAGTTATGTCTTTGTTCTTGGCCACCAACGCATTCGGTTCTTTGATCGGTATGATTCTTGCCATCTGGAGTAACGATCCTAACTTTGTATATGTATATGGTGCACAAGCTGGAGCCATGTTTATCGTGACAATATTCTTCGCATGGCGTTTTGCCAGGTTGGATGACATAGTCTAAACCTTAGAAGGATTGAGAAAAAAAAAAATGCCCATGTTGGCTGTAATGTTTCTTGTGCATATATATAAATAATAAAATCTACGAGTAATTTATTCATCCATATTTTTATAAATATCAAACAACGAATGGTTTTTAACGATTAAAGTAATATGCATGGATCAATGCATGTAATAATCTTGATAATTGGGGGGTAGGAAAACATAGAATCCTGTGAGAAGCGTTGGATAATCCTCAAACAACCTCGAGACCCGATCAATAACACCTGAAACATCAATGCTACGCAAGGTGAGGTGAATATGAGGAAAAGATTCACATTTCATACATGGTTAATATACACATTTCCACTACACAAAACACGCATTTTGCCTTTTTTTTTTTTATATTTTTTTATTATTTTTACCGACGACTATTAAAGTCACTCAGGATATTCAGGAATTCAATATATATTTCAGGTCGATCTCGTGACTTGTCCATAACTTGGTCAAGGTAAACCAATGCATCTTTGCCGCATAGCCTACGACACTGATTTGATGCTAATCCGATGGGTGTTGTTACGTCTACGGAAGTAAAGGCTGATGTTCTAGCGGAGTTGTATTCAGTAATTGAGCGTAGCAAGTTGTCTATTGATGGCAAAACAGGTCTTCTTTGCCCTTGCTCGCGAGTTGGTGGTGGTGGCGGAGTCATGGTATACCTTCAAGAATTTTTTTAAAAAAAACGGACGATGCACTATGGTGTAGAGCTGGTTCTTTGTTAACCGATTAGTGTAACAAGCCGAGTCTGATACAGAACGTGGAAGTGCAATGGCGCGTAGTGGAAACGAATAAGGAAGCAAAAGAGAGGCACAAATGAAGAAGAATGAAGGAAAAGAAAGGGAGAGAGGATAAAATAAATAGAGTAAAAGCAAGGCTATGGAAAAGGCGTCAGAGGGTATTTGCTCCATTCATGCTATAGGTTTAGATCATTAGTGGTAACGTACAACTCCAACCACCTCAGGACTTCAGTTTTAATTTATCATTCTGCGTTCCACATTTATCAAAAATAAAAATAAAAAAAAGGTGTGCTATTAAAAGCCAAGGATGTCCAAGTTGCGCTCAGAGATCTCCTTATATGCCTTCGTTTTCTTCCACTCAACATACGATGGGATGGCATTCACCTTTTCCCACACGGCCCAAATGGCGGGTGTGCGTTCTTGAGATACGAACTTGTCCTGTGTTAATGCCACAACCATATTCACAGCAATAACCAACTTGAGGTCGGCAAGAGAAAGCTTTCAAGTTTATAACAACCGAGACAGGAGTACGTTCAGTAAAAAAAAGATCTCATTGATGTATTGAGCTACGAAAAATGTTTTTTTTTCTAAACAATTATAGTGTTACATCCCGCTTCAATTTTTTCTTACCTTGTCTCCCACATAATGCCCATTTCTACCATTGGCCACCAAGTGCCTCTCATGTGTCACCAGGAAAGGTGGTAGTGCTTCTGTGAAGAATCTCTCCGTCATCACATCCTTGTACGCAGCGTCTTTAACAACTGCAACTCTAAGGAGGTAGTAACTGATTAAGCTTTGGATTGATGATGCAAACGCGCGCACTTTAATTTCGTCGTAGTCATCTCCATTTCCATAAAGACGGAATTTTTTGGACAAGTAGTGCTCAATTGTATCCGACTCTGGGACTTCCACGATCTGCCCTGAGGCTGTTGTCTCATAAAGCACTGGGAGAACACCAAAGAGAGTGTCTTTCTTCTCAGTGTTGGCCCAGTCCTATGACGACGAGTAACCAAGAAAATAAACCATGTTGGATGAAATATCTGTTAGCAACTATAGACCTCTGATAGAATCAAGATGTCAGATAATTATGGCAAAAAAAAAAAAAAAAAAAAAAAAAAAAAGTATACTTCAGGAAAAGCACATTCCCATTTGGCGCCAGAAGTAGCGAGGATCAAACGAGAAGCATAGGCAAGGCCATGAAGCTTGAAGTATTTGAGCTTAAAGGTGTTATCTTGTCTATAAATATTGTGGTTCAAAACATTACGTGAATCTTCTTCGAACGTCCGGGCCATGGCTGCAGTGGAGGAGTGGTAAAGTCGAGAACAAATTGGGCGGGAATAAATTAGGAGAATTAATAAAGATCGCAGAATTGATGGGAATTGAAGCTATTTTATACTGAAGTACTAAATCAAATGAAACGAGCGGCGTATCTAAAACAAAACGCCAATGTCGATAGTTGTTTCTTTCTGCTGCGCAAGGACGCAGGAATGTTGTCGATGAACTCGTTTCTTGTCATTGATAGTGCTGACTAGTGAATGCGGCGCGCAGTTACTCTGGACCGACAATTCCCAAAGTAGTACGTCCTTTAATGCACTCGGAAATGTTGTCCGATTCGTTTGGTCAGTAATTGATATATGTATTATTTATTCAAAAATGATGATTGATTGATTTGGTGGTGACAAGTTTTGAATGAGAGGTGTGTGTGCATGCGGTATACGTATACATGTGGTATGGTATAGCGTATATTGCGCTTATCGTGCTTTGTCAAGCAGACTCAGATCTATGATGTGTTTCTGTCTTCGCAATGTTTCCTATTATGACTGAACTTTCTGGAAGTTGTGTTTTTGTACACTGGCTTGCATTTCAATATTTTCTTCTCTGCGGCGTTGATCTCTCTCCTCCAACTCACTCTCTTTGTCTTCATCACTATCGGCGTGATGCCCCTTCCAGAGCTTAACTTCAACTTTGAATAAGAGTTTTTGATGGGCTTCGATATTACAATCAATGCATTGGTCACTGATTCCGTGGTCATCTACATCGCTATCATTGTCTTGATGATTGTCTTTGCTACCCTTTATTCCCAATCTTTCCTGATCCTCAGCCTCCTCTGCTAATTCTTTAATCATGTTTTGCTCTTCATACAGCTTCGATTTACTGAGTGACTGCGCATGCTGAATCGAATTAGGACCATTGTGGGTGTCAAATATTTTCTGCTCAATGTCCAAATATTTATCTTCCTTTGTCTCAGTTTTGGAGACTATCGCCGGCGTTGGAGTAGCTTCACAGGCTTTAGTCACTGTTTTTGTCGACATCACTGTGGTGGTCATGGTCTTTGTGATCGTCGTAGTTGCTGTCAACTGCTCTATAGCGGCTCCTTTCATCTCATATTTTCCGGGATCACCTGCTGAGTCGCTGGCATTGACAATGCCCTCAAGCGCGTAATCGATCTCAGCAGTCAAGTCGACACCATTGTTGCAGAGACAAAGGACTTTGACTGAATTAGAAACTGGAATATGGATGCATCGGTTGATCTCTCCTTTATAGTGTGCTGAAGCTTTGGAGGGTGTGAACTCGATGATACGGCCCGCATCCTTAGGATCACCCCTTTGAAGACAACGTATGTGACAAAGGAACGTAAAGGATTTGCAGAAAGGCGAGACAGCTGAGGCAGCAAGCTCATCATGCTTAAACTTGGACGAGTCATAAAAGGCATACGTTGGGTTGGGCTGAATGATGCGTGATAATTTGTCAATAATATGTGGGCTCAGTTCTTGTTCTGCAGTATTTGTTGTTGATCGTGCGCCCTCTTTATCTTCAGCAGAGACGAAGCAGAGTGAGGTAACAAGGACAAATGGAAACATGAAGATCATGCTTGTGGTTGGTCGTTTCATTGTCACAAGCGATGAATTTCTTGTATATATAATGGTATAGTGATCGGTGGTAGAAGAGTGTTTGTTTAATCTATTTTTCAAAATGAGAAAGAAAAAAAAAAAAAGACTCCATGTTTGACATGATAAAATAAGGCACAGGAGTTTGAATAGATTCCAATAAGGAGGAAACATTATACTCGTTCCCTAAACAGAAAGGAATGATACGATCAAGTGCCTAATAGAGCAGATACTGCTGCTGTGCTGTACATGCGTGTTTTTTAAAATGAAATATAATCCTATTAATCCTACTAAGCTCACTTTTTTTTTTTTTTTTTTTTTAAAAAAAAAAAAGCACATGTAGACAAATTGGCTTTAAGCATTATGATAGTGAGTGGTACGCTGCTCTACGCATGGTTCAAGGATACAAATATTGTCCTAGTACCGAATAAAGAGTTTGAAGCAGAGAGGAGGCGTGTGCAATTCTGTTTGCTAGTGAGTGAAAAGAGAGAAAAGGACAACAGATACTCCACATGCCTCACAGAGCATGGGTACTTTTTTCTTTCTTTTTTTTTTCTTTGCCATTTGAGGACAGGTGAGTAGATGGAGAATTGTTACACGATCTCAATATTGCCATGAATATGTTTATGTAGTTATACATGTGTACTGTATAGATATAATATGTATATTTGTATAAATAATGCCTTTTATTGTAAACACAAACACAACATTACGTAGGGCGAATATCGCTTAATTTGCCTCCTCTGAGACCACAAGGCGGTGCTTGCTGCAGTGCGTCAGTGAGCCTTTAACATTGCTTTTGGTTTGGGGCACCTGCGTATGCATTGTCGACCATCGACCTAAAATGAAAGGGAGAGCAAATTGTGCAATAATTTCTTGCTTTTTTCCCCTCTTCCTTTTTCCCCTCTTCCTTTTTCCTCTCTCTCCTTTCTTCTTTCTCCTTTTTTTTTTTTAATATTTTTTTTTTTTTTTCCTCTGGGAAACATTCCGAAAGCGCACACACTCTCTTTCCACTCTCAAACCAGGGAAGTTAATACAAAGGCACAGGATCAAGGACCAGAAGCGTTATGATATCCTTTACTGTCACATTGGATTCCCTCGACAAAGAGCATAAAGTATACCATCTTCGATTCAATCAAGAGTGTCCATTACCGCCATCAACATTGTCGGTTGGTTGGAGTAACCTACCCACCGAATGCCTCGAACTCATAGTAACGTTTTTGGACCATGATTCTGGCTCGCTAGCCACGCTCGCTCGAGTAAATCGTCAGTGCTTCTTCTTGGTCATTCCTCGGCTCTACAACGATGCATTTCAACGGGTCAGAGATATCACGCAACAGAGAAGCAGTAATATCAAATTGTCTTTACAGACTAATTCGATTACAGTAGGGTTGCCACCTGCCTTTTGTCTTTGGACTGCATCTATGGATTTACTCTCCTCCGCCACTCAAGAAGACGCCATCAAGATTCGTCACCATTATGAAAACCACATGATCGACTTTAATAAGATTGCCTTCTATGAGCAGCAAACTCGCGAAACACTACTGCTCTGTACTCTGCTCTCCCCGTTAGTTCAAGGTCTCTCCGCACGTTTCCCTGCTCTGTCAAAACACTTTTCGAGTCCTCAGTGGAGATTCAATCATTCTAGTTACCAAGGCTTCCCTCACCCAATTAGCTGGAGGAGTCAACATTATCTTCGCCATTTAGTTGTACTGGATCTGGAGAGGCTCTGCACTAGAGGTTCTTCCCGGTTATCATTAGGAGAAGCTGCGGCAATACAGACAGGAAAGACTGGCATGTTTCCATTGCGATTTGCACCTTTTCGATGGGAAAAAGAGTTAAGGTCGGTCGGGGTCTTGGACTATCTACAGCGGGCTCTTCTGAATCAACCGGGTGCAGATAGGATACGTTGCCTGAGGATTCCAATTCATCGGATGCGGACCTATCAACAGAGACACGAGCGCGCACCGCGAAAGGGCAGGACAAGATCAAGGACTGGACAGGCAAGGGAAGAAAACGAGGGGCAGACAAATCGCGATGAGACTAGCCTTATTGGCCATAGTTTAACTTCAGCTGAGCTATCTAGAACAACAGAGGAATCTCAAAGACCTTATTGTTTCACCTTCAAGAAACTAACAAAGCTACGTCGCCTGGAAGTTTGTTACATGACCAACAACCAATGTGACTGGGATACGCTTGAGCGAGTCTTATCGACGCTCCAGTTCGGAAATCATCTGGGCATCCATCCGGATGAAATTGTGGAAGCAACAGCTGGAGGTGAAGAAGGAAGACCGAAAAATAACAGCAGCCACCCGCTTCATCAAATTCGCGAGTTCTCCCTACAAGCACAGTCTTTACTTGGCGATCGCTTTGTAAATATTTTAAGGTTCTTTGAAAAGCTTGAGGCACTGGAACTGCGGTCTTCACGCTATGATCAGCGAGCATGGATCTCCCAGTGGGACCCCAAGTTGTGTAGAAACTTAAAGGTGCTTTGGATGGGGCCTATGTCACTTAATATTGAAAATGCTGGATCATACGAAGCTCTAGGAAGACTGATAAATCTGGAGGAACTAAGATTTTCTATCGATAGGCCCATTGAGTTTCAACAGGTTCTGGATGCAAAGGTGGCAATGTCGCGGCGCTTTAAAGAAGAAAAGCTGCGCTCGAGTTCAACTGACCAAGGTGAACATGGCAAAAGCAGCAGTATAATCGATGACGACTACGATAGGCGTGTATCACATGGCTACCTTCCAAGGCTCAAAAGGCTGGGCTTATCTATTCAGCAGATGGCCCAAATGGATATAGCCAACAGTGTCATCGCTGCCTTTGGGCACCAGCTTGAGGAATTTGTCCTGTATAGTTCATCTTACCTTGAGCCACCCCATCGTTTTAACCACATGTTTCTTCAGCTGACCCGGCTGGCGTTACGAGGCCACTTTGTACGTGAATTTGATTTTACGAGCCTAAGTCAACAGTGCCCCTCGTTGGAAATGCTGGCATTACAGCATTCATGCAACGCATGGACCGTTGGTCCGTCTCCGAACGATGGAAACATGCTAGATGCGCTGATACAATTGAAACGCCTTAGGTGTCTTTATCTGGAAGGAATATGGTTCCTAAATGATGAGCAGTTCCTTTATCTTGCACAGACATGTCAATCACTTTGCTTGATTAGAGTCCACAACTCAGTCAACCTGACGCCGAAGGGCGCTGAGGCGGCTGATACCATCCTATCAAGCCGACCGACCAAATATCCACTCAAATGCAAAGGTGTATATCGATTAGCAAAAACTATGACGGAATTTTTTGGCGATGAATGTCTATGGCGTGTTAGGTTCTTTGGTTACGAAGACGACATTTGAATTAACTAGGCCGTCTAGTGTCCTATGTTATATGTTTGCCAAAATATACTGTATCCTTGTCAAGAAAAAGAGAATTCGTTTCCTGGTCATCATGCTTATTATTATTATTATTATTATTATTATTAATTATTATTATTATTATTATTATTATTATTATTATTATTATTATTATTATTATTATTATTATTATTATTATTATTATTACTCCAATGCAGATGCATGTTTATGCTTAGCTGGAGGAGGTTCGGTAGGGCTCATAAAGTGCGTATTAATGATCTTTAGTGTTGCTCTGGATGGCCGCGCAGCTAGTCGATGCGACATGATCTGAAAAAGTCGTCTCTGAATGATCTCTTTTGACACCTGTCGCACATTTGGCATTGTGCCACAATACTCGCCTGTCTCTTCATCAAAGCACGACACCAATAACGCCAGAGCTATACCTACAGAGCGATCCATCCCTTGTTGACAATGAACCAGGATCTTTGGACTCGGCATATCGTTGCCCAGGGTCGAGGCTACTGAGGTCTCACCAGTATATATTGACTGGACAACGCTGACAGCTATGGGTATCATTTCCAATAGTTGGTATTGACCTTTCTTCCCCTCAGCTATTGGCAAGTGCAAATAATAAAAATTCTTGCCTTGAGGGTCATGTTTAGGTATTTCTACGACCGAGGGGGTAGCCATTGATGAAACCGCAGCACTTGCTTCCCATTGATGCTTTTGTATGGTGCAGAGTGACGCCTGCACTCCTCCTACGCCATTACCTCCGAGACATGTCACCAAGTCGGCATTTCCCGCTATCTCGAAAAGGTCATTACGCTGTATTTCCGCGGCGCAATTGATGACCATGTCAAACCCATTATTCCAGCAGTTCGGTATCCTTGCACTTGCATTGTTTCCGATCCATATAGGACTGGGCTTGATTTCAGAGCATAGCTCCATTGAGGGCGTAAACACCATTGGAATTTGGCTGTCACCGTATTTCTTACTTCGATCCTTGTCATGTCCCGAGGATGTTTTGATAGTATTTCTAGAGTTTTGATGGTACTGTGCTGCCTCCAACTGTCCCTTTTTAGCCTTTCGAACAATCTCTTGCGCGCGCCTCTCGCACTCTTCTGGTGAGATTCCATTCTCAAGCAGATACTCCTCATTCTCCCAAAATAGAGAAGGTGTCAGTCCATTCGACCACATATCTTCATCATCGCCTGATCCTTGAACATACAAATACCCATCACATTCCTCCATACCGTCCTTCACTACCCGAGACGCGCTTAAACAGATCACAGGAAAAAACGCCACATCGCTATAATCAGGCATGTCATCTTTGAATAGAAAACTCTGTGGAGTAAGCCAGATCGGGCGAATTGGCTTCTTCAAACGCATCGTCAATGGTGTCAAGTCCGTAAATCGCTGGTAGAGAAAGAAAGAGAGGAAGATAGGAATTGGCTAGAATCAGACTTGAAGATCTCATATAATATACAGTTTCATGTTACTACACGGCAGATAGTTTAGCTTCATGGTACCATCAGCTTTTCCGCAAATTGATCAATTTTCTCCGCAATTTGTGCATGTTCAGATCTAGAGGTAATGCTAGGTAGCGAGTGATAACGCGTATCCCATCGTTCTGGATCTAAGGAAGGGATGTGTAACGATATCTCGGAGTCGCTTTGTTGAGAACCAGTACTATGCTGTGCTAAACCGCTGTCTTGTTCATGTGTGTGCTCCTGGGGCTTGACTTGCGCCTGTTGCTGCTGCCGCTTAACCTGGTTTTGAAGTGCACATTTGCGGATCGCAGTATTGAGTGTAGCGCACCAAATAGGAATTGTCTTTGAAAGAGCATCAGGAATTCGCTTTCCTTTTCTTGTCGAATCCACTATGATACATCTGGTACATATCATATATATTTTAAAAACGTAAGTAGCTGACGAGGCTGCTGTTTCTTTATGGATCATATTATTAACCCATGCATGATCTGCAAGCTTTTTCACACTTCTATAAACATCTTTTTCTATTATGATCCTTTACCCGCCATTATCGATAATGGTTGTAATCAAATGTGGATTATATCGCCTAAGATTAAAGTCCCAAACGCCTGCATGTCCATCTGTTGATTTGAAGTATACGCCAGGTTTTAGGATCTTTTTTTTTTTTTTTTTTTTTTTCATGAAGGTAAAGATCCACGTCAGTAATTGATCAAGTTGACTGGGTTTTTTATGGAGACAAAGTAAAACTCAATTCTGATCAGCCTCCTTATTTTGCTTCTATTGCTTACTCTAGACGGACGCGCATACCAAGTCCCGCATCTTTCGTTAGCTATGAAAGAATGTAAAAGCCAAAGACCTCCTTGAGTGTTTGATTTGCTAAACTGCGAACACCAATGATCCTTGCATGATTGCCCTTTTTTTTTTGTGCCTCCGCCTTTCCTTCTTCCCCCCTATTCGCATCTACAGTTTGAGGCCTTACCAAGCAGAGGAAATTGAGGGAGTAGATCAGCGATTTCACTGACAAAGGCTGCATCTGCTTGGATAGACTTGAGCCTGTTCAACCTATAGAAAAAAGGAAAGAGACAAAACGTCGTAAAGCCATGAATACTCAGAGAGTCGAGACTCTTCTTCTCCTTTTCTTCCCCCCTTTGACGGGAAATTGGTACAAGAAAAATAAAGAGAAATAACGAGAAAAAATCCCCTGGTGTGCCTTTAAAAATACACTTTACAAGCTTTTCGCATCACGGCGTATTTCGTCCCTAGTACTACCATGCTTGTTGATTTGGGTTGTCTCGATGCCAGCAATCATGTTGACAAGATCTTTCAATTAATGGGGGAAAAAAAAAAAAAAATTCATGTATAATTTTAAATTCGGGCTGTTTCGATTGGTTCAATAGTTCAAATATATTTTTTGATTAAATACGAGGGGGATTGAATTGATTTGGTGGCTGATATAAGCCTCCAAATTACATTTGTATAAAAGCGTAGGACATGGAGCGCGTTTTGATCGACTTGAACCCTTTGCCTCTATCCTCTCCTTCCTGCTATGAAGACGCCAACTCCTGCTCCAAAGATAAAAAGTACCCCTGGCTCTACCTTAGCCTTTTCTCCTACAAAAGTCGCCATCATTGGCACAGGCGCAGTTGGCACAGCGACTGCCTTCGCCTGTATCATGCGCAAGGTTGCACCAGAGTTGATGCTGTACGATATCAACACAAGTCGTGCGCATGGCCAAGTCCTCGACCTAGAGGACGCTTCTTCCTTCTTAGGCTCTTCAAGCCTGTCATCTTGCTCCTACGCTCAAGACACCCCACGCTTCTCCTCTACCACAAAGACCCCACAAGACTGTGGTCAGGCTGACATTATCGTTGTCGCTGCTGGAAATCCTCAGGCTCCTGGAGAAAGCCGTGATAACCTTCTGTACCACAACCAGTTAATCCTCAAAGACATTCTGACAAAAATCTCCCCAATCAAGCCCACAGCCATTATGATTATGGTTACTAATCCTGTCAACCTTATGACAGCGTTAGCTCAAAAATTATCAGGCCTACCCCCAAATCAAGTCATCGGGACAGGTACGATCCTCGATACAGCTCGACTTCGAACAGCAATCAAGAAAGCGCTTCAGCACCACCAGCAGCTGGAAGAAGGTTATGCTGAGAACGAGAGTGGCTTCATAGAGAGCTCTATCCACGCGAATGTGATTGGTGATCACGGCGATAAACAAGTGGCCTTATGGTCTACGGCAACTGTTGGAGGATATCCATTGACATCATTTAATGCATTCAAGCTACTGAACACTCAAATCGAAGTAGCAAAATCTAGTGCGGCGAAGGTCTATGAGATTATAGAGCATAAGACTGCATCATCGTTTGGTATTGCAGTCATTATTGCAGAGATCATTGACACAATTGCTTCAAACAAGAAAGCTGTTCTCCCCTTGTCGGTCTACAGCAAGCGTTATGATGTTTGCCTGGCCTTGCCAGTAGTTTTGAGTGCAAATGGCATAGGCACAATCATATATCCGCAAATGAACGAGAGAGAACAAGCCGCGCTTGACGAATACGTTCGTGCAAATCGCGCCATATGCGCACCTTTTTTTCATCCTCGTGGACCCAAGGGGATCTTTCAGGAAGAAGCTCGGCTGTAAAAAATAAAAAATATCTGTACACAGTAAAAATATCATTATTAAAATAAAATGCCAAAATTCTTATTTATCAATGCTACTTGGCTATCGCTGTGTATCTGGCTTTTTTCCCCCTCTCTTTTTCTTCACTTTATAGGTACAGTCCCTCAGGTGTGCCTTCATTCTTCCTATACAACACTTTCTCTTTCGCCTTCTTAAAATCATCCGCTTTGACCTTCATACGACGCTCTCGCAAAGCCAGTAAACCGGCTTCCGTACAAACAGCCTTGATATCTGCTCCGGAGAGCTCGTCTTTGGACATAACAAACTCCTCAAGGTCAACGTCATCAGCAAGCTGCATACGTCCAGTGTGGATGTTGAAGATACGACGCTTGGTCTTAACATCTGGCATAGGGAATTCGATCTTACGGTCAATGCGTCCTGGACGAATGAGTGCAGGGTCCAAAGATTCGATTTGGTTGGTGGCCATGATGACCTTGACGTCTCCTCGAGAATCGAATCCATCCAGCTGGTTCAGTAGCTCCAACATTGTTCTCTGAATTTCTCGCTCTCCTCCAGAGTTGGAGTCATATCTTGATAGGATACAAAGACAAAATCGCAAATGAGTAAATATATAAATATCTAGAACATGATTGTTCCGTTCAAAACCGTTTTCAGACCATGTATACGAGTCTGTAGATTATACCTTTTAGTTCCAATGGCATCGATTTCATCGATAAACACAATCGAAGGAGCATTTTCTTCTGCAACTCTGAACAACTCACGCACTAGCTTAGGACCGTCCCCGAGATACTTTTGAATCAACTCTGATCCAACCACACGCAAGAATGTAGCTGATGTCTGGTTGGCAACAGCTTTCGCAAGCAATGTTTTGCCTGTTCCTGGTACACCATATAGGATAACACCCTTAGGAGGCTTGACTCCCATATCCTCATACAACTCAGGGTGGGTCAAGGGCAGCTCGACAGCTTCCTTGATCTCCTGAATCTGCGCTTCCAAACCACCAATATCTGCATATGACTCTGTAGGCGCCTTCTCCAATTTCATGACACTGACCATAGGGTCAGCATCATCTTGAAGAACACCAATAACCGACATCGTCTGAAGAGGTAATGATAATGAAAAAGTATTATAGTAAGGCACTTTGAGCAACTCCTATGGCTTTCCGGTATATTAAAATACCTATCAGCAGTTTCAATGCACACCATACCTTGTGATGCAGTAGAATCGAGCATCCGGGCTCAAGCAAATCTTTATCCACAAACGACAAAATGCTGACATAATATTCAGGTCCATTACTGGTCGAAATGATAGCGTGATCATCGTCAATGATTTCCTCAAGCGTACCAACACTCATAGGTGTGCCTCGGAGATCATCCACCTTGGATCTTTCCTCCTGTGTTTTTTCTTCCTGAGGCTTTAGTCTTTCCTGATTCACTACGAATTCTTCCTCCATCAGTAGGTAGTCCTTGATACGCTCCATCTTGAGCATCTTCAGGCGGCAGCGCGTTGTAGGGAATACTAGCGATTTGAATCAAGCCAAACAAAGCATTTGTCAAAAAAAGACAATTCACGTAAAAGCATACTCACTCACTTGTTGTTCACATTTAAACATCTATCAGCAAAATATTTTGAGCAGAGCCATACCAGCAGGCAGCTTTGATGAAGCATCAGGGCCTTTCCTCATCTTCTTCTTCCCAACGCGGGTTGGCAGTGGGGGCTCCCACTTCTTCTTGGGCTCTTTATCCTATGAAGTAATGAACAAATAGATACAAATAGAGATATTAGTGAGGGAATTCAATGCTGAACTTCATGCGCTTCCAGAAAAATAATACAGTTATTTTCTATTTTCTACATACGTCCTTCTTCTGGCCGTTGCCATTTGGTGGATGTGATTGTTTGTTACCCTATTCTCAAAGAAAAGAACGGAGTTTAGTAGTCTTATAAATGTAATCCAGCAAAAAAAGAATTCTCTGAAATGATTCGGTCTTGCATCATTCTCTTTACCATAGTGGTGAGTTATTGTTCAGAAGAATGCGTTGGTGGCAGATATCAATTATGCCTGAATACTTGTTGGAAATGAGTGGTTTAGTCTGATGAAAAAAAAGGAAGGAAAAAAAGGTCAAAATTGTTTGCATGCAACCGCACTTTCGCTTCTTTTTACAAAGCAGACGTGGCCACAGGCTGGACGGGTGACGTATACATTCGGTCAGTTACGTGTATGTTCAATTACATGGGGAAATAATACATCCTTTTTTTTAATTCTTTATTTGATTATCTCTACTCATCATCGCTAGGAACACCATCAGAATCCTCGTCATCGTCGTTTGCAATGTCTCTCAGGTCCTATACAGGCGAATAGCGCAAATATATAGTGCATTGATGTTAAATACTTACAGACAGTAATAGTAGCATTCATAAAAGAAAAACAGTATCTGAATGTTCCTTACAACTTGTGCACTAAGAGCAGCACGCTCTAAATACTCTTTAACTTCACCATGGGTATCACTAGGGGCGATGTCGACAGGTTTCTGCTTGAGCTTATTTAGAACTAAATGGCAAGAAGAAGAAAACTGTATCAATAAACATTTTCTTCACTAACTTCATAGCTCACATACTCAAGTATGAAGACCTCTTTAATACTTTGATACCCAATAACATTTTCGTTTACCATTGAGTGAAGCACCATGTTTGACTAAAAGAACGACCATATGTAAAGCGAGAGTAGGGTCCCGGTAGGCAGCGGCCTTGTGGAGAGATGTGTCGCCCTCAAGGCGGTCTTGGATATTTACCTTGATCCCATCAAAGTAGAGTAGGACTTCTAAACATTCTATCGAGGCATTGCGCGCCCTATCATGGTAAACGCATGGTAGTAGTGTCAGTCAGCATCCTGTAGGTTGTCGTAAATACAAGTTCTCATAGATACTGACACGTACGCGTAATGGAGTGGAGTGTTGCCTAATCCGTCTGTAAAATTGATGTCAAATGTGGAGGGGTCAGACGAAAGAACTTTGTCCAGAATCTCGAGATTATCCTCCTTGCATGCTGCTAACAAGAGCTCATCTAATGACGCCGTATTTTGAATTCCCTGTTCATTAACTTGACATCTAAACTTCAACTTTTACCCAGCTGTTTCTATTGGCCAGTTATTTTGCAAGAAAAAAAATAATGATAATCCTACTGTTGCTTGCACCATCTTCAGTCATGATGTTACAAGTCGAGTGATGGAAAGGGAGTAAGATTGCTGAGAGAGAGAAGGATAAAAAGGAGTATATAAAAAAAGAAAAGATGTTGAGATGTTGCCTCGAAGGGACACAACTAACGGCACATGCGCAAGAAAAGTCACGCCAAGTCTGTAGCAATTTTTATTATCGTTTTAGAGCGTGTCTGCAGTCATAACGCGTCGCATACGGTGCGCTCTCCAGTCAAGATAGAACCACATTGTGACGCATAGCGCACCAAGGGTCATGGTCGCGCCTGACATTAAAGTTACAGGAAGATATGAAATATTGGGCTTAGTGATATCTAGTAAGAATCCTGCCAATGGTGCGCCTCCAAGCATGCCTAGACCACCTGTTGCATACATTAATCCAATAGTGGATGCCATCTGTTTAGTTCCAAATGACTGTGCCACTGCTACTGGAACCAACGAGACATACCCGCCAGCGAAGAAGCCAAACATGAGTCCCATTAACATCAATATGCCAAATGATTTGGAGAGAGTCCATAGAACCAAGACCGAGAAGGCAGTACACCATGAGCAAAGGAGCAAGACTTTGGCATTTGAGAAATAATCGGATATGAGGCCAAGTAAAATCCTGCCGGCAAAAGATGCTCCATTAGACAGCCCTAATATTAAGGCGCCTTTTTCAGCGGGAATACCGATAAATACTGCATAGGCTAATATGAAAATAACAAGTCGCGCGTTATTACCAAGCAAGGGGCTCACTACAATATCGGAAGTGGATAGGTTTCTGCCCTGGATTTCTTAAAGAGACTTACTTTGCATGAAATATAAGGGAACTAGGAATGCGAACGATGCTGTCAATTCCGCCATGGACAGTGACAAAAATTGCATGTCCTTAAATACCTTTACCGCATCAAAGAAAGATGGCTTCTCTTTAGCTACGCTTCCCATCTCTAGCTCTGTATCCTTTTCACAGCCAGATGGCTTGGGCGTGAGGCGGTCAACCTCAATGTGGACCTTGCTTTCCACGATAAAGATGCTCGAGACGCCACTGTTAACGAAAAGAAAGAGGAAAAATATATTATATCAGTTTCATTTGTAAATTTTTATCGAATATATCCAACTTTGATAGCTATGCCTTACCAGACAATAAAACATAGCAGCCCAAGGATTCGCAATGACCAAAAGATACCAACTTTTTCTATAAGTTTATGGGTTAATGGCGCAAGGATCAAGCCGCCGGCGCCGACACCAGAGACTGCAATGCCTGTAGCAAGGCCTCGTCGCTTGGTAAAATAGTGCGATGGTACAGCTATGGCAGGGTAGTATGCCAGCGCTGACCCGATCCCAAACAGCACACCTTGAGTGATATATAATTGCCAAACCTAAGCAGGAGTCGCGTTTTTAATAGCATTATAAAGGAGAATAAGTTTTGGAAAGAGTCTCGTAAATTTTTGAAACTGGTCTGGAACTCCTCGCATTAGACATACCTGGTTCGAAAACGATGCCAGGATAAGAGAGATCGTCATCAGTAATGTGCCTACTATGACTGTGATTCTGAAGCCAAATCGATCTGCGACAATGCCAGCGAAAAATCCTGCCAGATAGGTCACGGCAGAGCCGGTTGTGCCCACGAATGCAATGGATGATATTGATGTATCAGGGAATAAGATCTGATAATGATGCTCAAAGATGCCAAAAATGTACTCTGTTGGCGCGAACGCAAAAGAGTGGACAAGAAAGGACCCAAAGACGACAAACCATGCACGAAGACCACCATCTTGAAGCATCGCTCTTGATGCCTTTTCCTTGGGCTGTACCGACGACGAAGAGGATTCGCTGAACTCATTTGGGGCTAGATTTGCAGCCTCTGTCAACGGTAGTGGCATTGCCGGTAAAGGATTGGATGTGATTACTGTTTGAGACTGATCAATTGTAGCAATGGTATCATCTGCATGTGTTGGTGTAGCCGTCTCGTGTGTGGCACTCATTATTATACTAGCCACTAGATATTATAATATATATCAAACAAATCTTATAGACGTGAAATAGCACGCTGTGGTTATGAAAAAGAAAAAGAAAAAGATGCTACAAAGCAACAGTGCAGATCGTAATCCTTTTATACCTTTTATCTCCTTAAGTAAATGCATCAAAATGTTTTAACTGGCTTTATTATTATATATTTTGTAATGGCAATTTGACTTTTTTTTTTTTCTGCGTTAATCTGTGAAGCATTAAGAGTCTTCTTACTGAGCCCTCCCGAATTCTCTCTTCCAGCTGTATTTCATGGTACAAACTCCTCAAAGGCAAAAACTACTGGTGCTTTCTGTGTATCTGAATCCTGAGTCAAATAGTGTCAAAAAGAGGGGCTCCTTGTATTTCTGTACACCTTTATGTATTGTATATACTTGCTCTTACTAGAATTTGACCATTTGGCTCCAAATTAAAGCACGATCGTTTCCGTTAAAGGCAAGCACCCTAAAATGCTTTACTTCACCATGACCAACTGTATATTCCCGTGTAATGACTATCCTACTTCTTTGCGAATAGGGTTTTTTCTATCCTTTCCACTTCCTGAGCAATACAGAGGCTCGATTTAAAAATAAAAAATAAAAAATAAAAATAAAAAAAACTTGCTCGCCGGAGCAACGACTTCCTTCCCCTCCTACCATCTTGGGATATTGGAATCGTAAACTTCAAGGCTTCTCATCACAAAATACATGTACTTTTTTTTTTTTTTTTTTTTTTTTTTTGGGGTCGACCTATCATATGCATCACAGTTGATCACAGTTGATAAATATTTTGAATATTCCGAATTGTATTGACAGATGTAATCCTTATATCGCCAACTTTGGCAAGAAGAGCTAAATATCCCACGCTCAATGCAAAACCCTTTTCCTTACACCAAAAGCAGTATACATAGTATACCAGAGGTGAAACATAGTTTTACGGGCAATATTCATTGAAGGTAGTCAGTCGGCCCTGGGCAATAAATTTCAAGGTTTCTAGGATCCATCGGTGTGTCTTTGTTCTCATTACTCGAAAACATATTGTTCCATACCGAGATGGCCATCAGCTGGTTCGCACATTTGTTTGGATGAAAGCTATAAATCAAGTAGGAAGCTAGACGTGAGGTTGTGATCTTGGGTCAGCCTTCATAGAGATTTTTTCACACTGCTCACATACCAATCTAGGCCACTCAGATACCCTTGTCCATAAGCGGATGAGCCATCTTTAAATTCTGTCAACCCTGGTTGATAGGCCACCCCAAACTTTCTTTCGCTTTTACTCTCCTCATTGATTTCTCGGGCAATTCTTTTCATAACCTCATTGTATCGTTTAGCTAAATCACCTGCCCCTAAAGCGACAGAAAGAAGATGCTTCATGTTAGAGGCTTAGAACATTTATGAAGATCTTAGAATATACTTCGCCTCTATGTGTTGTATAACACTTACTCTGTCGGAGGGCCTCATCACCTGTGGCGCAGCCACAGATAGGGAGTGGCAGTTTGTCAAAAAGCAGTTCACAGTAGGAGTAACCGCGCGAGAGATCATAAACCAGGCTGACGTCAAAGATGCCCACCAGGTTAACGAATGTTGGTCCAACTGAATCTCGAAGCCCCTGCAATGCAGATTTGAGGGCTGCGCCATATTCCTCCGGATCTGCAATCTCAGGGACTGTTTCACCAGGCCCACATGCAGCACAAAGGTTGTTTGCACCAATAAAGACCGTAGCCAACTTCCATTCATCTCTGTACTTGTGATACATACCCCCAAAGCTGAACATTCGTTTCAGGTGATCAATCTGCGATGAAAGGGTCTGAGCGATCGCTCCGCTTACCTATCAATTTGAAGAGGCCATTCATGTGAGAAAAAAATAGCAAAATATGATAGGGGTGAATCACGCGCGTCTCTTGGCATAAATATGCTTTCACTTTATCACTCACCGCTGTGTTGAGACCTTTGCCGAATGCTAACATCCGAAAGGGAAGAAAATTAACAACGGTTCCCATCAAAACCACACATCTATGTATCAAGCTTTACAGATAAGTGAAATACTAAACTTGCCTAAGGGGAGAGTAAATCCTGAAGGGCTGCCTTTCACTTCCTTTGTATAGGTCTTGAGGAAATTTGCTACTGTGTATTCACCACTATCACCCCCGCCTGAGAAAACTTTGCCACGAAACTCAAGAACTGTGGCAAATGGAGGGCGACCTATTTGGCAAGAACAGTTTGAGCTGAATGAATCTCCCTGTGTTCATCGGGAATGGTTACACTCGAATTAAATTGACGTTTTACCAGATATCATGGCGAAACCAGCAGTAATACTATCTCCAATCGAGATCACAGCTTTAATATCCTAGATTGATTGTATTCAAAAGGTAGTCGCTCAGCTCGGCATTTCAGCTCGTCTCCCAATGTCTGTTATACATGGTTTAGATCCAGGGCCTCTTACATGTGGTCGAAGACGCCAGACGTCTGTTGGTTTGACTAAATCTTGTTCTGAAAGTTTATATGGCTCACAGTTCCATTTCGGGATCTTAGTAGGGCATGCAGAGTCATTTCTAGCTCGGCCGAACGAGTTGTAGATTGCTTCTAGCTCGTTGACCCAGGGCATAGTGTATGGAGTTAAATTCTTGGTGGTGCATGCTGTGTGTGTATTCTGAGTATGGCCGTGTTTGGGTAGCTTTCGAAATGACAGCTGCATCGGGAATGCAACCCAAGGAAAGAGACATAGAGTAAGAGCGGCTCTTGTAATTGATGTATAGAGCTTCATAGTTTTAAAGGAGAATTAACGTGAAGGAAAGACAGGCAGAATGTGAATGGACCCTTGTCGAATGCATTCTTTTTTATATAGACCTTCTCTTGTTCGGAGCGTTAACTTTGCTCACGGGCCACGTGGTGATCACTCTCCGTTTTTCAACAGCCACCAATTTGTTTTGTTGAACTTTGTTTTGAACTGATCTCTCGCCTCATAATCCTGTCGTGTGAGCAAGCATCTTCCTCAATCTCAAAAGATGTCATTTCATAACAAAACTTTTTCTTTGCGAACATTGAATCTTGGTCTACTACCAAGGACATCGCCCATTTATCAGACTTTTCCTGCATTACAAGCGCAACTTCGTGCAAAGTCAACAACAAGTACTCATACACGGAGCAATGATCTTAAAAAGAAAACCAATGACAACAATGATTCAGAAAACAAAATTGTCCCTCAGTCTTCAATATATACCACTGGCCTGAGCCGACTTCGGGAGCATTTTACTACATCGCTTCAAGAAGATATTATGATCGCATCATACCGTCACCATCACAAGATGAAAAAACAAATTCCCGAAGGGGTCAAAATTGAACTCAAGGGAAAGCGTCACCTCAAGCCTGCACCACGACCCTCATCACCAACTGAAATTCCCGAATTGATTAAAATTGATGTCCACTGTATGATGAAGGAAGCGATCACAAGTAAATACAATCTATTAAGTGGTATCATGGCAATTCAATCTATCACAGGAGAGACGCCTGAGATCATTTTTGCAAAAACTGGTGTCCATAATTGGAAATTACGCAAAGGTAAAAGTGAAAAATCCAATATATTATTAATCTAGCGACGTCTTGATTGATGGCAAGAGACCTAATTGTCTAAGGTTCTAATATGTACATTAGGAATGCCTATTGGATGCAAAGTGACTTTGAAGGGTGATAAAATGTATCAGTTTTTGGATAAGCTAGTCGAGGTTGTGCTACCTAAGATGAAGGAATGGCCTGGCTTACCAGAAGGATCTGGGGACGGCACGGGAAACATCGGAATGGGTTTCCCATCCTCAGCATTGTCACTATTCCCGGAGATCGAGAACAATTTTGATATGTATCCAAGGATGACTGGATTCGACATTACATTTAATACAACCGCATTCACAAACATGGACGCAAGGCTACTTATGAGTGGCTTCAATATTCCCTTTCAGAAATCTAGTGCTATCGCACGAAAAGAGACAGATATCATAACCAAAAATAAGCAAATAGAAAAATTAGCATAGTTTTATGTATAGTAATGTAGAAAGAATCCAAAATATTTTATTGCACGCTGTGTGTCTTTTCATATTGTTTATAGACATCTGTGATAATCAAAATATTGCCACCAAATTGTGAGAATGGATTGTAATTTGTCAGGGCATCATAATCATTTTGCTCTATCTTAAGGGCCAGAGTTTGAAACATCCCTGTCCAATTGTGCCAATCATTGCTCAAGCCACCAAGTGAACAAGTCAGTCACACACAGCTGCAAAAGAATCGTTTCTCGCGTTCAACTTCACTCTGTCCCTTATCCTCTTCGTCCTTCGATTCGTCTACCAACCATTAATCCCATCTACATCACACTTGCTGTTCAGTCACAGCCTCTATTCAGTTTTCCTCTCCTCTTTATTCCTCTTTCCTTTTGGTCTATCAAGGCGAAATCTTTCTTCCTTCGCGTTTGTTTACTTGTTGCTGCATTACTAGCTCAAAGAAAGATAACTCTGGACACAGCGACTGCCGCCTAAATAGCATTTTTAATTTCCAGAAAACCTACCTTCATTGTGAGCACCTAGATGCCTGCTCCCCCACCTCCATCCGAGGAAAAACCTCAGTGGGCTCGGGGCCCTGGACCTCAACAAGGGTACTCGTAAGTGCTCATACATTTCTTAGTTGTCACATGCACATTTTTTATTATTACCTGAGCTTGTGCTCCATGATTCCATGAAAAGTCATGGAGTGATCATGCAATTAATGAGGTTTTTATTAAATTTCGTATAATTTAGATCACCGTCAGGATCCATGCCGCCTCATCCTTCTGGTTCCCCATATCCTCATCATCTTCCACCTGTTGTTGGCGGTCCTCAAGGACCTGACCAACACCCTTCAAGCCAGGGTGGACCTGTCTTGCCGCCACCCCCCATGTCGATGGTTGGCGGGCCACCACCAAGATCCGGCCCATCTTTGCCCTCTTCCCGTCCCCCAACCAGTCCGTCTTTAAGCAGCGTACATGGAAGCAATCCACACCCTTCGGCTATCATGCCACCATCGTCTCATGGTCCTCCGCCAAGCCACAGAGCGCAGGATGGCCATCACCAACATATGGCATCGTCTCCTCAGCCCAATCATATGGCGCCATCCCCACACCCTGTGCAGTCGCCACATGGTCCACACCCAGGACCGCACGTATCATCCTCAATTAACCAACCACCACCAGTCAACGCACCCGGACCCGGACCTGGACCTGGATCTAGCGCTCCTCCTGCTCAGCAGACCCCTCCAGCTCCTGGTGGTGGGCCAACTTCTGCACCTCCGCCTTCTAGCAGCTACCGTCCCCTCAACGTTAGAGATGCACTGTCATATTTAGATCAAGTTAAAGTACAATTTCAGGATCAACCAGATGTATATAATCTTTTCTTGGATATCATGAAGGACTTTAAGAGCCAAAAGTAAGTGTGATGAGCTATCATGTCACGGAAACTAGCTCACCAGGATCATGGTTACAATTTTTTGCCAACTTTGGATGTGAAGAGAAAATGCTCCTACTTCATGTGGCTTTTGAGCTTTTTGCAAAATTAATGGGACCTAAAGAAGAGCAAGTCACTAATCACCACATCTTTTCATGGCTTGTCCTTAAAATAGTATCGATACGCCAGGAGTTATTGAGCGCGTTTCAACGCTGTTCAAAGGCCATCCAACTCTCATCTCTGGTTTCAATACATTTCTTCCTCCAGGCTACCGTATCGAGTGTCTCAGCAATGCAAACGAGGCGAACATGATTAGAGTTACTACACCTTCTGGACATACAACGACGCAGATGGGAGCACCTATAGTAATTTCAGATAGGCTTCCTCCTCCTGCGCCGCAGCATTACAACCAGTCTTCATATCATATGCAGCAGGGAAGTGGATACCAAAACTCAATCCCATCTATTTCACAAATTCAGCTTCCCCCAGTCAATTCTCCTGGGTATATGTCACAGTCCTCGTCGCAAGCTATGGCTCCATCTGGGGCACAAGGCGGCACCAGTAGCAAGAAAACTCCTGTAGAGTTTAACCATGCAATCAACTATGTCCACAAAATCAAGGTACCGACAAGATCATGATCTGTTGACATCGCTTGAGTATCACAGCATCATGAAGAAGGCGCTAACTTTGCCAGATTGTTCTTATTAATATTAGAACCGATTTGTGAATGATCCTGAAACATATAAGCAATTTCTGGAGTTGTTGCAGGCATATCAGAAAGAGATGAAGCCAATCACTGATGTAAGTCTTCACAAAACATATTTGTGCCTAGCAGTATTTGGGGAGATGGTATGGAGGTTCACTATATACTTAATTCTGATACTCTTTCTTAATACTCCAGGTGTACGCCCACGTCACTCAGTTATTTAAGAATGCACCTGATCTACTGGATGAATTTAAGCAGTTTTTGCCAGAGAATGGCAACCCACCCAATCCTGAACTTTTCGATGAAATGATGCCTCAACCCTCGACACCTGCGCCAGCTCCTCGTTCAATGCCAGTCCTCAGTACACTCAGTAATGGCATGGCTGGTATGTTAATGCAAGTCATTTTTATTTTGAAAGGCTTTTGTGATGCATATGGAAGCCTTTTTTTTTTTTTTTTTTTTTTTTTTAAATTTCATCCATTTATTTTTTGATTATTAAAATGCGCCCTTTTTTCTTTTTTCTTTTGTGGTTTATTCCACATCATCTCTGTCGAACAGTCGGTGATTTCCCTAGCCCTTCGCCCAGCGATATGTATGCAAAGAAAGGCAGTCAACCTCCTCCCAATCCCGTTATGCAGGGTGCGGGAAAGAAAAAAAGACCACCCACTGGCACAAACGACCGACCTTTACCCGATGGCGTTGCCGGTTCCAACAAGAAGCGTATTAAGCATAATCATCCTGAGAGCGGCGGTATTTCACCGCCTATCTCAGCCACACAGGCCTCCGTTGTAACCAAGAACCCTGCTAGTGTTGAAGAGCTTGCCTTTTTTGACCGTGTTAAACGATTCTTGGGAAATAAGCAAACTTACAACGAGTTTCTCAAGCTGCTTAATCTCTTTAGTCAAGATATTTTGGATCGCAAGCTGCTGGTCGAAAAGGTGGAAACTTTCCTAGCTCCGAACAAGGATCTTATGGAGTGGTTTAAGGCGTTCGTTGGATGGGATGGCAAAGACGAAGTTATCGAAAATGTCGCAGCGTATCGAGAAAAAGTTGACCTCAACACTTGCCGAAGATATGGCGAGAGCTATCGTCTATTGCCAAAGAGTGTAAGCGAGCGTGTCACATGCTCTTGATGGCTTTTTTTTTTTTTTCTTTTTTTTTGTTTTCCTTTGGCGTTTTCCTTTGGCGTTTTCCTGATATTTATTCGTATTTGATATGAGGTGTTTTTAGGAGACCATGTTGCCTTGCACGGGTCGCGATGAAATGTGCTGGGAGGTATTGAACGATGTCTGGGCCTCTCATCCTAACTGGTCTGGGGAAGGCGAAGGATTCATGCCTCACAAGAAGAATCAGTTCGAGGAGGCTTTGCATAAGTGCGAGGAGGAGCGTTATGAATTTGATATGAACATTGAGGCCAATCTGCATACGATTGCTCTTTTGGAGCCCATTGCCAAGCAAATCCAGAGCATGTCATTAGACGAGCGGGCCCGGTTCAAACTCCCTGAAGGTCTTGGAGGGTCCTCTAAAACTATATATAAGCGTATTATCAAAAAGATTTATGACGATGAGCGCGGTTCCCGTGGCGCTGAAGTTATTGATGCCCTCCATAACAATCCCGCCATTGCGGTGCCTGTCGTTCTCAAACGATTGAAACAGAAGGACGAGGAATGGAAGAAATCGCAGGTAAGACTTTTTGTACATCACAAAGTTATTCAAAAAGGATCCATTCCAGTACAGTTGGTTGACATGGATTGCGACTTTTGATGTCTAGCGCGATTGGAACAAAGTCTGGCGCGAGGTTGATTCTAGAAACTTTTATAAAGCATTGGATCATCAAGGCTTTACGTTCAAGGCGACAGACAAAAAGTATATTACATCCAAGGCTCTTGTCGCAGAAATTGAGGCCCTTCGTCGGGAACAGATTGACAGACGCCTTGTTCCCTCAGTTCGTCCACGCTACCAGTTCCAGTATGATTTCAAAGACCCCTCCCTCTTCCGCGACACCAACAATCTTATCCTATCCTTCCTTGATCGCCAAAATTCATATGTCAACAGTGATAGAGAGAAGATGGAGAGTTTTATCAAGGAATTTGTACCTCAGTTTTTCTGCTTGGATAGTCAATTCATGAATGAAGTCGATGTTATAATGGGAGGAGGAGGAGATGATGAATCAACCTCAATAGATAAAGATCGACATGTGTCGAAACAGGGAGATGCACAGGTGAAAGTGGAGCCTAAGGATGATTCCATTGCCGTTACTGGTCCTAGAGTACCAGTATCGGCTGATAAAGACCAGGCACGCACTTCGTCTCCCAATACCAACAACACGTGGATCCAAGTTGGGAACTATGATGTCAAGCCTACCAGCTTGGGAACTAACCCTGCCTCCGATGAAACGAAGCGTATGGCGCATAACTTTTTCGGTAACCAGTACTATTACTGCTTCTTCCGCCTATATCAGCTTGTGTATATTCGACTGGAGACTATTAAACTTGCGGCTTCTGAATTGAGCAAAACTGCTTCGGAGCGCAAGATGATCAATCCTGCAGCTATTGATCTTGGCTTGCAGGATCCTGAGACTGCCGAGCCGGATATGGGTGAATCTGGCGATAGCTACATCAAACTCCTAGGATTGATCCATAAGGTCTTTGATGGAGAGCTGGAGCAAATAGCATTCGAAGAGCAGGCTCGTCATATCTTTGCGACCAAAGCCTATATTGTGTTTACACTGGACAAGGTCATTGCAGCTTTGCTCAAGAATGTAAGTGGGAGCAAGTTATGAACGAGTTTTCATTGGGTGATGTATCTTATCGCAGTGTCAAATATTGATTCAGTGTATCTTCAAAAATAATTAATTTTCTAGGTTCACGTAATTGTAACTGATCAACGATGCAATGAACTTATCGCTATGTTCGTCAAGGATCGTCAGCATGAAAAGAACAGTAGGAGGCAGCAAATCATATATCGCATGCAAGCAGATGCAGTTGTTGGCGATGAGAATCTTTACAAGATTGAATACGTACGTTTTCATCCCTACCTAACAAATAATTATCCATTTGAGCATTATTTTAACACATTTCCCCTTATTTGGATCGATCGTTTAACTAGGCCAAGGATGAACTGTCAATGACCATTCAGTTACTAAGCAAGAATGATTATACGTTGGACACTGCGATTTCATCGGAGGAGAAATGGGGATACTATATTGATAGCTATGTGCTGCTGACACCAACAGAAGGTGTGCTCCCATCCAGTTTCCCAACGTTCTTGAAAAGAAATCTACCCTCCAACATCCCGGAAGAACCACAACAGGATATCGTCACCCACAGTGGGTTGGAAGTAAAGATTTGTATAAATACATACAAGATTTTCTTTGTAAACACGACCGAAGATTTTTTCCAGCGCAAAGGCCGTAAAGTGAGCATGGAAAAATTGGCCAAGAACAGGGCACAGCGATCACAGAAGATGCAAACTTGGCTGAAATCCACCCTTGAGGAGCATGGCTCAGATGAGACTGAACTGACATCTGCGTTCCAAAAGTGGGCTGTCGAGGGACCAGAAGATGTTAAGCAGGGAGTGGTGACAAATGTCAAAACAATACCAGCAACAGAGCATAACCCAGAGAGGAAGGTTTATATTACGACCATGCCTAAGGATCCTACGACTGAGGATAAGGATGTGACGATGGTCAGTGTAGAAGATTCATAGCGACAGTGCATGTTGCATATTCCACATGCTTTGTAGAATTGTATCCCGCCTATGCTAGTTCCTGTTATCGTCGATCGATAATACGAGAATGATTGATTGCTTTACATATAGTATTTTTTTTAATACATTTTGCTGTATGCACGTAACTATGCATCCCGAACTTTTGCCTAAGATGTTTGCTCTTGGTTGCCTCTGTGATTACCTCCACTGGAGAGGTTCCAATCTTTATTAGTGTAAAAGCAGGGTAACATGTCGACTCTAAGCCTAAGCACTCCAGAGACAAAATTGTTAAAGAATAGACGTGATTGCTTGCTTTGCGTGTACATATTGAGCTCTCATTGGCTAGGAAACTAATATTACTACATAGTGATAAAAAAAAAAAATCATAACAATGCTTCTTCGCCAATTCTTGTTCATAACACGCAAGCATCCATCATTCAGCCTCAGTTCAGCTTGTCCTCTCCATCTCACCTCTCATCGCTTTGCTCTTGTCTACTCCCCCCAGTTCATTACTTCGAGGATACATAACAGAAATATGACTTCGCTTAGTGAGCGACAACAGGAGGCCGCTACCATGCCTACCTATGCAGATTACCGAAAGCTTATTCCCCCACTCACTGCGAACCTTCACAAAGGCCAGGGAGGTAGGAGAACATTCACACTGCAGAGTATATTGACATGAGTGCAATAATGTAATAAATATATGCTATATCTTGACAAAATTCTTATTTTTCTTACACAGGACGTATTGGGATCATTGGAGGATCAGCCGAGTATGCGACAAAGAAACTTATTTTATTTTATTTTTTTGATATTTTGAGCTGAATATTAATGAAATTTGCTACAATTGATGGTCACTTCTCGTCTGACTAGCTACACTGGAGCTCCATACTTTAGTGGCATGGCTGCTTTAAGGCTTGTAAGTCCAAGATAGGCTCATTGAGAGGATATAAAGAGATTTATCACTTAACTAAAATGAGCAACCATTTATTCATTACTCTTTTTAGGGAGCTGACCTCTGTCATATCATTTGTGATGAGGATGCGGCTACAGCAATCAAATCATACACTCCTGATTTTATTGTCCATCCGTACATCAAAATCCGAGCCACATCTGATCTTGCTGGCATGGATGAAAAAAAGATTAGAGACATTTGGGCGCAAACGTTTGATGATATTGGCACACTCTTGAAGCGACTACATGTGTTGGTCGTTGGACCAGGTCTTTCGCGTGATAAGAAGATGCTTCAGTGCGCAAAACATGCCATCGAGAAGGCTAAAGAACTTGATATGCCAATTGTCATTGATGCAGTAAGTGTCTTAAAAAGAAGAGAAGAGAAAAGATTAATCATACATATTAGTATATTAATGTCGCGATCATTTGTGACAATAATTTTTTAGGATGGCCTCTTCCTAGTCCAGAATGAACCAGACTTAGTGCAAGGGTACACCAAGGCAGTGCTGACGCCTAATATTGTTGAATTTGGTCGTCTTTGTAGCGCTAAGGTAGTTGCAGTTATAAATAATAGCGGGTGTTGTGTAGCTGGTAGGTATCTAGAGTAAGGTGCTGATTTAAAGTGTCTATTACATAGGACATCGATGCCGAAGATCAGGACTTGCAAGAGCCAGCGGTCCTGAAGCTTTCAAAGGCGTTTGGTGGGGTTATCATTATTCAAAAGGGATCAGTAGACGCGATATCTGACGGCAAATCAGGTAGGCACGTATAGATATACTGGTGTGTAATTGCCCCGACGTTTTGTGTTGATTTTAATAAATTCATTGCAAACCATCAACTGTTCTAGTCCATGCGGTTTCAAACGAAGGTGGACTGAAGCGCTCTGGAGGGCAAGGCGATATTCTGACGGGCCTTTTGGCTACATCCTTAGGCTGGGCTCTTACTTATTCAAAAGATTCCACTAATCAAACACATCCAGCAGCCTCTGCAGAGAAAGCAGCCATGACTGCATGTTTTGGAGCCTGCGTGATCAATCGTGAGTGCTCGCGCCTAGCATACCAGAAACATAAGCGTTCCGTTCAATCATCGGATGTCATTAAAGAGATTGGTCCATTCTTTATTACGTTCTATGACAAGGCGCGACCGAATGCTCAATGGGGCGAGGCAATTTATGGATGAGTTATGAATCAAAGCCACAGACTGCTTTTCTTAATTGGAACGAAAATAGCTCGACTTATGATAGTTCCACTATATTCTCAATATTAAAACAGAGTCTTTGACACATTGATCGTCCTCCGTCATGATGTTGCGATGCGTGAGGGCAACAGTTGCCAATGTTCCTAGGTCATCATCTTTGCTGGGCAAATCCTTGCGATCCACGGTCGTATCGGCTTCCCGAGCACGAATTCATTCATTACATGCAACACGCGCTACTAATGCAGCAGCTCAAGCTGACAGTAAAAGTGATAATCTACCCGACGATACCGACACACCGCTATCCAAAGATATTCACGTAGCTGCGAGTACGGACTACAATACCAACCATAAATCATTTGAGCAACAGAAGACCCGTCTGATGACTTCAATGGATATGCTCTATCAAGTTCAGGATGCTCCTTCTGAGAAATTAGATGCCATGCCCTTTGACGACCAGGAAGCACAATACTGGGCGCGTCGTATGCATGCAGCCATGGAGGACCTCGAACAGGGAGTCACGCGTCTTCGCATTGCTGGTAATCAAATGATCTACTAACGTCAAGTTCCAACGGGAAATGTTTTTCTATCCAGTTGCTATGTGAGTACTGAAAAGCCAACTTCCCCATCTTGCTTCTTGGTTTTAGTTGTCGGTGAATCCAGTGGGCAGGAGTCGATCATAGATCTACTACTTCCGAGTGAACAGGGCATTCGGCGATCAGCCAAGGAGACAGGAAAAATTCATCGTATTCGCTACGGTACAAAATATCAGCTCATTGAGGATGGATCAGAAAACGTGGAACTGGCTCCTATTAGTTGGCTCGAGGGTTTAACCGACAGGGATGGAAGCGAAATTGTTGAGGTCCCAGGTAAGAAGATGAAGTGGATAGACAAAGTCAAGAGATTAGCTTCCTGTCACGCAAACTGCAGCAGAATTTAAATATGACCTTTTTTCTCCCCCTCGATCACGCCATAGGCCTGGATTTGGATGGCTTGATGATGGACGATATTGTATTCAGTAGCGACTTGATCTTACTTAGGACGGATGCCCAACGTCAACTTTCTTTGGAGCGTGAACAGCACTTTTTGAATCGGTATCGTCACAAATCACAGATCCTCATCGTTGCCGACATGAACTTGCTGGACACTTCTTCAGAAGCTTTAACGTTATCGAACATCAAAGCGAACCTTGCACACGCGGTGAAATCAACTGTCGGCGGATATAGCAATATTCAACATTATAATCATCAGACAACTACTGTCGCTAAGATCTTACGTATCTCCAATCCAGATCCTATTCCCCCTATCGTTGAGTTGATCCCTCGTACACAGTCCGAAAACCGCTACCTGGAGGCTGTTGGTACGCTTCAAAGGGTTGTAGCAGAAACGTTGCTTGTGGAAGGGGCTGAACTTCAGAGCGATCACCACCGACGTGCGGCTCTTTTGACAAGGTGCCGCGACCTTGTTGTTGCAGGTGTTGAGAATATGGAAAACCGACTCCAGAGGCGTTTAGAAACTTTTTCTAAAGTAGACAAGCTCTCAGAATTAGCTACACAGGAGATCAAGCGAATCGAGTCTGCAGAGCAAGAGAGGATGATGGCGCAAGTCACGGGTGGCGAGATTGATAAAGATGTGGGGCAGATGAGGCGCGTATTGGACCAATTTTTTAAATCTGAAGTGCCCTTTTGGATGTTGTTTGCAAGGAGTGGAGAGATTGCAGAACGAATGCATGAGTTATGGACTGTTGGTGCTTTTGCAGAAACGGAGCATCGCGTAAGGAGACTTTTTTTTTATTTAAAAAAAAAAAAAAAAAAAAAAAAAAAAATCAAGAAGAGGCATTCTTCATTTCAACATGTGCTAAACCTTATAATAGTATGCAGAGTAACTGATTTTTTTTTTTTTTTTTTTTTTTTTTTTTTTGAAAAAAAAATACCAGATGGCATATGCTTTGGGACGTCTGCACCAGAGTTCACAGGAGGCTTTCAGAACAATCTTCCAGGAAATTGAGACACTTGAAATCAAACTAGAACATACTCGACCTATTGGTAGCACAGCAGTTTTACATGATCTAGCCAATGTGCGTCAATTGTTAAATCACGCACAGAATGATACTCAGCAGGAAATCAAGGACAAGGATGCGTTCGTGGTCAGTAATATTGTCTGGAAACATCGAAATGCATACGGTACTGTGGAGAGATCTCTCAAAGCTGGTCGCCCTGGCGCATTGGAGCGTCTTCAGATGCGAGGACAGATTGCGTTAGCGCAAGGTTTGGGACTACAAGGCACCGCGCTGTTTGCTGGGTTAGGACTGGCACAACAATATCCACCCGAGGTTTATTTGACTAGTGGGACATTATTAGCATTAGCAGGACTAGGATATATGCAAGTTAGGTGGAAAGCAGCCGAGAGGGAGTTCAAAGCGGAAGCGGAAGCATTAGCAGAAAAGCTGAAGCATGATATTGTGGTATGTAAAATTACTATGGGATTTCCGCGGAAATGCATATTCATCTCTTACTGCTATTAATATTTGACTTTTTTTTTTTTTTTTTTTTTTTTTTTTCAAAACCTGATGTCGTGAATGTATTGTTTGTAGGAAACATACAATGACCAAGTGAACAAAACAATTGTTAATCCATTGACAGGTGTTGTTCAGCAACTGGACAAGAGCTTGAGTGAGCGCCTTTTAAGGTCATTAGAGCAGCGCAAGGTCTTGACAAGGATCAAGCGTGACGCTCAAGGCGAAGATGAGATCAAATTCTAGTTCTTTCATCATTATTCATCTGTTTTGGCATAAACTATCTTAAACTGTTATCTATAGATACTTTTTTTTTTCTTTCCTTTTACTTCCTATGCTATTGTGGATGTGAATAGATTTTAAAATGCTGTCAAGAGGAAAGGAGCAATAATCTGTACTGCATGCTACGCTTTCGATCATCTGTATATATAATTCATCAAATTTGTTATTCTATACACCACATGGCGTAGACAATTACACAAAAATGAGTTCACAGATTTAATTTTAAAGTAAAATAAACTATACAAATATAAAATCGATAATCTAGCGTTTGTCGTGTGGAGTATTTAAGAAAGAAGAAACGTGTCGAGTCCCAAGGAGAGGATCACAAACCAGATAACTTTGATAGTGTATGATCATGGTAGTTTGATAATGTTATCCTTTTCCATGCGGATCCCTTGTGCAACCATGATAAAAGAAATCGATCAACAAAAAGACTCATGACCTTGCCCTTAAAAAAAACCATCCATTCCGGGGTTCAAACGATATTGCTCACTGCGCTCTGGTAATCTTCAGTTTAGTAGTCCTGAATATATGAATCTAAATATATCAAGATAAGAATGAGTGTTGTTGTGATCGCATGGAGTATAAGGTTGAAGAAGAAGCAAACCTTTACCCTATTCAGCAGGGTCTCCCTTGGACATGAACAGATTGATAACAGAAAATCAAAGCCTGCTGCTATGAATCAGTTTCTACAGACTGTCCACCAATCCCGTACGAATATCAGCGATTCAGATTCAGAAAGAAACATTATATTTTTATATTCTTTCCGTGTTTAAATATTCATTCTGCCACATAAATGAATCAATAGTTTGTTGCTTGTTGTCGAAAGAGTACAGAGTATAGAATACAAATGTATATTCATCCGCTTATCAGTTTCACATCGCATCACTTTTTTTTTTTTTTTTTTTTGTTTGGATTCATAAGTAGGTATATATATATTCATAACTGCCAAATTGTCTTTGTAGAAATGTAGCATCGAAAGTAATGGTTGTTTGTATCAAGATAAGGACTTGCATGCCACACAGACAATACGCCACATGACAATAGATTTCCGAGAGGGATGGTAAAACTCGGCGGTATGTAAAAAAGCTTATCATGACAAACGAGATGATGCAGGAGGAAGAAACAAGCAAGATGAACTTCGTTTACATAAGAGATATTGTGCAAATGTATAGTATATAAATATATATATCTGTCAGGACTTCCATAACGCTGTAATCCCTGTATAGACCCGCCGAATGAAGCAAGTAAACACATAAAAGTTATACATCCCACTTTCTTTCTCGGCAGATCAAGGGAATTTAAGGCTACACCTTCGGAGGAAAAATATTAAAATGAGAGGGGAAATGTTTATCTTATTGAGGATTCTATCTGTCGTGAGACCCATCCTTGCTTTCACCCGCAATTGTCCAAGTTTTACTTTTTGTTGCACAAAACATAAACAAAGCTTTCAGGACACAGCACTAGGCTGCCCACATTAATTTGCTTCGGGTTACAACCAACTGTCCATAGCTTCGTCTCCACATCCATTCCTAGATATATTTAACCTTGATATGTAAAGAAAAGGGGCCAAAAGCAAAAAGGTTGTCCAGCTCGTTTGCTTCATTAGGTAAAGGATGAAAGCTCTCCTAGTTCCGATTATTTATCGTCTGTATCGCATGAATCGGAGCAAGGCATGGCCCAACTCCACTCATAGGTACTCTCTACTAGGGGGACTATATCCCATATTGCATTGTGTTTGACCATAGTGCGAAAGGTCTGTTCGCATACAAGCACATATGGGCTCAATGGTATCCAGCTTTGCAAAAAGATTTAGGAGTTCTTATTTCATGTTGCCATATATCGTACACCACAATATTGAACTACATTGAAGCATTTACACGATTATTGTGAAGAATGTTCATTGGTTAAAACCAAGAAACATGGTTGCAAAGAGAATATCTTTTGATGTTGTGGAGAGGTTTTTATTATGATTCTGATTAATCTTTTATGACATATTCTATGCCTTACAATGCAGTGCTCAGGGCAGTAATCTCTCTAGTGTAGATCTGAGAGGAAAGAGGAAGAGAAAAGGGATCAACAGGCAGTGGCGATGTGAATGTATGGAAAATTGGAGGCTTTTTTTCTTTTCTTTTTTTTGCACTACACGCATGCATGAAGCATGACACTTCGTTAGTTCCGATATCTTCCCGATAGATGGCTGGAAGTGTCTGCACTAACTATAAATTTTAAGCACACGTTATCAGTTAAGGAACATGCGACTGTCTCAATTTTTTTTTATCTTTGGTCTTACCAGAAAACAAAAGTCACGGGCGATCAAAAACCCATGGAGCTTTGCACTAATCAACACTAATCAAATGTAGTCTGTTTCGTACCCTCTCGGAATCTGATCAACCACACACCAGAAAAGAATCAGAATTATTGTGGAGAGAGGTGTATACTTTTTTTACGGGCAAAAAAACGTATTGTAGCTTGTATAAAAATACCATGCGCGAACTTTTTCTGAACTAATGCATGATGAAGTCGCATAGGAGGTCTACATGCTGTGCCTGTTAGTCGTTTCAAGCGAAGGGAAGAAAGTAGTATTATCACTCTAAATGAAATTAGCATGTAAAAAGGATATATGATAGGGGTCCTGCTCAGTGTTGATTTCTGTGCTCCCTTCATAGTGACAACGCATCTTTTTTTTTTTTTTTTTTTTTTTTGCATGTATGCTTATACAAAATTTCAAGTGGGTTCTAGGTGTTGAGTCTATTGATTAACTTTGTGTATACAAAAATGTATGCACATCAAAGTGGCCGTGTGAGCCATGACATGACCTGCCGGAAAGTTTATTCACCACACGCAAATACTTTGTGATTCCATATGAAAGCCTATAGTAACTTTGATTTCCTCAATAGACACTGCTCAAACTTTTTTTTAAATGTCCTTATTTAATCAATTCAATAAAGCATGAGTCTTATTTGAAGTCAAGAAAAATTGCGGAACAAATGACAAGACGGATGATTCCTTTTGTCCCTTGTGCATATCTCGGCTTTAGCTTGCCTTAAAGCGAAGCTCTATGGACAACTAGCGATCTCCATTAACTCGTTGAACCGGGAGCAGATGAGAGTACATGTCATTGTTGCTATTGTCACTACTGTAGTGAACGAAAGGAAAAAAAAAAAAAAAAGCGCAGGAATTTTTTTTTTTTTTTTTTGTTTTTTTGGTTCTTCTGCAACATGACAATCAAGATAATCAACAGACTCATCCTGCGGATTTGTGTCCAATCTCGGAATCTATATAAACCCTCTACCCTGTCTCGGATTTTTTTTCCTTTTTTTTTTTTTTTTTTTTTCTTTCATTCTTGCTTTCTGCTCTCTGCTTGCTCCCCCCCACTCTCCTTCCTTCTCATCGCACTCCCCCCACTCTTGCTTTTGTTCATATTTCATCTATTTTTTTTGTCTTTGTTCTTTGTCCTTGTACAAAACACCTTTCCATTCCTGTACCTTTGTACACAATCTCCACCTACATATCCCATTTCGAAATCCTAAAGAGACTGCTCACCTCTTTTTGCATATTCAATTCGGATCTTAATCATTTTTATTTTCTCTTTGTCGTTTTCTATCCATACCTTGTAATTCCTACCTTTGTATAACTTTTCAACCACTTCCTGTAACATTGCTGTATCGCTTTTCATTTTTTCTTGCTTGCCTATAATCCTTCGTCACTACAAACTTTTATTTTAGTATCTTTTACAGATCACTTCTCGTATTGAAATGGAGGCTTTCATGAACAAAAACAACGTCGAGAGCAACAACTCGTGGGCCGGTGCTCTCCCTATCGCTCAGGGTCTTTACAACCCCGAGAATGAGAAGGATTCTTGTGGTGTTGGTTTCATTGCCAACATTAAGGGAGAGCTTTCTCACCGCATCCTCAAAGATGCTTCTTCCATTCTTTGCAACATGGTACGTCTTTAAAATTCAAACTCCTACTATATCCTCCCATACAACTGATCAACGATCTCCGTTATTCTGAACTGACAATGCTTCATTTTATACTGTCCTCTTTTTAGACTCATCGTGGTGCCACCAGCGCTGATCCTCGCGATGGTGATGGTGCCGGAGTCATGACAGGTATGCCCCATACCTTTATGGTCGAGGAAGCCACTCGTCTCAATATCACTCTTCCTGCTCAGGGTGAATACGCAGTCGGAAACGTATTCCTTCGTCCAGATGAACCCCATGTCCATGAACAAAAATCGACCTTCGAGTCGATTGCTCAACAAAATGGACTCAAGGTTTTGGGATGGCGTCTTGTTCCCGTTGACAACTCGATCTTGGGACCTGCTGCCAAGTCCAGGGAACCCTCGATCCAGCAGCCTTTCGTGATCTTAGATCCTGCTGTCTATAACAAGTTCGACAACAAGCGCTTCCAGCGTCAACTATATCTCTTGCGAAAGCAGGCCACTCATGCGATCACACTCAAGAACTGGTTTTACATTTGCTCGCTCTCAAACCAAAACATCGTCTATAAAGGCCAACTCTCGCCCGTCCAGGTGTACGACTTTTTCTATGATCTCCAGAACCACAAGTTCCTTACTCATTTCGCTCTCGTTCACTCTCGTTTCTCGACCAATACCTTCCCTTCTTGGGATCGTGCCCAGCCCATGAGATGGGCTGCTCACAATGGTAAGATCATTAAGGCAAAGTTGATAGTTATCTGTGTGTGAGGAAGAGAAGGTGTCAAGACGAAGATATGTAGACACGAATATGGACTTTGGTGACAGAGGAATCCGGTACAATCAACCTTCACTGCTCCCCAATTCGTTAGTGATTATTGCTTTCGATTTATTTCTGTTTATAAGATCCTCCCGTTAGTCAGTCCTTGTGAAGATTTCTTTTTTTTTTTTTTTTTTTTTTTTCCTTTGCAAGCTAGCCCACGCGCCAATCAAGCACACTAAGGTTGTACATCCTTTTGTGTGCTTGTGGATTGTTTACACTATCAGTGAGACGCATGCGGGGAACATTGTACATGTATACAAAAGTTGAGGGTGACTTTTTGTATTAAGGTTCAATTCAATAATTCTCCTAAATTTTGGCCAATCAGAGCTACGCATCTTATCTGAACGCACAGGTGGCGCTGTTCCCGATGCATATGCGGGCTTGCACTCCCATGTGACACTCATGCACTCTTGATCAACCTATGATATCACACCAATTTTTTTGATTTCAGATCTAACTATTTAAAAATTTCCTTATTATATATATTCATCATGTGATCATATAGGTGAGATCAACACTTTACGTGGTAACAAGAATTGGATGCGTGCCCGTGAAGGTGTTATGCACTCTGATTACTTTGGCTCTGATTTGCAGAAGCTCTTCCCTATTATTGAGGAGGGCGGTTCAGATTCCTCGGCCTTCGATAACGTCCTTGAGTTGCTCGTTGTCAATGGTGTGCTCTCCTTACCCGAAGCTATCATGATGATGCTTCCCGAGGCTTGGCAATCTAACACCAACATGGAGCCTGAGAAGAAGGCCTGGTATGAGTGGGCTGCCTGTCTCATGGAGGCGTATGACGGCCCTGCTTTGATGACCTTCTCTGATGGACGCTACTGTGGTGCTTCTCTTGACAGAAATGGTCTCCGTCCTTGCCGCTTCTACAAGACCACTGATGGCTTGATGATTTGTGCGTCTGAGGTTGGAACTCTGAACATTGCTCCAGAGCGCATTCTCGAGAAGGGTCGTCTCCAGCCTGGAAAGATGCTGTTGGTCGATACACTTGAGGGACGTGTTGTCGATGATCGTGAGCTTAAGTTATCGATTGCTGCTCGACAAAACTTCCGCCAATGGGTTGATGAGCAGATGTTGTCGATGACAGACGCTGTTGCCAACGCCCCTAAGTTCGACCTTATGTCCTCGATCGATGATGTCCCTCTTACTCAGGATCCTCGTCTTCCTGCTTTTAAGCTTACTATTGAGCAGCTCAACCTCTTACTTATGCCTATGACTACCGATGGAAAGGAGGCTTTGGGATCCATGGGTAACGATGCTCCCTTAGCTTGTCTTGCAACCGAGCCTCAAATTATTTTTGATTATTTCCGCCAACTTTTCGCTCAGGTTACCAATCCTCCCATTGATCCCATCCGTGAGGAAATTGTCATGTCTCTTGAGTGCTATGTTGGCCCCGAAGGTAACATCTTGGAAATGGATCAGAGCCAATGCCACAAATTGAAATTGCCCACTCCCATCCTCTCACTCAATGAGATGGAGGCTATTAAGAACTTTGACATCACTCGTGCGGACTGGAAGACTCGTGTAATCGATATCACATTCCCCAAGTCTGACGGCCCAGCCGGATATGTCCCTTGCTTGGAGCGTATCTGTGAACAAGTCTCTGCTGCCATTGAGGATGGTGTCAAGATCGTGGTTCTCTCTGATCGTGGTGTCTCCGCTGAGCGTGTTGCTTTGTCTTCGCTGATCGCTACCGGTGGTGTCCATCACTACCTCGTCCGTGAAAAGAAACGCTCCCGTGTTGCCATTGGTGTCGAGACTGCTGAAGCTCGTGAAGTCCATCATGCCTGCGTTCTCCTTGGTTATGGTGCCGATATGAGTAAGTTTATAATGATTTTAGAATGACCATCGGATGACATTGGGACGGACTGTATTTTGTTTATTAATCTCATTGATTGGCTGACTGGTCTGCCTCTTTAACTTTATTAACACTTCTCAATAGTCTGCCCTTACCTTGCTCAGGAAGCTATTCTCAAACTTTATCGCGAGAACTCATTGCGCTCGGATGCAGGTCCAGAGAAGTTGCTCAAGAACTATATCAAGGCCACTAGCAACGGTATTCTAAAGGTCATGTCCAAGATGGGCATCTCTACCCTGCAGTCTTACAAGGGCGCTCAGATTTTTGAGGCTCTTGGATTGGATGAGCCTGTCATTGCCCGTTCTTTCGCTGGTACTGCTTCCAGAATCAAGGGTGTTGGTTTCGACTTGCTCGCTTTGGATGCTTTTGCACTTCATGAACGTGCCTGGCCTTCTCGTGATACAATCACTGTCGAGGGCATTCCCGAATCTGGTGAATACCACTGGCGTAACGGCGCTATTCCTCACATCAACGATCCTCATGGAATTGCCAATCTTCAGGATGCTGTCCGTCGCAAGAATGACTCTGCCTATGAGGCCTACTCTCAGAACGCATTTGAGCAGATCAAGAACTGTACCCTTCGTGGTATGCTCGAGTTCGACTTTAACAAGCGCAAACCCATCCCTATTGATGAGGTCGAGCCTTGGACCGAGATTTGCAAGCGTTTCTGCACTGGTGCAATGAGTTACGGTTCCATCTCAATGGAGGCTCATTCAACCCTATCGATTGCCATGAATCGCATTGGAGGCAAGTCCAACTCTGGAGAGGGAGGAGAGGATCCTGCTCGTTCCAACCCACGTGAGAATGGCGACTCGCTTCGTTCCGCTATCAAGCAGATTGCCTCTGGTCGCTTCGGTGTGACTTCGTACTACTTGGCCGATGCTGATGAAATTCAGATCAAAATGGCTCAAGGAGCTAAGCCTGGAGAGGGTGGTGAATTGCCGTAAGTTTTTTTTACATTTCTAAATGTTCTACCATGTGAAAGTAGTCATGCCTTTGTAACTAAGCCCCTCTTTTTTTTTTTTTTTTTTTTTTTTTAATGTAATGTAGGGGCCACAAGGTTTCGGACGAGATTGGCAAGACACGCCATTCCACCCCAGGTGTGGGTCTTATTTCTCCTCCTCCTCATCACGACATTTACTCAATCGAAGATTTGAAACAACTTATCTATGATGCCAAGGCCGCTAACCCTCGCGCTCGTATCTCTGTCAAACTCGTCTCCGAGGTCGGCGTCGGTGTCATTGCTAGCGGTGTCGCCAAGGCCAAGGCTGACCACATCCTCATTTCTGGTCATGATGGTGGCACGGGTGCCTCTCGATGGACTGGTATCAAGTATGCCGGTCTTCCATGGGAGCTCGGTTTGGCTGAAAGTCACCAGACCTTGGTCCTTAATGACCTTCGTGGACGCGTTGTTGTCCAGACAGATGGTCAGATCCGCACTGGTCGTGATGTTGCCATTGCCTGCTTGCTCGGCGCTGAGGAGTGGGGTTTCGCCACTACACCCTTGATTGCTCTCGGATGCACCATGATGCGCAAATGTCACTTGAATACCTGCCCTGTTGGCGTTGCCACTCAAGATCCTTACCTTCGTGAGAAGTTTGCTGGCTCGCCTGAGCATGTGATCAATTTCTTCTACTACGTTGCAGAGGAGTTGCGTACTATCATGGCCAAGCTCGGTTTCCGCACCATCAACGAGATGGTTGGTCGTACTGATGTTCTCTGTGTAGATGAGAGTCGTCGCAATGCCAAGAATGCCAACATTGATTTGACTCCCATTTTGACCCCTGCATTCACCCTTCGCCCTGGTGCCGCCACTTATAAGGTTCGCAAGCAAGAGCATATGCATCATACTCGCCTTGACAACAAATTCATCAGTGAGGCCCAAGATGCTTTGAACACTGGCAAGCGTGTGGAGTTGGATGGCAAGGTTGTGAACACAGATCGTGCCTTGGGAACCACCATTTCGTACCATGTCAGCAACAAATATGGCGAGAGTGGCCTTCCTGACGACACTATTCACATCAGCTTGAAGGGCTCTGCTGGTCAGTCACTTGGTGCTTGGTTGGCTCCTGGTGTTACTATTGAATTGGAAGGTGATTCAAACGATTACGTCGGTAAGGGTCTCTCTGGTGGTCGCCTTATCATTTACCCTCCAAAGAACTCGAGCTTCAAGAGCGAGGACAACGTCATTATTGGTAACACTTGCTTGTATGGTGCTACTAGCGGAAAAGCCTTCTTCAGCGGTATTGCTGCAGAGCGTTTTGCCGTCCGTAACTCGGGTGCCACTGCCGTTGTCGAAGGAACTGGTGACCATGGATGTGAGTACATGACAGGAGGCCGTGTTATTGTTCTTGGTTCCACTGGACGCAACTTTGCCGCCGGTATGTCTGGTGGTATCGCCTACGTTCTTGATCTGAAGGGTGACTTCAAGTCCAAGGTCAATATGGAGATGGTTGCATTCGAGACTGTGAATGACACTGAGGAAATTGCTTGGTTCAAGGACACACTTGAAGATCATCGTCACTACACCGGCTCTGCCATTGCTGATCGTATCCTCAAGAATTTGGGTGAGTACCTGCCTAAGATCGTCAAGGTCATGCCTACGGACTACAAGAAGGTCTTGGAAGCTCAACGTGCTGCCAAATTGGCTGCAGCTGCTCCTAAACCCGATATTATTACACCCGTCTTGACTGCTTCCCCCCTGGCTGCCAAGCCCAAGCCTAATGAGCCTGCTCTTGTCGACCTTGAAGATTCAATGGTTGATGCTGAGACCTATAAGAAGCGTAGTGAGATGGTGGACAAGGTTCGTGGTTTCATGAAGTATAAGAGACGTGGCGATGCCTACCGTAACCCCAAGAAGCGCACCAAGGACTACAAGGAGATTTCTGCTCGCTTGTCTGACGGTGAGCTTCAAGTCCAGGCTGCTCGCTGCATGGATTGCGGTGTCCCCTTCTGCCAGAGCAATACCACTGGATGTCCTATCGGAAACATCATCCCTAAGTGGAATGACTTGGTCTTCAAGGATCAGTGGGAGGAAGCCCTCAACCGTTTGTTGATGACCAACAACTTCCCAGAGTTCACTGGTCGCGTCTGCCCTGCTCCTTGCGAGGGATCTTGCGTTCTTGGAATTAATGAGCTCCCTGTTGCCATCAAATCAATTGAGTGTGCCATTATTGATCGTGGTTTTGAGATGGGCTGGATGAAACCTCGTCCTCCTACCCACCGTACGGGCAGGAAGGTCGCTATTATTGGTTCTGGCCCTGCTGGTCTTGCTGCTGCTGATCAATTGAACAAGGCTGGTCACACGGTCACTGTCTACGACCGCAACGACCGTTTCGGTGGTCTCCTCATGTATGGTATCCCTAACATGAAGTTGGACAAGGGTATTGTCCAGCGTCGTATCGATCTTATGGCTGCTGAGGGCATTAGCTTTGTTCCCAATGCTCACGTTGGAGTCACCCATGACGTTAACGAGATTCGCAAGCAAAGTGATGCCTTGATCTTGGCTACTGGCGCTACCTGGCCCCGTGACTTGCCCATCGCTAACCGCAATCTGGATGGTATCCACTTTGCCATGGAGTTCTTACAGCTCAATACTCAGTCACTCTTGGACTCTGAATTGAATGATGGCAAGTATATCTCTGCTAAAGGCAAGCATGTCGTCGTCATTGGAGGAGGAGATACTGGATGCGACTGCATTGCCACCTCGCTCCGCCATGGTGCTGCTTCGATCGTCAACTTTGAGTTGCTGCCTCAGCCCCCAGCTACCCGTGCCAAGGACAACCCATGGCCTCAATTCCCTCGTGTCTTCAAGCAAGACTATGGTCATTCTGAGGTTCAATCACACTTTGGAAAGGATCCCCGTGAATACTCGATTGTCACCAAGGAGTTTGTCTCTGATGGAAATGGTAAGGTCAAGGGTCTCAACACCATCCGTGTTGAATGGACTCAGGATGCTTCAGGTCGCTGGTCCATGAAGGAGATGGCTGGTACTGAGCAGTATTTCCAAGCCGATCTTGTCTTGCTCTCCATGGGCTTCTTGGGACCCGAGGCAGAACTTCTCAAGGCAGTTGGTTGCAAGCTTGATGGTCGCACAAACATCGAAACTCCTAAGGACAGCTATAGAACCAGCGTCAGCAATGTCTTTGCAGCTGGTGATGCCCGCCGAGGACAGTCTTTGATTGTTTGGGGTATCAACGAGGGTCGTCAGTGCGCTCGTGAGGTGGATGAATTCTTGGTTGGCAATACTCTGTTGCCTGTCACTGGAGGTATTCAACAGCGCAGTTTGAAGTCTTTGACAATGGAGGCATACCAGAATACTACCACTCCTGTTGCTGCTTCATAAAGGATCATTGCATCATCAAACAACACCAACCAGTAATCACAAAAAAGAAAAAAAGAAAATCGGGAGTCGTATCAAAAGCAGGTCCAGGAAGAAAAAAAGGAAAAAAAAAAAGTATGCAAGTGTTGCTCACTTATCGCAACATCAGACAACCATTGAGCCGGTTAGTTTGATGTCAGCATGATCAAGCTAATACCAATACCAATATAGAGCCTTACAGTTCCTGTATCCGTTTGTTATATTTTATAGAAAGCTTTGTAACATAGTCCAAATAAAAAATAAAAAAAATAAAAAAATTACAAAAATACAAAAAAATTCTTTTCAAATGAATGAAGATAAGGTGGGACGAAACCATTGAAAAATTTAAAGTCTTTTGACAATTAAAGTCATATTATTATTGTATATTTTTCTTTAAGAACAACCTAATATGAAATGGCAAGAGCAGAAGCGACCATAGAGGATGTAGTAGCAGCATCTTGATGGGTTTGAGTTGCAGAGAGACTGGCTGTAGACCAGTCAGGCACTGTTCCATTAAAGTTTTCGCGCAAGATTTCAGGTCCCGAGACCTTGAGCGATCCAACTAAAGAGCCCCCGATCCATGAGCGACAATTGGGCATGAAGACTTTGCCACTACTCTGATACGGCTTCTTTTCTTTTGAACCGGATTTTTTCTCTCTGTCACGAGTACCAGGGATGGCTGAACCCGGTCCGAAACCTGATCCTTCGTCCTGATCCAACATTGAATGACTCCGACTAAGACTGGGAGTGTTGCTTCTACTAGCTCCTGCTGCTGTTATTGCTGGTGCTGCTCCTCCTCCTACAAACCCAACCGCTGTGGAAAGCGCGGCCTTGTCTTCAGCTGTCAAGTCATCTAAAAACCTGACCGAATCCACTAAGCCTGCCAGTTTAGCCCATTTAGGGTTTGACTGTAAGGAGCGTCGGATTTCCTGCAGGAGACGGCTCTGAATATTCGGCAACTGTGCAGTGCCACCGATCAAGAGCATAGAGCTGATCAAAGGTCTCCTCAAATCACTGGGTACTTTTGCGATGGTCTCTAGTATTGTGTCCGTCACACTCAAAGCATCCTCATCTCCATTGAACAAGCATTCACTTGCTCTTTCTCGGATCCAACCGGGAATAGCCAGGATCCCACGAGCTTGTTCTTCCGGTAACCAGACCTCAACATGAACCTCAGTTGAAGAGGATAGGTCCCGATAATTATTGTTCATCTCATCCTCGTTAATATTATCCCCACTTCGAGCGTTGACGATCAAGGGAGATGCAAACAACAGTCGAGTCTTGATAGTCTCCAGAAATGCAGAGGTCAAGATGGACTCGGGTATTGTCCGGAGATCTGTAGGATTGTCCACCAATGAAACAGGGCATTTTTCACGAAGAAGTTGTTTCAAATGAGTCGAAAGGAATTTGCCAGCGCGAGGTGTTGTCCGAATAAATGGTGTTAATGGGCGTGATGAATAAATCTATTTGGAAAGGAGACGATAGTATTTTTTTTTTTTTTTATTTTTTATTTTTATCACCATTGGATTTGTTTAGTGTTTGATATTTGATTCATGAACAAACAGGCAACGATTTCAAAATAAAAAAATAAAAAGAAAAAGAATTAAACAAATCGCTTACGGGAAGAACCGAAGTTTCCAAATGTCCACAATCAATCACCAATCCTGTAGCTGTTCCTGTTGTCAACAATGCTAACAAATGTGAATTTGTGAAGGAGATAGAAGGTGCCTAAAAAACAAAAAAAAAAAAAAAAAAAAAAAAAGGGAAAGAGATAAAGAGATAAAAGAGGAAAGAAGGGTAAAGAATGAAAGGAAATAATAATGAATATTTAAAGTAGCATTGTTAGCATTCACACCTCCAACAAAAGGATGGTAACTTGGACATGCAATGGAAAATATGAACCTTACCTGCAACTTCTCAAACAACACTTTTGCAATGGTCTGCTTCAAGGCAATAGGAGCCAATGGAGATTCACAAATAATAACTTTTCTCTGCTTTGGGTCCGTCAACAGATGTCTTTTTTTTTTTTTTTTTTTTTTTTGAAGGAAGGAAGGAAGGAAGGAAGGAAGGAAGGATTAAAAAAAAGTTTCTTTAGCCTTTTTTTTTTTTTTTTTTTTTTTTTTTTTCTGTTTCTCTGGCGTCCCATGATCGTGTCCATAACTTACTTAAAGTACACGTCATAAAGGTACTCAGAGAGTCGTTCTTCCAGAATCATTAATCGTTCTTCCTCTGAATGCCCCTGACCATCCTTTCGCATTAAATCCAGTTCATATAGTTCTGCATACTAAATTGATTGTTGATATTCGCCAACCCGTCAACATCCGAAGAAAGAATAGAAAAATAAAAGATAGAGGTCCCAAGTTAGTACATTGGATACGATATTCAATGCCATGTAATGCTATGCAAGGACAATACGTAATAGTAATAATAATAAATAATAATAGTAATAATAATAATAATAACAATAAAAAAGACTCTTTACCTCAAGAGGATGAGCTTCCCGAAAGACATGGTTGGCTCGTTCGTTACAGAATTCATTACAGTCGTGTCCAAAGTGCATGGGGCGGACAGGATTCAATCCCAAATAGTTATCCAGTGCTTCGTCTGAGAGAAACATGGAAATAAAGTGTCGAGGACGCGCCTCACCAGAGAGACCACATTTGATGTAACAGGATCCAATGTCGAGTACAATCCGTTCTTCAATTCCATAGATGGATGTCTTGAAGGATAAATCGCGGATCTTGGTTAACGGAAGCGTCATTCTATACGTGTGTGTATGTGTGTGTGTGTTTTTTATATATATATATAAATATATATAAATGTATATATTCGTTTCTCTCTTTCTCTCTCTTGCTTTCTTTCTTTCTCCAATTTATGATTGCGAAAGTGGTTGCTGCTGGAATTGTAGTGGTTTTTTTTGTTGTAGCCGTTTCTGTTTCTGTTTCTGTTGCTGTTGCTGTTGCTGTTGCTGTTGCTGTTGCTGTTGCTGACACTGTTTGTTGTCGCTGTTTAGTGTTGTCGTAGTTATTGCTGACTGACAATTATGAAATAGAACAGAGGTTAGAGTTCCTGTCAAGGTGTCAAGAGAAAGAGAGAGAGAGGAAATAGAGTTCCTTTGGGGGGGAAGGTGTTGGCTTTTTTTTTTTTTTATTTCCAGAAAAATAGACAAAGTTGCGCGTGCAAAAAAAAAAAAAAAAAAAAATGAAAAATGAACTTGTAATGAGGGGCTCATCGATATTCAGGCACACACACACAGGACAATCTTTTTTTTCTTTCTCTTGTGTACAGTATTTTCAAGCCAGTCCAAAGCTCATTCTGAAGATAGAAAAAAAAAAAAAATCGACTCTTTAACATGCATGACATACACATGTATGAATATTACAACTACATGTACATAATACCCATCTAACGCTCAGACACCTTTTATCTAACAAACTCATGGGTTGCATTGCTGCTTAGAAACACTTGTATTAATAGATAGAAAACATAAAACAAGAGGAGAGAAAAAAAAAAAGGAAGAGTTAAATCATTCACTCTCCTTTTACTTTTCTCCATTTTAATTTATTGTTTGTCCTTTTTTTTTTTTTTTTTTTTTTTTTTTTTTATTGGCAAGTCTTTGTTTCTCCAACAGACATAATGAAAAAAAGTTTGGTTTTTTTTTTTTGTACTTTAGTTCTTGATAGTCTCAATGGAGAGAGCTAATATTAATGCATTAGAAAATTTAGAATAGGAAAAAAAAAGAGTTTTTGGTGAGCAATAATGATCTTAAGGTAAAAAAGGGAAAAGGCAACACAAATGTCCGATAATATTCTAATAATCAAATGACAACTATCATAAAACTTACTAGGGGGAAGAGACTGCTTAAGCTTCTCAGCCTTGGCGGCATCGTTGATGACCAAAGTGTACAAGTAGCGCGAGCAACGGACCTTGAACTTGGTCTGGCTGCCGTTCTTCTTGATGCGGCCGGCTATATATTCAAGATAATGGTAATAATGGTAAAAGCAATGATAAAAGAGATAAAAGAAAAAGGGACAACATGAGTTAACTTTGTCTTTTGTCTCTCTAAAGATTCTAGTTTCCAAAGACAAACTCTAACGACAATCAATAGTTTTAACCGTCCATGATCCTCTTTTTCCTTCCTCGTAAATAAAGAACATAAAATACGCCTGTTCAAAATGACTTTCAACACATAAATCTTTCTCATAATGCCCTCTTCTTTTTTTGTAGTCGTTGCCTTTTTTTTTTTCTTTTGTTGGATGTTGATTCCACAATGAAGATAGTTTGACTCCTGGATAACCAATGTGGTTTAGAATGATGAATATAAAAAAAGAAAAGAAAAGAAAAGAAATCCTGTATCAACGTACACTTGGCGTCCTTTCTGCGAGCAATCTCGAGGAACTGCTTGATGTCTTGGACTTGCTTAGGCTAATAAAAGACAATGAAAAAAAAAAAAAAAAAAAAAAAAAAAAAAAAGAAAATGATGTAGGGTCAGTTAAAACTGAGCTTTCCCGTATTATTTTTTATTTCCTTCTTTCTCTTTTTGATTTGAGTTGATAGAGGAAGGGGATTGTCCTGAAAGAAAGCCTGTCTCTTTTTTCTTTTCCTATTAATTATGTTATGGTTGCCTGCTACTGCTACTGCTACTGTTACTGCTACTGCTGTATAGTGTAGGGTGCCTGAGATGTCAAAAAAGAAACCGATGGATCATAGGTTCGACATGCATTCTGCAAATCAAGAAAAAAAAAGTGAACCTTCTTATATGCATCCCTTCTAACAGACTCCTTTCCATGACTACAGATCACCGGATCGTTTTTATACATGTATATGTCTCTTTGACACATGTGTTGTCCAAAAAATATATACAGCGCCTCCTTTCCTTCTCTCCTGTCATAATATGTAAAGAGTCTTTTTTCTTTTTTCCAGGATGAAAGTCAAAGTAACAAGATGATCTTGTTCATGACCATCCTTAAGGTCGATTTGATTATTTTCTTCCATAACAATGTCACGAATGATGAATGATCCTTCCAGACTTAATCCTAAAAGGTATTGTTGATAAACTTCCTCTGATCCTCAATGATCGATGGGTATGAAATAACGTTCTCTTCCGATGGATTGATCGATAGATTGATAGTAGATAGATTGGTATTCTGTCCTGGTCTGGATCCATCTCCATTTTTTTTTTTTTTTTTCTTTTTTTAAGCTCAATCTGAGATTAGTACCATGACTGGTTTTAAGACTGAATCGAAAGAAGGAGCTTGTCCACCCTCACAAGGCAAAAGACTTATACCAAAAAAAAGAGAAAAAAAAAAAATTGATCACCTGATCACTCTGCTGAAAGTTTGAAAGCACAGCCACGTAAAAGAACGCGTCTCTCTCTCTCTCTTTGGATTTTGCATCAACTCCAATTCTTTTACGACCGTACGTCTAAACATTATCTCTTCTAGTGACCTTCTTACTCTTCTACTCCTAAAGACCCGCAATAATGCACTCATAAAATAAATATCTCATCGACGTAAAGCACCCAGATGCAAAAAAAAACAATCGTAGTTCTCTCCTTTCTAATCTTCAAATTATTCATAAACATCATTTTTCTTCATAAAATATTAAGACTTTACAATGTATACAATTTGATAAATATTATTTATTTGACAAAAAGATTGATTGGAAATAAGAGATATATGCAAGCCCAGAGGCTGGTTATTTTTTTTTTTCTTTTTTTTTTTTTTTTTTTGATGAAGGCGTTGAGACGCTCAACATCATATTACAACCTTTGGGGAGAGAAAGAGAGTTGTTGTTATTATACACAAGAGATGGTGCTTAGGGAAATGAAGTGTGAAAAGTGGATTATAGGACCAGATAAAGAAAAATAGAACTCAGGAAAAAAAAAAAAAAAAAGATAGAAATATAATAAGAGGAATTATCAGGCGCATGCACTTGCTCTCCCTTATTTCTTCAAATCATCCGCCTTTTTGTTTTTTTTTTCAACTTTTTGGAAAACGTGTTCTTTCTTTAGTTAGCCTCCTCCTCAACATTCTTGGACTTGCTCATCTGGGCAGCGATGTGAGCATCATCATCGCGAGCATACCAGATGACGGTGCCGAGACCCAAGAGGGCAGAGATGATGGTGAAGATGAGAGCAACAATTCCCTTGGTAGTGAAGGTACCAGGAAGGGGATTGGGACCAACGTTCTCACCAGTCAAATCCAAGCCCTCGTTACCAGCAGCGTTACCACTGTATGGGATATTAAGGGCCTTGCAGTGCTCAATGTGGCTCGGGTCGATCTTGAGAACGCTAGGCATGACCTCAGGAGCCTCAATGAAGGTGGTGGCAAGACCAGCCTGCAAGTGCCATTCGATGTGGCAGTGGAAGAGCCAGACTCCTGGGTTGTTGGCCTTGAAGCGAATGGCAACGTTCTGCTCTGAGGGAACGAGGACGGTATCACGACGGGAAGGGTTGGGGGTATCGAAGTAACCGGGATAAGGAGTTGAGGGATCATACTTTCCCTCGCTACGTCCGACAATCTGGAAAACATGTCCGTGAAGATGGAAGGGGTGGTTACCGGGATCGTCGTTGTTGATGATGATCTCGATCCACTGATTGTGCTTCACGACCAAGGGATGGGTGTACTTGCCGTAGACCTCAGGGGTGGAGGACAAGTTACCGGTGGTGAGAGCAGTGTACAAAGTAGGGACCTTGGGCATGACATAGGTAATATCGTTGAAGGTGGCCTTGTTACTGTAATCGTTCAAGACACTAAAGACAGCATTCAAAGTAAAGACCTGGTCGGGTGCAGCGGTGGCCTCGGGAACGAGAGGGACAAGCTGGGCATCATCAAAGGGTTCCCATTGGGAGGTCTCCTCTGGAGCAAGGGGAGCCTTCTCATCATAGACAATGGTGGCAGTGACGTTCAACTGAAGATCTTCAGGTACAATATCGAACATGGAGGGATCCATATCGGCATGCATGATGTAGTTTTGGGAGGCATCACTCTTTGCGGTCACAAGGACAGAGTAGCGCTGCGCAGCAGTGACAGGGAAGCTGGTGACCTTTTTTCTCTCAACATCAATACCATCGACCTCAATAATCTCCATCTCGTGACCGTCAATGTGGAAGTGGAACATGGCAAGGGCAGACATGTTGATGATGCGGACACGGTAGGTCTTGCCAGGGACAAAGTTGAACTTCGTGTTTGTCGAATGGTTGATCAAGCCAGATTCAGGGACAGGTTCAGCACCGCTGGGGTTGAAAATTGAAAGGTACTGCTCCAACATGACAGAGTGCTCCCTGTGGTACCAATCTATAGGAGAATGCAACACAATATGATCAGATCAGAACATTGTATTGTACAAATATTTAGAATCAAAACAATGGTTCATTTCGTTTGATTGACTTTTTTTTTTTTTTTTTTTTTTTTGTTGGGATAAAAACATGGGACAAATAATTTAATACATACCAGCAAAGGCGACAGTAATCTCCTCATCATACTTGTAAACCTCGTTGACATTGTGAATAATCAAAGGAGCGCGAAGACCATCTACATACTGACCCTGGAAGTGACCATGGATCCAGTAGGTGCCGTGCTGCTCAATGGGGATTGTGTAGGTGAAGTTGCCACCAGGAGGAATAGGGCACTGGGTGACCATGGAGGGACCGTCCATCTGAGCGTTACCAGTCTGGAAGAGACCGTGGGAATGCAACGAGGTGGGCTGATCGATCTTGTTGACAACATTGATGACCAAGGTATCATTCGAGTTAACACTGATGGGAGGAGGACTATAATGAGAAAGAAAGAATATAAAAAGTAAATAAGTATGATGGTGTACGTAAAAATGCAAGTATTAATTCACACGGGATAAAAAAAAAAAATCTGATAACGATAAATTTCACGTACGGGAACTGTCCGTTAACACCAATGACACGGCGTTCGTGGAGACCATCGGGGTTGGCGTTGACATAAGTGATGTCCCAGTTGTAGGTCACAACAGCAGCCTGGGCAATAGTCGAGGCCAAAGCCAAGACGGCAATAGACTTGAGTGAAGCAAGCATTACTTTTATAAGGTATATGTGAATAAGAAAAAAAAAAAAAAAAGAGGGAAGACTCTCTTCTGTAATTCTTTTTTTTTTTTACAAATCAAAGAATGACCAGTGAATGACCAGTGAATGAGAATGAGTTGATCCCAAAAACCGATGCTTGATCTAATCACTCGAGAGAAGGAGGAGAAGAAAAAATATAAGGGTAGAAGGAAGGAGGAAGAGAAGAGTGAGGGATGAAATTTAAAATAAAAAATAATAAAAGTGAGAGGAAGAAAACGGGAGTTGGGGATGCTTTAAAGAGGCCAGTATTTATGAAAGAAAGCAGGGTTGCAAGCTTAGCCAGTCAAAGCGCAGGAAAAAAAAAAAAAAAAAAAAAAAAACATCTGAACTAGAATTCAAAAGGAGTACAAGTGGACAGACAAACAAAAAAGGCGATTGTCCTTTTCTGATGCAGATGCACACGCCCAGGCCATTCAAGGTTAAAGTCAAGACCAAGAAAGAGCAAGAGAAAAAAAAAAAAATCGGTCAGCCAGAAAGGTAATGTATAAAGTATAGCAGTGATGTGTGTGGTTTGTATAATATAAGCAACATTGTAAGCAGATAATATGAGATAAAATAATATAGAATAGTATAGAATAAAGTAAAGAGATGAGCCATGGAATGGCTTTTAGAATTGAATGTTATCCATTACAAAATAAATAAAGAATTCAAAAATGAATTGCCTTTTTATCAGATGGATAACTTTTACTTTGCCAATTCTTACTATTCCATTCTTTAATTCTTAATGCACGCACACTTTAAAATTTTATACAAATTTATATATATATATATATTCACATCACAACACTTGTAAACAATTAAACACTACTGCATTCACAACAAACAAAGGGTTTTTCAACATCAGATCATCGTGTTTTTTTTTTCTCTTTTTCGCGATGACAATGCCAATTATGGTTGGTGTTTTGTTGTTGCTTTGATTGTTTTTGGTTATATACTTTGATTGCTTTGGTTATATGCATCCGAATACCCGCTCCAATCCCTTATTTTACATGCAGCATGTCCAAAAATGTAAAAAGAAAAAACACATCTAAACTTGTATACTGTAATATCAGTTTATATTATAAATATACATGTATAAAGTATGGGTAAAAAAAAAAAAAAAAAAAAAAAAAAGTTGCGATGATCGAACGGTTATGGCTGGAGATGAGATGGCAGGGAGGTTTGTACACCCCGAGAAAAAACTAGCATCCATGTGTCGAAATAGTCTTGTTTGAAGAAGATAAACAAATAGAACAGATGCTGAGCATGAACCGAGGGGGACTACGAAGCTTCCTTGGTATGATGGAACCGGCCTGGCCTGGTCATTTTAGTTACAGTTTACTAAAGATGCATTTGAAGATGGAAAAAAAGAAAATTAAAACGCTGTACATACTTCGCGTTTGGTATGCCATGTGCGGCATTAGAAAAAAAAAAAAAAAAAAAAAAAAAGAGAGGAACGTCGTCATTTGTATGATTCGCCCACAGTAGAATTTACACGACACACCCCGTGCGCAGAAGTTTTTTATTTACCCATAGAGTTTTTCACTTTAACACCTTACAGGCATCATCAGGCATGGATAAGCATAAGCAGACGGCTAGTGCCCGGTCCCGAGTCAATGATAGAGCAAGTTAACAGCACGCACGTAAAAAAAAAAAACGTTATACATGGCTATCTGTCAAAAGTAAGGTGGATGTCTCTTATCAGATCCAACCTCAGACTAGCTCAGTTCCCAGATCAGTCAATATCCTCAACAGCTCCCTCCCTAACCTTTTAAACTACTATAACCTGCCACCACAGCATCAAGCCTCGAACCAGCTCAAAGTTTCAGACTTTGAGCTTCTTCCCTCCTCTCTCCATCTCCCTCCTTCCCTCTCATTCTAAAGAAGCTAAAGAAGTACTGTAGCTGAAGTTAAATACGCCTGATATCTATCGAAAGTGAAGACAAGTTGTTTTACAAGATTTCGGATTTGGGCGCCATGCATTGAGATCCGACCCATACGTTAGATGGATATATACTTTAGATGCAACGTGGAACTATCGGGATAGACATAATATATATGTATATATATGTAGTATATATATATATATATATATCTGATATTTTTGTAGAGTATCCCTTTTAGCCTTTCATCTTTACAGAAAAAAAAAAAAGCTAACAGCAACGACAACAGGAAGAGCTAAAGCTAATCCATTGCACAAGACCTTCGGAGAAGAAAGTACAAAAACAGAATATCATTCATCTTTTTTTTTCACACACGCACACACACATGCACATCTCATCTTGCAAGGCTTGAAGAAATTAGATGCCCTGCATGCTATATCCCAAGTGTAATAAATATAAAGTTGCGATCGAAAAAAAATAATATTTAATAATAATATATAATAATAAAGAAAGGGAAAATCTCGGATTGAGACATGCGACATGCGACATGGAAAATGAAGAGATTCACTTACAAGAGTGCATTATTCTAGTGCATAAATGTTGAGTGAAAAAGAAAACCCCTCAGGCGTATCCCTGACCATCTATGTCCATCTTTGTATAATCTGATCCGACGTGTATCCACCCTGAGGTACATGTACATATCCTTGAAGACTCACAGGGGGCCCGCTCACCCAAACGGAGCCTTAAAAAAAGGAACTAAACCTATAAGGTCCATCAGAGTCAAACTCCATCTTTGTCATTCTCATCTTTAGGCTCTTTATCTCAACCAGAAGGAAAAAAAAAAAAAAAAAAAGAAAAGTCAAAAAACAAATGCAGACGATCCATGTTTCCCATGCTTCCATCTTCAACGTTGAAGAAGAAGGAAAAAGGAACAAAGATGAAAAAGAAGACGAGAACGAAAAGAAAGGCAAAAGTAAAATAAATGACGCGCATGCTTAGTGTCAACTTTCTTGGGTGGAGGTGAGCTTTTTTTTTTTTTTTTTTTTTTTATCCCACATTCGCACCCCGGTGGCGATGGATTTTCTACCAATGAACATTTCATCCGTGAAATCTCGATCGCTCTTTCTTCAGAGCATGTTTTCATGGGAGGAAGAAGGGACGAAGGGTTCAATAGTCTAAATTCTCCTTCCTTCTTTATTCTTTATTATAATTTCTTTTCTTTTTTTTTTGCAGTTGGATAATTCAGTTCTCATGTATCTTTTTCACTATCTGTCTATCTCTTCAGAGTTTTTGATATGATCAGCTTGGGGTGTTTACCAAAGGATAAGCATCAGATATCTATATATCCATGGAGGAGCAAGTCCTTTCAGGGATAAATTAAAGAAAAGAGCTCATGGAGAATAAACACGGACAAGAAGATAGAAAGAAAAGATTTGATGGATTGATAGAGTCAGTAAACATCATTAGGGTTCTAGGCTTCAAATCCTTTTAGTCAGTGCTCAAAAACCTATTTCCTAAAACGTAAAAGACAGAGTCTGATTTGGAAGCCCGTTTTTGTTGTGTTTTTTAGCACTATCTGATTTTTTTTTTTTGTTTTGCGGTTGATGTTAAAGTGTATCCAAGTACGCATACGGTTATTATGGACAAATATGTCAATACCCTTTCGGCCTATCCAACCAATAGGAGACCGTATATGCGATACGGCTCATCGGACTGGCCCATCTGAGTTCCCTTATTTGATGACCCCAAGTGCAGCTATGGAAAAAAGATTCGCATGTGCATTTTTTTTTTTTTAATGATAAACAAGTATTTACATGCACACAAAAAAAAAAAAAAGGTGCAGTGACTACGCCCAAGGGCAGTTGAGAGAATGAACTAGACCTTTCTGTTTGTCAGTTGTGTTTGTGTGAACAGACAGGGGAGAGGGGAATTCTACTCAAAAAGGACAGTCCAAGACTTGAATAAAAGAGCGCATGTCTTAAAAGTATGAAAACGGAAGACTGAATCCAACTTGAGCAATTTTAATTTTCACTAAACCCCTTTTGCCCTCAGACTCTGAGCTAAAATCAATATATAAAAAAAAGCTGACTCTGGATCTGATAAAGAGCTTTAGGTTCTTACGCGAAATATATATATTTTATAATTCACAACTCTTTTTATATAATCCTCACGTATGTATGTATCTATCTATCTATCTAATTAACTAACTATCTATCTATCTATCTAGTGCCTGGAATCATTTATCTGATCAAGGGAAAAAAAAAAAAATTTTTTTATACTTCTTCACAAGTATATTTAGCCCGTTTCATTTGGTCGCGATACCTTATATTTTTTGAATACTTTCGAGTGTATTGGCAGCCAATTAGCTCGCTTGTTACGAGTATTGTTGCAAGTCCGTCACGTAGTGAGATGCCACCAGAACAATTCAATCATCGTTTTTAGATTAAAATATAAGGTATCGTGACCAAATAAAATTGGCGATACTCAATCTTTTTTTTTTTTTTCTGATTGGAGATACACACCCGTCTAGTATGTGATGTGAACAAATCTCCTTCTTTCCATGAAAGCCCATTGAGAATACAATTACACATCCCATGTACACACACAGAAACACAGAAAATAAAACAGATGCGACTTATGACTCTTCTTATTCATAGAATATAAAACATCCGCATCAAATAACTTCCTAATTAGACTTGGCTTGCATCTCTTTTTTTTTTTTTTTTCTCGTGGTTACATAAAGTAAATCTGAATTCAAATTCTTTATTGAAAGTGTTTGGTTCTCCGTCATATGCATGTGTGTGTACATGGACTATTATGGCCTTTAGTAGTGTGGTGTGTTTGAATACACTCCAATCCATCCAATTGCATTATCATAACATTGACCAAAAACAACATGATCGATGGGTTTCTCTTTCCTTTTGTGCTCAAAAAAAAAAAAAAAAAATTCGTAAACTAACCCCTTCAACTGTTCTCTGAACCCAGACAGAGTCTTTTTTTTTTTTTTTTATTTTATTTTATTTATCGTTATTCAATAAACCTACACCATCTACCATGCACCATTAACCAAAACAATTAAAGCAGTAAATCATAATCAGATTGAACCTTTGAAAGAAAAAAAAAAAAAAAAATCTTTTTCTCATCGGGACTTCAGCTTGTTCCTACAGACTATACACACAAACATATTATAATGTTATAGTAAATATTATATATATACATTATATACATTATATATTATATTATATTCTTTCAACAAAACAAAACGGAAGATGAATTGATGTATTGAAACTGAACTTGCAATTGATAGAGTTGACCATCTGTAAGGGTACATTTACATTACAGACAGCATCAGCGGCTCCCCCCGGTTTGGCGGAACAGACATGCCCACATCCCTGTACAAACGCACACACCATTTTCTTTTATAAAGGACATCCTCTTCTTTCAGTTCCCCCTTACATTCCTGTCCTCTCTGGCCTTTTCTCTCCTCCTTCTCTTCACCCTTTTCTCCTCTTCTCATTAGGTGTCTCTACTTTGCTCGGTTTTGAGAAAAAACAAAAAAAAATCCTAGAGATTATTCCTTCTTCCTCCCTTTGACATTTATCCCCCTATTATATATATATATATATATAAAAAAGTCATCATGGGATCCATCTTTTCCGCACCCATCTTCTTCATCATGTTCAGAGAGACGACCGAGGCAGCCATCATTGTCTCGGTCTTGCTCTCGTTCATCAAGCAGGTCATTGTTGATGATCCAGTCCTTTACCGCCGTCTGAGATGGCACGTTTGGATCGGTGTGTTGATCGGTCTTGTCATCTCATTAATCATAGGAGGAGCCTTCATCGCTATTTGGTAAGACTTTGTTAACACACATACCCATCGTCCTTTTTTCTTGATTTTATCGATTTATCGATCGTTATCAAGGAAACATGCATTAACACTATCTTTGTTTTTTTTTATTTTATTTTTATTTTTATTTTATTTTTTTAAAACAAAATAGGAACTCGTTGGCCAAGAACGTTTTCATGGCTCATGAGGAGTTATGGGAGGGAACATTCGCGTTGATTGCCTGTGTGATGATCACGGTGATGGCTTTGGCCATGTTGAAGTCCCAGGACATGCAAGAGAAGTGGCGTGGGAAGTTATCCCAGTCCATGGACAACATGGACAAGAAGCAAACTCTCGCCGGACGTTCTCGTAAATACGCCCTGATGATCTTGCCCATGATCACTGTCCTTCGTGAGGGTTTGGAGGCTATGATTTTCCTCGGTGGTGTAAGTGAATAATAAGAATAAGAATAAGAAAAAAAAAAAGAGTCATCCAAATGCTTATTATGCAATGTCTCTAACATCAACCTCATTTCCCTCCTCTAAATGATTCTCAGGTTACATTCGATGCTGAACCAAAGTCTATTCCTCTTGCTGCTATTACTGGTTTGTTGGCTGGTGCACTTCTTGGATTGATCATCTACCGTGGAGGATCCCTTTTGGCTCTTCACCGCTTCTTTGTTGCTTCGACCTGTTTCCTGTTGTTGATCGCTGGCGGTCTTTTCTCCAAGGCCATTAATGCTTATGAGATGGACAAATGGAACAAGATTGTGGGAGGCGATGCTGATGATGCTGGTTCGTACGATCCCCGTATCAATGTCTGGGCCCTCAGCTATGGTAACCCCAATGATCCCACTCAAGGTTTCGCTGCATTCTGCAACTCGATCGTCGGCTGGAACAACGTTGCATCGGTCGGTACCGTGACAGGATACTGCGTCTACTGGCTCGGTGTCATTGCCGCTGTTGTTTACCTCAAGATCAAGAGCAAACGTGCTCGTGCCGCTGCTGCCGCCAACCCTGTCTTCGTCGATGAGAAGGCTGCTGCCTCTCAAGTTCAGAGGACTGCTGCCGCTCAGTATTAAGCTCTCTGAACAAAGCCTTCACCCTTTTTTTTTAATCTTCAACCAAAATCTATCAATCAGCCTTTTGTAATCATTAGCATTATTCTATCGACTTCATTTTTCCCTACATCTCTCTCTCTTTTTTTTTTTTTTTTTTTTTTTTTTCGAACGCAAGTTGGAAGTAATGGAATTTGATGGGACACGATTTTTTTAGTTCCATCAACCTCCATTTTACATGTATAGTTCTCTCTCTCTCTCTCTTTCCTTCCTTTTTCCATTAAAAAAAAAAAAAAAAAAAAAATTGAAGAAAGAAAAAACATAATTTCTCTTTGCTCTTTTTTTTTTTTTTTTTTTTTCCTCCCCCCATTACCTTCCAAATTGTGCATCTCATACTCCCCTTCAATCCTTTATAGTCATTTCTTCTCTTTTTTATTTTTTGTAGCCGTTATAGTGCATAATGATAGCAAATTTAATTCAGAGAGAAAAAAAAAATGTTTGTATATATGCTTAGGGAAAAAAAAGAAAAAAGAAAATAAAATATTTAATAAAAGTAAAAGTCTTTAGTGCTACAATGTGCAATAAAATGTATACTTGATTTGATTTGGTTTGAATTTGGGGTTTTTTTTTTTTTTTTTTTTTTTTTTTTCGCGTGTTATTGACGCGACAATTTACACGACTTTACAAAAAAAAGAAATTTTTTTTTTTTTTTGTTGACAAATTGGCATGATATTCAATAATACAAGAGTAAAAAAGCAACTGAGTATTTTTTTTTTCCTATTGTCACTATATATTATTATTATTATTATTATTGTTATTATTATTATGGAGATCCTATATAAAAAGGAAAAAGAACTATAATGTATATATAATAATATATTTATACAACTAACTAACTTGTACTGATTGAGAATACAAAAATAAAAAATAAAAAAAATAAAAAATAAAAGCCTCAGTTCGTTGCCTGAGAGATGTAGATGAACATGTACAAATATGTCAATCTACTTCCGAGATCTAATATGGCAGCAACCAACATCATCATGCATCTCGGTCCAAAGGATCTACATTTATGAACTATATGCTATCTTACATGGGTATATATTATATGTATTCAATTAACATTCTCCTCTTCTTCTCTGTCTATTTCATTTTACTTTATCCGATTCAGCTCTATTCAATATGATCGCTGTAGACTATCAAAAAGTGCTTTTTAATATCTGTTATAAATAATATTATTATTGTGTTAATATTATATATTATATATATACATTATTGTTCATATTCACTATTATTATTATTATTATTATTATTATTATTATTATATATATAATATGAATTATGCAAGTTTTCTTATCCGTGCCAAAAAGAAGCCGCTCGTGTTGCTTGCGATGGGATCGTACCTCAGGCACATATTCTTGATTTGGGTTTGAAGTTGCTCCATCTCCGCCTCTTGCTCCGGTGTGCCATGCCATCCTTCTTCTCCTCCTGCCTTCTCGCCTTCCAGATCTTTTTCATCAGATGTTGAAGATGGCTGAAAAAGACCCAGTGCAGATGCAATGACAGCTTGACAGGGCTTTTTGCATGGGGCGGTCTGAATCCCCAAGGCGTGCTTCGGTAAGGGTTCCAACACAGCTTTGCCCCTCATCTTCGTCAAAAACCAAGCGACCACATCTTCATTTTGAGCTCTCGAGAGTGAACAGGTTGAATAGACAACAATCCCCCCTGGTCGGGTCAACCTGAATCCGTTCATCAGGAGCCCACGTTGGAGATCCGAAAGTGAGTCCAATCGGTCTTGTGCCATGAAATTCTTGTGAAAACTATCCCATCCCCATGTCTCATACTTGAGAATGTGTGCAATCGACCCATCATGTGTACCTTTTTTTTTTTTTTTTTTTTTTTAAGTTTGTGTGAAAAACAAAACACAATGAATAGTTAATGAAATATAAAATAGATAGAATAGAATAGAATAGAAAAAATAAATAAATAAATAAGCAAGAGAGAGTGTGAGTACAATACTAAAAAAGTAAATAAGATGCCGAGCCAAAACAAATAGGAAAAAAAAAACTGATGCATTTATGCACAAGATTTTCCGAGAGCAGATGATTGCCAATAAATGCACATTATTGACTATCTCTCTCCATTGATGTTATACAGCCTATAAACTAACCACTTTTTTTTTTTTTTTTTTTTTTTTTTTTTTTTTACAAGAAATAGATATTAAAGACCATTCACTTACATTCTGCATCAACAATAACCTTGTCATACTTGTATTCTTCTCCTTGTAGTTGAGGGTCGTTCCGTAGAATCTTTGGCGCGTAGAATGGCACAATCTTCTCTTGGACAGGACTGCGACTACTACAATGACTATGGTTGCTGCTATTGCTGCTACCCTTACTATTACCATTGGTATTATTATCATCTTTGCCATTATCATTACCATTACCATTACCGATACCGTTGCCATGACTGCTATAACTACTATCCCTATTGCTACTGTTACTATGATCACTAGCACCATCGCTGCTTCTATTGGAACAATCATTCGTTTTAGCTGCCTCTTTAAGCATAGTACACATTGTTGACACCCTCATTTCTCTTTTTTCCTCCCCTTGCCCTTCTCCTTCTTCTCCTACTTGGTTCCCAAGGTTTGACAGTGCATCCAATATTGCCCTTTGACGTTTTACACAGGCCTCACCGCCTGCTAGACTGTAGTCATGATGAAACTGGTTTAGAGCCGCCTCTTTATACTCAGCCGTTCCAGGCCCGTTGTTATCCTGACTTGGAAGGGTAGCAGTTACAGTGCCAGTAGCAGTAGTAGTAGTAGTAGTAGTAGTAGTAGTAGTAGTAGCAGCAATCGCAGTATCAGCAGTCGCAGCAGTAGTAGTAATTGTAGACGTAGATGTAGATGCCTGTAACTGTGGCCCCACTGTTGAATCATTGATTTCTGCCAAAGTCCTCTTAGTACCATGCTGCTGCTGCTGCTGTAGTTGTTGTAGTTGTTTTTGTTGTTGCTTCTGTACTCCTTTAAGGTCTCCCTTAGTGTCAGCATCAGCATCAGTGTCAGCGTTAGTACCAGTGGTAGTACTAGCAGTAGCAGCAGCACTAGTCGCCATAATTTTGGTTCTGATAGTATCGATAGCACTAGGTCTCATGACATTAAAGGTCGTACCATCCGCTTGAAACAAACGTGCATGTTGTTGCAGCCTATGTCGTTTCAATAAACTTCTACAGGTTGAGAGACGATGTGGTGAAATATCCACACCTGTCACAGTTCCTGTGACATTCATACGAGATTGAAATTGTTTCCTGTCACTGTCGCTGCCACTGCCATTCTTCCGTGTCCGATTCGAGTGCAGATGTTCTTTAGTATTCCTTAGTAAACCAGCAATCATACAGAGCTTCGCACCTTTATATATTCCAAAATATATGTATAAAAAAAAAAAAAAAAAAAAAAAAAGGTGAGATACTTAAAAGAGGTCATTCATCATCCATGGTTGGTGGCGCAATAGAAAATAATATATTTTGTACCTGGAGCACAGCAAATATCGAGGACATGTTCTCCAGGTTGAATGTCCAGGGCATATACTGCGATTCCTGAACTGAGATCCATCCCAAATATCCTGCCTTCTTCGTACCTATATCGTTGTAAAAAATAGTAGTCCAATTTCAGATATTTCGTCCGTGGAGAAATAAAAAAAAAAAAAAGCCACACATATTCCTTATGCCTTAATTAAGACTTTACGCTTGTGTATTTCTCAGTTTTACATGTCCTTGCAGCTTGCAGAAGGCTTCTAACCCAGGCACAGGCTCAACTTTTGTCCCTAGCTGTTGTTCAAGTTCCTGTGGAGTGATAGTCAGATGTGGATCGGGGTTCAGACGAACATATCGTGGCAAATCTGTGACAGTATAGATTGCAGGATCAATCTCATTCTTTTCCAGGAATGCAACGAATTCTGAAGGCAGGTTGTCAAGAGAGAATGTCGGTCGTGAAGAAGAAGAAGCAGAAGAAGCAGAAGAAGGAAAAGCCGCAGTGATATTTTTAGAGTCTCCTGTTGATTGGGCAGGGTTGTTCTGTGAAAGGTAATCGTCTTCACCCTCGGAATCCATGTTGAGGGACGGAATGGGCGGGTTTAATGTCTTGTGTGGAGATCAACAATGGTCTGCGTTTATTAGAGTATTTTGGTTTAATAAAAAATAAAAAAACGTCACCTTGGGAATTTTTACACACAGACATTCTTTTTTTTTTTTTTTTTTTTTTTCCATTACATTGAACTGACTTTTTTTTTTTATTCAAGCAAAAGTATAAATCATGACTAAATCATCATTCTGGAACACTGTCCGAAAGGCACTGACTGTCGTAAGTTTGCCTTGTCCCTCCACCCTCTCTTACAAAGATCATACATGGAAGCAACCCTAGCAATTTGATTCAGTTTCATCGTCTAATGGATACCATTGGAGCCCGATCAGGAAGAACATTATTTTCTATCAGGACTATACTATTCGGAGGTTTTTCTGATATAAAAATGGTCATCCTTCTTTCGTAGAACCCCAAAGTGTCTACTGGTATGCCAGATCCCAAGGAGTTCCGTTTTATTGCACCTAGGTATCTACTTTTTTTTTTTTTTTTTTTTTTTTTTTTTTAAAAAAAAAGGACTAGAGTAGGAAAACAAGAAAGCTAATGGTATCGTATTTAACAAAACAAAACGCACTAAAAAAACCTCAATAGTGGTCAACCTCCAACTTTCGTCCCTAATGATCCATTGGCGCACGACATTGCACAGAACCCATACTATGGACGTGATGTCAGGAGAAACTATCCCCGTTTGACAGTGTACTCACAAGAAGAAGTTGCTGGACTAATTGCTGCTAAGGAGTCATTGGCGTAAGTTGATTATATCGTTACAAGGAAAACTAATCAAATAATCAGGAAGGAAGTTTTTTTTTTTTTTTTTTTTTTCTCTTTTTTTTTGTCTGTATTATAGTAGCATTATCATTCTAACTTTTTAGTTATTTTATAGCATCGGTTCTGGAGAGTCAGCAGTTACAAAGACTGAAGAGAATGCATCTTTGACGGAGGTCATCAAGAGTGTAAAATCACCTCTTTATGCTCCCGACAATCTGCCCCCCACTCCTGTTCTCCGTAGCCGCAAATACAAATGGGTTTCTTCTCCTGATCAACCTCCAGTTGATAATGGTAAGAGAAAGCTTTCGACTTTATATGAACTTCATTTTTTTTTAAAAAAAAAAAAAAAAAAAAAAACGATATTTCTGACTTTTTTTTTTTTTTTCAATGTCATCTTTTTGCAATTCAGGTACCTATTGGACAATGCGAAATATGAAGACTACTACTGTCTAAAAGTCATATAGCAGGCATCCATCAATTTCGTATCTCTCCTCTCCACTCTTTTTTTTATTTTCTTTTTATTTTAACTGTACTGTTTGGTCTGCCTTATATTTCGAATGGATTCTGCTTCCTGCACAAACTGGTGTATAAGGCAATGACTGCTAATAAACGGGGAGGAATTTCCTTCAACTTACTTTTTGAATGACTGAATTTATCAAATACTTTATCAAGACAGGAAGGCGATTTACCTTTAATTATCATCTATCATTCCATCTAATGACTGCAAACCGTTTATTGATTGATAGATTAATAATAAAACAATACAAAAACAACAACGAAAACAAAAAAAAAAAAAAAAAAAAAAAAAGGCAATATAAAAACTGACGCGTCCCCGACGGGTACTTCGAATCAATCTTTTTCTCTCAAGTTCATTTATATCACATTTGTCAATTTATTCATCCAACCGTTTCCAAATCCTTCTGTTTATTTTTTTTCTTAATGCTTCATTCTCGGCTTTACACGCTCATTGGAGCGATCAACCTCATGTTGCTATCATTTCTGTTGTTTGTCCCTACAGAATCATCAGCAGCGCCCAGTCCAAGTCCAAGTCCAAGTCCAAGTCCAATTCCAATCGTTAGTGATATGGATAATATTGGCGCTATGGATAGTGGGACTGCAGATCTAGAGAATTTGAATATGCAATTATCCTCTGCCCCTTCTACTTCAAACCTACTATTACCTCCACCACCCGTCGTCCCTCAACAAGATGTTCAGATCGAAAGCCAAACAGATATCATCTCTACAACAGGTGTCTTTCCAAAGCTTATATTCCGCCCTGCCGTCCAGCTTTTCGATCCCATGGTCACTCATTACCAAAACAGCAACAATATCCCTTTCTCTTTCCCTCTCCCTCTTCCTTTCCCTTTCAGTAATAGCGCCGCTGCTCCAGCCATTGCTTACAACGATGATCTGGATGATCCAACAAACGATTTCTATCTTTCTTCTGCTCCTCCTTCTCTTCCTCCTACAAGCTTTCGAAAACGCCAATTAGGCCCTGCATCTGGCCCAGATCCTGCAGGCGTGATCGGATCTTCGAGCAGCGTCTCAGTCGACACATTGATCAAACCCATTGTGACAGTTCAACCCCACGCGCTACAACCAGTCGCTGTCCCTGTAAGTCAACCTTATAACTATCCTGTTCCTGTGGGTGTTCCCGTCCCTTGGTCCTGTGGAACCAAAGCAGGAGCCGGGTGTGGCACCAGGTGTGGAACTGGGTGCGGAATCGGAGGTGGAACATGGGCTTCAGTCGGTGGCAACAACCATTGGCGCAATTGGGGAGACAGTATGTGCACCTGGGGGGACAATTGGGGCTGTTAACACAAATATCATATTCTGATTTGTAGCAAAAAAAAATAAAAATAAAAAATAAAGTGGCTAGTAGAATTATATGTGCAGATGGTAGACTCTAGTAAGCAGCAGCGCGATTTATTTAATTATCCCCAAACATGGCATCAAAAAAAAAAAAAAAAAAAAAAAACCTGTTCACTTTGTTTTATATATGATTCTAATTTTTCAATTCTTTGCTTTTATTTTCTTCCGAGCCTTTGTTTTCAGTGCTTTCATCTATTATGTCAACGCTTTCTTTTTCTTTTTTTTTTTTTTTTTTTTTTTTAAAAAAAATTATTATGGCTGCCACACGTCCCACAAGTTCGTGGTCTGCTGCATCTCTCACAGATCAGTTTGCCTATCAAACGTCCTCGCTCTATTTATGACAATTCGAGTCACTCGAAAACTGTTTCTCCGTCGGGGGGGTTCCACATCGGATGTATGACGAATCACCCAAGCACGACCTGTGGGAGGGAGGGGGCATTCTTTTTCATTTTCATGTCACGGGATGTTACCAAGTATCTATCTACACGTCTATCCAGTATTTAGGGAATAACGCGGACCTATTCTGTAGTTCCATGTTGTAGGTTTATGGTGTAGTGATATAGTACACTATTGCCATTAGCTTCTAATACTCGTTTATATATATTTATATATATTTTATATTTTACTTAATAGCCGCTATTATGCAATATCCCTGTGGCCCTGCCTCTAAATAGATCATCATCTATTACCCTGGTTGGATTAACTCCTGTCCCAACACCTTCAATCTCTTCTCCTTGAAAGTTTTGGCAGTCGTCGTTGTTATCGAAGTTATTGTCCTCTTCCTCTAATTCCAGCTCAAATTTGAGCTCGTCGTCACCACCACCACTATCATCATCATCATCTTCTTGCATTTCTGACGTTGATTGTGGTGTAAATCCGCTTATCCTATTGTTTCTATTGTCCTGAAGTGACAGTTGACTCATGAGTTCCAGCTCATCTATACTGTTCCCGATATGGTTATTCGAATGCCTATCTGTCATACCACTGCTATTTTTCTTGTTTTTGTTGAGGATGTCTATCCCTTTGGGATATGATTGTGATGGAGGTGATGGTGATGGTGATGAGGATGTATGGAGAGATGAACACGACATGTCTGTGGTATTCAACATGAAATCCAGTTTGGGATCCAGTCTATTAGATTTGTCGAGTGTCCATCGTTGTAACCACCTTGGCACACTGTTAAACATCACTACACGACCATCTTCCTCGACTTGACTCTGTTGATAATGATTATAAAAAACAAAACATAAGAGGGTTATGTTAGGAGAAAGGGTGAAAAATATAAGCTTTTTTTTTTTTTTTTTTTTTTTTTTTTTTTTTTTTTAAAAAAAAATACCTGATCGTAAAAGAGCTTAGCAAATTGGCTGCTGCCTTCAATAGCAATGCGAGCTGCGGGGTATCTTCGCTCGAAATATGTTTGAAACATATCTCCAAGGTTTTGCATGGATGGGTTTGAAGGTAAATCGTGGATCAAATTGACTAGGCATGCGCCATCGAATATTGCATTGACAACACCTTGCCTGAAGATGGAAAATATACAAGTAGACAGTCGGAAGAAAAAAAAAAAAAAAAAAACAGTCAGTCAGCCAGCTAGTCAGTAACTCAATTAGATAGATATATATATATAAAAAAAAGACTTACTAAAGGGCCTACTTACCCGCCAAATGGAACACTCTGGAAGGTGGTTGAATCAGACAATGTTTATATATTTTGTTGGTATAAATTAAGGGAACAATGTTAACGTCAAAAGCCCATGTATTTCTTTGGTTTTTAATAACTAATCCTCTCTCCTGCGTAAATTCAAATGTTCGATATTTACCTTGTGGCATGCTAAATTAAATGTCAATCGAAAGAAAGAATTGGTCAACATCCGAATAACTATTACAATGATGCTTTACCTTCTTTCCTCTTTGTATATATATATTTCGTTCACTTACCATCACCGATCAGGACAGTTCGTCCGCCATACCATGTCTGGAAGCCTTTTTCTTCAAACATCACTCTGGAGATCAGATGCCGCGGCGTCTTGTCAATTAAATCTCCATATGTCCCATAGCCAAATGGATTTTGTTTTGACCGCATCTGTGCACAGATCTCTTCAATCGAATCGCTCTCGGCTTCACCCCAATCAGGAAACCTTGAATATTGTTGTTGTTGATAACGAGGTGGGCCATCAAGTGGATGATTGTAATTCACTGTTCTCGGTTGTCCCATTGATCTCGTTGCCTCTTCCTGACTTTCACTCCAGAAGGATGAACCCGCTAAAGCGTCGCTTCGCCCACCAATCGACCATGCTATCCTGTTGTTGGAGAGTGGGACCATCCACATCTAAAAAAAAAAAAAAAAAAAAAAAAGGAACATCGACAATTTTCCATTTAGGATAAACAAAAATAGTCCGGAAAGTGAATGGTCTCAGTTGATCATGAGTACAAAAGTATACAACTAAAAAAAAAAAAAAAATCATCCAGAATAATTAAACATACTGTGTAAGGCCGATCCCGTCCACCGAGAACAATCCTGAATTGACAAACATCCTCTTTCAACAATGGATATTCTTGTGGGTTCAATGGTTCAGTGATTCCGACTACAACCACTTGATCCAGTTTAATGGGACTGAAATCCTGTTTTGGCAAGTTGCCATGGGCTCTCAAATCCTTGTATAGAGATTGTCGTACAGCTGAATAAGCTCCATCGGCTCCAACCAAAATATCACCATGATAAATTGATCCGTCTGAACAGTGAACCGATACTCCGATATCATCCTGTGACACAGAAACGATCCGTTTCCCATTCATTATCTTTTCACACGGTACATGCGATAATAAAATTTCATGAAGGTCAGGCCGACTGAGGACCATTCCGTAATATGAGTAACTATTTTTAATAAATATAAAAGAAAAGAACAATATGGATATGGAAAGAAAGGGAGGTTAAAAGATCAAGTTACCAAAACCAAGACCAGAGATAAAAAAAAACGAAAAAAAAAAAAAAAAAAAAAAAATCCATACTCAAATTGTCCATATGCAAAATCAACTGTGCCCAGATCAGAGCCATCCTCACGTTTGATAGAAAATTGACTCATGGGTTTACTAGCACGCTCGACATCGTCCCAGATACCAAGTTGTTTTAATAAAGGTATGACAGAAGCATGAAGAGAGATGGCACTCCCCATTGGATTGGACCAAACACATCGTTCTAGAATAAGATAGTCGACTTTTTTATGTTCTGGCAATCGTTCAAGCATGATGGCAAATGCCAATCCACCGAGACCAGCACCTGCGATCAAGATTTGTGTCCGTGCCATGGATGGTAATGATGATAATGAAAATAACAATGATAATGAAGATGATGAAAATGAGTATGAAAGTGGTTTTTGTAAAAGGTTATGTGCATGAATGAGTGAATTTTTAAAGTCCTTCTTCTTTGAAAAAAAAAAAAAAAAAAAAAAAAAAAAAATAGAGAGGACAGATTGAGATATGAAGATCGATGGAGAGAGATGGAGAAAGATGGAGAGAGAAACAGAGAGATAGAAAAAAAGGAAGAAGGTTGAAACGAGGCAAATCAAAGAAGTATCGGAAGAGAAAAAGAGAGTCGGAATATTTATTATGGGAATCAAGAACAAAAATGATGGGAACACAAAATAATACCCATTTTTTCCTGCCCCTGCAAATCCCTTTTTACAGTACTAACGCCCATACAGAGCAGCGCAGTGAAAAGGAGTAAAGTTCTGTTGGCCAGGTGAAACATTTCCCATGCATGCAAGCATCATCCAGGGGATTTGACTTTCTTTTTTACATGGTTGAAATACAATGGATTTAATGAAATATCATTAAATGGTTTCACGTGACATAACTGTGTTGTGGCTGGTCATTAATAGTTATATAAATTAATTATAACTATTTTATTTTACTTTGTATCTACTAATCGGGACATTCTGTCGATCCACAGTTAAAAGAACCTTTGTGCAAAGCCTTAAGCTATCGGTGAGTCCACCTCACCTAGAAAGCACCACAGTCAGGCCTGTAGGCTAAGTTATAAAAGCCAAAGAACTTCTTCATCAATAAAGTCTTCAGTTTTCCCCATACGTCTTGTTCTTGCTATTATCTTTTCCCCTTTTCACAACAAGCATTTGCCGTCCAGGAACTCAGTTTGTGAGCTAACCTATAAAGCTCCCATCTTTCTCTTTCGGCATCCTATGGCGCTGTTTGTCGTCAAGGTTGTTTGTCTTTATTTTCTCTTGTTATTCTTGTTGACACTCTTTGTACTGTCCTTTCCTGATTTTGTGTCTATCTTTTTGCCCCTTAAGCAAAGATACACCTACTATTTACAACAACTGTAAATCCACTGCAGCATCCGCATCTATAAAAATGCTCGTAACGTTGCATTTCAAGTTTATTATTAATAAATATCAGATTTGATTCTCTAGGCAAAACACCGTTGCTTAAATATTCAAGTTATTCAGATCTAAACGACCCAAGCATGAAGGACTGCCTTGCCTCTGAATGTATACCTGTTTGTGGCTTTAGTTTTCTCAATACCTTGAGCGCACAGTGTTGCCAGCCGAGGCACAGAGGTAGAGCGTCGAGTGTGAGGACTCATTCAGATCCCATTTAAATGTTGAAAAGGTTTAGCTGAAAAAAAAAAGCTATTCAAGAAAGAAAGTGAGGAAATAGATGTGTATACACACCATACCCAAAAGATATTTGAGCATTTGAGATCAAAACATGCCTGCGTATCTTGCTAGGGAACAGCATTTGCATGAAGAATATGTGTGCAGTATACGCATGTGTGTGTAAGTTTGATCAAATGCCACGCTGGTGTCAGACAGAGCGCGTCTCTTTGCATCTTTATTCTATATATTAAAATAAGTTACCAAAAATGGCTGTTACGGAGCCGGTCTGGCTTCTTTTTTGTACCAATAAAAAAATGCACACAAAGGCTTACACATAATCCCAGCGTCCGCTTGTGAGGTTCCGCATCATATGATCATCTTGAGGGTTTGATTTTTATCCAGCATTTATTGACTGGTATAATACAGTAGCGATAATAGTCGTCACCGTAGTATCGACTTGAAAGACGGGCAATTTGTATTGACCCATTCTATCGCACCACGGAGCTTGTCTAGGTTGAGCTTTCCCTGTACAACTTGGTCAGTTTTGGTTTGTCGCATGCTACTTCCTCACCTTCTTGCAATCTCTTGGTATATCCGAGTTAGTAAGCACTGCTATCAAGTTTTGTTGGGCCTGTTGAAGTCACTCCAACATAACGTGATCATGATGATATATTGGAGTGACTCGTGAAAGGTCTGTGTTTCAGATGCTATGGAAGTAGGCGGCGGAAGAATGTGTTGAGAGGATGTGTATGCTTATGAGGAATTCAATACGAAGGAGAAAGGGTTGTATACCTTTTCAAGTCCTTGGTAACAAGCATGATCGGTAGATTCATGTCAATATGTCTATTGAGCCTATGCGTACAGATAGTAGTTATGATCACAAGTTGATTGGGAGAGTCCGCATGAGTTGAGCATAATGATAGCTATGATGTTAAGGCCCTCCTCTTCGTGTATGGCATGTGAATCATTGCTGTTTTCAGACCTGGCATCAGCGATACAGGATATTTTTTCTGGCGTGGGTCTTCTTTTGAACGGCCGGACAGAAAGCTTAGTAGCTATATTAGCACGCCAACAGTGAAGCAATGTATGTGTGTGAACAAGAGGAGGCCATTGATGTGTTTGTTTGTTTTCTACACATGCCATCTTACATCGCCCTTTTTTTTTTTGAAGATATTGTGGCTGTACATGTATGATGGCAATCAATAGTTGTTTTCTTTTTTTGTTCAATTACTTTGAACATGCCAAAGGACAGACGGTTGAAATGCCTCTTTATTTTCTGTACATGAAGGAACATAAGGCATCTAACTGGCAGGAATATTTTGCATCGAGGCTTTTTTTTATTTATTTATTTATTTATTTATTTCTTCTAGTCGCTCTACAATCATGCAGGCACCAATTCTCGCCTTCATCACCGTTATATCAAACCTTTACGATTGGCGTTCAAACACGTTAGTATTTATCTCACTCTTGTTATTACTATATTACTCGGGGCTTATTTATTTGCTGTAGTTTAGTAAATCATGTTGTATAGTTCTGTATGCTTATGTTTTATATATTGGTATCGACTATCAAATGCACACACACGCAAGCACCATAGGGCTGCCAGAAATCCCCCCTATTGACGCCAGAACCTGTGAGCCAATGCATGTCTCTGCTGAAGCAAAGTGCGACATCTGAATACATTGTCTAATAAACAAAAGAAAAGAAGCCTTTTTTCTATTGTTACTAGACAAGGATTTAATCACCTATTTCAAAACCAGTTCCTACATAGTGAATCAAATCTGTCCATGTATCCACTGTCCCTTTCTCTGTGCACAATTATAAACCTTCCGTTTTATACTTTCCTTTCAAACAGACAGGGCATTAAACTCCCTAACAGGGCAAGATTACGGCTCATTATTTTTACTTTAGTGGCCGATTGCAGCCTCATCAAGTATGTAAGTGCACGACTCATGACTTTGACGATGCGTTCCTGATGCCAGGTCTAAAATCGAGCCGGGTATCCCTTTCCTTGACCCCGGTCAGAAGCGCTTTGATTTGGCTCTGTTAGCCCTTAGAGATGCAGTCGATTATGAAGCCCTCCCAAGGGTCAATGCATGGGGAGATGTGCCTGAAGCTCTCAGAAGAAGCCCGATATCTACATCCTTGTGCTTCACACCTCTGTAGGCACTACTTAGTGCTCAAGAACCTGGAGAGATCGAGGCAACCGTCGGTTATACGTTTAGGGATATCAAAATGGCTTCACGATGAGCTCGTTGAGCTCTGAACGGCTTGAGTATCTAGGCGATCGGATGATTGGCTTTGTTGCCAGCTTGTATTGAATGCGGGATCCGGGTCAATTCTGAGGAATACGACTTGACCCTACTTGTCGACTTTGTCCTAGAGGTGGAGCGCATTGACAGGAAGGCTGCATGCTTGAGACGCTTGAACGCTGATGCCTGCAGATACTATGGAGGCGCTACTAGGAGCCGTAACAGTGAATTCGAGCCCTAGCTCAGTGGAGCTCTCCATGGCGCTTGCGGAGGTGATAGTGTTTTTGACACCAGTTTTTCATCATAAAATAACAACCTACAGTAGCATAGTATTTGCTGCATGCCTTGGTTGCGAGCTGAGTTGTTGAAGGGCCCTTTTATTTTGAGTTTACACTCCAGCACACAAACACAAGCGAATGTATTAGACAGTTGTCTGACAATCTTACCACATCACATAAAAGCCAAATAAAACTTTCTCTGATAGTAAGAACGCTCAGGCGCATGGAGCTTTGTATACTATGAACAAAATGTCCCAGATACAATTAATAATAAACAGTTATTGCTGTGCAAACGGCTGTGTGGCTGTATCTATGATTCCATAAGCACTGACCGCCGTGGGTAGTATTACAACTTCATTTCTCCGATGTGGACTATCCATGGTCATAAAAAGCTTCATTCCACCTAGCCATCCCCTCAAGGTAGCTGCCTTGGGCTCGCCCTCTCACGGCCCCGTAGATCTCTTCCACGCGCGGTATCTATCGTCGTCTCAAGGAAGGAGCAAGCAAAGCATTGCTACTACGTCTGTGTTCCCAAGACAGTCGCAGCTTCTGCCGTCCTTGCTCATAGCAACGATCCCACAAGCCTTTTCTCATTGGACAATGGCTTTATATCGCTTATCCCACATCTCTGTATGACTGAGTCCCTCTATGACCTTGATGGAGCGTGCTGGTATACATATAGCTATTCTTGTTCTGATCTACCTTGAAATCAACTCTTCAACTTTGAGCGATGAAGTTGAGTATAAGTCTATGATAAAAAATCTGTGCAGTCTACCAGATTGTGCACATAACCCTTTCCTTGTTCTCACGACCTCCATTTCTTTCACAGTGGCGCCGTGTTTCCTGCTCCAGGCCCATAACACAAGGGACATCTGCATGAGGCTGAACTACATTTGAAATCAGCCACAGAGAAGCTCACTACAACACTGGACTGTAGGCACTTCAAGTAGACTATTTTAGTAACACATCTAAATAGTGGAGGGGTGAATGGAGAGAGAGACTTTACTATCATCATTAAGATAATCGTGGTAATCTAGAATATATTCCTGAAACGTCATATCAATATTATTGAGAGAACGAGAGACTTTGATGGATTGCTCCGCCTGTTGCAGTTGAAGGAGAGTATCAAATAAAGTCTGAAGGAGTGCGAATAGAGTATTCGAAGCTGAAGAACGTAAGATAAAAAGAATAAATATATATATATATATATTTCATTTTGTTTATCTTATTTTGTTTTGCCTAACTAGTACACACCATTGACAGTGTGTGCAAGGTTAATAGGTGGATACGCATGATCTATGGTCACTGCTCTGCGCTCCATGCCGCCTCTTCATCTTGATAATATAACTTCCTGTGGCCAGGGATGGTGTCAAGTACTGCACACAGTCCTCACGCTGATTAGGAACTAACTCCATGTCGTAGGTAAGGATCAACGCCGCCAGGACCAGTCGCAGTTCCATCATTGCAAGGTTTTTGCCAATACAGTTGCGACTACCTGCAGAGAAAGGATAATATGTAAAGTCCTGAACAGGCGGAAAAGGTGACTCATCAGGGATCCAGCGCTCTGGAATGTACTTATCAGCCTGTGGGAAGTATTCCTCAGACAGATGAAGTTGCAATGGGTGCGCAAATAGGGCTAAAAAAATAAAAACAAATAAAAAAAAAAAAAAAAGTGAGTTAGTATGCGATAAGTACGAAGCATAAACGTGCCAAACGCTCTACATACTTGTTCCCTTTGGAAAATAATAGTTATTTATGACCACATCCTCATCGACGTCTCGTGGTATACCTAGACCAATATCATCATTTCTTATTAGTATTTCATCTTGTTTAAATCTATATTTATATTATACGTTGCTAATCCTCAGTGGATACCTAGAGTGATAGTAGGATTAAGTCGCATGGACTCGTTGATGCATCCTGTCAGATATGGAAGCTTGCGGATTTGCTCATAAGTAGGTAGAGATCCATAGGGATTAGTAGCGGTTGCGAAGTCAAGCTCTGATCTCAGCTTGCTTAGCTTATCTGGATGTTTGACCAAGAACATGAGCGTAAATGTCATTATAATGGACGAGGTATCTGCTCCACCGATCCTAAAAAGTCAAAATGAAATGAATGGCTCAATTTCCATTTCCGTTTCACATATTGGGCACTCAAGTCATGCCTTAAGGCAAAGTAGTATTTTGTGATCTCTGTTCAACTTACAGGAAAACACATGCCTCAACTTCGATAACCTTATCTGTTAATTTACCATAAACCATGTCCTCACGCTCGTCACCGCTTTCACCATCACTGTCCTCTCTTTCTTTGGCTTGTGCGTCAATCAGATACTGTAGCAGGTCTGCACGTCGCCCCTCTTCACCACTAGCCTTACGCTGCTTGACACAAGCAGCACCAAAATCTAGAAAAGAGGAATCAAATGGGTCCACATATTTCATCCATGGAATGAGCGCTTGCGTCATAGCTCGCTTGATTGTTTTTTCTAGCTGTTGAGGAACCGGGTGAGCATCGTCCTTGACCATCTCAAAGGATTGGCCAAATATGGTCTCTCCGATGATGTCAAGTGAGAGTCGGATCATAAAAGAATAAATATTGATCTGACCAGGTGGAAGTGCTTTAGAGGTTTTGTTCTTCGCCGTCCTCGAACCATCGAGAATACCATCGATCTCTTGTAGAAGGCTACTAATGCATTTATGTATAAGTGGCTCAAGAGACTGAAGGTATTGTAGGCCGAAAGCTGGAGCGACAAGTCGGCGCTGTGCACAAAGAGAAATTACACTTCTGAATATTGGTAAGGGTTGTTATAGCCCAGCTATAAATGACAAGATAGCTTATGAGAGCAAAAAAGGGTAGAGTGATAAACGTACTCGGTTCTTATTGAGGCTCTTGTTGCGGGCTGAGAATAGGTTTTCATGGCCATCATAATCAAAGGCTTGATAAACGGCGCTCTTGGGGTAGTCGGTTGTCACTAAGATCTATGAGAAGAAGAAGGAAAACTCTCAACAACCAGATCAGGATATTTTCACTGTATTCATTCGGGATAATAGACTTTTACTTCGGGCGAGCTACACCGAGAATTAATCATGCATAGCAATTCATTCTCATTTACCTCTCGAATCATGTCTTTATCGGCCACAGAGACAATATTTGGCGCGACCCTGACTACCTTTCCATATAGCTTATGGGCTAGAGGGAAGAAGTGATGAACCCTGCCAGATAGAAAGAACAGCCCTTCAAACAAGTGCGTAGAAGCGATTAGTTTGTTTCCTGGGATAGGGGCCAAGGGATGGAAGAACGCATTTGAAATCATCTAGATAAGGATAGATATGAATCAATTATTTTCCCTTCAGAAAAATATATGTAATAAAAAAAAACAACAGTAGGCTTTGTACTCTTACATTCTTTATGCCCTTCGCGACCCATAATGTGAAGATAATCCAGAGCAGGCTTTCTGGCTTTAGGAGGGATTCGATAGCTGTAGGGTATGTGGCAAAGAGCCTTATGAAGGGACTTGCCAGTGCAGTGGCATAGGGAATGTTAGCCATATTGAAAAATATTTTCAGATAGATAGTAGACAGACCAAAAAGTAAGTGAGAATCAGATATGGGTTCACACACCACACCCATGGATTATTTATTCATTTTCTGGTTGCGGAACTTGAACCAGGTAACTACAAACATGTATCGCCAATTTCATTTGGTCATGATACCTTATATTTTTAATCTAAAAACGATGATTGAATTGTTCTGGTGGCATTTCACTACGTGACGGACTTGCAACAATACTCGTAACAAGCGAGCCAATTGGCTGCCAATACACTCGAAAGTATTCAAAAAATATAAGGTATCATGACCAAATGAAACGGGCTATACATATCAATCTGCAGTGTTTTTAATTGTTTTATCCATTTTAAAAAAACATTTATCCATTTTCAATTTGCATTGCTCCGATGAGAAATAATTTAAGCTAATAAAATTATTCTAAGTTATCCATTTTTTCAAACATAATAACCGAACCGACTGTCACAAATATCCAAACACCATGTCCTTTCCATGTCCCACAAAATTCATGGTTAATTCCGCATGACCCCACTTGGACAAAATTTGCAAACACTTGGATAAATTTCTCAGCCCATTTTAGTCAACTTTTTAACTTACCCTTACCTTTGGATAAATTTATTCATTGGAACAATTTTAAATAAAAACCGATAAAGTTTATTTTAAAACGGATAAAACAATTTAGAAACGTTGTATAAGACAATATACACTCCAGTCTCACTGTTTTGCAAAATGTGCAAAAGAGTGGATTTTATATACGTTCTGTGATGCTCATTGGCTAGATTCACATTTAATTCAAAATTTTTTATTTTAAATTGGCTGGCAAAGGGTGAGAGGAGAAAGACAAGCAAAAAAATCAGCCAATTGAATTGTGGTTTTAGAATAAATATTTTGAATTAAATGTGAATCTAGCCAATGAGCATCGCAGAACGTATATAAAATCCACTTTTTTGCACATTTTGCAAAACAGTGAGACTGGAGTGTAGGATCTTTTGTCAAAGATTTGTCGCGTCTTAGTGTGACGCGTTATTGCCACTAGTTTCTGCTGCTAGTTTTATTTTTTATCGTTGAAATTTCTCGTGTGTTTTTTTCAGGATCTTTCCTAGTTTTCAGTCGGACTATAGTCATAACTATAGGGGGTTTCAAAATTGGACATTTTGCGGTTTATTTGAAAAAAATTATTTGCCAAATGCGACACCCAAATACACCAGCTCGAGGGCTGATGTATTTTCAAATAGGCGCCTATTTCTTTGGCCAAATACTCAATCTTGAAGCCCCCAAATTAGTACGTAGTTGACCTTAGTCACAAAAGAGAAAGATGTTGTATATATTTCAATTTCTCCAACAGCAACGCACTTATAATCGACCTAGGCCAGTGCCCTACATCATGAAGGACATGCAAGGCGCACGTTCCATAATGTTGCTATCAATCAGTAAATTATATGATCCTTGTAGACACTCATTCTTAAATAATATACTGCTTTACTATTTGTTAGTATGTGAGTACAAATATGTTCATGAACTGTGTCATTCGACAGGTCACCTCTCAGCACATCATCCTAACCATGTCTAAACAAAAAAAAAAAAAAAAAAAAAATTACTGACTCGGACTCTGGCCGTTCAGAGATGACCGATTTTTGAATGTGGTCCTCGATCCTAAGAGATAGACCGTCATTTTTCCACTAAAAATTTGGAGATGAGCTTTGAGCGGTGCTGCTTCACTTTGTCTGCCACATGAACAACGTGAGCAGCAGAAGATCCAGGCATATATCTGCATTTTCTGTATTCTGGTTAGTTAACTTTAAATGCCGGAAAACTGGCTAGACCTGTTTAAGAGGGCGCTACTCGCATGTAACTGATGCTCTATGTTTATTAGGGGTGCATCAGACACTACGTTTGAAATCATGTTTCCAGTAACGAGTGACAGAGCTAATTTTATTTTAACAACAAACCCTAGTTTTAGGTGGGTCAGAATGTTTCTCGGCTGAAGGCACAGTAATTTCGCGTACAGACACAAGGACACAGAGGCTGGCATAGGCTGAAATGGATAAAAACTAAAGTATGTCTTCACCAAAGTTGATCTTTATCTGTTTACTTTAAACATTACTGTTATTTATTTTCATGGCATGATCAAGGGTCTTTTCGCAAGTATACCTGCCAGTGACCCTGCCCGGTTGAATATTTTAATCAGGTCATTTATTTTGTTTATTGAAGAGCTAACTTCATCATATTATCCACCCTAAAACAACAGCATATCACTCTCTTCCTGTTGCTCTGAGCAAGGCTTTGACCCTATTGAACTCAGGTATACCATGAGACGTCGATAGGGGTTTGTTGCCTGTTGCCTGCGACTGCGAAGAGCTGTCGCCATCTTGCTGTTGTTAGTGGAGAAGAGGTCTCCTGTCTGTGCCATTGCCATAACCTTCTTTAAGGGGAGGAAGAGTAAGAGAAGGGATCCATTCTATTTGGACGAGTGATGTGACCGAGAATCACTAGACAAACTGACTGTTCTCGTTCAGTTTCGTATGATGTTGTTCTTTATATGTGTTCAAGTGTTTTTCCTGTCTGAAGCTGGAAGTGACGGGCTTCACAACCTAAAAGACCAAACCACATATTCAGTCAGCCCCTGAACCCAACAATGGTTTCCGCTATTGAATCTGTCCCTTTAGTCCGGGTGGAGCATAGAATAAACGGATTGCAATGCATGAATGTCTAATGAAAGTAGCATTCATCCCATCTATCTAGTCAATTCAAACAACATCTTCCTTTAAATCGGAGTTTCGCTTTATTGATTTCCATCACTTCTGACATTTTCTTACAAAATGACTACTAACAACGTGCGCTGGCCATTCATCTTTGCTTCAGGAACGAAGGAGAAAAGTCAAAGAAATGAATAAAAACCACTACTCACAAAATAACATGTCAGCTTCAAGAAAGACTATCGTTATCGAGCAACAACAGCCGGTACTACCATGAGTCCTGTCATTGTCCTTGCTTTCATAGCTGGGATCGCAAGCAGAAGGTCAGGTGTAGGATTTATGGCCACGTATGGGGGTACAGTTGTCGCTGGCTCTACTTGTGTGGTACTCTGATCCATTAGTGCTACTGGACTAGGAGCAATTGAGGCGGCTGTCTCTGCGGTGGTAGGAGACACTCTGATCATAGGAACCATAGCAATAATACAACAGCAACGTTTAAAGTAAACAGAAAAAGATCAACTTTGGCGAAGACATACCCTATGTTTATCAGGGACGGATCAGACACTACGTTCGAAATCATGTTCCCTCGTAACAAGTGACAGAACTAACCTTATTTTAATAATAAACCTAGCGTTTCTCGGCCCTGAAGGTACAGTAGTTTCACGTACAGACACAGAGACACAGAGGCTGGCATAGGCTGAAATGGTTTTCTCTGAAAGATAAAACTAAAACATGCAGATCTGTGTGCCTGGATCTTCTGCTGCTCACGTTTTTCATATGGCAGACAATGTGAAACACCGCTCAAAGTTTCATCCCCAGATAGTGGAAAAATGACGGTCTGGCTCTTAGGGTCGAAGATTACATTTCGAAATATGAATCAGTAAATCTTAGACATGAGTAAGATGACGTTTATACAACCTCACAGTAAAGCATTATAGCCCGTTTCATTTCGCTACGACCACTTATATTTTTTGAATAGTTGCTTGTTGTAAGTCCGTCGCGGATAGCGAAATACCACCGACTCAATTCAATCATTTCAAAATTATAGATATCGTGACCAAGTGTAATGGGCTGTATTATTCAAGAATGAGTGTGTACGAGGATCATATAGTTTATTGATCGATAGCAACGTAATGAAACATGCACCCTTGCATGCCTTCCATGATCTAGAGCACTAACCTTGGTTAACTGTAAGTGCGTCGCTGTTGAAGAAATCGAAATATATATATATACAGCATCTTTCTCTTTTATGATTTTGATCAACTACATACTTATTTCATTCACAAATTTACAAGGCCGCATTTATTAATATGACCGTCATCTCTTATGCCACCACACTGGCAAGTCCCTTCGCAAGGCTCTTTGCCACATACCCTACAACTATCAATTCTCTCCTAAAGCCTACAAGTTTGCTTTGGATTATCTTCACATTATGGGTGGTAAAGGGCATAAAGAATGTAAGAGTACAAAGCCTACTTTTGTTTTATCCTTATTTGTATCTTTATTTTTTTATTTTTGAAGGCAAAATAACTGAGTCATATCTATCCTTATTTAGATGATTTCGAATGCGTTCTTCCATCCCTTGTCCCCTATCCCAGGAAACAAGCTAGTCGCTTCTACACGCTTGTTTGAAGCGCTACTCATCCTATCCGGCAGAGTTCATTACTGCTTCCCTCTAGTCCATAAGCTATATGGAAAAGTGGTCAGGGTCGGGCCAAATATTGTCTCTGTGGCTGATAAAGACATGATTCGAGAGGTAAATGAGAATGGATTGCTATGCATGATTAATCCTCGATGTAGCTCCTCCGAAGCCAAAGTTTTTTATCCTGAATGAATGCAGTGAAAATAATCTGATTTGGTTGTTGAATGACTTCCTCCTTCTCATAGATATTAGTGACAACTGACTACCCCAAAACCGCCCATTATCAAGTCTTTGATTTAGGAGGCCATGAAAACCTATTCTCAGCCCGCAACAAGAGCTTCTATAAGAGCCGAGTACGCTTACCACTCTACCCTTTTTGCTTTCATGAACTATCTTGTGATTTCTAGTTGAGTTGTAACAATCCTTATTAACACTTGAAAGTGTAACTTCTCTTTGTTCACAGCGTCGACTTGTCGCTCCAGCTTTCGGTCTGCAATACCTTCGGTCTGTTGAACCCCATATTCATAAGTGCATTAGAGCCCTCCTGCAAGAGATCGATGGTATTCTCACTGGTTCGAGGACGACGAAGAATAAAACCGCTAAAGTGCTTCCATCTGGTCAGATCAATATTTATTCTTTTATGATCCGACTCTCACTTGACATGATCGGAGAGATCGCATTTGGCCAATCCTTTGAGACGGTCAAGGATGATGCCCACCCGGTTCCTCACCAGCTAAAAAAGACAATCAGGCAAATGATGCAACAAACGTTCATTCCATGGATAAAATATGTGGACCCCTTCGATTCCTCTTTTCTAGATTTTGGTGCTACTTGTGTCAAGCAGCGTAAGGCTAGTGATGAAGAGGGGCGACGTGCAGACCTGCTACAGTATCTGATTGACGCACAAGCCAAAGAAAGAGAGGACAGTAATGGCGGTAGCAAGCATGAGGACACGGCTTGTGAGGAATTTACAGATCAGGCTATCGGAGTTGAGACATGTGTTTTCCTGTAAGTTGAGCAGTAAGACCACGAAATACTACTTTCCCCAAGGCATGACCTGAATGCCAGAAGGTGAAACAGAAACGCAAATTGAACTATTCATTTTGTTTTGACTTTTCAGGGTCGCCGGAGCAGATACCTCGTCCATTATAATGACATTTACGCTCATGTTCTTGGTCAAGCATCCAGATAAGCTGATCAAGCTGAGATCAGAGCTTGACTTCGCAACTGCTACCAATCCTTGTGGATCCCTACCTACTTATGAGCAAATCCGCAAGCTTCCATATCTGACAGGATGCATCAACGAGTCCATGCGGCTCCGTCCTCCTGCTCTAAGTACGAACTAAGGACTAGCAACGTATAAATATAAATACAGTTTTAAAAATATTAGATACTAACAAGCGATCTTAATATTGATCTAGGTATACCACGAGATGTTGATGAAGATGTAGTCATAAATAACTATTATTTTCCAAAGGGAACAAGTATGTAGAGCAGTTGATACGTTTATGCTCCGTATTTATCGCATACTAACTCACTTTTTTTTTGTTTTTCATATTTTAGCCCTACTTCCGTACCCATTGCATCTTCATTTGTCTGAGGAGTACTTTCCGCAGGCTGATAAGTATATTCCAGAGCGCTGGATTCCTGATGAGTCACCTTTCCCACCTGTTCAGGACTTTACATATTACCCTTTCTCTGCAGGTAGTCGCAACTGTATTGGCAAAAACCTTGCAATGATGGAAATGCGACTGGTCCTGGCGGCGTTGGTTCGTACCTACGATATGGAGTTAGTTCCTAATCAGCGTGAGGATCGTGTGCAGTACTTGACACCGTCGCTGGCCACAGGAAGTTATATTATCAAGATGAAGAGACGACAAGAAGAGTAGAAATATAATCATAAGTTATACTTTATAGACCAACAACGAATGTTTATACTAATTAGTCAAGGATAAAAAAGATGCTCACGCTTCCTGCTAGAGCTTTAACAAAGAAGATGCTTTCCAAGGATTTTGCAATTCCATGTTGTCAGTCAACTCACTGCATAAGTTGACATCAAAAACTGACCAAGAGCTTTGATAGAATGTTTATTATTAATATCATTGTTAATATTACCATTTTCGCTATAATCATTGTTAATACTATTATTATTATGGTTACTACTACTACTGTTATTATTACCATTATGATCGTTACCATCGCAAAGCTGCTCGCATGTTTTAATTTTATATTTATCCACCACTACCCCAGGGGAACTTATCGCGCCGCTATGGGTGTTGGTAGCATGGCACCCATTGACCTTGATAACAGAATTGCTGGCTTAGAAGAATATCATCATTCACTGTTATTCTGGGATCGATATCAGAAGTATAACTTGTCATTTGAGCAGGTTAGGAGGCAGAACTCCGAATATTCAATCTCTTGCAGTTCTTTGCTCTCTATTGAATCTGACCGGCTTGTACCAGAGCTCATGCTCCTTCAATGCATAGTGCGCTCCACTTAGTCGCAGCATTAAACCTTATTAGACAATAGGCAATTTGAAAAGTTTATTGTTTGCCACAAAAACACAGCCATTTTTGTAAGCGATTGTTCTCTACACAGAGAACTATCGCTTACGATGACCATTTTTCTTTTCTTGCCCATCACAGGGCTTACTGTACGCTTGTTTTTACAAAAAAAAAAAAAAAAAAAAAAAAAAAAAAAAACGCTCCTCCTCATTCCCTAGATATAGCGATGGAATCACGCATGAAAATCGGTTTCAACCGATCCAACTTGAAAAGAGAAGCGAGACGATAAATAAGGATGCATACCCCTCCATCCCCGAGAAGGAATCACCAGCAGGCGTATTATATGAATCAGGTAAGTGATGCAGTTCCTTGAGCTGATATAGCTGATCTCGTGTGAACCGAAGTAACACTTAGAGTTGGACCATGTATCAATGTTAAATGACTCTTCGGATTGGCGTGGACGATGGCGATTAAGGCGCCTTTCCTTTCGTAGCTCCTTCAATATTTGCAGACTGTTCTGTATGTCCCTGAACTCATGAATACGGCGCTCCATATAAGCCTGCAAGTAATCAAAATGGAACATGATTTTAAGAATAAAGTTTATCTGAGGACGTTTATTGTGTCACTGGTGTCTTCATCCTAAAAGTAAAACAAGTACATGTAAATAGCGGCCACAAATGTTTCAGAACATTTCATTTCAAATTGGCCACAGCCACACTGTTTACAGATCGCCAAAAGTGCTAATGGCACTAGATTTCTGTCATCATCTACTTCTTCCCTTCCAATTGACCTTTCGATAAATTTTCATCATGGTTTTGACTAAAAGACAGAAACAGTTGCGGCGCTTGGTTGAGCTGAAATGTGCACGTCGTGATAACTATCAAACAGAACAAAGCCCTCAGCTATCTTTTCAACAAGAGTAGCTTGGTGTTTCTAATATCACAGTCGTAGTCGATCTTGACCACGACCTCCATCCCTCTGAAGACGGGAAATCTTGAAGGAGGGATCTTAAGATGATATGTACGAACTGTAAGGTAAGTAATCACTCTTGTGATAGTGATTTATGTTATGCTACATGTATTTTGGGGCTACAATAGGGCTATGGCACAGTGTTCACTACTTGAAGATTGCGGAAAAACATGGGTAGCAAGCTATCATTTATTCAAAATTCCACTGTGGATTGAACTTCATCGAGATGTTCTGGGGTGCAGCAAGCGCTATACTAGAGCAAATTGTGATTACACTTTCAAAGGGCTGCAAGAAGCCATACTAAATGCATTGGCTTCAGTGGATACACTTAGCATTCAAAAGTGGGTCTTTCCGATATATGGACGCGTATAGGAAGAATATGTCTGGTCATTAAGTTATATAAAATTATTTTATTTTAGGCTATTTTGTATCTACTAATCGGGACATCCTGTCGAACCACAGCTAAAAGAATCTTTGCGCAAAGCCTTCTGAGCTGTAGGCGAGCCCACCTCACCTAGAAAGCGTCACAATCTGGCCTGTAGGCTAAGTTATAAAAGCTAAAGAAACCTCCTTCTCAATAAAGTCCTCTGTTTACCCATAAGTCTTAAGTTTCCCTATATGTCTTGTTCTTGACCTGCAGTTCATCTTGCCATTTATCTTTTTCCCCTTTCACAACAAGCATTTGTCTTCCGGTAACTCAGTTTGTGAGCAAGCCTATGAAGCCCCCATCTTCTCTTTTGGCATCCTATGGCGTTGTTTGTCGTCAAGGTTATTTGCCTTGTCCTGTCTTTTCCTGATTTTGTGTCTATCTTTTTGCCCCTTAAGCAAAGATACACCTATTATTTACAACAAACAGTATGGAGTTGTAACATCTTTGGAAAGCACCTTGCCAAGAAGCATGAGCTTTTTTTTCTCCTTGACTAACTAGTATAAACATTTGTTGTTGTATAAAGTATAACTTATGATCACTATTTTACTCTTTATGTCGTCTCTTCATCTTGATGATATAACTTTCTGTGGCCAGAGATGATGTCAAGTACTGCACACAGTCCTCACGCTGATTAGGAACTAACTCCATGTCGTAGGTACGAACCAACGCCGCCAGGACCAGTCGCATTTCCATCATTGCAAGGTTTTTGCCAATACAGATGCGACTACCTGCAGAGAAAGGATAATATGTGAAGGCCTCCACAGGCGGGAAAGGTGATTCCTCAGGGATCCAGCGCTCTGGAATGTATTCGGTCGCCTGTGGAAAGTACTCCTCAGACAGATGAAGCAGTGCCAACTGCACAAGTAGTTCTTAAAAGAAAAGAAAGAAAGAAAAGTGAGTTAGTATGCGATAAATACAAAGCATAGCCGTGTCAACTGCTCTACATACTTGTTCCCTTTGGAAAATAATAGTTATTCATGACCACATCTTCAGTGACCTCTCGTGGTAGACCTAGATCAATATCAGATTCTCTTATTAGTATTTCATCTTTTTTAAATCTATACGGTGCTAATCCTCAGTCGATACCTAGAGTGGTAACAGGATGAAGTCGCATGGACTCGTTGATGCATCCTGTCAGATATGGAAGCTTGCGGATTTGCTCATAAGTAGGTAAAGATCCACAGGGATTAGTAGCGGTTGCGAAGTCAAGCTCTGATCTCAGCTTGCTCAGCTTATCTGGATGTTTGACCAAGAACATGAGCGTAAAAGTCAAGGTTAAGGCCATGGTAATTGAACCGGCAATGCTAAAGAGCCAAATGAGATGAAAAGCTTAGCTTTCTTTTCTGCTCCACCTAATGGATGCTCAGTACGTCATGCCTTGAGGCGATGTAGTGCTTTGTGGTCTTACTCTTTAACTTACATTAACATGCATGCTTCACTTCCGAGGGCCTTATCTGTCAATTTACCATAAACCATGTCCTCATGCTCGTTATTGCTCTCACCATTATCATTCTCTCTCTCTTTGGCCTGTGCATCAATCAGACACTGCAGCAGGTCTGCGCGTCGCCCCTCCTCACCACTAGCCTTACGCTGCTTGACACAAGCAGCACCAAAATCTAGAAAAGAGGAATCAAATGGGTCCACATATTGTTGGTTTTAGTTTTAGTCACGTGTAGAGGGTTCGCCACCAACTATTTAACGAGCAACAGCTCAGGAAAATCTGGCTCCTTGTTCCTTATTTTTACACAAGAGCCATTTGAGTACTGACTGTTCTCGTCCAGGTAAAGAGCCCTCACAACGTTCGTCGTTAGTAGCCATAGATCATTAAAGGTTCCTTATTTTTACACAAGAGCCATTTGAGTACTGACTGTTCTCGTCCAGTCTTCGAGTAGTGTGTGTGTGTTCTTTTATTGTGTTAGAATTATTTATCTATCAGCTGGAAGTGACCGGCTTCATAATCCACCAAAACGACCTAAATCTCCTACCACATCTGCCCCTAAATTTTGCAACAATATTTCTGGTGATCTATGCAGGGGGTGGCAGCTACAATGTCTTCCAATTTATCGATTCTTCTTACCATGATCCCGAAGTGGCCGTCGGCAGAGGCTGAGGGTCTAACCGCCGCGACATGGATCAGCGATTTTGGAGGTGTTATCGAAGGAGAAACCCTGAGCAACAAGTTGATGTTCGTCGAGAGGCAGGCGACAGGCAAGATCCAACGCTGGATCAGGCGTTGGAGGATGACAAACAAGACGAATGGTGCCTGGAGCCAGTTCGTCAGCGATTTCATCATGGAGGCCTCTACCCCTAGAAGCCAGGATGTCACCCTGGACGAGTTGCATTCTATTAAGCAAGGAGAAGATGAGACGACAGCCAACTATGTACAACGAATGAAACTTACCATGGAACTCCTCGACCCAGAGTCTGGTTGCGACGCACAGCCGTACAAGATCCCAACAGCCACCGAGCGTCTACTGGCGTACAGATTTTGCAAGGGTTTGAGGCAAGACCATCCTTTCAAGGTCAAGAACAAAGAAGCGCCTGCGACCTTGAAGGAAACCTTCGAATCAGTGACACAATTGGTTGAAGGAAATCGTTGGGGCATTGACACCACTGAGAGCCGTGTCATAGCTCGCAGCAACGCTGAGCATGCTGCACCAATCGAGACGAATGTTCTGCTTGGATCGACCCTAGTGCCGAGGACGCACTACTCTGGCTTCCTAGCGGACTTCAAAGACGACAAAGAGAAAGTTAATCAATTAAGCGTAGACGAATTAACAGACATGTTCGGAGCCTGGACCCTTGCTGCCGAGGAGCGAACTCCGGAGGCGCGAATCGCTCAGACTATCTCAAGAATGAGCCCGGCTGTAGCGAGGCGAGTGTTTGGTTCCTCTGAATTGGCCAAGCATATTAGAGTGGAGGCTAGACCTAATGCCGTGCTCCAACCCGCCGAAGTTCGAAGTCAGCAGGCTATCCCTATGGCCCGTAGAACCTGCCATAAATGTAATCAAGAGGGGCACCTCTTGTCGTTCTGCCCATTGGTGGAATGCTTCCGATGTGGCGAGCGAGGCCATACTTCGAAGGTTTGCACTAAGGAACAAGGAAGCCCCGCCACAGGCGCCAATAGCGTCCCATTGGCCACTCAAACTAACTCCTCGCTAAGAGTGCAAAGTTTAGAAATCTCCGCCACTAATGTCGCCCAATCATTTATCACGACTAAGCCACAGCGATTAAATTCGACAGGTGCCCAGCGACGTCGCAGTGAGAGGACAGGCACTCCTGCAGGTCCATCGTCTCAACGAAGAGAGGAAACGAGAGGCACTACTCCACCTGTCCGAGGAATGCAGTGGGAGGCTGAGGCATCCACTAGTAGTGCGCAACCTTCTGGGGACCCCCACTTCCAGACAGTGACTTTTGATGACAGAGCGGTTGACGGGCAAGAGAATAATGTTGCAGAAGCCCCAAATGCGACGCCAAAGCGTACCAGGAAGCGTGTCATTCCTGATCCAGTGTTCGTTGATGCGGTCGAAGGATTGAATTTTGATTTGGCCACTCACTCCAAGTACCGTGGAAAGATGGCAGTGCAACTCAAGGCAGCTGTTACCGAGGCCTGGGCCCGCCATGCCCCTCCAAGAAGAAGCAAGCCTAAGAGGAGTCAGTCAGCAATAGCTATGGCCAGGAACGTTCAAGGTGGCAAAGGTGATGTCACGACCGTCACCGCCTTGGGACGAGACTTCAACAACGCCGTTATTGATCCAGGCAATGACCATACTATGATGGGCCTACATGTGGCAAACGCACTCGGACTGAAGTTAGAGCCTGCTACTCGTGCGGTGCTATTAGCCCATGGGTCCTTCCAGAAGCTTGCGGGCCGCACAAGACCTATCGATATTTATGTGTCCGGGATCCCCTTGAGAATGTCGATGGGAGTGATCGACTGTAAGGGCACATATGACTTCCTCCTTGGCGATGACTGGCTCAAGGCGCTGAAAGCCAAGGCTGATTGGAGCAACGGTATCGTGTACTACGTGGAGAGTGAGGGAAGGACTATCACCCTTGGTGGCGGTCTAAATGTTCGCGCCTCAACCCCTCAGCCTACGACATCAACGTACTTGTCTGATGAGAACGATGAGTATGATGATGAGTACGACGACTATGAGGATGACGAATCAATCTACGAGACGGAAGAATCCGATGCTGATGCAGGGTACAGAGCCTTGAGAGTGAAGACAATAGAGGTCGGTGACCCGGATCTGCAGGCGATGACCGCAAGAGTGTTCTCTAGCAAGATACAGTGCGAGAATGACGATGCTCGCGTAAAAAGGCAGCCGTTCGCGGTTGACGGAGTCAACGTGGACATCAACCCAAATTTGTCCAATGAGCAGTACGGACAGATTGTGGAGTTACTTGAAAGGAATAAGGACAGGCTGACTACCAACCTTGAGGACCTCGAAGTGACGTCTATTTTAGAACATGAGATCAACATTCAACCAGGCGCCAAGCCAGTGTACGTAGGATGGTGCAAACGGTACTCGCCGAAGGAGCTTGACTTCCTTAAGAAGAGTGTTGATGATGAGCTTAAGGCAGGAAAAATCATAGAGATGGAGAGCGAGTGGTGCGCGCCGCTGAGTCTTGCTCCTAAGAAAGACGGATCCTTGCGCAAGTGCGTCGCATACATAGGCCTAAATAAGGTTACCGAAAGGGAGAGCTGGCCACTGCCAAACATCGAGGAAATACTTGACAACTTAGGCGGATTCGAGTACTACAGTAGCCTGGACGGATTTCAAGGTTATTACGTGATTGGCATCAAAAAAGAGCATGTCAAGTATCTTGGCTTCCGTACGCCTTTTGGGACGTTTGCATACAAGGTAATGCCATTTGGGCTCAAGAACGCGCCACATACCTTCAGTCGCTTCGTTAGGAAAGTGTACTCAGACCTTATCGGAAGAGTGCTTGAGGCGTACATGGACGATGTGTGCGTGCGCACGATGACCTGGGGAGAGCATTTGAGAGCCCTCGATCATACGTTTGCGGCAGCTCGCGCAGGAGGAGTCAAGTACAAGACTAGTAAGCTCCATGTCGGGTATGACAAGGTGAAGTTTACTGGCCACGTGGTCGGCAAAGATGGAATTGAGGTCATGCCAGACAAAGTTGACAAGGTCAAGAATTTCACTCCATTACGTAGCAAGGAAGATGTACGTGCATTCTTGGGCTTGACGGGCTACTATCGAAGGTTCGTCGAAAACTACGCTCAGATTGCAGAGACGCTGACGAGGCTCCTCAAGAAAGGTGCAAGCTTCACCATGGGTCCTGAACAGGTGGCCGCAGTAAAGGGTCTCAAAGCCAAGTTAATTCAAGCTCCGGTACTTAAGGCTCCAGATTTCGAGAAGGATTGGGTGGTCTCGTGTGACGCCTGCAAATACGCTATGGGCGCAGTGCTAGAACAAGAAGATGAGGAGGGTAAGTTGAGACCGGTCTACTTTTACTCGAAGACCTTTCAAGGAGCCGAACGCAACTACTCTACCTTTGAGCAAGAGTGCCTCGCCGTTGTCATAGCCGTCAAGAAGTTTCGGCCTTACATCCTGGGTAGGTCCGTTGTCGTTTACACAGACCATGCGCCACTCAAATGGTTGTTTTCCAAGACTGATCTGACTGGTCGACCTGCGCGGCGGCAGATGATTCTGTCGGAATTCGAGCTGGTCATTAAGACCAAACCAGGTACGAAGAACGGCAATGCAGACGGGATGAGTCGCATTATGTCGGAAGGAATAGCCACGGATGACATCGATGACGAGGTGCCAGAGTGTCTGAGTCGAAGGGCAGAATCCACAGGAGAAAAGTGGCTGGCGAGCCAATGGTACGCGAACTTCTACATGTACCTAGCCGAGATGAGACTGGAGTTAGAAGACAAAGTTGAAATGAGGAGGATCAAGAGACAGGCATACAGGTTTCGACTGACGAAGGAAGGTGACCTACTGTATAGAGATGCCGACAACAGAGAGAAGAGGTGCGTAGTTGAGGATGAAGTCGAGGGTGTGCTGAAGGAGGCACACGACAAGGGCGGTCACTATGGAGCAGAGTCTACCCTAGCAACAGTTCGTGACGTGTGTTGGTGGCCAACGATGAGACGGGATGTATTCCACTGGGTCAAGTCTTGCGGCCGTTGCCAGCAATTTGGAAGTCGAGTGAAACATAACAGGTTGCATCCTACGGTCTCCGAGTTCCCATTTGAAGTTCTCTTCGTTGACTTGATTGAGAACTTAGTCG